ATATCACGTCCTTAAATATCGATAGTAATTCATCAGTCACCCTGTATATTATCTTTAAAAAGGTTGCAGATGTTTCACATTTAAAAATAGAATATTTCTTAAAAAAAACTTATAGTGTTGTAACCAAAAATGTTTTTCATTTAACCGTAAGCGTACGTACGTGTTTAATGCGAGAAACCGATAACATTATTTTTTTTTCATCAAATTCGGCCCTTCAGAACTATGAGAGCATCAAGATTATTCCATCCTTCTCAACAGACAAGCGGCTCCCGTCAACGCTTGATAGAATTTAAGTGCATTTATTACTCAATTATTTTTCGTGATACAAAAAAATTTATATTCCGTTTCACTGTTAGCATCATATCTGTCAGCATACAGCGGCGTTTCAAATCATGTATCGATGATTATCGCATTAAGAGTATAGGAAGCTATACAAAAACTTAAAAGCGCCGTGTACAGTCAGCGACATGTACTATGTTTTGTACGTATTCATTTATATGTGATCGCTATGTCGCCCTGTGTACAAGCTCCACATGATTCATTCGCTCTCATTAATGACAGATGGCGGCGTAATGGCGATTGATTTACGACACCGCAGCGTTTAATGGTTTCGTAATAATTTTAAGATCATATACATACTTACGTATATTGATATTAATGCAATGTATCAGATATTAAAAGTAAGACGATTTTTCTATCAATATTTAATTGCACTAAACCTTTTTTCAATAGAAACTTTTTGGATGTTGCTATTCGTCCAGGTTGTTTACAAAATTAAAAAAAAAACGAAGTCTCAAACATAACGTAGAACTTTAAATAGAATGTGTAAGTAACATTTTTAAATACTAAAGTATGTTTTATATCAAATTTCAAGATGTCTGTATCAAGTGTTTTAAAACGCTACCGACGCCGTTCACATTATATCACTCTCAACATTCCCCATTACTTATTTGTATGAGTAACGTCTAAATTTAAACGCGTATTTATCGACGGACATTAAAGAGTAAAGCTGTATGATAAAACTTGTATTTTGTCGCTGTTTTTGGCAGCTGCGTCTCTTTATCACCTTTTTCGATGGTCATTTGCATTACCTTATTTTTGTTATTGAATTATCAAGTTTAAAGGATTGTGTGTTTTATTGTAAACAAATAAAGTTCTTTTTCGTATGATAGTACAAGATTGTGGGTTTTCGCTTGCATATTCAAAGTCTGAACGATATTTACAATTCTTATGGATTTAAATATAAGCATAGAACACACAATGTTCAGTTTATTTCAAAAAATATTCATATGTACTCGGGTTTATTTTGACATATCTTTATAAGAATGGGTTCTAATGTGCTATAACTACAAGTATAATTGAGGTCTGTAATACTTTCACTGACGTTTGAAATTATTAAATGAATATTGAACAGAAACTAACGTGGCAATACAATAATAGCAGTATAATATATTTAACATTTTTGTACAACATAAACTAGACATCACGTTTTCGCTACTGCGTACTAGATGGCGTTACTAGTCTTTTAGCACACGCTATTGTTTGGTTTTGCGTCTTTTTAATCAAATGTATCGTTTTTATTTTCGATTTTCGTTCACTGCTAAATCAGTTGTCCATTAAGTCGGAATTATATTTAAATCGGTCTATTTCTACAAATAAAATAACATAAAATTGTTCTAAGTGGAACTTCCGTAAATACATTTCGGCACGGGCCAAACTACAGACATGATTATTTTTAAGTGTCAATAAATAATAAAGATGGCCGCCGCTGAGTGCTCGCCCATCTCTTATCTCAATTCTTAATGCGCCTCTTTGCTGGTCATTCTTTTTTAGAACTTTTATTTTTCTCACGTCATGCCTCGGAGAGTTTAAATTTTATGTTGACACCATAAGGGTTTTATGTTTTAATCTCGGCTTTAACATTGTATAATAAAGAATACGTTTATCTTAGACGGTAGTGTGGAAACATGTGTGGAGAGTATTCTGATAAATTATAAACTATATCCAAGTGATCCAAATTATGAATGTTTTAAAACGTTACATAAATCAGGAGTCCAAGAACAATATTTTGTTGCGTTTCATCTATCACGAGCGTTCAGACTTTGAATAAATTTATGTTGCGTAATTGCACCGAAGCTGTGTAAGTTGGACGCGGCTACAGAGATTATGTTTTTAAGTAATGTCTTCATAACAGCGAAAATTATCTTCACCAAACACAGCGGAGTTAATTCTTTGAATTAATATATTTAATATATTCGAAACTCTTATTTTTATTAAGAGTAGTGTAAATAAAAGTACTTTACGTGTATCTATAGCAAAACCTATGGCTTTGATTCTTGACATAAAAAAAAAATATTTTTACTCGTAAAGAAATTTCATTATTTATTTCATTTCCAATAAGAATTATTTCATCTCTTTGTGGTATAAAACATTATTTTGAAGGGTTTTTTATAATCGTCAAGGTCGATTTTGAACGTATTTTATAAATCCATGTAATCTTTCCACTGCTCAAGGTTCTATAGTACACTAGTATTATTGGATCGCGTAAATTATTTGTAAGTAAAGCCTAATTATTAATACGTGGTTATAATTAAAGGCTAATCATATCTGAATTATTTCTTATTATATTTATTTAATAATAATAATTCGAATTTAATAAAGGTGCCCCACATACATACTTTGGAGAAGAATTACAATGCTTTAACATAAGTATGTAACAAATTTTGTAATATGTACATATAATTGAAAAGGCTATGAGATAAAATTTATTTTCAGCTCACACCTGCAAAATATATATGCGGACACTCGTTATTATACTAAGAAAAATACTTTCAAACCACTTAAGCATATTAAATTAATTATTAGATTGTGGCGAAACAAATGATTAATGCTATATATAAAATGAACTCTTTTATTATCATAGAAAAATAATGAAATTGAAACATTGCAAAAATAAGGCAACAAAATTGTTTGGGTAGTGGTCTCCATAAAATACTGAAGTCTAGTTATTTTTTTTGTATATGTTTATATTTAGACAATTTCCTCATTATTATTATTGTTGATCAAAAATTATTCAATCGTTTATAAGTCACAAATCGAATGATGTATTAAAAATAAACTAGATCGCAAAGTTACTGAATTAAAGATAAAACGATATATTTTTTGCCAATAGCTTAGAAATTAAATAATAATTGTAAGCAATATTTCATAAAAATTGTAAATTACTTAATTTAAGTCTATTCGTATTTCATACACAATGTGTATTTAAATAAACATGATTGAAGGTAAGGAACATCATGAAAAAAAAAAAATATACTGCCTTTTTGGATTTTGAAGTTCATTTTACTTTGATTTCACAATATTTTGATTTTTTAACATGAGCCATTAATGTAATTTTTGGTACCAATGTATATTCATTATAAACGATTTAATCTTTAATTATAATTCACTAAATGAATCAAGATCGCTTTTTAATTTACTTTTAGAATTAAAAACTGGAGATTGCAAAGCTGGATTGGATTTTAACAAAGTCTAAGACTTTCGCGAGTGTTCATTGAAATAAAACTATTATTTTTCGGGTTTACTACATGTTTATAATTATTTTTAAAAACATACTCCCGACGTTTCGGTTACTTTGCAGCAACCATGATAACGGGTAGATTAGATTTTATCTCATTCTTAGTGTTCAATTCTCATTTATAAATGAACTTTCACGCATTATATTTGAAACACTATTCCATTGAGCTTGTACCTTAATTTCTAACTTTTCTTTATTTCAAATTCATTAATTTTCAAGACGATAACTATCCTCTTAGAAAAACAAGTTTAAGCTAAAATAACTTTTTCAACTTCAACTTTTCACCATGGAATATGAGAATACTTCATGGTAAAAAAATAATATTTGTACCAATATTATTTATAAATAATCCGGTACTTGATAAAAATTGTGTCACAAAAATACATTAAACGAATCATTATCAAAGACTAACTTATAAGTTTTAACACGTTATAATTGTCTGTCGGTGTATGAAAGGCCGGCCGTTACAAAGGACTCGAACACCGCGTCCCCTGTCATTACGCGGCGCCACCGCGTTCAATGCGCCATGTTATTTGACGAATGACGAAATTTAACAATAGAATGTTGTGACGTTATTTGTATAACCGTTACGGCAATGACCTGCTTTGTTCTAATATCGATAAAAAAAACTGCCCAGTATTAAATATGGATTTTATTTAATAATTTAATTTTCATGAAAATCAAAATAGATTAAAGTGTTACGATCTTTATTTGGAGGATGTGATGTTCGCGCGCAGCCGTGACATCAATAATGACTGCGCCCTGACCCCCTTGGAGATACAATCCTGAATATAATATGAAATATACATATAAATTTGATTATAAAGAAAGCATTATTATTTTTAATTCAGCGTTTCAGATATGTCAGAGCTATCAGTGGCTGGAAATAATCTTTTTTCTAATAAATTCAAAAATCGAACATATTTCAATTCAATAAAAAAAATTCAACACAATAATACGTCGTTCTTAATTTATATAGAAATAAGATTTATTTAATAAATCCATATAAGTATTATATATTTTTTGTGAGTGTTGTGTGCTCGTGTGTACTACATCATAGAGCACGTACTCCATCCAGAGAGCGCAGGTGTGTTGATCTTACATTTAGCACACGATGACGGCATTAATAATAATAATTACACTATAATGAGGACGCTCATTAACAGACTGATATGCAATATATTTTATATTTATATAATATGTTTTATAACTACAAAAAAATATTTACGTAAAATATTTAAGAACAAAAAGTAATTTGTAATTGTTTCTGAATTATACTATAGAAGGTTTATTTATTCTGTAAGTAGAATATAACTATATCAGCTTTCGATGATAATCTAAAGCAAGAATCAAAATAGTTTTATATGCCGTGCAGTGCAGTGTAAAAAAAAAATGTATTACATATTTTTTTTATTTTTTCCAGAGTTCAAATAATCCCGTAGAAGAAAAGCCAAGCAGTGAAAAGAATTACATAGTAGGGTCGTGGCCGGCGACCGCTCCCGGACATACGGGATACTTGACAGTGGCAACCCTACCACCGCAATATATACGAAGTAATATTAATATAAAATATATTATATTAAAAATCTTTTACACAAACCTCTTACAATATAATAAATAACTCAATTAAATGTATTTTTAACAGTCAATTGTAACAAATCTAATATTTTTATTTTCACTTGCGATATGTAATCATTCTTCCTATCTGTTATGAAAACAGAAATTTTAAATGATTATGATTTTATTTTTAGGAAAATGCAAAGTAGATAAAGATATAATGGAAGATTCAAAAGCTGACAGCGAAGTTGATCAAGTAGCAGATCATGAAAATGGAAAAATGTGCATTGAAGAAAATCCATAATAATTGCTAAAATTATTTATTTTTAAATAAAATATATTAATAAATAGAAATGTTTGATTAATAAAACACCAAGTAGATAGTTAAAACTTTAATATTTAAATCAATTACAAATAAGTTATAATATCAAAGTACACAACTTATAATATTTTCCGTCGCTACTCGCTACAGTCTCGTTTTCAATTTAACGCCCTTATTTTATGGAAGTGCAAGGCAGTGGAACTTATTTTGGCTTATTCTTTATATTTGACAGTTATACTTTTCTTCTATCACAGAAATATATTTTTTCTATATAGCAATATTATATTTTTCAGATATTCTACTGTTTCTTTCTATTATTTAATATGGAATGCCAGGCATTCTATATGTATAGGACTAAGTTACACAGTAATTAGGTCTAATATAATTTTCTATGACTACACAAGAGAAGTTGAAAAACCAGAAATCAGTTCTAAATTTTGCCAAAACATTTAGCATATTATTTTTAGTACATAAATTATATAATTTAAAATAGTCTTTAATAAAGCGTTCCCACTATTGCTATATTTCATATCACTAGTTTACAATATTTTCTAATGAAACTTCTATTAGTTATTAACTTGTTTAAACAATATGTTGTTTCATTCAAATTCAATTTTTACTTAAACTAAGTTTCCTACTGCTATAGAAAAGTTCTGAATAACCTAAGTAATATTTAATTTATAATATATGAATTCATATAAAATAGTAAATAAAAGAGAAAGTATATCTAACTAAACAACTAATGTTATCTAATATGATAAACACTAAAATTCTTCATCAATGGAAAGTGAAATATGTTATTTCATATTAATTGGACAAATGCAACTGTCTTTTCTGTCGATCCAAGTCAAAACCAAGAAAATATTTCAGTATTACACATGTTTTTGTGTCTGTTTGTAAATCAAAATCGTCGTCTTAAATTGCTAACAAGAGGAACTTGAATCAACTGAATATAGTTAAAATATGACTTCGTCCGAACAAATTCATGTTAAAATTTTATTGGAAACATAATATGGTATTTTTTTTACTTCATGATCATGTTATTCTTTCTCTGTTAGTTGTAGTTTGTTATAAGTGTAGGAAAAAAATAGTTTGTTTTGAAAATGTCATCTTCGAAAGTATATCTAAATAAAAAAAAGGATATCTAAAAGTTGCCTAAACCAAACCATTAGGTCCTATCATTTTCAATTCATATTTATAAGACAGAACTATGAAGTTTTGTATTATAACAGATTATAAGTGTAAATTCCACCATACAGTCACATATACACCTTAATGAAATAGCTACAATAAAATAAACTTCTAAATAATAGTACCTTAATTAATATTCGAAATTTCTCACCCTCTGAAGAGAGTGTGAAGTGTGAAGAAACGCCAAAAACTAAGAAGTTATTGGCGTTTCTTCACAGATGTCGCCAATGTCATGTGTGGTTATTATATTGAATTATGTAAAAGAGGCATTTGTGAATGTTATATCTTCTTCTTTAGTTAGTGGCGTTTTCTTATAGATTTGCTAATGTCATGTGAAGATATTATACTGAACTATGTAAAGAGGGATTTGTGAATGAACAAGGTCAAATGCTATTTAATATTTCCAATTAAAACAATGCCATACTTGATTGACGTTTATATGACAGTGACATTTCTGATGATATTCTGACGATTAATGGCGCCAGCGTTTTTCTTTAATTAATGTACATAAAAACAACTTAAGTAAGACATTTGAATTAAAAATTATATGCTTATTTGACAAACAAATTATTTGGGACTAACTATAATCGGTCTAAATGTGATTGTATTGTTGTATTGTCAGTAGTGATGTGCGGATAACAAATCGCAAAAATAGGTATGAATCCATTTCATTTTCGCCAATGTTTTTACCGATTAATCTCAAACATTATAAAAATATACATTAGTAATAAGCAGTGAACATGATAATGTGTTAATTTGTAATGTGTGTGTGTTAATTTGTATCTATATACGCGTATATTGATTTTAAACGGTCTATATAACTATGATAGTTGTTCCTCATTTATCTGAAGTCACTAAAGTCTGTCCTCAGTTGTATAGTGGGTGCGTGCGGTGTTTGTTGTCTGTTAGTGTGTGTGTGTACACGCGGCGGAGCTCGAGCCTTCACCGCTGCCTCCAACTTGGAACGAAGCTCAGGTGACTGAGACAACATACTCTTGAACTCCTGTAAAGATATAACATTCATTATCACATAAAATGTATATGTGTATATATTGGTTTTACTAAATAATTCCCAAAAGAGGGTTGATGTCAGGCATCCAACCGGTCGTAAAAAGAAATAGCCAAAAACTATTCACAGCATGTAAGGTAGACCCTGGCTAAAGCTGGGAAATTGCCAGGTAGAAGAAGAAGAATTGGTTTTACTAAATAAATAACTATTATTTAGATACTTGAAAGTACTGTCAATTTATATAATTATTGAAGCAACATCGTAGGTCTTGTGTGATCAAATGTATGCAAGTTTTAGTTACATAACCAAAAAAACTCATCAAATCCAGTCTATTAATAACAAAAAGTGATAGTGATCTCCTAGAAAATTTTCTTTAATAATATATCATAAGATTATGATATTATTGGCAATTTACGTTTCACTAACGCCTAATTTATGAAATTGAGATTATAAACTTATAGATTTTTTCTGTTTACAAATCCCTACTAATATTATAAATGGGAAAGTAACTCTGTCTGTCCGTCTGTTAGGCTTTCACGCCTAAACCACTGAACTGATTTTAATGAAATTTGGTACAAACATAGAGTTGACCTTGAGAAATAACATAAGATAGTTTTTATCCCAGACTTTTGAAAGGTTCTCTTGGAAACGCGATATAACCGAACTCAACGCGGACGAAGCTGCGGGCGGAAAGCTAGTATGTAATATATGTTATTACATTAACTATAATATTATTTTTCTCTTTATTGTACCTGTGGATGTTTCGGTCCAACTCTCATCAGCCATTGAAGAGCAAAATCGTGTAGAATCTTCAAGTGAGGCGCCTTATCTAGCTCGGAAGGTTCACGGAGGTATGACGTCACTATAGGGACCAAGATCCACAACATTTGGATCCCTGGAAAAGTTTTTATAAATGATATATAACATTAAAACCTTATTTATACTTAATTCATAAAAAATTGTGATTTCCACAGTGCACACAGAAAGTGATTATAAATAAAAAAATCTACTTCGAAAATAATAAAAAATATATAATATGGACAGACAAAAAGCAGTGACACATCGAACACATATTATTATTACCTTTGTGAGGATCCTCTATTGAACAGACGAAAGAAACTGTTAATTTATTATATACATATATAAAAACTATAATATTGAGATATTTCAAGACAATATGTGACTTAATATTATAGTAATAGAGTTGTATTTCTATGTTGACGTGGGGTTATGTAATTATATTTCCTATATACATATAGATGAGAAGTATAAAGTTTGTAGCTCAAAATAAATAAATATTCGTAGTAAACAAATCTTAATTATAAGTGTTTTTTAATCAATTGTCCATATATTATTTTTCATAGCAACACTAACAATCACTATGAAACGAATACTTTTTATTTTCTCATTATATATAGGTTATAAATAAAATCAAATATTATATGACTTCGCAGAATCACAGGATTGACAATAAAAGTTACACGAGCTTTAATGAAATAAAATCTTATGTACATCTATTATATTCAAATCTCTTAAAACCAGATTATATTCGTTCATATAATACATGTATAGGCAGCCCTAGTAGGTTCTTTTCAAATTTGCTTAGATAGAGAGAGGGGCTTGGACAGTGGAGGTGAGCGTTTAACGCGCGTAAGTTAAGGGGCCCCTTAAACCTACACCTGGGTCGCAAGTCCCAGGTATTGTTGAAGCTCCTCTACAAAGCTATGGACCCGATATACGCACTGAATCCATTGAATGCTAAGAGGTTTCGTTGAAGTCATACTTAAATTTAATAATATTTTAGTTCCAATATGACGAAACCATGTAACACATCCCACTGCCTTTAGGATACCAGATTCTTATTGGTTTGGAAGCAATTATGATGTTTAAATGCATTTTTATCACTCCATATATGTCATATTTGTGATACCATATACGTAAGGACGGACCGCGGTTCATCATCTCTTTAATTTAGGCGTATTTTATTAATGAATATAGTGAATCTATTGAAGGCTAATAGGTTTACTATTATACTAACTGGCAGCATCAGGCGCGGCGTCTACAAGGTCGTCTAGGGCTCCAACAGCGGCGACCGCAGCCCGCGCCTCGCCTGCGTCCGTGGCGTGGCGGGCTCCGGCCGCGCGACCTACAACCCGCCCGGCTAAGGATCGAGCCCACCATGACACGGAGCGAGGGGGGCATGAGCGAGACCAGATGACGCGCAGGATACAACATACAGACGAGAACACCTGCGAACATATATATATACTAGAAGACCCGGCGAACTTCGTATCGCCCTATAATCAAGAAATATCTGTTACGTTTTTTTATTTATATTTTTGGAGTTTACCTATTAAAGCCATAAATCTCCGTGTTTTGAAGTGCGACAGAATGATTGACATATTAGTTAGTAGTCAAATCTAATGTCAAAAAAAAAAACGTTTGTATCAACTATTACTAATAAATTAAAAATTGATTAATAAAACATTGTCCAGCGCACAAAATTGTGAATCTAAACCATTAACAGATCCCCTTGAACACACACAAAAAAAAATCATCAAAATCGGTCCAGTCGTTTGAGAGAAGTTCAGTGCCATACACACTCACAGAGGAATTATATATATATAAAGATGTATATCCCTCACCTCCGGGTCTTTAGTATCCAGACACTGTCTGAAGTGGTTTATACAGGGGTAGTGTAGCGGAGGGTCGGGCTCTGCCCTTGCCACTATCGCCGCCATGGCCCGCGCGCCCGTCACACTGTCTATACGTTGTTCGGGATCCTCTGTCAACATATATACATTATTTATATACATAATAATTTTAATCATTCTATACAAAAAAATCAGGACATATACACGTTTTGCTCCGATAGAAGTCAGTAATCCAAATTTTGATGAATATTTAAATTTACAAGTAACATTACACTTAACAGTATACATTATTAGTACTAATATAAAACAAGCGACTCGAGTAGTCGTACTCCTTAATATAAGAGAAGCTCGTTACAATTATAAAAAAAAAATGTAATTGCAATTGATTAAAGATTTTTCCGAGACATATGTATGTACTTTCTAAGATTATTTAGACATCACTGATTAATACTGACTCCCAAGAGGGTTTATGTCAAGCAGACGGCCGGTCGTAAAAACAAATAGCCAAAACTATTCACAACATAAAGCAGACTCTGGCTATAGCTGTGAAATTGCCAAGTAGAAGAAGACAAGACAGTCCATCGAACACGATCGCTTAATCAATATGAACCAAAATCATCACCTGTCTTAACCCGTTCCAGTATATTAGCGAGCGTGGCTCTCAGCAGCAGTGCGTGCTGTTGCCGCACCTGTGACGTCACGGGCGTGCTGCAGTCTGCCGCTAATTGCAGCAGCAGCACTCCCGCCTCACATAGAGCGGGGCTGCTTTGTAGGGAACGAATCACCTCCGTGGATAGATACAGAATGGTGGGTAATATTGATAACGCTCCTGAAATATATAGGATAAAAAATATATTATATAACATAGATAAAGGTAAGTGAATCATTTGTACTAGATAGTTTGACGATGTTTGTATGATAACGAAACAATTTAATATATAAAATTGCACGTGTTATAAAAATATATTTAAAAAAAGCAGTTCGTTAGCGAGTATAATGTTTGATAACTAGACAATTTAATATATATATACATACATGTGTTTTAAAAAGACATTTTTAAAACAGTTCGGGAGCAATTTAAAATACAGAAAGTATTAAGATTGATAGTACCCAAGCATATTAACTCAAAACAAACCAAAATATAATTTAAACAGTAAACTACACAATAAATTTAATATAATAACCTTGTGGACTGGTCAGTGTAGTCAATTGCGACATAGAGGCAAGGCTCTTTATAAGTAGAGTATCTCCATGTACCCCCAAACCCTTCCTAACGCCAATCACCCCCACTCTCCCCTCCTGTTTGAGCGGACTCAAGGCGGGTAATCTCCGCACCAATAAACACAGACAGACTTCCAAACAAGCGAAAACCAGGGACTTCCCCGGCGGTAAATCCCCCGTCGGCCCGCCCTCACCAAGTGTATGAACAACCTCCAATACTGATTCCGGTATGTTATCTGGTGTTGAATCTGGGGCTAGTTCTGAAATTATACATTGATATGTTAGTTTACAAATATATGTAATATATTATTTGTCTTACTTTATTATTGTTCGTTGTATTTTATAGTATACTAGCTGACTTGTCAAACATTGTTTTGAGATATAAAAAGTAGGGGTTGGTAATAAAAAAGTAAAAACAAAATTTTATCGTCCGAAAATAATAACAAAAAAAATAAGAGCGTGTGTGTGTTCGTGTGTTAGTACCAGCTATCTTATCAGTGATGGCAGTCTTCAAATGGTCCTTGGCAGCTGTTATCACTAGTTCCAATACATCAGCGCACAACAACAGCGCCTCGATGCTCTCCTGTGTTAGACCAGCTCGATGAATGATCTGACACACCTCGATGGCCAATGCTCTGTGAAAATATACCATAATACATATTAAATAAGGTTCATATTTCAATGGGTAAATTTTGTCATATGAATTTTTTTTTGTACAATTAAAATTTGAGTTTTTTTTATGCCTTATATTCGGACACGGAAGTAAGGAACTTATTAGATAGTTTAGGATTATCAAATATATGAAAATACAACGTGTAACATAATTAACGCACACCCTGAAAGTAGTTTGATCAGAATCGGATACTGGATCGATTTTGATAGTTTTTTATGTAGGTCATTTTTTTTCTCAAATTTAGATAGAACTTAGTAAATTATAGTCACCCTACACACAGTTATCTAAACACTTCATAGAAACGAAAATTAATGGAAACGAAAATGGATCGTAAGTCAGGGTATTAAGATTTTTAAAATGAAATATTTAATTAGTAATCATCATTCAATTAAAGATAACTGATACTTATTTCAAGGCTAAAATAGTATTTAAAAATAACTACGCACGCAACACCATAGCGACAACCGGCACACAGCAAGGTCACTACAGTGCAAAAAAGAAAGCCGCGTAATACAAAAATTATTACTTTCTCCTTTCTTCTTGGGCTTAATAACATTACAATAGAGCGAGACGGCAGTCTAATTCCGGGAATCAGAGTAATAATAACTAAACATCGAAGTCAACAAAATGTGTTTTGGGTAAGTTAGTCACGCCGCGTCCACCTTATCGAAAAGAGGTCAAGTGTAAAGTGCAAATAAAATCTTAGTCGCGCATTTCGCTGTGTCGTTTCGGTACACTAACATTCAATACATCAAATACCTACGCACGTGTCCATTGACCTCCTAGATCAGCTGATTTGACGCGACTCGACTTTTTTTTGTGGGGTCGAATTAAATCGCTAGTTTATAACACAGAGATAACAAGTGCCGAGGAACTAAAAATAAGATAATAACCGCCTTTGTAAAAGTGAAAAGTGACATTGCAGTATTATCTAAAATAAAACCACAATTGCGAAAACGGTCATTAAAGTGCATTGAACAAGGCGGTGGACATTTTGAAAATGTTTTAAAACGACAACGCCGTGCGAGTGCAAATTAAACTGTAAGTTTGTTTATGATCTTTCAATTATTGTTAATATTTTGATTCACACCATTTAAACACGCCGACTTTGTCGTAGGTATTGTGGTGTCTAATCAAATCACGCGTTATCAGCTGTTTAATAATTCTTATTTACAAATGTAATTTAACAAATCAGTAGTTATAAAATGTTGGGTTCACATTAAAAAGAATATACAATGTCAATAATCTAAAGCTTGAAAAGTGTGATGGAAAGAAAAATCAAAATGTATGTAGTTATTTCGTGTACTTATTATTACCTACTTCTTATTATTGTCGGACGGCACTCGGAGAGAGGGGCGCGGGCGCGGCGAGTACATTGTGTCTGTCTGTGTGTGCGTGTGTAGCGGAGTGTTGGTGAATAGCTGACCATATTATTTGCACAAAATTGGGATAACTAATTTCACAAATAAAAAATGCAAACGCACATATAAATAATATTTGGTGTATGCATTGCGTTTATATTATTATATTCGCATTGGGGTATTTGAGGGTGTGCGTTAATTACGTTACACGTTGTATATTGTATATCCCTACTAATATTATAAATGCGAAAGTAACTCTGTCTGTCTGTCTGTTACGCTTTCACGCCTACACCACTAAATTGATTTTAATGAAATTTGGTACAGAGATAGAGTTGACCTTGAGAGAGAACATAGGATAGTTTTTATCCCAGACTTTTGAAAGGTTCTGTTGGAAACGCGATATAACAGAACTCCACGAGGGCGAAGCTGCGAGTGGAAAGCTAGTTCTATATAAATATTTTATGAACCTGTCTTTCATAAGCCTCGCTCTGTTCTCGGGAGCGTCAAGTAAAGTCACCACTGACAATAGAACTGTAATTGTATTTTCCACCGTCATGTCACGCTGAGCACACAGAGCCTCCATACAGATACCTGTAATTAATTAAATTTATAAAATAAAATCTATACAGATCTTATAACAACGGCACTTTCTTAGTTTGACATTAAGTTTTTTTGTTAGAAATGAATCGTTACATTTGATAATAGAAAATTATAAAGCTTTAATAATTTAACTATGGTATTTTTTTTGTAAATGTTTCTTTCTTCTTAATAACGTTTTAATATGAATATAATATTACGTATATGTAATATGAACATGTCCGTACCAAATAGTAGATGGAATTTCTCATCAGCTGGTTCGAAAAATTCGAAATTTCCGTTTTCTGTCTTGCTCGATCTGTTATCAACTGTGTTGTCCGTTTTCTCTGAAAATAGAATTTTAATAAAAATTTAAGGGATCTTCATAATAATTTGAGAAACACTTAATTTTTATCAAAAAATTTAAGTTTAAAATGTACCATATTTTTGGTACATTATAAACATCGCTTATATCATGAGAAAAATATTAAAATATTTGATTCTTATATACTTTGTCTTGTCTTACTTTTATTTCTGAATATTAACCTTACAAAATATATATATTTTTGGGTTTTTTCTTATATACTTGATCTTGTTTTTACATATTAATATCATTCCCACCCGTATGAACGCCGGTCGTTATATCAGCATTATATCTAAGCGCAGCTGCGTACAGTAGCGCGGGCCAGGCGCGGCCGTAGTGAGCTCGGGACGCTTCTGCTGTTTCCATAGAGTAGAAAGCCCCTCCACCATGAGGCAACTGGGACGCGAACTCTGAAACAAATTATATATATACTAGAAGACCCGGCGAACTTCGTATCGCCCTATAATCAAGAAATATCTGTTACGTTTTTTTATTTATATTTTTGGAGTTTTCCTATTAAAGCCATAAATCTCCGTGTTTTGAAGTGCGACAGAATGATTGACATATTAGTTAGTTGTCAAATCTAATGTAAAAAAAAAACGTTAGTATCAACAACTACTAATAAATTAAAAATTAATTAAAAAAACATTGTCCAGCGGACGAAATTGTGAATCTAAACCGTTCCCAGATCCCCTTGAACACACACAAAAAAATTCATCAAGATCGGCCCAGTCGTTTGAGAGAAGTTCAGTGACATACACACTCACAGAAGAATTATATATAAAGATATAGGGAAGAAATCACTAATCTAACCAGAGTTCCGAGGTCTATCTTATTTGGATATAACATACTTATGTATAACAATCTTAGATGATTTTTAACCCATGGTTAAACCACGTGGCTAGTTGTTTAGTTGATTACGAGTACACTACTTGAATACACGACCCTCGTAGTACCAGGTTAAGAAGATTATTGGAATATACTTGGTCGTAAATGTATTATTATAAATGTAGTACTAGTAATTAATAGTAGTTATTTTATTTATACACGTATTTATATATTATATATATATATAATGTATTAATCGTATGTATGTATGTTATGTAAATATGTTATGTATGTGTATGTATTGTTTACGTAAAAGTGTACACCTCCGAACCCCTTTCTTGTTGTTCAATGTCCTATATCCAAAGGTTGTCTGGAAGACATCGCTCTTTTAGCGATAAGACCGCCTTTTGTACAATGTTTCTTTTTTTTGTTATGTTACTTCTTGTATTCTTTTGTTTTCGGTGTACAATAAAGTATGTTTATCTTATATTTATCTTATAATTAGGGCGCCTTGGAGTTAAAGGTCGTATGTATGTAAATAATATACGGATTGCTGGTAGGTAGAGGGTCTTGAATAAAAATAAGATTATGAAATTCATCGACCTACATTTGCTATTGTATATTTTATTTTCCCTTTAACTTTGGTTTAATGTAAACAAATAACTATCATACAGTAATTGACATTAATCATTTATTTATGACCATATCCATTTTCTAAATAGTGCTTTTTTATATATTTTTTTTAATTATTACAAATATTAATAACAAACCTGGTGGTAGACTCAATAGCGCGTGATCCTTCAAGGCCGCGAGCCAATTCTCTCCTAAACTCTCCAGTTCCGGTTCAACCAATTTAAGTAAACTCTCTCCCTTGGACTCAAACTCTCCGTAATCATCGTCCTCACTCTCCTGGGTCGCGTTGTCTGTTTGATTGTTATTATCGTACACTCTATTCCTCCATTTAGCTATTTCCGCTTTGTTATTCACCGGTTTAGTATCCAATTGTTTGACGTAACTTCCTGGAGCGCTATCATTGCTAACCATAGCAACTATATACACCTAAAATATAATATATATTAATATATTATATATCTTTTTGTTATAATTATGGAATTTACAGTGCAATACCTCAGCCCACGCTTTAAGAATGGATAATTTTTCCAATGTTGCCATACTCTCGTTGTAGATTAGTGTAGTGTTGCCTTTCTTATTTAATTTATCCAGACTTGATACTAGCAGTTGGTGAACCCTGGAAATTTATTTAAATATTTATAATGTGTAGGAGACGAAACTGATTAGAAAAACCTACATTGGTTGCCATCAGATACTTTTTCTATTTATAATTTTTATTGTACACTTCACAAATCTTGGATTTAAGCCTTTTTATGTTTAAAACCATTACAACTAGAGAAATAGGGAGAAGTATAAATTATGTAAATAAGTAATATTAAAAAATTTAAAACCATGAATTAACCTACAAAATACGGAGCCACTAACGTAAATAAATCTCTCAATATATTAAACTGTCATTTCAATTTGGTAAAACATTTATCTACATACATCATACACATTAATATAAAAATATATCACACACAAAAGTGAATCTTTCACACTATTTGTTCATTAAGTCACCTCCAACCCACATACTACCACGCCAACGCACACAAACACAACTCTTACACGTACACATCATTCCCACACACACACGAACACATCCCCAACTCGTACTACCAAGTACACGCGCACGCAGACGCACACAACTCTCACACGTACACATCATTCCCACATACACACGCACACACACACACACACACACACACACATCCCCAGTATATAAGCGCGCGTCACCTGCGCAGATCGTTAATATCTCTTGCGACGCCACAGCCGATCCACGCGGAGCAAACGTCGCATGCCGCCGCTGTAACGTGCGACGCTGTGTCACCGGCGAACGCGGGACGGACAGCCGCACCGACCTATAGGAATATATATGCATAATATTATTTTATTAAAAAAATATTGAAAAAATAATAGAAATTTTTCTTTGTGCAATTAATGTAATGTAATTTTATCTGCATGTTACGTGTCTTTTTATCTTTGAAATGTGTGTAACAACTATAATTAAGACAAGATTTTGATTTTATGATTACTTGTTCAATACATAATATGTTTTCGCTTTTATTAATGTACTAGTCAACCTGGCGAACTCCGTTTCGCCACCAGAAGGCTTTTATATAACATTTCATTTGGTGATTAAAAGATGAAGAATTTTTTGTTTTATATTTGAAAAGGAAAATTTTTATTTCATTTCACAACAGTAATGATTAATGAATTCATTTCGATTACAAAAATGAAGTGTTATTTAGTTGAACTTCTCTAAGTAAATGAAAGTGAATCCAAAGTAGATACCGAATCGAAGCGTTATACGTGTCCGCAAATTATCCATTTCATTGAAGTGCTCCTTTGTAAACCACATTTTTTGTTTTTTGGTCTAACTTTAACACAAATAAAGCGTATGGTTTCCAAACTCGTGAACACGCAAAATATAACTGCCCATGTCAAAAACAATGATATTCTAAATTTATCCCGCAAATACTAAATGGTTTTAAGAGTTCAAACTACAAACACATTACCTAAATATTTTTATTTTAATATAGTAGATTTCTTACAAATATCTAATTGTCATCCATACGTCATTATATATCTGTCATTATACGTCAATTGCATAGCTGTCAATTGTGTTATTCCACGTTTTATAGTGACTGACGTTTCATGTCAAGTCCCACGGGAATGCTGTCGAACGGTATAAAAAGTATCCTATTGCAATTTCCTGGTTCTAAAATACCTCCCTGCAGATTTTCAGCTAAATCGATTCAGCCGTTCTTGGGTTATAAGTGGAGTCACTAACACGACTTTCTTTTATATATATAGATGTCTTGTCTTGGTGTTAATAAATAAATATCACAAAAAAACTACATTAAAATTAAATATTTTTACAATTTTTTCTACTTAGCTTTAATTATTGTAATTCCACATTGTTATTTACAAAACTCACCTTAATTAAACCATTAAATTATAACAATGTCATTCATGGCGGAATGTTATGTACCTGTGCCTGATACTGTTCAAGAAGTAGGTGTCCGGGGAAATCCGGTTCCGGTGCCCTCGCGTACTGCTGTATAATGAGTTGTAATGTGTTAAGTCCGCATAATCTGAGAGCATCAGATTCACCAGTAGCTCCGACGAAAGACATACGCACGAGGTCGGAAAGATGCAACGATAGGTAATCAGCTATAAGAAAAAAATAGTTATAATAAATGACATGCATATTAATCTACAACATATGTATACAATATCGATTTTATTAACTTTCGGTACTACAAAAAATTATCTGCGTTAATTAGTCAAGATTATTTCATGATTCTATGAATAATATGAAAGAAATATAAATTTATATGTAGTACGGGCAACGCAACAAAATCAAATTTATAAATAGACCAACTTGTTTAGTCACAGTAATGCAATCCTCAAAAACTGTTTCAAACGTTGAAGTAGTATTCAATAACTATTTTCAAATCATGTAATTTTTAAAATATGTAACTTCAATATTAACGTCCCTAAGTCATTAAAGTCCTATCCTTATAATATAAATATATATACACATATATATACAACAAAAATGGACCAGTAACAACTTATTAAACTATACTACCAGATATTGAATTTAAATATTTTCTATCTCACCATTCGGATCCTCTTGTAATTTTTCTTTCGCTTTCACAAGATCAAAGTGCGCGCTTTCTCCAGTAGCTTCGCACGCGCCCATAACCTTCTGGATACATTCCATTGCAAACACCTGTATACATTTATTATTATTCTATTAATACATTACAATATTAAATATTTGAGATGACTTTGTTTGTTTAATATTTTAATTTAGACGTTGATATATGTATCTCTGTCTTTATAATATCTGTATATCTATATATTCGTCATCAGCCTATCAGAGCCCACTGCTGAGCAAAGGCCTCTTTCTCTCATGGAGAAGGTTTGAGCATTAATAACCACACTTGCTTAAGACGGGTTGGTGATTTCAAACTTATAATTGTGAAATTATAAGTCCAGGTTTCCTCACGATATTTTCCTTCACCGTATGTAAGTGGTATCTAAATACTCTCAGAAAATACATATGACTCCTAAAAATCATATTGGTACTTGCCAGGCCAGGTTTGAACACGCGCCCTCGGCAACGAGAGGTGGGCCCTTTAACCACTAGGCCACCACATCTAAATATACAAATATCTTATTACCCTTGTAGGCCACCGCGGTTGTACCGCCGGGTGCGTCGCCTGTTCACTCTCAGCGTGGAACTCCGCCTGATCATCGTCATCTTCTAACTCCGTGTCAGGATTATTGCTGTCCTCTGTATAAATCAAAATTGTTCTCTATATACTATCCTACTAATATTATAATTGCGAAAGTTTGTGAGTGTGTGTGTATGTTTGTTACTTCTTCACGATCAAACGGCTGAACCGATTTTTATAAAATTTTGTATGCAGGAAGCTGACATCCAGGAATAACACATAGGCTACTTTACATCCCGGAAAACCGCTGGTAACCCGCGGGGCGCAACTTGTCCTACTTCATATTTACGTTGATATTGGCAAAAATATATATTACGTATTATTAATTGAAGTTTATCACGTATGTTTGAGGTATTAAGTTAGGTATGACATTATTTGATATTAAACTCACCCAATTTAACAGTTAGCACTCGTTTGGCCAATAGCAGCCAATCCTTGACCGACTTATTGGCGGCGGCCGCCAACAGACAACACGTCAAAGTATCCTTGGCGTATGATATCGCCATTTCGTCACGCTCCATATCAAGGAATGCGAACAATGCACCTGGGAGACCTGTGTCTGTTATCACTACACCTGGAAAATATTATGATCATATAAATAACGTATATACATATATAAAAATTTTAATCATTGCAGTAAATTTAAATAATCTATGAATAGAAATTTATTTCGTATGTTTCTTATCTATACTAATATTATAAAGCTGAAGAGTTTGTTTGTTTGAAAGCGCTAATCTCCGAAACAACTGGTTCGAATTGAATAATTATTTTTATGTTGGATAGTCCAGTTATCGAGGAAGGCTGTGGAAGAAAAAACGGGAGAAATTATTTCATCTTTGAAGCCTTCCGTTGCGTGCGCCGTGAAAACGGTTCAAGATACACAAAAAATATGTATTAAAGAATAATAGCTCTTTTAATGATCTAAAAAACGGTCCGTGACAATATATGTCTATCTTTTAAGATTAACTCACAAAAACCGTTTTTATGGTACCTAATTTGGTCGAATTAATTTTATAAAATCTTTATTCAAATAAACAAATAAATATGTTGTTGGTTAAGAGTACTTCATTGTGAATAAAAAAAAACATAGGTTTTATCCTGAAAACTCTACGGGAACTCGACCATTCCGAAAACCCCGCAAGAACGGGAACTATGTGGGAAGAAGCAAAAATCTGCCGGAAGTCACTACTCCACGCGGACGGAGTCGCGGCTAAAGCTAGTTGTAATATATATGATTATATTACGAGCTACACTCCATATATTTATATTCTTACATACATACATACACAGCAATAAGTATGAGTTTTGAAACATTTATAATGAGTTTTGAAACATTTATAATTCCATTCGATTTATTTAGTAACAGTGCCATATGTCTAAAGTAAGAAAACATTTTTAAACAGTTGCTACTAGCGCCTTCTTCCAGCCAATGTGTTCGTAAACAGAACTAAGCGGTGCTTATTCTCCATACAAATACTTTACCTCAAAACTCGTGTCGTTGCAGATTTTCTTTTTTTTGTATGTGAGCGTAAATATTTATATACGTTTTTGAGATTCGAAGGTACTGCTTCTAGTAACCCGATTGGTTATGTTAGTTGCTATAACGAAATATTTATTTTCGGCGCTAATCTTTCAGAAGATTTTTTCGCTATTTTATTTTAATTATATTTTTTGGACTAGAGTGTTACGTATAATTATCTAATAACTTAGGTTTATATTAACGAGTTTGGTAAATTACAGGTCTGTGGTGTTGATGTGTTTAAATAAATTAAATAGAATCCTACAACCGCCTACCCTAAATTTCTGTAAGCGCACCTACCTACTTTTCATATATTAAAATAGGTATGTGGCCTTCATTTGTATTTAAATTCATTAAAAATACCACACCCTCTAAAGTAAAAAAAAAAAACAACGATCGTCAATAAATTAATAAAAGTATTTTGATAGTAAGCTACGTACCACAGTAAGGTTTAGTAGGCACGTGGTCCTTAGCAAGTAGCGCGTACTTGCACACATCAGCAGCATCTTTCTGTGACAGCTGCCGCAAACAGCATAGTGCTGCTCGGCGTACAGACAGCTCGGGACTGGATAAATCACGCTGAAACACATACATACAGGCTTAAATTTCAAAACTTAAAAGGCTTCTCCACTGAAAAGTTGAAAGCTGTCAAATATATGTGGTTTGATTTTGAAATGAATATGATTCAAATGTCTAAACTAGCTAAAATAAATTCAGTATAGGTCATGTCTAGTATGATAATTGTTTTTCTCTTTTTATAACACACATTTTCAAACATGGAGAGACTTAGTCTCTCCATTAGTAATTACAGTGTAATTTACTAAATTTTTGTTTTTTAATTAAAAATATTGCAAATATGTTCCTATTAGTTTTAAAAGAGAAGTGTTCATAGTTTTCAACTGAAATATACATATTTCGAAGTTAAACAAGAAACAAATAAACTATAGTTTATGACGTACACATAGCTGCGGCACGAGAGTCCGTAAGTTAGCATGTCCGGGTGCGAACAGATGTAGTTGTTGCAGGCCTCCGATGGCGTCGGCAGCGCTGCCAGCTCCGCCCCCCTCCCGTAACGCTGCGCACGCGCACGTGAAGCGACCTACGGCACTGTGTCCGCATGCTACGAAATTTATAAATTTTTATGACACTGCTGTAAATATTATTACATTTGCTAGTTTATAATTCATCTAAAACGAGGTTTTAATTCCGATTTAATTGAATAATTTTTAAAGCTTTGTCTTTTGTTCAAATTTAAGAATTTTTCCTATTTTTTGTCAATGCCCAATTCATATACAGGGTGACTGGTGAATTACTATCGATATTTGAGGACGTGATATTTGACGATCATATATGACAAAATAAAAATTAATATAACATAAATATTAATTAACTTCTAAGTAAAGTTAACCAAAAGTTATGTAATTAATTACGCATCGTATGAACACCCTACAGATTAGGTATACACACACACACACACACACACACACACTCGCGCGCGACGGCGTGTTGTTGTATCAGCACGCCGCCGCACGCGTCCACACTTGGAACGTGTACACACTTTATTTATTTATACGGAAATTTGGTCAAAATTTAAGTACCTATTTTTTTTTACATAATTCGAATGAGAATCATGTACCGAGTATGCTCCTTAAATATTGATAGTAATTCACCAGTCACCCTGTATATGCAAATCTTTACAAAATCAATTACATGCATATTTACAGATATGTTTGCTAATCAATCATGTCATAATTATTATTTTACATAATTCACATACGAAACTTATTGCCCTTTCTCTAATCCCACCCTTCATTTACTGCAATCTCCATATTCCCCACCTCTTTCTCAACAAACAAGGTTAGCATCTCTTATGTTACAAATAGAAATGGGCGACGATGCCTACTACTCATGTAGGTCATCTAATTGTTTGCAATTTTTCATATAAAAATATGTATAACATACATTGTAGTTCAGGTCCAACAACAGTAATGAGAGCTGCGAGGAGTCTTCCTATACTTCTATGTAGGTCGTCCTGACTGGGCGGAGCGTTGAACAATAATTTCAGTACCAGGTTTAGAGTCGACTCCACGTGACTACGGAACATTGGACCCGAGGCGTCTATTAGCACGGACAGCGCGTGAAGTGACCACACCTAGGAAAAATAATATACACGCTAAATATATGGATAAATAATGCCAAAAATGATAAATTTACTTGAATACAAAGTTCTATACTATATGTACTGTGTTCTGGACAAATAACAAATTCATACGAATATTTATTTTTATTTATTTAAAATGCTTTATTGCACAACACATGGAAAAAAGGGTTAAATACAAATCATAAAGTAAACTGTACATACACGGTGCGCAAAGGCGGTCTTAACGCTTACAGCGATCTCTCACAGACAACCTTTGGTGAGAGGAGCTTAGAACGAAAACAGGTAAGTGAAGAAAAAGATACAGAAAAATGAGGAAATATACAATATAATAATATTTATACTAAGGTATAGTAATAAATACACATAACTACATCCCAATAATACATACATAGAAATATAATACATATCAAAACATATATACATAAATATAAACTACATATTATTACATACTTGCATACATTATATAGAAATGGATAGGTAATAGTTTCTCAAACGATGCTTAAATATTGCCAAGGATCTAGACTGCCGTATATCAGTGGGTAGTGCATTCCAGAGTTTGACGGTTTTCACAGTGAAAGAGTTACCATAAGTTTGTGTCCGGCTGCAGGGTGTGACAAGTTTGTTGTCCTCACTAGAACGCAGATTGTGCGTGTTATCAAACCCAAGAAATTTGAAGCGTTCTTTAAGATAAGGTGGTGTATGCTCAACATATAGAATAGCATAGAGAAGAGATAAGGCGTGCAAGTTTCTTCGAAGCCTGATTGGCAGCCACTTTAACTGAGACCGATACTGCGATACGTGATCATACTTACGCAGGCCAAATATGAATCTAATGGCCAAATTTTGCAGCCGTTCTAATTTATTCAGAAGGTCTTCAGTTAAATCAATGTAGCAGGCGTCGGCATAATCTAATATTGGAAAAAGAAATGCATTGGCTAAGCTGATCTTAGCCTTGATGGGTAGTAAATTTTTCCATCGCCTTAAAAAACCAATGATGGCATACATCTTACGACTCATTTCTGCAACCTGAGGTACCCAGGATAAGGAAGCATCCAGAAGTAGTCCAAGATTTTTGACAGTCTCTTGCAGCGGTAGTGCGTGGCCATCAAGCATGATTGGAGATAGGATTTTGCCTTTGACCCTCGACAGAAGCTTAGGACTGCCAAAAACAGCCACTTGTGACTTCCTTGGATTCAGTTGGAGTCCGTAAGATCTACACCATTCACTGATCTTTGCCAAATCATTATTCAAACTTGCAACAGCCTCATCGATACCGTCCAAGGGAGCGGTAACATATATTTGAAGATCATCAGCATATAGATGATAGGAGGAAGAGATAAGTGTAGAGAGAGTATTAATGAAAATAGAAAAGAGAAGAGGAGAGAGTACACCACCTTGCGGAACACCAGAAGGGATATCTAAGAAAGGTGAGGACCTACTGTTTGCCGTTATGCATTGCTGTCGATTGAATAGGTAAGAACGGAACCAATCAATAGCAATAGAACCTATGTTTAGGGATTCAAGGATTGCCAAGCATATGTCATAGTCGATAGTATTAAAAGCATTCGAAAAGTCTAGAAGAGCTAGTATAGTTACGCATTTGTTATCAATTCCGTTAAGTATATCGTCACATACTTTGGTGAGAGCTGTAACTGTACTATGGCCTTTTCTAAACCCAGATTGGAAAGGGCAGAGGATTTTATTTATAGAGAGAAATTGGCTTAGTTGAGAATGGACTACACGTTCTAACACCTTCGAGAGAAAAGGAAGCACAGATATAGGTCTGAAATGAGAAGGTAACAAGGGATTGGAAACTTTAGGAATAGGAATCACTAGGGCTTTGCGCCAAATTGAGGGAAAAGTACCAGTTGACAGGGAATAATTAAATATATGGCACAAAATAGGTAAAATATTGTTCAGGGTAAGGAGAATCAGTTTTCGACTTATTTCATCACAGCCAGTTGAGTCAGATTTAATACTAAGGATGTGCTTCCTTAACTCGCTAATGGTGACAGAGCTGAATTGGAAAGGAGGGTTATCAGGGATAGGCAATGTATTAAGAAAGTTGATTGTATTAAGTTTGTCACATATATTTATAGAAGAAGAAGAAAGGAAGTGTCTGTTAAGATCATCAAGTTCGATATTAAAAGAAATGGTTTCCCGCTGACGACCGATGCCCAGCGTTTTCAAAAACCGCCATACCTTGGATGTGCCGCTATTATCAATAGCATTTGCAATAAACCTACGCTGAGCATCACGACACAGTTTATTGCAACGATTTCGTAGATGTTTATATTTTTCCAGGTTGTCAGTAGTTGGATTTCTTTTATATTTAGCCTTCGCAGCATTACGCTTAGCCATGAGTGCTCTAATATCCTGAGTTAGCCAAGGCGCCGGTAAGTGCTTAAGCTTAATAGGTCTTAATGGGGCGTGTACATCCAATAAATCGGTTAAGAGGGAATTAAATATGCTAATTTTTTCATCAATTGAGCTGGCATTATAAATAGCAGTCCAGTCGATATTGTTTAAATCGCTCATGAAATTGGTGTTATTAAGCTTTTGAAAGTTACGCCGCATTACTATAGTTGGCTTCGCTCGCGGAGGCCGAATTCTATAGGATAAATAAACTAAGTCGTGGTAGGAAAAGGCCTCTGCGGGAAACTGACCATGGACATCAACATGACTGAGAGAGGAAACAACCATTAAGTCCAATAGTGAGGGAGAACAATTCGGAAAAAAATGAGTCGCATTCGTTGGAAGTACATTAAGGTTACAGCTATTGATTATATTCTTAAAACGTCGGGCACGTTGGTCATCTTTAATCAAGCAGGTGTTAAAATCACCCATAATGATCGTGTGATCGACAGAGGTTGTAAATTGATCTAATAGCATTTCAAAATTATTAAAATAATTAATATTGAGTGATGGACTATAAAATACGCCCAGTAGTAGTTTGAGATGACCGAATAAGACCTCAATAAAGATGTGTTCCGATGACTCAGAGTATTGTGAAGGGGATTTACTTAAAATTCTAAAGGGGATATGACTGCGGAGGTATATTGCCACACCACCACCACCTTTACCTGTTCGGTCGTTCCGGATCAGATGGTAGCCAGGCAAACAGTAAGACGTCGAGGGTAAACTTGGTTTCAAAAAAGATTCGGATACAAGAATGGCATGAATATTTTTACAATCAAAGGAGGACAGTAAATCAGGGTAATGAGATGGAATACTCTGCGCATTTATATGCACTACATTAAAGTTTCTAGAAACACCAGAGAAAGTTGAGTCTAAAAGAGAATTTAGAGGAAGAGAAGCACTGTGAAAACTATCATCACTAGATAATACTGAGTCACTAAGATAGATACTATTATCATTTGAGTCACTTACGCTGTGAACGTTTGAAATCATACTTTCAATGTAGATACAAGTCGATTAATAGTCGAATATCGAGATTTTTAAAAAAATATGGAATTGAAAAAAATACAAATTGATTATAACAGATATTCTCAGTAACGAATATATAGTCCAACTTCGAAAATCTTATTAAAACCTTTTTTGGATTAAGATTGCATTTATAGTATGATATAAAATTAACCTGTACTTCAACCGCAGCTGTATCCTGTGCCAGTGCTCTTAACACAGGCAGCGCTGCAGCGCTTGATGCAGCTCCCCTCGCCCGCTGTACAGTCCCAACAGCGGCTGCAGCGGCTGCACGGACCGATCTGTTAGGGGACGTCCTAGCTAGGGCTATCACACGTTCGCTTAATGCCTGAGTCTCAGACTCTGTGATACAGCCACAGAGTCTTCCTGCGCATGACGCTGCAGCAGCACGAACTGATGTACTGCTCGCTGACAACCCTGACTGGAACGTGTGTTATAATGTAATATGATATAAAATATTATTTTAATATAGAGATCTGGAAATATAAGAAAAACTATTTTCTATTTGTAACAAAAAACAGTTGGTTGGTGATTTGTATTTTAGAAAAATAGACATTAATGCATATAAGTTTATGTCTGAGAAAATCATAAAAATTTTTGTTTGGAATCCCTCCGCGCGACTGAAGTGAAACTTAGTAATGTATTAATGAAAATAGGAAGGAGTAGAAATATTTTATTAATAAATTCATATTATTTCTTAAGTTTGTCTTCATACAAACTTGATAAACATTACTTACAATTCATAACTGATCAACCCATTTACTTTAGCTCTGTCTCTTTCTATTCCCCTTTCCCCATGAGCGTTGAACGTTTAACGCAACCTTGTTAGACACGCATTATAAGTTTCACTTCAATAATAAATAAATCGTTTATTTACTATAATGAGTTCCGTAGCGGTATTCTTGACAGCGTCTTGTCCCAGTGAACTCTTCATCTCTCCCAACGTCCTCAGCGCCAACAACAGCGCGGTGTAAACATTTATTTGTATGGCCTCCTGGCGAGTTCCTTTCGACATTTTGATGCATTCCACGAAGTGTTCAAGCATTTGCTGTCTGAAAAGTTGATAGATAGAAACTTTTTAATAATGTTACTCAAAATGCAAAATAATTCTATTTTCATCCTATACCATTCATATATAAAAATTTATTAATGTACCGAATTAATGTACCAATTATTTATGAATGTACCAAACATAAAAAATAGTTACAATTATAGTATTATAAAAGAAATGTGATGTACAAAGGATAACTTATCTCTTAAAAGAGATCTCTACCAGAAACCCTTTTGATAGTGGAAATGAGAAGAGAAATGTGGCATAGGTACAATAAAATGAGAGAAGGAAGAAATAAAAAAAGATGTATATAGATATATATAAGAATACAAACCAAATTATAATAGTATAAAATACAGATATTATACATACATAGATATATACATAAATATATACAAATAAATACAATATATACATAAATATACAACATATACATAAATATATATAAGTACATAAACATTACATATTATATTAAGGTAAAAGTGATAGAAGATGTCTCTTAAGCCGATATTTAAAGGCAAATGCACTTGGACTCTCTTTGTAAACAGAAGGTGGGAGTGAGTTCCAAAGTTTTGCACCTTAGACGGAGAAGGATTTACGATAGAATTTAGTATTAAAGGAGGGGATATCAAGAGGAGTTTGTGCAACACAGGAGCGATTAGGAAGGATTCTGGGGGAGGAAAATTTAAAACGTTCGAGTAGGTACAGGGGAGAAGAATGTTTGAACACATTGTACATTAACGTTAAAACATGCATATTCCGGCGGAAGCGGATAGAGAGCCACTTTAATTTGTTGCGGAATCCAGAGATGTGGTCGTATTTACGCAAACCGAAAATAAAACGGATGCATAAATTCTGAACTCGATCCAGTTTATCGAGCAGCATTAAATAGTTTCGAAGGATTAAATCAACTAAAAACATCAATTTATGTTAAGATTTTCACGAAAAATATCTACCAAACAAAAGTATACACAATTTAATCAAATTTTATTATTACATAAGAGTATATAGCATTAAAGGATATCCTACCAATATTATTATTGCGAAAGTTTGTGAGAGTGTGTGTATGTTTGTTACTTCTTCACATTCAAACGGCTGAACCGATTTTGATAAAATTTTGTATACAGGAAGCTAACGTCCAGGAATAACACATAGGCTACTTGACATCCCGTAAATCCTGGAAATCCCGGGAATCCGCGGGTAACACCGCGGGGCGCAGCTAGTATATCATAAAAATATATATATACGGGTATAATTTACCTATGTTTATTAGCGGCTCTTGCAAACACGGCCGGGAACAGTGCCACAGACGCGTCTATGACTGCGACGCCTAGGGGCTGAGCGCCGCTAGCGTCACGGTAAAGACGACAAGGATCGTGCTCCAGAGCACCCGACCCACTCGCACTTAGCGGAGATATCAGCTGTGCGAGAGAGATAGAAATATTAACGTTTTAACGTTTTAGTATTTATTTATTTAACAAATATTGTAGTAAAGATACATATAACACGCTCAAAAATAGGGAGACAACGTTATAACTAGATAGTGTTCCTCTCACACTCAGCAGATATGTCAGATGCAAAACAGAGATAGAATGATTTATTAAATAGGTTTTTGAGTTTTAATAGATTAGACTGCATTTCACTTACAAGAAGGGTTACTCATTGATTTGATCAATTTGTTAATAAAAAATTGCGACAATAAAACCCTATATAGGGTTCCAAAAAACCTAGAACGTTAAATGTACAAATAAAACATTTTACATAATAAGTACATATAAAACCAAATTCACGAGCATGTATTTATATTTTTCACGAACCTGTTCTTCTATTTCAGCATGATCAGTCTCATATATCCAAGCTTCTTCACCCAGTAGAATCGTATCACGAGGATGCATCGCATTTCTTAACATACCTGTAATTAAAATATCATTATATATTTAAAAAAAACGTCTTTCTTTTAAGACACATATCTTTATATATATAATTCTTCTGTGAGTGTGTATGTCACTGAACTTCTCTCAAACGACTGGACCGATTTTAATAAATTTTTTGTATGTGTCCAAGGGGATCTGGGAATGGTTTAGATTCACAATTTTGTCCGCTGGACAATGTTTTTTTAATTAATTTTTAATTTATTAGTAGTTGTTGATACAAACGTTTTTTTTTTTTGACATTACATTCGACCACTAACTAATATATCAATCATTCTGTCCCACTTCAAAACACGAAGATTTATGGCTTTAATAGGTTAACTCCAAAAATATAAATGAAAAACCGTAACAGATATTTCTTGATTATAGGGCGATACGAAGTTCGCCGGGTCTTCTAGTCTATATATATATAACTGTTTCTATCCCTTATACATATAATAAGAGCTACTAACCAGTTGCGACGATAGCTCCTCCGGGGTCAGCGGAGCCGGCCAGCTCGGCAGCTAATAACCTTAGTAGGGGTGCCGCGGGGGCTGACAACGACCCCAACGCAGCACACGCCTGGTATAAACGCAGACGGAGTAAGGCTGCGGGGGCTTTGAGTGACCCCCCGTAGTTACGGACTACCTGACCCACGCTAGGCAGAAAATTACTTATATATTTATTTACTTATTTATTTATTTCGGTAATCCAACAGTGCTTATACAAATGACAAGATAAAATATGTATAACTAAACAATACTATGAACAATACAGGATTACACAGTTAAAGTGTAAACGTAAACGTAACTTAAGTATTAATTAATAACGGATCAACATATTAATTAGCAAGACTGTTCGTTGTGTGTGTGCGAGTGTGTAAGTGTGTGTGGGTGTGTGCGTGTGTCGGTCAGTGTGTATGCATTTGTGTGTTTTAATAATAAATTACGGTGTCATTTTTTTTTAAAGCCTTTTTAAATTCTGATTTCTTCATATAGAATATGTCAAAGTGAGAAAATAAGTAGTTATAGGTAGTGGCTAAACGATTTACTAAGCACTTGCTGCCGTATTTTTTGCTCATCGCCGGTGTATTAAATAATGTTGTCCGACGAGTATGAGTGTATATACACGTATATTTATTTCACAAAACAAAACCAGTGAAATATAAATATCATATAAACATTTCTTTAATTTAATACACATAACAATCAAATTGCAATGTACGTACTTGGTCAAGACAGCAATGGCGCCATCTATCGGCTGGGCGAGGCGTTTGGCGGTGTCCTCATTGTTGACGAGTGACGGACAATGTATTAACAGACTATGTAGAGCAGATAACGCACCAGCACGACCTTCCAGAGTTACCTAAGAAAAAAAACTATGGCTTAGAGTATTTCTTACTTATATATGGTCCAAGACCTTAATATACTGCTATTATTAAAAATGTTAAATTTTATGTGGATGTAATGATGTTTGTTGGTCTTTCAAGCAAAACTATTCCACAATTTTTGGGACACCACAGTAATAAATATTAGACACAATGACTCATGGGCCTATAATATACACAAAAAAGTATTTCTTGTTGGATTACGATATACAACATGAATGATACATCATGAAAGCATCACTGTGTTTGATATCAATAATTATTTTTTATATGATCACCTCTAAGTCATTTCTTAATGCAATTCCAAAATCTAAGTGGACTAATCCATCGACAAAAACAAGTAGTGTATATACAAAAGGTAATATAATTTTTGTACTTATACTGTTACATTTCCATGCAAAAGTGCATTACTTGCATTGTAATTTTCATACAAATTAATTAATTTTGCCATAACCTATTAAGCGATACACTCTTACTGACATTATATTATTTGAAAGCAAACTTTCATAGGAATTCTTCTTCTTCTTCCTGGCAATTTCCCAGCTTTAGCCAGAGTCTGCCATAAACTTTCATAGGAATTCCTAGAAATAAATTATAATCATAGTGCTAATAATATAATTCTCTCACCTGCCAAGTAAACGCATCGCCTCTGGCTTTTTCTGACTCCAGTTCTTTAGCTGATCGAGGGAAGCTGTTCCTCCACAGTAACAACATGCGTGGGAGAAGACCACGCACTACAGGAACACCTAATAATTACACAAGAAAGATTAAAAAATTAACTCTAATTAATCGATTGCAATATTTTTGTATCCAATTGCTCAAAGACAGAAATATTTAATTAACAAAATGTGAGTTTGACATTATCTAATAATTAACATGAATTGTTAAAAATAATGTATGTTTTTATTGAATAAACTGGAAACAATAAGTACGACATAATGGAATTAAATCCAATGTTTCATTGACCGAATTTAAAGAAAATTTTGTTGGACTTTATATAACAGAGAGAATGTTAGCATTCCAGTTTTAAAAATATTAATATGAATTCTAAATAATGCTGTCACCAAATTAATTCTTAAATCAATAATATTACTATATATTAATTTACATGGACTAACATAGGTAGACCATATTCTTTAGCATCAAAAAATATCTGGTATATCACCATAAGATCTAAGACTTTCAAGAATTTTATTCATTTAAATGAATCTCAAGCCTATGATCATGGTTGCTGTAAAGTAGCCAAAACGTCGGGAATATGTAGTTTTTCCACAAATAAAGTCGAGTAGTAGTCCAAAAAATATTGGTATCATTTAAATCTTGTATATCATACCCAGGGTACATATAGCACCGACTATAAGCCAGCCGGCGTTAGTTCTAGCGGCTGTTAGCCGGCTGCTCTGCCCGGCAGATCTTAGTAATTGTTCTGCCGCGTTAAAGGCGACTTTACCACGACCGTGAGGAACACCGAGTGGCGACCATTGAACAGCACCCAGGATTGCAGCGTACGCGGCTGAATAACCTTTAAGGTAAAAGATAACAAATATTTTAATACTACATATATATATTTACATTTTCACTATAAAACCAATATGTTTTTCATGCAAAATACAACCTATTTTTATTATAATTTTATCAATAATATATTTCAAAATAAGTGAAATTATATTTGTTTATTGTAGCTCTTGATAGCTATTAGCAAAATAATATAAAAGAAAATAATGATAAATTTTGTGGTAATAGAACAAGAGAAAGTAATCATATGTAAAATAAAATCAAAGCATATTATTTATAGCAATAATATACAACACTTCGATCTGCAATTATTAATGATCCAACATGTATAATGTACTATAGTGCGTTTGATTTTAACTGAGCTTTGTATTTGTGTGAGTGCACATAGATAGTGTAATAGTGATGTCAAATTTTTGAATACCACGTTCTTTTCTAGTTTTGAACCGGTTTATTCTGCTTTTATTCCGCCCCGCACCTTCCTCACTTCACCCTTTGTACTGGTAGCAAAATCAAATATTGAAAACGCATTGTCAAGTGAAGAAAAATTTGTATTGTTTTTTAAAAAAAATTATTACTCAATAAATTTTTTTCAATAATATTTCGATTTGGCCTTTTACAATTTTTGCTTGTTTTACTTTTAATCTAGAATAGATCTAGCACTTATGTTATGTATCTATTTAACATATAATAAAATTTAATTCTAAAAGTTTTTTGTCTAACTCTACTTTTACTTTCACTCACACAAATGCAAAGCTCAGCTTAAGTCTAACAGACTATACTGTAAATGAATTCTGTAATATGTATATCTAACCGGATATCCTATGCGGTGTAGGTCTCGGCACGTCCAAAGCGTCCGCACATCTATCCAACAATGGCGTCAACAAGGCGGGGTGAGCTCGACCCAGCGACCTCGCGCACGACGCTGCCGCCAACCTCGCCGCTACACACGGATGTTCTAACACCTATAATAAAATATATATTATAAATAAATAGTTTAACATATTCATTAAATTTTCTTATTTTTTTAACTAGCTGTGTTACCCCGCGGTGTTACCCGATTTCCGGGATGTAAAGTAGCCTACGTGTTATTCCTGGACGTCAGCTACTTATATACAAAATTTTATCAAAATCGGTTCAGCCGTTTGAGCGCGAAGAAGTAACAAACATACACACACTCACAAACTTTCGCAATTATAATATTAGTAGGATCTAAGCAGAAAATATATAAAAAATATGTAGCGGTATATACAGTACATAGTCTTATGAGAATAAAATAATACATTGAATATTAACATTGTGATCGTTTAATATACTTCACTATTATTATAGCAATAAACTCTAAGAGAACAGAATTTAAATAGAATAATTAATTATTTGTATACAAAATATAAAAATACAAAAATAATATATAAATACTATATTTTACAACTAGCTATGTTCTTTCTCAAGGTCTATTTTGTCTGTACCAAATTTCATTAAAATCAGTTCAGTTGTTTAGGCGTGCAGCGTAACAGACAGACAGAGTTACTTTCGCATTTATAATATTAGTAGGGAATTAGGGATAAAGTGGTAGATCTAAATTATTCATTTTCTTACCGAGAACACAGTATCTATAAGATGTAATCCTGGATCGGCTACAAGGTTATGTAATGCTGTGCCTAAAGCTAAACATAATGATGCTGCCTGTGATAGCGCACACACTAATAAATGCTGACTGAACAACGTCTCCTGGAAACAGAACATATATATAAATTTAATTTTTTTTTAAATGTGTAATAGGTATTAATTTTGATTATTAGTGCCTACCTATGATTAGTATTGAGGTATATACATAATCTTTAAAAGTTTATATAAGAATTATTGCTATTTTAACAAATAAGGAATACATAACCCCAAAAAGTTTTGTAATAAGTAAAAAAATATAATAAGAAAAGATTGAAAACATTATAATGAAAAGTAGGTTCTTGATGTAAAATTTATATTCATGTTACTACATATAAAATAGTTAGTGATGAAATTGATACGTCAATAGAAAAAATAATAATTTAGGAAAGAAATAAAATGGGTAGTTAATTCATAATGATTTTTAAATTAATTTTACGGAATGCCGTAAGGCATAAAAATGGTCAAACCTCGGAATCCAGGCCCAGTTAATGAATCTTAATATAAACCTTGAAAACATGTTTTTTAATAGTATAAAGAAAAAAGTTAAAAAAGAATTTCTTCGCGCTCTCAATTTTTTTTTATTTTTAACAAAAAAAAATTATTTTTTTTATTTTTTCATTGATTTATATTAGTCAAAGTCATACTTTAAAAAGAACAACTATTACTAACTTGAAAACTTGATCTTGGATCTTCAGGGACTGTAGGTATACCGATGAAGGTCGGGTTGGAGAATAGAGGGTGTCGCGTATCCGGTTCTTCACGATAATATGTTAGTTGCAAGTGTTTTAGACTGTATTGTCAATATGATGATAATAGAAGTGACAAAGATAGAGAAACATGCAACATACCGAAATAACAGAAAATATTGGATTTCAAAGTTTAAATGAAATTTTCGAAAAAAAATTACATTTTTTAGAGAATAAAAATGAAACGTCCAGATTATGGATCAGCTATTTTCGAATGGTATCAGTGCTAAAAGATTTTATTGCAGCTGAACGTATGGGTGATTGGAATGTGCATTTACAGACTATTGGGAGAATGATTCCATACTTTCATGCATCAGGACACTTTCCGTATGCAAAGTCCGCTCAATTGTACTTGCAAGACTCATGTCTTTCATGGAATTATCTGTCCAAATGCACCCAGAAGAGTTTCAAAAAATCACACAAGGATATTTTACTGCTAGATGTTCCGATGTTTTTTCTTATCATGTCTACTCTTATTTTTGGCATTCGATGAAAATTTTTCCTGCGCTATTTTTAGAGGCATGGTTTTATCAAATATTATGTCATTACATGCATTTTTTTTAGAGCGACGTGTTCGTTCCATCGATTTTGTGCAGCTCTTCTTATAGTCATCAAATACGACATAAATGTTGGGTACATAATTGGTACGTAGATATCTGACAAATGGTACCGAAATTTTCATCTAATTGCCACTTGCACCGGTATAATAACATTCCTCCATCAATTACGTACGATTGGAATACGACGTGGATTTTGTAGTTTTTCGTATTTCACCATCTTCAAAGAGAGCAAGAGGATAAGGAGCTAATTCATAAGTCATATAGTTTTTTAGTTCTTCATTAGATTTTTTTAACACGCATATATACGTTGAAATAATAATAGGGGATCAATTGGAATAATATCATCATCCACTTTGATTTTGCTAGTGGAAGCCAACAAAGGAATGATCTTGTCTTTTCTTGATAACTTTACTTCTTTAAAATTTTTCCCATTAATTTTCTCCATTATTTGTAGACCTTGCTCAAAAGCTGCGTAGCAATTCACGTTTTCTTGTCCAGTTATTTCAGTTGCGATAGACATGATACTAACATCTGGAAATGGAGAATTTTGAATAAAATATTCCTCCAATTTTTTCACGTCAACGTTGTCCCTTTTGATTCGTGCATCGGTTGAATCAGCGTGTTGACATTTTTTTTTAAAAGATATATTTCAAAATTCTTTTATACCTTCTATTACATCTTTTGAAGAAATAACACCTTTTAACCATTTATACACGATACTGTCTGTTAAACCACGTTTAAAAGGTCCTCCTTCAACACTCATCGATTTCATTAAAGTTTGTTCAATAGTTTGGTCTGTGGAAATTCCAGAAATAAAACATCGGAACGTCTAGCAGTAAAATAACCTTGTGTGAATTTTTGAAACTCTTCTGGGTGCATTTGGACAGATAATTCCATGAAAGACATGAGTCTTGCAAGTACAATTGAGCGGACTTTGCATACGGAAAGTGTCCTGATGCATGAAAGTATGGAATCATTCTCCCAATAGTCTGTAAATGCACATTCCAATCACCCATACGTTCAGCTGCAATAAAATCTTTTAGCACTGATACCATTCGAAAATAGCTGATCCATAATCTGGACGTTTCATTTTTATTCTCTAAAAAATGTAATTTTTTTTCGAAAATTTCATTTAAACTTTGAAATCCAATATTTTCTGTTATTTCGGTATGTTGCATGTTTCTCTATCTTTGTCACTTCTATTATCATCATATTGACAATACAGTCTAAAACACTTGCAACTAACATATTATCGTGAAGAACCGGATACGCGACACCCTCTATTCTCCAACCCGACCTTCATCGGTATACCTACAGTCCCTGAAGATCCAAGATCAAGTTTTCAAGTTAGTAATAGTTGTTCTTTTTAAAGTATGACTTTGACTAATATAAATCAATGAAAAAATAAAAAAAATAATTTTTTTTTGTTAAAAATAAAAAAAAATTGAGAGCGCGAAGAAATTCTTTTTTAACTTTTTTCTTTATACTATTAAAAAACATGTTTTCAAGGTTTATATTAAGATTTATTGACTGGCCCTGGATTCCAAGGTATAAACTATAAACCTTACGGCACTCCACTAATAATAAAATAGTGGCTGATATTGAATATGTATGTACCATATGTCTAAACAATAAAATTTCTACAACAAGTAAAAGATTTCTCCGGATTTCATTTTCAAATACTTAATATATTCTTAAAACACTAACACCTAATTTCAAATAAATTACTGAATGTTTAATTATATACTTATTATAAATGTATTAATAATTTATTATATTAATGTCACCTGGTTACAATCCTTAGCGTTTTCCGGGTTGAAGTCGATACTGTTCATTTGTTTTGCTATAATCTGTATTATTTCTCTACAAGCGGACGCTTGAGCTTTCTCACCTAACATCTTGCCCAGAGTGTTCTTTAATATATAATTGATACATTTTCTAGAATGAAAACAGAGTTTGATTAATAAAATTTATTGAAAAAAATATATAAACCGACTAGGCCCGCAGCTTCGCCCGCGTGGAGTTCGATTATATCGCGTTTCCAAGAGAACCTTTCAAAAGTCTGGGATTAAAACTATCCTATGTTCTTTCTCAAGATCAACTCTATCTTTGTACCAAATTTCAATAGAATCAGTTCCGTGGTTTAGGCGTGAAAGCGTAACAGACAGACAGACAGAGTTACTTTCACATTAATAATATTAGTAGGGATTGAATTTGACTTATAATCACCCTTACAGATTTCTAACTTAAGAATATAATAACGATACAATTCACTTAAATTTAATTAATGAATCGTTTATTTGTTTCATAACCCTAACTTCAAGAACTGCTATTATATATCTAGGTTATTATATGTATATAAAAAATATCTGTATGTATAAAACATACATATATTTACCTTGAATATACAGCATCTACGTGCGAACTAGCCGCCTTGGGGTTTGCAACCAGATCTAACACGTGGGTTAAGAATGTTGTCAAATTCCTCTCTAACCACACACCTCCCATGTTTTGAACAAAGATCACATATGCCTGGAAAATATTAACATTTTTACTTAGGGGTAAATAATATTTTAATACTATTTTATTGAAGTGAAACTTATGCGACTTCCAACAAAGTTGCGTTAAGCGTTTAACGCTACTTTGCACAAAAAGAGACAGAGTGAGAGGGAATGCATGGCGAACGCACGCAGGGAACAATCGTAACTTGTAAGTAATGTTAATAAAAATTGTCTTAAATAAACAGTAACAATTCCTTAAAAATCAATTTCTACCCTCTCTGATTTAATTTCAAAGTTACGAAGATTCACTTCACCCACTCTTATTACTTTTTGTATGAACCGTTATTAGTCACATATACATTCTATTGATAAACACAAACTTAGCATAATAGCATAATATAGTATATCTTACATGTGTAACACAAACACGGACTTCCCTGTTGACAGCGGAGCCAGACTTGATGATCTCACCCTTAAGAAACGAAGTTCCTCCTCGTAAGAAGGCACCCATTAAAAGATTTAAAGCCTCATCCAGTGATATAACATTCTTTGGCGGGTCTTTCTTGTTTTGGTGTACTAGAACATATATTAAAATCTGAGACTCGCAAGTATTCATATCGATAAATATATATTTTCGAATTACTACGCGTTATATTATTATTTTTAAGACATATCCATATTTCGTCTGCCCGTGATCAGGGTTGCTACAAAGTAACAGAAACGTCGAGAGTATGTAGAATTAAATATAAGAAAATAACGCGTAGTAATCCGAAAATATTAGTTTCATTTAGAACAGATATTCTTATTGGAAAATACATACTTTACTGTATCGTCTTCTAGGATATATTTTCGTTATTCGATTTCTTTACAAATATCAAGGAACAGAGTATTGGAATATTACCTGATTGCATTCCTATTTTAGTTTTGGTGTTGATAGAATTCGTTTCTCCGGCCTGAGTGGCTGCTACCAAAGCGCCTAGAAGATCTGCTACAGAGCATCTGAAATATATGTGTAATGGTAATTGGTATCATTTATAAATACTATATTCTATAATAAAGTCCAAGAAATGTTTTAATTGTATTATGTATTGTTTATGTTTTTTAATTTAATTCTAGTTTTTCTAGTAATTCTAGTATAAATGCTACCAGAATAAAAAAATTACAGAACATTCTAAACTTTTTGGTTTCTAAACATATAATCAAGGATATTGGTTCACAATTTTCACCTATCTCAGATATTTGTCACAGATAATAAAGATACCTCAAAGCATAATCAGCAGTCTGTGCTGCTCTTAGACAAGCAGCAGCTATGGCGTCAACATCAGCTGGAGTGAGTCTCATTAACGGCAGTACGTGTTTTAATGCTGTTGCCGCTGCCGCTCGTACTGCTGGCGCCCTCTCGTGTTGAACTGAGGAACGAGCGGCACGTGACACTTCACGGAGGGCGGAGCCTGCCGCTGTACCCATACCGACACAGATCTGGAAATATAGATAGATAGATAGAAATCTAGACTTAATAATGAGTGAGCATTTTGTTATAGTAGATTTTAATGTAAATTTCCTTGTATTTTAAGTATGTAGTATTCAATAAAACAATACTAACTTTGTCATGTATCTATTGTGCTAAGGAGCAAACTGAATGACAGCGACTAATATTATAAAGTTATCTGCCTACATTACACTTGACATCATATTATTATTTAACAACACCGAGCAAGCATAACTAATACATAACAAGGTAATTTTTTTTGTTCGTAAAAAAGAATAATATATTATTAAATCATGCATAATACTAAACGATCAAATGAGATCGTAAGTGAGTGATTTTTTTTATAAAAATTCTAACATTCAAATTATTATTATTTTAGTTCTAACATCTCATATTATTATGATAGATTTACTTATATTAATTCTTTAACAGTTAATTCTAGTATATTATCTTAATACCTTGTCCAGTGTAATCATGATCTCTAGCCTGGTCTGAGACTCAGCACTTTTCATGGACCTCACTAGAGTGGTGACAGTTTCTTCATATGAACGTCCCATCATTCTGCCCAACTTTTCATACATGCTGCCCAGACAGCATATGGCAGCACTGTAATATGTATGTTATTTAAATGAAACTAATATTTTTCGGATGCACTAAACGATTTTATTTTTGATAAAAAATAACATGAAAGTAGCCGAAACGACGGGAGTGTAGTATATAATAAGACTCGAAAAATCTTAGATAATATGTATATTATATGGTAAGACCTAATTTTTTTACCTATAAAACATGTATTAATGTATTGAAATTGAAAAGAGCAATCAATATATACAATACATTTAATTTGTTTTGTATTGTATGGAAGAAAAGTGAAAATTGTCTACTTTTTAGTATGAAGTATTAATGAACACATCATTATATTTATATGTCTGATTAGTGATAGTTTCAAATAAGAATCTAACAGTTTCTTAGTTTTCCTTTAAAAAGTAGTGAAATTGAATACGTGAATATATGAAAATACGAAAAAACGTACGACATTCCGAAGAAAAGAAGTTGTCCTAATTATAACAACTAACTAGAGATTATTTATTATACGTGTATGTACAAATGTATATATGTATATAGTTAGCTGCTAGCTAGCTAGCTAGTTGCGCCCCGCGGTGTTACCCGCGGATTTCCGGGATTTCCAGGATGTAAAATAGCCTATGTGTTATTCCTGGACGTCAGCTTCCTGTATACAAAATGTTATCAAAATCGGTTCAGCCGTTTGAGCGTGAAGAAGTAACAAACATACACACACACTCACAAACTTTCGTAATTATAATATTAGTAGGATTATGTACATATACTACAATACTTACAGTCTAGTAGGCAGGTATGATGGAGAGTCATCCTTAACTTTTATGATGTCATTGCACTTATTGACCGTTTCAAACAACAGGAATGTGTCACCAACGGAGAAGAGTGTGGCCAAACATCTCGCGAGCAGCCTCCTGGCTGGCACTCCGAGATTCTCACGAAAAAGACTCACAAGCTGAGCTACAAGCTTTTGCTGACAGTTTTTGAGATCAGACTGGAAGAAACAGATAAAAAAATTATTACCTAAAATCAGAAACCTATACCTACGAGATAATAATAGTTCAATTTTATTTTATATACAATGTGAGTGACCAGAGCATCATATTTAGCACAGTGATCTTGCATTAAAATTGACATTACTGTTCAAATACTTTAGGGTCAAATTATATATTATAAGAAATAGTTATAATAATTAATTAACAAAAATTTTAATTATAATATTATACCATTTATATTCAAGATTAAATTATTCTTCTTCTAGTTATTGTATCTATATCTAAAGTTTTTATTTAGAATTTTCTACAAATCAGTGTTGAAGATATAATTGAGTAAGTATATATTTTGTACAACTTCAATCATTTGGAGCTCAAAAATATTTATGTGTCATATCATCATATTCAGAAAATAATATTTAATATTTTTAATCAACCAAAATTGATTGACTACTATTCTATGTACATGAGAGGCTATTTACATGGTATTACATTTAGATGTAGGGGCATTTTATATATATAGAAGCTATAAATTTTTTTTCGAAAAAGCTATTTTTTTATAAGTTACTAATATATCAATGAATATGCTCCTACTATACTTATACAATATTTTAGTACTGTTTTTATATATACAATGCTCCATTGACCAAACATAATATGTAGTTTATTATTTGCATTGTAATAAAGTAACAGGATTACTATTTAAATCTTTTATAATTCTATAACATAATAAACCATTGAGCACAATTCTTGCACACTATAATTGCATTTCTTCAATAATATGTTGACTGAAGCCATATAAAGAATACTTCAAGATATAATAAATTTGCAAGAACGTCTTGTTATTTTGTTATTTATAGATATCTTAGATATATAATATATTTAGAAAATTATCTTTATTAAATATAATTGTATATATTAAATGTATGTATGATATAAATCTAATATTCACCTTATGGGCAGCTACAAGAACTTTGTCGAGGAATCGAAGCCATTCAAAAATGAAGTGTGGTTTCTTATCGTCGGGTAGTTGCTGAAGAGCCACCTCATTCAGCGTCAAAGAATGTGACACCTCCATGTTTTGTCTAAATAATATAAGACTTGAGTTTAGATTTTTTTTAAATAATTAGTTTGTCTGGAAAATATTTAATACTTACAAGTGTATCATACAATCATATTTCATGCATTTTTTATTTACATATGGTGTGAAATATTAAGGATTATTAACTAATAATTTTTTTATGAATAACGAAAACAAAATAACGAAATTCGGTCGATAATTATAATTGAGAAAAATAAACTTTCAATATATGGCTATAAAGATTAAAAAATATTAGTGTTCCTGTGGCTATAGGAAATTATAAATGAACACTAATTAAAATATTTGATGCACATCACACGACCCATGAAACTGAAGTTTTATTATTCCCTGTAAACAATGGCGTCACCACTGAATCAGATGTAGGCGTTTACAACAGCTGGCCTAAATTTGATATACAACAACGTTATACTCTATCTGATACAATTATATTTGTATAACAATGATATTAGAAAATATTTAAGAATATTCTTTCTAATAAATGACATACTTACAAAACAATATCCTTTCGTTTCGGTTTCAGTTAATAGTTACATACTAGTCACCATATAAACTTATAAATACAATGCAATAAGTTTTTGAAAAATATAATTATTTTATAATACTACTTTATAACACAATTGACTTAAGGTACTTGTAAAATAACATACTATAATTCTGACACTAGGTAGGTACCTACTAGCCACTTTACAAAACAGAAAGTATTATGTCAATATGACAATTGACATTTTTGATTTTTGCCAAATTACGTTTATAATTATTTAATTCCGATAGTAATACATTGGTTATTAATATAACTAACTAAAATAAAAGGGAAATAATAGAGTCAAACCAAAATATTAAAAAAAAACAATCTTTATATGTCTTGACTTATATTTCTATTAATTTCTGTTTAAAATGTTATCTTATGGAATGATCAAGGGAAAAGTGAACATAAGTCAAAAAAGTAAGAAATAATTAAAACACCACAGTAACAATATTTAAATCTATTTTAGAATCACATATCTAAAATATTTTATAGTAAATTTAAGTTTTATCGACAAGAGAATAAAGACATTTTTTTATCGATGACGCCCCAAGTCGATACATGTGAATAAATATGGGTCATCCCTAATGAATAAATACTGCTGGCGTGTGATATTGGGAGCTGTCAAATTATTTCTAAATTTTTAATCTAGTATTGAAAATTTTAATATCATAGTCTCTAATTAGATAGCTCGAAAATATTTTTAAAAGAAAATATATAATTTAAGACAAGCGTTTCATATATATCATGCATAGGATAACTATGCTCTTAAACTTGTATAAAATCAAATTTCAATGAATAACATGAGTGCACAACAAAGCCCGGCTAATATGCAGGCAGCCGTGGATCGCGAAAAGATATACTCATGGATTTTAGAACTATGTAATCCAGAAACACGTGAAAATGCACTTTTGGAACTGAGTAAAAAGCGTGAAGTTGTACCAGATTTGGCGCCAATGCTATGGCACAGCTTCGGAACTATTGCAGCTTTGTTACAGGAGATCACTAACATTTACGTGGCCATGATACCACCAACGCTCACGGCCCACCAGAGCAACCGAGTCTGCAATGCTCTGGCCCTTATGCAATGTGTGGCATCACACCCAGAGACGAGATCTGCATTTCTTCAAGCCCATGTACCTCTGTTCCTGTATCCTTTCCTCCACACTGTGTCGAAGACGCGTCCATTTGAATACCTGCGCCTTACCAGTCTAGGAGTGATTGGTGCTCTAGTCAAAACTGATGAACAGGAAGTCATCACATTTCTATTGACCACAGAAATTATACCTTTGTGCCTGCGCATCATGGAAAACGGATCTGAGCTGTCCAAAACGGTAGCGACATTTATATTACAGAAAATTCTACTTGATGACAGCGGTCTGAGTTATATTTGCCAAACATATGATAGATTTTCTCATGTCGCTATGATACTAGGAAAAATGGTGTTGTCATTAGCTAAAGATCCATCGGCAAGATTGTTAAAACATGTGGTCCGTTGTTATCTTCGTTTGTCTGACAACCCTAGAGCTAGAGAAGCATTAAGACAGTGTCTTCCTGATCAGTTACGAGATGCTACATTCACTGCATGCCTCCAAGAAGACAACTCAACTAAACATTGGTTGGCTCAACTGATTAAGAACTTGGAAGCCCAGCCGCCACCTGCAAGTCCCGCGCAACAGAATATGTGAGAATTAACTTTACAGAGTTTATCCCGGTACAAAGTGTTCGAGAGATAGCTATAGGTGTTATGGACCTTGTATCTAATAAGAATATTAGATATACAACTTGAAATTGCCAAGTCACTGTGTGCCTTGTGTTGGGATAAGCTCTATGTAATTGAACAAACTAGTGAACCTTGTTTTCTGTTTTCATATTAAATGAGGAACATGTGTATGTGCAAATTCAATGTCAGACGGAAATGTATTAGAATTGGGCTAAACATTATATCCCTTAAGTATTATATATACCTAAAAATGAATTTGCACTATATGTCTAGTTAGCATTTCTTATTAAAATGACATTAAAGTAATATTTTATTATTATTTACTAAATATCAATTAGCCACATGTTGCAAACAATGTATTATTTTTTAGGTACAAAACAAGAGAGCACTAATTTTGTAAGGAGATGTAGTGGCCTGGACTAAAATAAACATGATATACATCAAAATGTAGCTGTGATTTATTTTATTTATTATAATTATATATAACAATGATTATTTAGAAATCTGGGCCTCTGGTTGGAAAGTTTGTCACTGCCCAGCGTTTTGCACTTATGTATCTCAAATTTGGTTTACAACTGGTGTTAGATGAAAATCTACTTCTATCCTGTGATTTGAATGTACATCTATCAGAATTTTGATCACTGTGATAAATGTCTTCGTCATATTCTTTCACTCTTGTTGGTGGTTTCAAGCTATTAACATTTATACCAATTTGTTTCATGACATTGCTTTTATTATCGAGGATTTGGGTGCCACAGCTAACCTGCTCTATGCATTGAAAGCAGGCTTTGTCTGACAAAGAATAATTAACTTTAAGCAAGGTTTGAGTTTCTTTAGTGTTCACTTTCTTCTTACCATCCATACATTTGCAATTTCCCTGATTATTTCGTTTTCTAAGTGATGTTACACAGTTGTTGTCGCATTTCAATGGTCCCGATACAAGGGTGTTAACCGATGTGTTAGTTATATTCTTTTTTGTAACAGTTACTCCAGATTTATTTCCTCGTAGTTTGGAGTTATTTATGTTTGGCGGTTCATATTTCAATAACTTCGCCCTGTCCAAACTCCCGGATCGCTGGCTTATTGTTGATTTAACACTGTGCCTAATAGAACTACTAAGCAACTTCCCAGACGCCATACCTTTTACATTTTCGTCTAATTTTAATCCTGGAACTACAATATCTTGACATAATTTCTGTGCTATAGTAGGCATTAGTATTAAATATTTTGTCAGATTGTAAATTGTAATATTAGAGAAATGGCATATTTAATGTTCAAATAAGGTCAATGACGTCTTATTATAATTTGTAAATGAAAACCATTTAAAAATTTTAAATTCATGATTACTTAAACTGATGCATTTTGAATTTGCCACCGATGGTGACAGTAAATTATGAAGTCATCATATTAACTTTTGAAAGATTTAAAAAAATTACATAGACAATTCAAAAATATTATTATGCTGTGATTTGCAACACTAAAAGTAAATCTAAAATTGGTCAGATTTTTATATACAGTTAGATATCTATTTCAATATATATTAGATATCTATTCTTATATTGTAATAGAAAGCAAAAGTGTAAATACAACAACATTTACCTAGTTAAAACCTTTATATTTTTACGTGATAAACGGAAAACCAATTTTTTGCGCTACTAGTTAAAATCAGTTTTATAAGTTTAACATAAATAAATTATTACAAAAATATTTACATAATATGAAACTATCACTCAAATTTATATGTTAAGTAGGTCTCAAAATTACATTAAATATCTGAGTATAGTTTAAGTCATATATATACGTTAGAAAATTTAGTTTATATATGAGTCTGAATTATTCTTTTTTGTTAGCTTTAAATGTCGTACTTTCAATAAATTAATTATATATAATACTATACTTTTGTTATTAAATATTTTATTATAATGTAAAAAATAATAATTTAAACAACATGAAAGGTATAAATCTTGACATATACAGTGTTTTCATATAACGACCAGAAAGTAACTTGGTCTGTGATAAATGAAGTATAATATGTCACTAAGACATTTATTGCATCAGATTTTTGAACTGTCAAAAGTCACTACATCAAGTGAGCATTCCAAAACTTTTAAAATTATGTATTTTATAAATCTTATATTAAAAAGATATTGAAAGCAGGATATAGTATTAAATTTTAAATGAATATTACTATTAAAAATGTGGGTGTTTGGCTACGGGTCCCTAGTGTGGAAAGTAGATTTTAAATATGAATACAAAGTTGTTGGTTACATTAAGGGATATTACAGGAGATTTTACCAGCATAGCATAGATCACAGAGGAGTACCAGAAAAGGTAATTGTTAAAGGTATACAAATCAATACTGAGAAATATATTCTTTAGTCTCCAAATAAATTCTAAAGATCAATGACAATATTATAAAATTAATACTTTTGAATTATATTATAATAAGAATAACGTCTTTCGGACATAATCAAGCATTATATAAAGAATATTAGACAAGTACCTGTTAAATATTTATGTATTTGTTTTAATAAGAGATGTGATTAATAAAATATATTGTATACATTTTCAGCCTGGTCGAGTGGTTACTTTAATTCCAAGCGAAGATCCAAATAGTATTGTTTGGGGAATAGCTTATAAGATAAAAGATGAGGATATTGAAGAAGTAACTCACCATCTTGATTACAGAGAAAAAAATGGCTATTCCAAAGAAACTGTGACTTTTTATCCTAAAGATGAAATTACAGAACCATTTGAATTAACTTTATATGTAGCTACCTCTGACAATGAATCTTATGCTGGTAAGAGACTAAGCTAATACAAATTATTCTTATTATAACACAGTTTTAATATACAAGTAAATAATTACAAAGTTCATTATATCTTGAAATGTTTGTAGAAGAAATAATATATGTGAATGTTAAATAATATATGAAAGAATTTATTGTTATTTGTGAACAATATAATTGTATTAATTTATAAAAATTTGATACTTATTAGACCCTTACAGTTCTGTTAAGGCTTGAGTGATTTCTGGAGATTTTCTTTTAAAACATACATATAAAATAAATAATAATAATTCAACATAATTGTATAATATCCCATTTCAAAAAAGTCAAATTGCCATAATATAACCTTTAACAAATGTTTAACAGGTTTGCATTATAGTCGTCATATTAAAAATTTCAATTTAAATAAACTAACTTCATAACAAATTTACCCCCAACTTCAAATAAAGGCAAAATCACAAACATGGAATCATTCTTCATTGATTTCTTGTAATCATTTATAAATAATTTTAATCATGAAATTGCTATTCCATTGCAGGTCCAGCATCAATAGAAGATATAGCCAAGCAAATAATATCTTGTCATGGCCCCAGTGGGGCTAATAAAGACTATTTGTACAATTTAGCTGAAGCAATGCGACAACTGGCTCCCGGTGTGAATGATGATCATCTCTTTTCCTTAGAAACCGCTGTAAAGAGATTAGATAATAGTTTATGAAAATATAATTATTAAATTACAAATTCCTAGAAAAATATATTTATTTATAAATCAATGGTATGTTATTTACGAGCTAAAGTAAATATATATATAATTGTCCTTATATCATTCCACAGATATTGTTATAATTTTGTTTTTATTCTTTGTTATATTATATTTTTGAAATCAAAAAGAGAACATTTATTTTTACTGTCGAAGAACTGTTCAATAGTTGTATTATTGTATACATTTATTAAGCAACAATGTTTTAAAAATTACATTATATGACTGTAATGATTTATTCTGTAATATTTAACAAAATGACAGTTGACAGTTGAGTCATCAATTTTAATCAGTAATAGTTACCAATTATTAAAAAGATTATTTACTTAATATACATGTTGTTTCTTTTATAAGGTTATAATAAAATAATATAAATTTTTAATAACATTTATTTATAAAAAATAACATCTTCACATCAATTATTTATAAATCTGTTAAAACCAGTACAATATGAAACTTTAGAAAAATACATAATACTTTTTGATACTAATTAATTATGTATTAAATAACAGAAAGAATTTTCCGTTTGCACCAACATTACATAGCCACCATTATCACACCACAAACATGATTCATTTGAAGGAAATATACAACGGATCATTATTATAAATAGCTCTAAGCGTCCCTAAACAATATACATAAAGGAAAAAAGGTAACTTGTTTGTAAAATATAGTAAATGTTATATCAAAAACCTTAAAAACTATTTGAAGATACAAAGTCAGTTTACAGTCACGTGGAATCCCGGATTTATCAGTGATAACCCTGCATTATGATAGCGAATGTTCGGCTTGCTTCGTAACAGTAATTGAGTACAAACATATAACTTTTAGGCTTAATTAATTCTTTTTATCGATAGATAAGAACTGCTGACGTCACAGTCGTAAAACCGGACCCAATTTGAACGATATTATAACTACATTTTGAAAGTCATTAATAAGTTAAAAAAAATTAATCAAATTGACAACGTATACATAAATTATGAAAATGTCTAACAAAATGCTTGTAAATGTCAGAGTTTCGTTACAAAGTTTATGGTAAAGGAAATTTAAGGTCATTTAGGTTATTCCGTAATTACCTAGATAAATTACAATCTTTGGCAGAATTGTTTTTGAATCATAAATAGGTAACTAACTCATTTTTCACTTTTCACTCCTTTATTGCGACCCAACAATTTGTCTAAGAAACTCCTCTTTCTTTTAATTTTCTTACCGTCAGCTTTATGATTTTCAATTTTTTCCGCTTCAGCAGTCATTTTTTCTATCAAACCTGGAATGGTCAGATCGACAAACTTGTCGTTAGTCGGCTTAGTGGCAGAGTCCCTACTGAACTGCCGTTTTATTGTTGACAATTCAGGGACGTGGTCATTCTCCTCTAATTCTAAGGAATTCCTTGAATCTTTGGCCTTTTTATTACTCTCTGTTGCATCTATTTCATTTTCTGTTTCACTAAGTTCGGGTCCGTTATGTAAAATTTCGACATTAGGTTTAACTTCATTGACAGGTTTCTGTTCTATATTATCATTTTTGTCTTTAATTTCTTGTATTTCATTTTTATTGTTATCTTTCGACTCAAACACTTCGTCGGACTCGGCGTTATTAATTTCGGAATCTTTTTTATCCGTTGTATCAATGCTATCGGCTGTACTGGAAGTGGATTTCTCAACAGAACCCACGACCTTCGGCCGTGTTGGAGGTAAAGTCCAATTAATAGGCTTATGTTGTGGTGAGTAACGTTTAACCAATTCTTCATACATTTTCTGGCGATCGATGATTGGTGACCCGGGACTTTTGTTTGGTAAACTTTGGTGTTTACCTTTGTTTTGGGAATGATTACTTTCATTAAGATCCTCATTTTCAGGATCACCCAAATCTACAACAACGCGACGTGTTGGGGTCGGTGTTGAATACGGTTCGGCAAAAGGAAACTTATGTATGTTAAGATTTTCAATTTTGTACCTTATCGCCGATACGGTGCTAGTAGTAGGAAGGGAAGCGCGGACACCGCTTCTAGTGAATGTATTCTCACCGGGTTCATGTATATTTGACTTCAAGAAATCCCGTCGCAACTTCGATAATCGTCTGGTCCTTTCGGCCATATTGTATTTGTATTCAACATCATCGCTCTGATTGAGATCCGATGTAAAATTATCGGAATATTTTCGCGGTCGGTAATCATAGTTTCGATCTTCGCTTCTCGTCTCACGCATACTGGAATACCCGACAGTATTGCGTTTAAAATTAGACGTCGTTATTCCGTGGTTGGTTGTTATGATGGGATCGACTTCCTTGTAGGTCGGTGTCAACGCGGTCGGGGAAGGTAGGGGCAGAAACACGGTGTCGTGCTTTTCGAAAACTTCGCGTCGTCGACTGAACTGGTCACCGCCTATCATCTCCCGCGACTTCACACTAGCTGTAGGCGATTTAGCCGCCATTTCCGTTCGATAACAAACCACAACACTTTTGTTATTGATACTATTTTCCTGCAAACACTGTATTTCTATTTTTATACGGCACACATTATGACTTCACCGGTAACATCGCGCCTATAAAAGAGTACACGTCTACACGTTAAATTGGACAATAAAGGTAGTCAGGTCGTCCGTATAAGGCGAACCGTTCGCGATATAATGATGAGTGATCAATAGAGTGTTTCCGATAAGATAGGACAGCCATGTAGCGCTTCACGTATTTCATTTATCTTTTAACAGTCAAAACAGTTGAGTAAATAAAAGCGAACGAACACAATCATGTTCGTAATTAAAAGCGGACTGAGTGAAAGCAACCGGCGGCGGCGGCGACCGAACGCCGAGCGCTCATTATATAATGAATATTAAGCATGCGGCCCGAATACGATGTGTAGAGTTTAGACTAGCGACTTAGCACACGATAAACAGCGACATACGAATAATACATACAGCATTCTTGTGAGATGGTAAAAAATTACAAGGTTTCATGAAACTGTAACAAAACTGAAGGTTAGAATGTGTAGAAACAGCAGTTTAATTCTAGAAATACATCTTATTGTGTTTGCGAAACAAAAACATAAGTAGAATTCCAACGAGAATAGTCGAACCAAATGATCAATTATATTATTGTTAAGTAATCAGCATCAGCTATTAGGTAATTGCCTTTTTAATTACTTTCGAAACTTTTTAATCATGCCATTTAGGTATATATAATATAAAGTATTAAAATGTTACAAGGACTTCAACTGAATCAAAAGAGAAAATTCATAAAATGAATCTTTTCATTTAGGTCATCTTATTGTAGTCGGGAATTTTGAAATCTTCGCCAACCTTGTTTTCGTAATCTTATGAGGGCAGTGTTATTTCCTAATACGAATATGTAGGTACGCTATGAGAGTTTTTTTTTATACATATTTTATTAATATAACATAAACACTTTTCAAAGTTACCTGTAAAACAATATTTATGACCGAACTTCCATTACCATTCCATTATAATATCTAAAAACATAATATTGTTTACAAATAAAAGCAAAGTGCGTGTTGAACCACGCACAACAAAAACAAAGCATTACTTCCCTGAATTCATGTGCTCCTTAAATAGAACTGACCAATTTTTTTGTCATTTTACCCGGGGTACGGCGCTAATTTTATTTATATAACTATGACTAAGTACAAGCGTTTCTCTATTTGTAGCAATTCTTGTTCGGTCAATGACTCGCTCACAAAGTTGCTTCCCGAAACGGTCCCCAAAATATTCGATAAAAATCTTGGATACCGACTATTTGGACAGTGATATCATAATAATTTACATTCGACTTCTCGAGCCATATATAGCTTGTGTGAAATATTGCTAAATGTGGGTGGGCTAAATCTCCATTGTTATTTCGTACATATGTAAATCTTCATTGTTAAATATTTGTGTTGTGCTATTTACTTTAATAAAGATAAGACATTTAATTTACTAATGACATTTACTCGTTATCCTTGTTTCGAATTACAGAGAACTTAAGTATGTCTGTGTAATTGTATCTGAAATGTATTCAAAATAATTTTATATTGTATATACAATAATTATTCATAAAGTCAGGGAGCGTTTGTTAGTTGAGATTAATATTTATCTTAAGGGTCGAAGGTCATTTGAATTAAGTGTGTCATACTTGAACACGTACACGTGTCTTTCTAGATGGATAGCTAGTCTTGATTAGTTACACTGAAATATATGAGTATTACAAGTAAATAGAACAATATATTCTTTATTCATGCGTTTTCACGTACAGATATTATAATTTACTTCTTGGTATTACGTAGTACTCAGTTTTAGACGTAGTAATTAGTAAGAGTATTTATCGTCTATTCACAAACCGACAGTTCAAATGTATTCCTATAACCTATTTGGGATGCATGTCAAATGATGTATTAAGAAAACTGTGATGTATAATATAAGCAATGAATATTTCTTTAGATGTCATCCGAAAACACTTTTTGTGATAGCTATGAAAAAAAAATACCTAACTGTATATACCTATTATAAAAATTGTTTCATTATTTGGTCTCCTGTCTGTAGTTCCTAGTATTTCATTGAGTCAAGAAAATAATGTATACCTACTCTAAATTAAATTAGTCCACTTATATCTCCTAGTTTAAACAATCAGACTAACTACAAAATCAGTATTATTAAATTAACTTTGCTACCTTGACGACATCCTTTTTATATTATGTCTGATATGGCGATTACACCTTTAAAAATGTTTTGACTAGAATTAGGTATCAAGGTGTTCAACTATGACTAACCGCATTCGCTTGATTTACTGTTCATTCGTGCGTGGAAATTCAAGAGACTGGATAAAAGCGGGTGACGTCATACATTAAGTTTTACTAATAGGTACATTGACTCTGCAAAAGAATAGTGTTATTTCATATACCACATTTCTCGGCATATCTGTTACGGCACAATATTAAAAGTTGTTTTCATGTCTTACATAATGTCACATACATATGTTGCATGTGTAAAAAATATAATTATTGAGCATTGATTTTATTCCCACGCTGCAACTATCAAGTTATAGCAAGAGTGAACGGAAATGTTCGATTAGAGGTCCGTATCAGTATCAATATACATAACAAAACATATTATTATGTATTATTTTATACATATATATTTCAAATAAACAAATTTCCTTCATGTTTTTCATATTAGGTTTGGAACTCTTCACTGAGGAACCCTAAAAACTGACGATTAAATTCAACGCATACAGAGACAAGTTAGCCTTGAAATACAAAATTTATGCATTTACATGTAAAGTTACTTCTTTTGTGTTTAATTTATTTCTGTGTCATGTTTATTATAAACCGATAATATTGTATTTTATTGTAAATAGGAAGGTTTAATGTAAATGTATTTTTAAGATGTAAATGACATAAGGTAATAAAAGGAATTTTAAACAGAATATAATAAAGTTAAACTTATGTATTTGGGCATGGTTGATTTGGAAAACATCTGCACCAGAAATTATAAGTGACGTCAGTCTTCCATACATCGAAACTGTTAACACTGCCAGTTGTTTACTTATAAGTAAGTTACATGGAGTCAGTTGTTAGTCACTTGGAGTTCCGTGCTACAAGACAGCTTAATTATTTTACACGGTCTCCCATCGTTTAATTATTGCCTTATATTAAGACCAGCGAAGGCCCTCTTCTGAAAATCAGTTATGATAGTAAATTATATTGCTGATTTGGACTAAAGGTGAACAGCTCTTCTGTCTCAACCGTAAAAGGCCTAAGGTCACACCTCTGGTTGAGAGGGATTTTACGTTCATCAATCTAGTTTTCTAGAATATTTACCAGCACCAGTTGCCGTGATGCTGCTTTAATATCCAGTTTCGTAATAGCTAGATTTTAAACCAAATCAGAGGGTGTCTCATAAATGAAATTGGTTTTCGGTCATAAACTAAAAAGCTCCTTAATATTCGAAGTACAGCTCATAAGATCATATTCGGTTACTTTAACTCGAGTGTTCAGCAAGCGTTTTGAGTTCTTTGTATAACAATTTTTCTGACATACCTAGACGCAAAAATTTTACGCACTAGGTACATATTCAACATTTCCTTTGACATATATGTATATTGTTCTTTTATATTTATTTTTCGCTCTCTTCATGATCATCATTATCCTCAGCAATTGAGGATTGGATGACAACTGATAGACAACACAATATTTTATTTATTATAACAACTTACATACTACTTATGAACTACTCGTATTCTTAAACAGAGCTAAATCTGCCGAGGGTCACAAGATGGCAGAAAACAACAGTGATCGTCTTTAGTTGAGACCACAAGCAACTGCATTCAGATTAAAAAAAAATCCTTTGCATTCAACACTCATTCACAAAATATTCGTATTATATCGATTATCATTGTCTTGTTGTAATAGAATCAGTTTAAGTACGGTTAACTAAACCTGGACATTTCTCTTATAAAACGTCATAAACTTGTTTCAGCTGTTCACAATATATGTTAGCATGGATTGTTTGAACATCTTAAATGGTTTTCAAGTAGGTACACTAATTAAGTTTGAAATATTCCAACAGACACACAAAAGACTTCCCACTCGAATCGAACTCTCCTTGAGACAGGTTCTAGTAAGTGGCTTTCGTCTTACCACTGATTAAAAATCTTCTGTTTTTTTGTATAGATAAATCAATTTTTCATCTCAACGAAGAATAAAATGATCATCTTTTGGCAGGGCAAGGAGATATTTACATAATCTCTACTCGCCATATCGCTTGAAACTCAGTTAATTTGTGTTTTTCTTTTCTATTATCATAGATCCTAGTTAATAATTTTAAATGGTTATGGAATTTTTATAAAAACCAAGGGAAACTGATAACAGCTAGTGATCGTACAAGAGTATTTTTGTAATGCATTCCTTGTAACTTAATGTCTTATACGGATATACGACCTGAGAGTCATCAGGGGTCATTTTTTTATTGTATAGTGGGTAACCGAGCAGACGGCCTACCTGAGGTAGTACTGTCGTCCATGTACAACCACAACATTTCTTATCTCGCGGATGTATCACCACCCTTGAGTAGGGAGGAGGGGGAGGAAAAAGTGGGAAAGGGAAGGAAAAGGGAAAGGGAAGGAAAGTATGGGTAAAAAGAAAGGGCCACCGGCTCTCTCACTCATCGGACGAAACGCAGCCATTAAAGGCTACTTCACGCCGATTTTCTGTGAGAGAGTGGTACTTCCCCGGTCGACCCAGCCCATGTTCGCGCTGTAGTAACTTGACCACACCTACGTTCTACCACTCTGAAAAACTCCAACATCCAGATAATTCCATACAATTCTACCAAACTGGTATCAGTAGTGCTATTTTTTCATTAGATATTGTTAATTAATAATCCTTATAGACACTACGTATTTATAAATATTTTAACTGGTATGTTTACTGTTTACTGCAGTTATTCGAAAAGTTCATGGACTTTGACCTATATATTTACTATATGTTAATATTAACCTGAAATCTCTTTATAATTATAAACTAAGAAATAATTCAGCAAAAACTGCTATGAATCGTTGCCATTTATTAAATAAATATAATTCTTAAGCTGTTACTAAAATATAATAAATATTGTCACATCAAGCAAGAAAATAAATTGCATTACAATTATATAAACTGCAAGAGCCAATCATATGATGAGACTTTATCTATCAAAAGAAATCAACCAGAGAATTACGATAAAGATATAAACGTACTTGGCGATAATTATGATGATAAGAATTCTAACGATTATGCAATTAGGGCGTTGGTTTATAACAATTTACATACAAAGTTAATTTTATTAAAATATAACAGTTAAATAAATCCTATGTACTTTATACGATACATGTATTTTCTAGACATTATTAATAATAAATATATTCTAATTTATATTAAAGTACTTGAATACATTAAATAAAGAAATTGACACTATGGACTTCAGCAAATAATACTTTTTATAGGCAAATATTCTTATATTTAAAAATAAATTTAAATGTTGTAGTAATTGTCACTTAATACGTGGCATCACTTAGTTATGGGCAATTAATTCAATTACATTTCAACTTTCATATTTAGTTATATACTAGCTTTCCGCCAGCAGCTTCGACGGCGTGGAGTTCGGTTATATCGAGTTACCAAGAGAACCTTTGAAAATTCTAGGATAAAAACTATCCTATGTTCTTTCTCAAGGTCAACTCTATCTCTGTACCAAATTTCATTAAAATCAGTTCAGTGGTTTAGGCGTGAAAGCGTAACAGACAGACAGAGTTACTTTAGCATATTAGTATGGATATATATATGTGTGTGTGTGTCTTTAATATAACTATCAAAACAAATTTAAGTATATTTCTTGTGATATATAACTGCTTTCTCGATACAACTTCACACAAAAGTTTTTATTTAATAATAGGTCAAAGCGATAACCTTCTTTTCGATTTGGAATTAAGATTTCCTGTTTCGAACACATTTCAAATGAACTGTAGCCATTAATTAACAGATAAATAAATGGTTTTCTTTTGACTGTAATGTATGTATTTAGGTTATTGTGTATTTTATTAGATTAGGAAACTTTGCGGATAAAGTGAAAAAACCAAAAATAATTTTCGTCTAGAATCAACTATAATTGAATAAGTCTTTGTAGATTTATTACACAATGATTTTATTATTATTATTGACCATTTTTGTAAATAAGTGCCCATTAATAAAGTGATTATTCACATCGTTTTTTTTTAATGTATAAATTACATATAATGCATCTCTTCGACATGACCGTAAAACATAATCCGTATTCATTTTTTATTATTTCACTTGATTTTGCATTTATTTCACATCTCCATCGTTTGTAAAATATTATTATGCTAAGTTTATAAATAAATAAATATTAACATAGTATTTATTATTGATTGGAAAATGTAATATAGGTACGTTTTTTAAATTAGTTTTTAATAAGTCTACGGGAAAATTGTGAAGTGTACATAGGTTTATATTGGTTTGGTCGAAACATCCATTTTGTTTTTAATAAATATTCAATTTCTAGGTAATGAAATAGTGTAACAAATAATTTTTCTTTATAAATTACCAAAGTTTGATAACAACATAGATAATAATTTATCATATTGTTCCATAATAACGTATGTTATCTTGATCTGTTTTCAAGGGTTTTTTAAGAATTATTATATAATCGGTCTTTTACAAGAATAAGTAGATGTTGGGGATTTTTTTCAATACCGGTATTAATATTTGAATACGACTTAAAGTCACACAGACTGTTTCAATTAAGTTCTTATTAAGGATCAGAAATACTCGCTTTTATTAGTCAATATTGGTAGTAGTTATTTAACAAGCAACATTTTCTTAAGAGATTTGAAGACTTAAACGATGTGCAATATTTGTTTTCAGAAAAAGAGAATTAAAAAAAAAAACAAAACGCACAAAACGTGAATAATTTATATAATTACGATTACAATAAATAATATTTGTGAAATAACACAATGGAATATGTAGATTAAAAATACCAGTATTACAACATACGTCTATAATATATTTTTAATCTATGACTTAGTTAATATTTCCTTCATCGCTAGTTCTATCTTTAGTTGTATACATGCGACTCTCTCTTGGAATATTTGATTAATCAAATTGATTCTCTTCTGTTCCAACATGGCGTTTTCTTTAATTAATTTCTGTTTTAATTCTTGTTCCTCTGGTGTGTTAATATCTTTATTTTCTTTATTATTCTGTGTGTTCCCTTCTTGTTTATTCTTTAATGTCACATGACTTCTAAGTTTAACTATCTCAAACTGTTCTGAGTTTATTTTTGCTTGCAGTAATGATTTTAGTTGTTGATACTCAGCGTTTTCCAATTGTAATCTAAGCACTTGTAACTCCTTTTCGGTGAATTTCGGTTTTTCTACTATTGACTCCGGTTCGATGTCTACTGGTTCATGTTTGAAGTCAAATCCGTCTTCATCTGGTTTGAAATTGAATTTGTCATCTGGTGTCTTGAAATCGAAACTGCTTTCTGGAGTTTTGAAGTCAAATTTATCGTCTTCGGGTTTGAATTCAAAGTTTGTTTCAGGTGGTTTGAAATCGAAATTATCTTCAAATTCGACGGGGAACGTTGGATCTGCGGGTGATTCTTTAACTTCTAGGAAGGCGTCTGTCAGCTGAGGTTTATCCAATTCTTCTGATTGTTCGTTACAAGAGTTCCTCGCGTTTTCTTCTTCAAGTTTTTCTTCTACAGATGGTTGGTGTATGGGGGCTGTATTTAGCTCAACAGATTTTTGAACAGAGCGAAGTTTCCTCTGTAAATGAGAACATAATTATTATTCTCAATTGTCGGATTGTCTGTGGCCTTATTAAACTGATTCTTTTTGGAAGAAATTGAATCATAAACATAGTAAATAAAGATAGCTATGGTTTTAAGTGAAATTAGCCAACAATTGATGATGCAATTCTTAATCCTATATATAATGGGTGGAAGAATTGCAGTGTCATATATGATTGCGACGCCATTCTATATTACTGGTTAAATTAAATGACTTTAATATTAATATCAACAAATTACTTATAGATGTTATTCATAAGAAATGCTGTGTATTATTTTTAATTTTAAAGTTTAAAAGTCCTTATATTACGATTTACAAAATCGAATATGAGATTGTAAGCTGAGCTTATAGTACATTTTTTTGGAAGACAATTATTGTAACATCGTAAACGGTAATGTTAGCAGCACTATAGTATATTCTTAATTTGTATTAATAACTAACAATAAACCGGATAAACTTTGTTCCGTCCAAAGTTAATAGTAAAAAAATTAGTTTTTTTTTTACTATTAACTTGTTACGTTTTTCAAGTGACGTTATTTATATTACAACCAAAAAAAAAATAGAGGTAGAAATAATTTATAAACTTGATGGCACTCATTTTAATTGTTTATGGTATTTGGTATTTTCCAGATTAATGGTTCAAATACTAGAATAATGAACTTGTGATTTACCTCATTGTCATGGTCATTGCGAATTCAAACCCCAGTGGAAATAAAATGCGCTTACAATACGCTAACAAAACATAATGTTTTTTACATATAAAATTGTCTGCATACAGTCTAATCAACTTCAATGTAAAAACCATAAACATGCATATTTTTTGTATGTAATATCTTTGAAACTTTACGTCAAATGTTTGATAGCAAATTTTTATTTAAAGAAGTTTTCTTTCAGACTGTCCGCGTATTTTATAATTTTTCTTGTTTTTTCTTTGGCACAAAATTTTTTCGTGGGCATTCAGGAACATGTAAAAAAAAAACGCTTAATTGTTCGAGCCATTTTCAAGTCATGTCCTTAGCAACATCCATTTTTATTCATGTATATATAAAATTGGAAATTTTGTAAAAAAATCCAATAAAATTAAATGTAATGATGTTTTTTCAGGTTAACGTTTAGTATTGTTATTCTTAATATAATTAAATAGGAAGTTACTTCTAAATAATTACTATACTAAAGCTTAGAGACTATGCGTTAAAACTTTTTATGGAATTCTTATGAAAACGATGTATCAAAACGGTTATAAGTGTTAGATAAGGTAGAAATACTATTGTCATATTATTAACAGATTAAAAAAAATTATAGCCATCATTATAACGTCCAAAACATACTAAATTTTGTATTGTAACTTGGGCTCATTCGACTTTATATATACTGTTATTCAGATACACATGTACAGGCTAGTAACCTTGAGCTGAGTAACAATCCTTTGCGCTTCCCACAATTGTTGGTCCCTGGCCCCTGTTATAAACCCAGCGTGCATCTCAGCATGTATCTGGTTCAATAGAGATTCCTGTTTGCGAAGCTCTTCACTGATTTCTGAAGCGGTTTCTGGGAAGTCCGCGGGAATAGATAGAAGTGGTGGGACGTATCTGAAATATTAATAATATAGGACCTAATGAGATTACTTGTTTTGAAGTAAAACTATTATCGGATTAACTAAACGATTATTTTTTTATATCATATAATCCCAAGCTCCGGTTTCTTGGCAGCAACCGTCGATCGAAAAAATTAGTCCCGTAGTAAATAAGAAAATATTAGCTTTATTTAAAGGAATACTCGCGCAAGTCTTAGATTACGTTTCTTGTATTGACCAATGTTAACGTAACGGTGTAAAAACTGTACAAATTCCAAAAATTAAATATAACTATCAATAGTGAGTATGACATATATATATTGAATTCACTTTGATCATTTCTTATTGCTTGAGAAAGTAACGACATTTTTGTAGACACATCCAAGTTTCGAAAGAAATACTATATGAAATACTTTACATTAAGAGTAAATTTAAACAAAAATCCTCACTACTTCTAATACTTACTTTGTGAGTCGTATGTCGGGGAATAATTTGTCCGCCTTGGTGATGAAGTAGCTCAGAAGATTGTGTGTTATGTTGAGTGCGGGGCACATGAAGGTCAATATAGTTGACATGTTCGCATGGTTTGCCTGAAAATATTAATTCTCTTACACTCATATGTTAGTAATTTTTAATTTTTATATATTATATGAGCAACTCCTTGTAAACTTCATCAGATAAAATTTTCTAGTACAATTAACACAGGTATATAGCTTTTGCTCTATTCACTCATATCAACTTAGGTCTTTGAATAAAATTATACGTGTATGTAGGTCTTTACCTTTACCATCCATGCAGGCGTATAATGAGATCTAAGACTTTCGCTAGTACTCATTTAAATAAACCTAATATTTTCGGATATACTACGCCTGCTTTATTTTTTGCAAAAACTACATACTCATTACATACAGAAACGTCTGTAGTATGCAGTTTCTTTACAAAAATAAAACACCCATAGTATATCCCAAAAATATCAGCTTCTTTTAAATGCAGGCGTAATTACCAGGTGTTGGTGTTATATAAACCTGGATTTATTACCGTTTCATTTGCCAGTACTTCTTCCAGGTGTTTAACGAGCCAGCCCAAAAGGCTGTGGTTAACAGCTGGAAGTCTCGCTAATATAGATCGTACTGACGCCTCACGTTGTGGCTCAGACATAGCTGTTGTCTGTTCTAATTGACCGTGAAGTTCTTGAGTTAGAATAGATTCTGGCAGTTCACTGTAAAATCACAATAAATTGGAATTATTATGACTTTTATATTATATTTGTATTAATCCCTACTAATATTATAAATGCGAAAGTAACTCTGTCTGTCTGTAACGCTTTCACGCATAAACCACAGAACAGATTGTAATGAAACTTGGTACAGAGATAGAATTGACCATGAGAAAGAACATAGGATAGTTTTTATCCCAGACTTTTGAAAGCTTCTCTTGGAAACGCGATATAACCAAACTCCACGCGAGCGAAGCTGCGGGCGGAAAGCTAGTCTGGAATAATTAGCATAGATGCAAAATGCTAGTTCCAAATTAATTTATTTTATTTATTAATATGCTATATTTGAAAATTCTATGGCCAAGTCGGCAATAGAAACAAAGAAAGTGTTTGCAGAAAAAAGTTGAATTCCTGGGACAAGATCGATTGTTGAATTTCTCTGTGAATTGACAATAACTGTAGATTTTTTGGGAATAATGACTAATAATACGATTTTTTACCTTGTATTAGAAAAACATTCGGAAATATTTATATCCAAACAGAAAATTACGAAATATTCCTCGCAATCTCTAATGGCCTCTTTGAATTTTGAGCAAGAAATTGCCATAATGTCAAAAATTGAATAACAGAAATTATTCATTTGTTTAAAAAACAAACCGTCATAGATACGTTAAAAATAAATTATGTTTTGAAGTATTATTGTACCTTATAAAACTCTTGAGCATAGCACACGCGACGGGTACGTCCCAATGGTAAGGGAAGGTCGGTCCTCTGTCAGTGTAAAGCTTGCGCAGTTGTTGGAGTTTTATCTTATCCGGCTCAGCACGATATATTTGAGGACATTTTAGACCGTGTGCCTGGTGACATAAGGTGATATGGATATTTATTTATCTATATTATATATGGCGCGCCGAGAGGCTAGTCCTATCAAAAATATTCCTTTTCCTTATATGTTATCATTTTGAGCAAAGATAGTCTTTGCTTTAAAATGGAATCCCGACACTCGTCATCGGTACTAAACGCCCGGACTCGAAAGCCTTTTAAGGTACTAGGCTCTTGGTTTTTATTCCACGAGGATCCCCTCGCTCTCACATATATAATAATTATTTATCTGTATTATAAATTTAACAAGTAACAGATAATTATAATTTTCAATCAATTATATATTAATTACATACATATTTTTCCAAATACTTATCGACAATTTTTTTTTGGAAAATTACCGATAATTTTCTTTGATACAAAAAAATATTTTTTTTAAATATATTGCAATACCTTTTAAGCCAGTATTTCGTATAACTTCGTTTATATCATTGTCATGATAAAATCTATAATTACTGTTAATTGTTACGGAAAATTTTGCTTTGTATTTATAAATACAATGATACAGTTATGTATGATCTGAATAATTCATGACGCGTCCAAAGACATTTATTTTGACATGAGCTGTCAAGTACGCGTGTGTCACTTTTGCGTCGACACAAATGGCGCGTAATGATTAACATTTGTATAAACAGTTAGTTTTTGAATAAAATTAGAAATATATTATGTAAATCTACTTAATTTAAACAAATAAAATCGTGTTATATTCTTATTATATGAGAATATAAATATTTATAAAAGAATGATATGCTTGGTTACACATACATATGTTGATGTTAATAGTTATTTTAATATATACACAAATTAACTTTATTACTATAGATGTGAGGTTTTGAAAAACTGAATATTAATATGACATGAAATGAAAAATCAAGGTATCAGCTTGACTAGTTAATTTAATTTAAATGTATATAAATTACCAGCTTTTAAACCCCAGGAATAAGCAGTGGAGAGACGCATTTACTCTCAAAAATTCATCTATTCTTTCAACTATAGCCTATACTAAAACTTAAAATTAAAGATGCGGGTAGAGCCGCTGCGGGCATAGCCGCTGATAAGGCTAACACAAGTTATCACTAACTAATTTAATTTTATATTTTACTTAAAATCTTTACATCAAATAATTTGTTCATCTATTTCAGACATAATTTCACAGACTAACACATGTTTAACTTAGAATACATTTTTCCGAAGTTGGGCACAACGTCAACTATTTTATATTTAATAAATAACCAAAACCATAGTTATAATAATCAAATCTCTCTCACCTGTAGGTAGTCTATGCTGTGTCTCACTACGAGAGGTAGGCCGGTGTCATCGTGACATCTAGAACGTTCCACAGACTGTTGCAACGGCACGCCGAATATAGGTAGCGCGACTGGAACATATAATGAAAATAAATGTTATTTATGCATTTTAGAATCGTTTTTTATGCGAAAAGTGGCAAACGTGCAGGCCTACTTTATGGGCAATAGTAACGTCGCCGTAGACATCCGCAACATGTTTTATGTTGCGGATGCATTGCAAACCTTGGTTTTTGAGGTAGTTGGAGTTGCTGGAATAAGGAAAGGTGGGAAAGGTTGGGAACAGGGAAAGGGCCACCGGCTCTCTCAGTCATCGGACGAAACACAACCATTGAAGACTACTTGACGCGGATTTTCTGTGAGAGGGTGGTACTTCCACAGTCGAGCCAGACCATGTTCGAGCTGTTGTACCACAGCTAAACTCTACTACCTCAGTTGTGATTAAGATTTCTGTTAAGATGGACTCTGGATTTGATGTACTGATGTTAATTATTTACGATTAACGCAAAACGTAAGGAATTAAAAAAAAAAAATTTAATTTAGCAACGAAGATATCTATTGAACATATTATACAGTTTTGATAAAATATAGTCACGACAAGTTATAAAAGAGATATATGCATAACTTCTTAGAACAAACTAATCGTTATACCCATTATTTCATACAAAATATGATTTACTAGCTTTTGCCGCGACTCTTTGGTTCTTCCCACATAGTTCCCGTTCTTGCGGGGTTTTCGGAATTGTCGAGTACCCGCAGAATTTTCAGGAAAAACCCTTTGTTTTTTTTAATTCATAATAAAGTACACTTAACCAACAACATATTTCTTTGTTTATTTGAATAAAGATTAATATTATTATGTTGATACAACTTAAACAAATTATTTCAACCAAATTAGGTACCATAAAAACGGTTTTTGTGAGTTAACCTTAAAAGATAGACATATACCGTCGCGGACTGTTTTTTAGATCATTAAAAGAGCTATTATTCTTTAACACATATTTTTTGTGTATCTTGAACCGTTTTCACAGCGCACGCAACGGAAGGCTTCAAAGATGAAATAATTTCTCCCGTTTTTTACACATTTACCACTATATCTTTGCTCTTATTGGTCGTAGCATGATGTTATATAGCCCACAGCCTTCCTCGATAACTGGACTATCCAACACAAAATTATTCAATTCGAACCAGTAGTTTCGGAGATTAGCGCTTTCAAACAAACAAACAAACTCTTCAGCTTTATAATATTAGTATAGATTATTTATCATTTCCAATAAAACCTTTTTAATAATAGATTTTTTCTCTATATAAGAAATAATCATATATTTTTCGTTTCAATTACCGAGAGTATTCTCATTGCTCATTACCCATGGGGATAATAACTGTTTACGGCATAATAAATTGAATGCTGACATTTATAAGCTACTTCTTACTTCAAAGAAATTACGTTTTATCACCGGAACAATGTTTTAATCCAATAATGTCATGAATACGAAAGGAGGTTGTATACACTTTAGTTCTCTTAATGGTTGTAGTTGCTACTTTAAAAAAGTATTTATTAGATTTTGCAGCGGTTAAAACTAGTCTTATCTTATCGGTATATTAATCCCAAGTCTTTATACACTACATATGAATAGTTACTTAATATGTAGTTTTTCGTTTATATATCTTAGAAGGGAAGACGATTCTTGGGGAGTGTGACGATGAAAACTCGTATTAAGCAAATAAAATAAGACAGCAATTAAATTTAAGAATATACTTTCTTATGTTCGCTTTTCCATTTATTTCGTTTGTATATTGGTTTAAAACTAAAATATGTACCAATATTAATATATAATATTTAATTTAGATGAGAAAAGGGAACACAAGGACACACAGTCAGCTTTATAGTTTAATATTGCTGAGTTTGTTTATCGTAGTTTTAAACGGTTTGTAATTAGTGGTAAATAAAATAACTGTAATAAAATAATGAATCCATACGACTATCTAAATGGGATGTTACCAATTAAATAATTGATGAACAAAAATAGCTCGAAGCAGAGACAGGATAAATAATTTGTATGTATAGTTTACCTATAGATAGATTATGTATTCATATGTTCCTCAAAGCAAGTATATATTTTGAAATATGGAAAGATTTAACACTGCTCTTAATTTAAAATGAATTAATAACACGTAAGAAATTTATAGCTAACTAGCTTCCCGCCCGCAGCTTCGCCCGCGTGGAGTTCGGTTATATCGTGTTTCCAAGAGAACCTTTCAAAAGCCTGGGATAAAAACTATCCTATGTTCTTTCTCGAGGTCAACTCTATGTTTGTACAAAATTTCATTAAAATCAGTTCAGTGGTTTAGGTGTGAAAGCGTAACAGACAAACAGACAGAGTTACTTTCGCATTTATAATATTAATAGGGATAGTAGGGATTAATTAATTACAGAATTATAAATGAAAGTAATAAGATTTAACATACAATAATGTATGGCAATCCCAAGCGCATAGTCTATAAACCTTTATCTTAATAGGGTATCATTATGAGATAAAAAAAATAAACAAAAAATATTCTGCTATATAACCTCTTTCAACAATAACTATAATTAAAAAAAAACAAATGTATTACCATAGCATAATAAAAAAAATATATATAAATCTTACCGCCAATATCAAATCCGTTTAGAAATGGATTAGTACTAAACATTTTAATATAACATTACAAATACAACTGGCGCTGACAATTTAAGAGACTCGTTTTGCATCGAAAAATCCTTATCACTTATCTTGACTTGTTTTGTTTTGCCATTAGCACAGATAACGTAACTTATTGTCATTTCCGAACGCATCGGGTGTCTGGGTTTTTGAATTAAATTAAAGAAAATACGAACAAAATTTTGCTATACAAAAAATATAAAATTGTTGAAATGTTTTATGTAACGTTTTTTATAGCACAAATTATTTCAGTACTTCATATAATATATGTGCTGTACTTTAAGGTGGAACAGATATTATTTCGTAAAAGAAAGCATTACGTTTAGTAACAACAAAATTAAATCTTGTAAAATCACATTCTGATGACATAAAAATCTATATTTAGTTCTTTAATTTACATTTTTCCTTTAACGTCACTACAATATTTATTCACACTATTTACTAATTAATGCGGAAAAAAGGAATTATTGAGTCTGTTATAGCTAGAAATCTTCAAGTACATATTAAAATAATATATTCTTCGATATATTGAATCAAAATGTTTGATTTTCAAATAAGTATTCGTTTACAGGACCCAATACTGTATGCCAATTATTGTTATTTTAAGGAAACTCTTAATGATATAAAAAAATGTTTTTACTTTATACTATATGTGTTCTACACTGTATACATAGATATTGAAATAAATAGTACGATTTAAAACTAATATTATTCGGATACACTGTTATTTGTAAAAAAACTACAAAAAATAATGCCATCTAGTCGGCCCGTGATCATAGCGACTGTATAGTAAGCGAAACTTCGGGATTATGTAGTTTTTTTTACAAAAATAAAGCACGCGTAGTATATCCGAAAAATATTAGTTTCATTCAAAGAATAGTATGATAGTATTACAATAAATAATGATGTCAACTCACCTCCTAAAGTAAATATCTCCTCAAAAGGTACCCCAGACGTGACAGTAGACGGCATTTTCGTAAGCTTCTTATCTTTTTTATCTTTATCCTTTTCTTTTACCTTCTCCTTTTCTTTATCTTTGACTTTCTCTTTCTTATCATCTTTCAATTTTTCTTTCGATTCTAGTTTAAACTTTGCTTTCTCTTCTTTTTCCTGAAATGATATTTTGTTATTTCAAATTCGGGTTGCTTATTTACAAACACTACAATTCTGACGGTAATATTAAAGTTACATTTGAAACAATTTTAAAATACGGATACTACTTTAAGAATAGTCGATAAATCATAATATTTAGTTGCATTAATTGAAACACTAAATTAAAAAATATATATTGATCCAGTATTAGAAAATTATATTTATCTGATAACATGGATTATAGATAACGATTTTATTAATTCTTTCAAAATAAACTTTACTATACGATATTATCTTCACAGTATAACAATGTATCGTATTAGTTTAAACTTCAAAACACTATTTAGTTAATGCAACACAATAATAATGTACAAAGGTACCTTATTAAAAACGTGTCGTAGGTGATGCATGACGAAGTATCAAAACACAACTGAGTAAAACGTTTCGAAGCGACCAAGGTCAGTTCTATACAACGATCATATTATAGACGCATTGAGATGTGAAAAATTAATTTAATATCCTTCATAATCACTTTATATTATATATTATATTTAGATTATCATTAATATGAGAATTTTAATGATATTAAACTTCCTTTTAGACTAATTCTATAAGTTGCCTGAATAGGCAACTATTTTAAAGCTAAGTATGATCGCGTCAAATTTATTTCTATATATTATTGTAATAACTGTATAATTTTTATTGAGGAACAAATAAAAATATTTCCCTTTAAAAATATGATATTTATTAAAATATTGTACTACATATAGTGTTATTTTTATGAGGGTAGGTTGGTATTTGTGACATAAATTGTTTTGCAAATTAATTGTTACTAAACAAATAGGAGACGAAGCCTCAATGACACTTGACGGATCACAATCCGTGTGTGAAGGTTAAACTAATTAGTTAGCAGACTTTCAGTGACCTTAAATACAGTGAAAAACTAGTGATTTACATGTATAATGTATGTAGAAATCATTAGTTAATCTGAGTAAACAATAGATTATTTTTTTAATAATAGTTAAGTTATTTTTTTTAATTTATGGCCTTGATCATTATTAATCCATTGCAATTAGTATTTTTTTTAATTCAGTTTATAAACATGCCATACTAAAAGAATAAATACATAGATAAATTTGGCTGTTAAGATTAAATTTGGTTTTTGCTCAATTGAATAACTCTTTTATTTCTTCAAAAGTCATTTCTGACTTTCAGTAGCTTTATGGCATTAAAGGAGATTACAATAATCCTTATAAGTGGCTTTAATTTTTTTATACTAATTTGAACTTTATTGCCTTGACATAAGAAATATTATGACTGCATCTTTTTAAGAACAAACATCTTTCCACCCACGTAGCTTCTTAAAATTTGGTATCCTTATATGTACTTGTATGTAATGACCCACCAACGCTTTTTGTTGCATGTTATTTTACATATGCCACTTCTTATACAGGTTGACTGGTGAATTACTATCGATATTTGAGGACGTGATATTTGACAATCATATATGACAAAATAAAAATTAATATAACATAAATATTAATAAACTTCTAAGTAAAGTTAACCAAAAGTTATGTAATTAATTACGCATCGTGTGAACACCCTACAGATTAGGTATACACACACACACACACTCGCGTTTGGCGGCGTGGTGTTGTATAAGCACGCCGCCGCACGCGTCCACACTTGGAATACTTGGAACGTGTCCGCACTTTATTTATTTATACGGAAATTTGGTCAAAAATTAAGTACCTATTTTTTTACATAATTCTAATGAGAATCATGTACCGAGTATTCTCCTTAAATATTGATAGTAATTCACCAGTCACCCTGTATAAGCAATATTATATGCCTTATAATAAAATACTACTTCCTACAATTGTAATGGCATAATGACATCTAAAATTCTCGAGTGTACTCATTTAAACGCAACCAAGGTTTTTTGATATTAATTCTCGTTTTTTGTTATTCTATGACTACATAATCCCAACATTTCAGTTCCTTTACAACCAACAAAAATGTTAAACATTATACAAAAACTTTAGTTTCATTTAATTATTGTGGCAGAGTGTACTTTGTATATATTCCTAACATATAAAATACAGTTAGATCACATAAATTTCAAAAATAAAGTTTTCCATAAAAGCTGCAAATGTATGGGCAAGGACGTAGATTAAATCTATAATCCCATATGATAAAGAGATTTATGTTTACAGTGTGCTTAGAATAATTAAATGTAGGGTATTAATGCTTCAATCAAACAGATAAGAGAAGCTTTATACAATAGAAGAAGATTTATACAATAAATTAATTACTATACAGATTTTGATAAAATCATGATTAATAAATAATAATGTACACCTATGGACAGCATAAAGCAGAAAATTCCATAATTAAAAATGTTATATGTGAAAGTGGACATGATTTAAAAACAAAATCTGAACATGAGCAAGTTAAACTTGTGCATAAAATTGTTTTTATCCTCAAAGAAACTTGAAATTACATAATCTGTTGTATGAAAACTTATACATATATTTTATATCTTTACTCAGCATTTATTGTTATAAGAGTAGCAGTAATTATGTGTGTAATTTCATATTTTACTACCATGGTTTATGAAATGTCTTTCACAATATCTTTCATATGAAACCCTAAAAAAAGCAGTTTGAGACAGCATTAAAATAATTCATTTCTTTATTATCTATAAAAAATGGGAAACCGAAATATATTTAATTTTCTGGAAAAATACAAATCACAAAATGATATGACAATAAAAATAATAATTCTCATACCATATAGTGTAAATCAGAATACATGAGACAAAATATTTATGTATATTATTCTAGGACATTTATCAGGGAAGATTTAAATAAGTTTAATAACGGTGAAGGAAAACATCATGAGGAAACCTTTACTTATAGTTTCACAATTATAAGTTTGAAATCATCAACCCGTCTTGAGCAAGTGTGGTGATTAATGCTCAAACCTTCTCCATGTGAGAAAGAGGCCTTGCTCAGCAGTGGGCTCTGATAGGATGATGACGAAAAATGTTTACTAACCTTATCTTTATCTTTTAGTTTTCCCTTCTTTTCCTTTTCCTTTTTCTCTTTCTCCCGTTCTTTTTCTCTTTCTTTTTCCCTTTCTTTTTCCTTTTTCTTTTCCTTTTCACTCAGCTCTTTTTGTTTGACTGCATCATCAAGCACTTTTTCTTTATCCCTTGATTTTTCTCTCTTTTCCTTACTTTTTGTGGGGAATTTAAATGATTTTGTTTTCTTAGTTTTTGATGGACTTCTGTAAAAGAGAAGGTATTTACATTAATAATAGAAAATTTATTTCTAATTTTAAAGCATCCAATAGTAAATTATTGTTTCATCTTTATATGACAGATATATATCATGAATACTCATATTGTGTAGAATTAGAGAAATTTATTAATATTTTATTCACTTATTTGTATTTTCTTTTAATAAAAATGTAAGCTTAGTGTAATAGGAATTTTAAAAAATATTTCATTTATGCCATTACATACAATTACAAATTGAATTCATATCAGTGTGTTTTAGTAAAACAATACTTACTTTGTATCTGTGTCTTCCTCCGGAGAACTTTCCCCTTCTAAAGCAGCATAGCCTCTATCTTTCTTTTCTTTTTTATCTTTACGACGTCCCAGAAGATCTTTCTTGCTTGGTTTTTCATGCTCGGCACCGTCACTAACTATTAATATATAAAAACAAAGTATAAAGAAATTCTTTTAACATACGAATAAAGTAAATGTCAGCCATCTATAAAGTATAAATTAATTTAGCCAAAAATAAGGGAAGCTATAAACTGTTTACAAACATTAAAATGTATCACTTACAATCGCTTTCGTTACTTTTTCGCCCAGATTCAGATGCGTATAGACCTGGAAAATCTTTTTCTACATCAGGACTTTCGAAGTCCATGATTTTGTCATTAATTAAAGTGATGCTATATTAATGCCAAACTATGATCAGATATAATTTCACTTCTATCACTAATATTATTGATTATTAGAGTCAAAATAATATAGAAATACACTTTTTTACTAACTGGAGCTGTCAAATGTCAAAATAACATTGGACACAGCTTATAAATAGTAATAAATTCTTGTTTCCTTTGGAAACTTTAATTAAATAAAGTTTATCAATTTGATAAAATATTCCTATAAACTTTTAATTTGCATTAATACTGAGTTTTTATAAAAAATATGTTCCTCCTATTCAATGCGGACATTTTTTCAATCTAGAACGTCGACGTGTTTGTCAAAGTCAATATAGTGTCAAATTATATTTGTCAATAAATGTAAAATGAAAGTGAAATGTAATTGCTGATGTAAATTTGTTATTAGTATACATTTTTTTGAATTAAATAAAAGCAAACATTCAAATTAGTATTTCCTCATGACCGGTATGCCGCCTTGTCTACGTTTCTATTTTCTTCTGTGGAGTGTAACATGAAAAGTTTTAAACAGGTTTTTATCATAATATAATATTTTTAGACTAATTTCCTCCTAAATGTCATGGTTCGCGGACCTCGCCGGGAAGGCGGAGAATCTTCTCAACAATCTAGACGAACAGACAGGCGCGGTCCTGCGGAATACCAATGGCATTAAACAGAAAAAACATGATTTGCTTCACCCAGAACCAACTTGGAGTCAGAAGAAAAAGCCCCTGGTGCGTAATCCAAGACGAAGTGCACCAATTTCCGATACGAGATCGACTGTTACACCTACAAATAGAAGCCCCCCAAGTAAATCTGCCCAAGTGAAACCTTTTATGAAATCCCAAGATGTTTCTTCTCCAGAGAGACTTCAGAAAAAAACTCCACCTAGAAAACCCAATTACAGTCTCAATAACAGTCCCAAAACTTTCGCTGATGATTTAAAAGATGATATTTATTTTACTTATGGTGTGAGGAAAAGACGTAAGTGATATTATTATTTATATTTCACTACCTATTAGCTATTTAATGAGTACCTCAATTGGTCTAAGGTCTAATTTTTAAGGTATTAGACAGTGTGTGGATATTTAAAAACTATAATTGACTTTTTAACTTAACTCATAGTAAGTGGCAACAATTTAACATATTTTTCTACCTATCCACAATAGGACTTTCAATACAGTTAGTTTATATGAAGGTAATGAGGACTATAACTTCTATGAATGCCAGTACTAAACTTACTTATGCTGAAACAAAGTCATATTCTTCCTAATCATTTACTTAAAAGTATTCTTGCTGAACTATCTTTAATATGTAAACCATATTTTGGGTTTCACCTGGGAAGATTACCTCATAATGTATTACTGTTACTTCCAGAACAATGGATTTGTAAGCATATTTTCCTAATTAAAAAGTTTTATATAGATCACTTGCTATAGGATTTGCTATTTGCACTCTTTGATAACAATTTAATTATTGAATAACAATGCCAAAACAAAAAAGTGTTAATTTCCTCAAAATTTAAATCTTATTTTATTTTAGAATAGTTGTTTCACACTTACTAAAAACATATTTAATTAATTTAAATCATTTCAGATATCAATTAATTTAAATTATTTCAGGTGCTCCAAAACAATCAACAATTCACTTTTTTTATAAAGGCTGTCACATTTATGCAGAATTATTGTTTTTCTAATGCACCTATGAAAAAAATCTTTTATGTATATTTATTTTTTTAGGACTCAGCCTACCATCAGATTTAGAAGCAATCAACACTGAACAGATGGCATATAATATGCAAAATTTGGAAGTTGAAAATGTTATGTTAAAAAATGAACTCAATGTTGTCAATAGAGAGGTTTCAGAGTTGCTCGACAGATTAAGAAAGACTGAAGATGGTATTGCATTTTATTAATTACTTAATATAATATTTAATATAATTTATATCACAAACATGCTAAGATTATTTGTCATTAACTGAAGTACTTAACTGATTTATCAAGTTTTATCAAGTATTACAATGAATGATATAAATCTACTTATATCTATATAATTAAATATTTGTTTGTACCTTTTATATAATTTCGTATCTTCAAAAGTTCACTTATAAAATTAAAATTTTTGCAATTTATTATTATAAAATAAGTATTTCTATTTACATATAATATTTCTTACATCTTGGATATTATTATATGTAACTATGCATTTCTAATTAAATATTAGATTACATTAATTGATTTTTATAATAATATACAGTAATTACAATACTTGTTAGACAAAATAATATTAATTTAACAATTATATCAGTGATTTAATAATGCTATATCAAATTCCTATTACTATTCTGTGTTTAAAAATTATCATTTTTGAACAGACTATATAATAATTTATAAATTTAAACCAATGTATTGATACATTTTTGCAGAATTACGAACTTCAACAATAAAATTGGAAAATGTCGATAAACTTAATCATCAGTTAATTGAAGAAAAGGAACTATTGAGTTCTGAAGTAAGGAATATAACATTAAGTGCAAGCAATCAGAGCAATGCTGAACTGAAATATAAAGAACATATACAAGACTTAAAAACACAGATGACTTTATTGAACGATAGAAATAAGGAACTAGATGACAAGTGAGATATATTTCCATACTAGCTTTCCGTCCGCAGCTTCGCCCGCTTAGAGTTCGGTTATATCGCGTTTCCTAGGGAACCTTTCAAAAGTCTGGGATAAAAACTATCCTATGTTCATTCTCAAGGTCAATTCTATCTCTGTAATAAATTTCATTAAAATCAGTTCAGTGGTTCAGGCGTGAAAGACAGACAGACAGACAGAATTACTTTCGCATTTATAATACTAGTAGGGATTTATATATAAATTATCAATTAATAGACATATAAAATTCTTTTCTTAAAAACCTAATATTTAGGATATAAAATAAGAAAGACTAAACCTCAATTAATTTAATAAATCAACGATTTTCTGAACTTTATTATATTATAATTTTATTTAAAATTCTCTCTTACAGAATACATAAATTGACTGAGGATTTGGAACAGAAAGTAACTACACAATTGAAACTCGAAAATGAATTGAGACATACACACACTACTATAACAGAATTGCAAAGTAACTTGGACAAATCAAACTCAGAGTGTCTTAGATTAGAAAAGGATTGGGAAGCTTATAAATTAAGAGTGAAGAGTATGTTAAATGCCAAAGACAATGAAATTAAATCCATACGAGAAGGTTCTAATCTTGACGAAGATACTAAAGTGTTGATGGAGCAATTGCAGTCTTTGAAGTAAGTATACAAGCTTCATATAAAAGGATTTCTTGAAGTATTTTGTTTTATTATTAATTATAAACAGTATTGCCAGTTATATCAAAAATAGACATTAAATTATGTTTGATTTTTTTTAATTAAATATTGTTGCAAAATTTTCATATAAATATTTAAGTAGGTGTGTTGAATGTAGTTATGGTGACTTCAGATAACTATAGAATATAGATTCCATATATATGCATGACTTTAGATTCTAATTTATATATGTAGATATATTTTTTTATTTTAATGAAGATGAGGTTATTTTTATGCCTCAAAATCTGATAATTAAACAAATTTTGTACAATTGTACAGAGAAGAAAAGGAGGAATTATCAGTGGCTATAAACGATGTTCGGAATGAATCGAATGATTTGAAGCAACATATGGCTGAACTAGAATTGAAGTATAGCGCCGCTGAACGACTAGTGGCGGCGTTGAGAGATACTTTGAAAGAGGAACGACTTGCAAGGAACAGGGCAGAGGCTCAGTGTGGCTCTTTTAGTAAGGTAATATGAGTCCTATAACTTATCCTACTAATATTATAATTGCGAAAGTTTGTGAGTGTGTGTGTATGTTTGTTACTTCTTCACTCTCAAATGGCTGAACCGATTTTGATAAAATTTTGTATACAGCAAGCTGACGTCCATGAATAACACATAGGCTAGTACAACATATACCTCAACAATGTTTCATAACATATGTCAGGGCTGCCCAACTGTGGCCCGCGGGACGCGTGATGATCGCGGTTGGAATATTGCGGCCCGTAGAATATTTTTATCTGCTTTGTTTAAATACATATATATTAATGAGCAAATACTGGCTATAATACCAGTGTTTAATATTATTACCCCTGTTTTTATAAATATTTTGCGGCCCGATAACGTATTTTGTTATTGTTATTGGCCCTGGGTCCCATCAAGTTTGGACACCCCTGATATATGGTAATGTTGGTGAGTGTGTGTGGATGTTTGTTACATTACCAGGCAAAATCTACGACTATATATTTTGATGGAATTTTATAGTAATCTAGTTCAGATTTATTTTTAAAATTCATCAGTGATGATCATGCCATAACAGTTGTAGTTTGTTTGAAACGTGACGCAGGCTATAGATGTCGCTTCACGTTGAAAACTTACTATTTTTTTAACTATATATTTCTCTCTGAGCAAATGTCCAAATTGTGAGCAAAAATAATAATAATATAAATATTAATTACAATTCAAGGAAATACAAAACATACAAATGGAAAACGGCCAGACGATAGCCAGTCTGCGTAAAGCGTTACAAGATAAGGAGAATGAATTGATACATTTACGAGAAACCGCGTCGTCTGTACGTACGAGCGATACTAGCGCCTTGAATGTAGCCGATTATGACGTCATCAGGGATATTGACAGTGAGAAAATACATTACTTGACACAGACATTGATACAGAAACAGGGAAAGATTGACTCGCTGTTGGCTGATAATAATATATTGAGGATACAGTTGGATAAATTGGAGGTGATTATTGATTAGTAATATTTATTGGTTCAAATCAAACTTAAGTTTTTCGTATTCGTTTCGATAACTTCTCAACAACCGAAAAATATCGGACAAATGTTAGAATAAAGTAATAAAGTCGCGTATTTATCAGAAAAACTAATTTCATCCAAATGTGTATTCATAAATTTTAGATAAAATAAGATATTTTTTATAACTCATGCCGGGAAAGTACTATCATTACGCTGGTTTTTGGGGTAGAAAGGACGCTAATTGCCCACTTCACAATTAATTAATGTTAATGTTAGTGCGACAAGTAAACTTTTTCACACCCAAATTTTAATTCCCTAATTGACGAAAAAAACTCATAAAATATACTATTAAATATTAATATATTTTTATTTTATTTAATTCAGTCTAAATATCGATCTGAAGTGGCGTCACTTCGCGCCAAATATTCGCATAGCGTCGTTCATTTACAAGATGGCGGGAATCGTTTACGTCATCAAAGTCCGTCGCCGTTGTACGCTTTGTCATTGAGGCTCGGATTAATGATGAAAAGATTCCCGATATTTAGAGTGCTCATACTGATTTATATGGTAAGTGTGATATGGTTACATTTTGTTCAATATATACTTATTGCAATTTGCATTGGCTTTGTGGCTTTAGTTCACAGTCGGGAAAGAAAGACTTTTAGGATCTTAAAAGAAAGTCTTTAAGAAATTAAGTTTTGGGGTGGCTATAATAACTACATTTGCTTTTAATAAAAAAATCTATGAACTTATAAAATGTCTATTTAATCGATAAAGCCCAAGTTTCGACTAGTGGCAACACTACAGAAATTTGTTTATTGTATCTGTATTGTAGCTATTTGATTATTATCAAATCTTTTAATTATAGATATGAAAAAATATTAAAGAATCTTATGAGAGGGGTCATAAGAATATTATATTGAGTAAGAAAAAGCCATGAAGGAAACATAATTAAAATCATGATTATATTATTTTAATATATATGAAAGCGTTTTAAACTTAACATGAGTTACATATATGTATGTTGTTTATAAGACAGTATTTATTTGATATTTCTGCATGAAGAAGTACCCAAAATTACTCTTAATATTTATATCAACTAATTATATATGATTCATTGTAATATTTACAGATTGGTTTGCATTTGTGGGTGTTGACGGTACTGTTAACAAGTACGCCAGAAGACTACGTACCAAGGTCGAGTAAATCGTGAAAATAAAATAACTACTATCACATTGTACCTTCGTTAGAATAGCAATAATTATTTTATAATGTATAGATTAAATATATACTAAATATAAATATTAACTTAACAGGCATGTCTTTGTTATATAATTGTTTTAAACATTGTTACATTCGCACAAAATTCCAGAGTTATTACATAATTGTTTTTCTTAATAAATTTATAGTATTTTATAACATTCCCACGTGCTTAAATGGTTGTTCTAAATTTAAATTTTTAAAAATAATGATAAGCGTTCAATAAAAATAAAATTATTCATACCAGCATATATTTGTTTTTGTAGCCTCTTGGGTTTTTTAATATATTATTTTAGCCGTGTTGCCTTTTTACTCTCCGGAATATTATTCCCCTATTACGTTAACTGATCAAGATAGTTTTCAGTTCATTTTTATTGATGTCTAAAGAATAAATTATTATTTGCTTTTTAATATTGAATATAATATTCTTACTTGCCAGTAACAATGTTTTTTCTTTTTTTCATATGGGATAAAATAAATATTGCTCAAAGCACACTTTGTTTTAATTTTCCTGAATCATGTAATATTGTCATTACTAAACTTCTGCTGGGCGTATGAAATTGTTTTTAATATTTTTGTCATATTACAATATTTGTGATCTGCAATATGAGTATTAGACAATGTATGCCTACACAATGGTTTGATGAGAAAAAAATAGGGCTTAATCATCCTACCAAATTAACAGATTTCTTGTCATCTGTCGTGAATGTTTGCATTTGTTTTTTTTCTACTGATTGTTCTGTAATTTGCTCTCCTATGGGTATTTCTTATAAATGATTAAGAGTAATCTATTAACGAATAATTATATTTATTTATTATATATGGATAGCATTATTTAAATTCGATTCTAATTTCAAACACTTCAGTATAAAAATTGACTTATTTTAAGATACCTACCAGGAAAGTTTAGCATATTGTTAAAAATAAATCATTATGTTAGTATGCAATAAGCGTAATGTTTGGAAACGGCATCGCGGTTATTCGTAAGAAAACAAAGTACAATTGATATAACTATGAGGAAAATGTATACACAAGTTGTTATAGGTAGGTATATGTTATTGAACTAAATTAGATAATTATGTTTTGTAATATCTGATATATTTTATACATTGAAACTACACTCTTATTAAACTACAGTCTTTGAAAAATGGACTAAGTAACACTGATCAATTTTTTAGTATGAACCAATAAGCTTTTTAAGAATAAAGCACAGATTAAATATAAAAATAATCTCCCTATCTCTTTGACGGTGCTAATTTAAAAATATTTTTTTATCCTAATTTGTATTTTTAATAAAAGACACAAACAAAGTAAAACTATTTAATGATCGTTGGAAAACAGTACAGAAATAATAATAATAGGAAAAACCTAAAGATTGGCGCGCGTTTGTTTTACAATACAGATTAAACAAATGCTATATTAGAAACTGTCAGAATAATTATTTTTATGACACAGAATAAACAACACTAAATATCTCCTTCTTCCTGGCAACTTCCCAGCTTTAGCAAGGGTCTGCCTTACATGTTGTAAATATTTTTGGCTAATTGTTTTTTCGATCGGCCGCTTGCTTGCTCAAGACGGGTTGCAACTTATAATTGTGAAATTATAAGTCCAGGTTTCCTCACAATGTTTTGCTTCACCGTCTGTCAGTGGTGTCTAAATACTCTCAGAAAGTACATATGACTCGGAAAAATCACATTGGTACTTACCAGCAGCGAACCCGCGCCATCATGCATGAGAAGCGGGCCTTTAATCACTAGGCCACCACTGATAAGTTATAGCAAACAACAAACAAACAACACTGAATATATACGTTGATATTTATAAGGAGAAGCCGCTACGTTGATTATACTTTATTATTCCCAACAGGAACATCCCCAATGTATTTTCTATCCAATACAGTGTTCTAACAAAGCTTGCATCGTAATACTTCATAGCGTGTTAACAGTTTTGCATTTAAATCTTCGCACTTTGTAGTATTAACGTAGGCTGTCGAATGAGGAACAGGAAACGCTTCATATTATGATGTTGCACTTATGCTATGCATAAAGTACAAAACAGTTTATTAGTAAAATAAGTGCAGTACAGTTTATAATGTACAATTTTCAATCAAAGCACTTAAGATTCATTACAAAGATTTAATTCACAACCATCGATAGTTGAAATGTTTCGTTTTAAAACAGCAGTGGTATTGTTTGGCTGGTGATTCGAATTTTCTTTGGTTAAAATTTTATTAATTAAGAAGTTAAATTAAAACAAATATTTATTTATGTACATCACATTACACATTAAAAAAATGTTAATAAGCCGAGCTAAGACTAAAAGGCATTCACTAATGGTTAATGTTGTAGGTTGTAAGAAAAAGTATGTACAAGAAAAACTGTTACATACTCATTAGCAAATAATATATTATTTTCTAATGATTATGTAAAATGCAGTATTGCAATTTTTATGTTAAACCCTAGAAATGAATGCAGGATGAACACGAAGATAACTGGATTCTCGTAATATATTGTTCTTCGATACATTTCATTCTTTCAATAAAATATTGAACTTGAAAATGTCGATTCTTTTATGTCAATCCTTGCCTAAAACTGATGTAATCGTAAAAAAATCTTGAGCTTAACGTTCAGCTCAAGCCGATCAAATGTTTGCATTACAAACTTGTTTATCAATGGTATTTCCCTAATTGAATTCTCAAACATTATCTTGGAGATTTTTTTATGACTAAATATATACAGATAAATTTCAAGTGGGTATTGGGGAGTTCATTTCTTAATCAACAATCGAAAACTAATTACTTATAGCTACTAATTTTGTTAGCAATCAATATTTCGTGAAGAGATTTATTTATTTGTCGATAGATTTCTGTCTGTATAAATAAAACTTGTATATAAATTAGTAGTTTCCACATTGACCACGTTGTTTATAAGCGTAACTAAGATATCAGATATTGTAAGAAATTTTTAAGGGACCAGTGCAACTGCACTCCACAAAAGTTTGTTTAACATAAACAGTGTACAAAGAAATAATTATAAATGAATTTATATTTTATATTTATGTTTTACGTATTTAAAACATAATTTATTTTTAATAATTCTATCATAATGTGGTTTTTCTTACTTATTCATCGTTGCATATATAGCTTTGAATCACAGTTCAACGTAAGTTTATTCGAGATTTTATTTATTATGTGAGTATTGACAGTGCGTTTGAGGTTTTCCCAACCACTTAACCTTCGACGAAATTTTGGATTGATTAAAACCGGTTAATGACGTCTTAAGCCGGCTTGACATATGTCCATTGGACAGCTTTATCAATTGAATTACTTATTAATAAGAAGAATATAGTGACCACATTTTCTTACGAATGAAATTAAAAAAATTAAATATAATTATTGTTGGGCTTTCTTAATATCAGCGAAACCATAATTAATTATAGCATGCTGATTAATTATTGTATTATTTAAAAATATTATAATTAATCTTAATGACTGTGGAAAATCAACATGTATAAATATTGTTATACTAAAAATAAATATAAAATAATAAGAATATTGACTAACAAGATATGTAAGTTTTTTAACTGCGAAAATATTACAAGAACTGACATGGAAGTCACAAAGTTCTAATATCAAATGGAAAAATACACTTTCTTTAATTCACTAGATTGTGCTTGACTGGCATTTCAACTTTGAGAAATTAGAAATGATGCTAGAGATAGTGAACGCATTAAGGCAGCTCAATTTTTAACTAAATGTAAACAAACCTTTACTATATTTACCTACAAATATTTTATAGTAGCTCTTTATTTTAATTCATGTATATATAATGTTTACCAGACGGGTCAAGGAAAATCTTTTAAAGTCACGTATTTTCGTTGAATTTTGTTCAAGTACAAAATATCATTTGATATACACATAACCTAATCCATAATGTTTATTGTCTGTTATATAGAATATAATCCAATTTGAAATATATGTTTTTTTGTAAACAGAATAAATCTAATTAATATGATGAATGAGAAAGTTTGGTTGGATTCTGACGTTCGAATCTTTGGTAAACTGCTGAAAGTAAAATGCAGATAACGACAAATATTATAGTAAATTAATAATCATATTAATTATAGCCTACTGGCAAGACTTAACTCTGTTAAAATAATTAAAAAAACAGAAGCTCATTGGCTCAATCAATTATAATATATGTAATACTTGCATGTTATTGTAAACTTCTTTTTTTAACAAACACATAACTTAAAAAGACTAAGTTAATGGGAGGAAAACAAAAGTGATCGTATTTTTTCTGGGTTAGTATGAACATCTGTTGGACATTGAACAGGCTCGTTCTCGCCATCTAAAACTTTAGTGTGTCCCATGGAAATGAATTACGTTTCAGAAAAGCCGAAACGCCAGAAATTTTACATGTCTAATTACCTACTATGAAATATTTTTTACTACTTTTTACTTACGCTTATTTAGGAGTATTTTATTGTTATACGGTATATTAGTTAAGATTTTATTAAGTTTAAATTTTAGGTACATTTTGAATTTCCAAAATATTGTACTAGAGATGTTTGAACACTTATAGAAATAGGTTCTATACATACATACATACATTATATACATTAAAACAAATGTTATCTTTAAAACATTTTATGTCTCAGAACAAATATTATATAATAAAACGTGGTCATTACTTACAGAAGATAAGAAGTCAAAGTTTTTGTTCATAACTTGTATGGTTTTAATCATTTATTGGTGAAATCATATACCTTACTTAAACAAATACTATGTATCTTTTTAATCATACCAAAAACGTTAATATAGCGATTTATGTTATTTACTTTTTCGATGTTGACTTTATTTTAATTCACATTATGTTGTTATATATACAAAAATTAAAGAACGACGCGGGTATGATCATTGTATGGCCACTACATACCTAATATTAAATACGTGGCAAATCCGTTACATTTACTTGTTAACGAAGTTTTCGATGTCAAAAATACAAAGATTATCAAATTAACATCACCATAATTATGTATGTTTTGATGAATACACAATAATTATGAATATAATTTTAAATGTAATACAGTAATTAAATGAATCTCATAGTTGTGTTACAAGATCATGCTGACCGTGGAAATTAGCCACGACAAAGAACCTGTTTGTTTAAACATAAAATTACACTAAAGAGATTACATGTAAATATATAGAACAATATAATCCGTGAAATTGATCTTCAATAAATATAATTTTACCTCATCTCATATATATGTTGAATCTAGTTGTTATTTATAAACAGTTATCATTCCGCGATGGACCGGTTTTAAAAACCTTCGTCGGCAAAATAGTTGTGATTTACACTTCGAAGAGTCAACACGCTGTAACATTATGTGTTTATTAAATATATAAATGTTAAAACATAAAGAGTTATAAGTTAGAACAATATAATATATGTGATATTCCTGTGTAGGATCCGGTTCAATAACCTTGAAGATTTTAGTTCTTTTTTATTTAATAGTTTTCCTTGTTTACGCTCAAGTGTGAAGATGAAGTTATTACTTTTGATATTTTTGGGTAAGTTCACTGTAATATAATGTTATTATATCTATTATTCACTGTGACCTGATGTCCATTATTCATGTTTAATTATGATCTAATGATTCCTTATTATTTTTTAATCACTACATAATTATTTATTATCTACATGATACGTTGACCGGTTATTATTATCGTGAATTATATATGAGAAGTGAATTGATTTATTTTTATAAATCAAATATTATAATATTCTACTTTCGAAGTATAATATAGTAATACTGTTATTTGAAAAGAAAGGTATACGTAAACAACATACAGTTTTTTGGGAAAATTGATATCAATCAAAAATTTACTTATAAACTGTATACCATCTACCTATTTATAGTTTGTTTAAATTAATTGCTTGATTATGTTATTTGATGTAAGGAAAACTAAAAAATGCCAATGTTGTTCGAGCATTTGTAGGACGAATTATTATTAGTATTTTAAACTATGTAGAATTGCCGCTAAGTTGTTGCTGAGCTGAATTAATAAGACATTGTAAAGACTTCCGAGAAACAAGATTATATTAACAGTTTTTTGCTAGCTATGACACCTGGATTCACCTTCTTTATAGAAATTCTGATTATATTTATAAACTGGTCTTAAGCGTACTTTTATTATCGCCACTCGTCATACACAGCGTTGGCAGTTGATGATTCAAACGTGTTCGCATAATATAATATTAAGGTAGATTTAATATCGGGAAACTGCAAAAACACGGTATGGAAACTTGTGTTAAGCATATGCACGTGTTAAAACCGATCTGGTAAATTCACAGATAGATGAAAAATGTTAATAGAAGGATTGATCTAAGAATTTAGATAGTATAACTTCATTTAAATATAATAAAGAGAGTTTTAAATTTAATAAAGAAGATTTTCGAGCCTAGTTTTTATTTTTTTCAACTTTAACATTGCTAGAAAGTGAAATTATTTTGTTAAAAGCTGTAATTTTGGAGTTTTGTAATTATTAAAGCTAGTAAATTCCTGGATAGTAAGAAGTATGTGTGGATAATACACATTTTTAATTAGGTATTTCAACACTACTCTCCTTTCCTAATTCCGAGGTTAAAAAGAAGTCCCTCTATTTTTAATATATTTCGATGTGCCAATCACAAGAAAAATCAGTAAATACCCAAGAAATTCCATCAACGTTTTGTTTTCCTTGTTTTTTATTGGATAATAAATCGTTTTGTATGATCATCGAATTAGTTTTATTGGGATGTCTCTTAAAATTACTTATATAAATAATTTTAGTGGTACCTAAAAACAGTTGTTTATATATTAAAAACTTTTGCCTAAAACGTGGAGGCGATAAAAGTAAAAAAACTAGCATTTAAGTTTATTGTCTGTTTGTGTATTGGATTTATTCCTTTTTTTTCTTATGTCATATATTAGTGACCACATTTTTTCTTCTTACGAAATAGCATAAAAGAATATTAGAATATCAGCCGGTATGTAGACTTACGTCAAAATAGATTTTCAAACAAAATTCAATCAGTCAATAAAAGTACTTTCTATTGTTCCAAAGCATGACAACTACTTTGTATGTTACACTTGTAGTACTTTAATTAATGATTATCGGCAGTTACGACTATCCAAATTTATTTACGCATAAAAATCTATGTACTTACTACAGACAGGTAAAATGCAGATAATATCATCTTTATTCATAAAATTAATACCTATTTTATTAGGGAACTAAAACAAAACAAGTTCTTTGAAAACAATTGCTGTTACTTTCATAGTTCGTCATTACCACTTATCGGAATGCGAGTAGAAAAACATTAAAAAACTAAATACATTTTTTTAAAACTTGTTACAAATTATATGATAACAAACAATATCTATCCTGCATACCATTCCATTAACTACATTTCTAACATTCTGTAGGTTTAGCACAAGTTTATATTATCACAATATCTACGAATAATTTCACGGCGTCGGGACGTGACGACCCCATCGCCCACCGGTGTATTCCGGTGCAATTAATCACGGGGGGGAAGGGCCTTGACCTCCTCGTGGGGTCTTGGCCCGGGCTGGGGGTGCAGCCCATGGAGGTGGGTAGGACGAGGCTCGGCGGTGTACACCGCTGCTGCCAAGTTCGGCCCTACGTGTTGGCGGGTGGCCTCGGCCACTGTCGGCGCAGTCCGGCGTCGGGACGTGACGACCCCATCGCCCACTGGTGTATTCCGGTGCAATCAGTCACGGGGGGGAGGGCTGGGGGTACAGCCCTGGGAGTAAGACGGTCACGGATCTGGCAGGAGGCCGTCCGTGGCTGTCTTGGGGGGGAGGGGATACTCGGGTCTTTCCGGAGGCCTGAGTTCGCTTGTGGTCGGTCGGTTTCCTCTCTGTCTGCCGTCGGGCGCTTGCGCTCGTCGGTGGGTGGTTGGAGACTGGCCGCGTGGGCTTGGGTGGGAGGGGTAAGGGGTTAACCCTCTCGCGATTAAGCAAGCCCGCCAGGCGGGGGGACACTCCTGGTCACTTGGAGTGAGCCCTCGGGGGGGGGGGGGAGGTGGCCGTTCGCGGCCCGCCGCCGGATCGTCGCGGATGCATGCTTCGGCGTTTCCCGTGGCGATCCACTTGGCGGCAACGGAGAGTGACCGCTGGTGTTTTAGTGGGTAACATGGGCCCTTCTGGCCGTGAATCCCACATAACCGCCTCTGTCACCCCTAGACGGAGGGGTAGGTATAAAACCTTTCACCGCGATAACAAAAAAAAAAAAATATCTACGAATAATTTATCGTTTCTTATAATACTATGTATATAACCCATGTCAATTCTATAATGTGTAGATATATGAATACAATCGAAACTTAGGGTAGGCCTAATTATGTACAAAATAATCTTGATTTTATATTTAGTAACTCATATACCTATTTACATTTTTTCGATGAAGTTTACTTGTATCTTACGAATTTTATTTTAACAATGTAAGGTTATTGCAATTATTATTATCGGTCAGCAGTCATATATTTTATATAATAATTAATAAACACATTCACACTCTACTTGTATATAATCGTTTACATAAGATGATGCTTTATTTTCAATTATGTTTCTAACCTATACACATTACACACATTTCAAATAACAAAATCTCGTAAAGAGCTGAAATTTACTGAAAGCTTTAAAACATCAGAGACATAAAGTGATTGAAATTTCTCCGCCGAAGTGTTTGTTTTTCTAAACAACAATAGCTTTTATTAAAAGAAAGAAATTTTTCAAAAAAATTTATAACTAACAATCGCCATTCCTTAGACTTTAAACCCGAAGATGTTACAATTAGTCAAAAGCGTTACTATGGTATGTTTAGTCTAAGTTGCCATCGTCACGCTACACACGGCACCTTAATAGTTTTTCGTTCATAAACCTTGTCATATTATAGCATTAACGTAGGTCACTGAAAGAGAAACAGGAAACGCTTTGTATGTTGTGTGCTGAATGAAACTTGGACTAAGCGTAATGGTGACCTACATAATATGTACACATTTATGTGGAAATGTATGTACATTACATGTTTATAGCGTATTTTTAACTAGGTTTTTGAAGTGAGCCTCGATGGCAATAAAAATGGAGACTTTTGGGAAAATATTTTACAAACTGCATGGTGATTATGCATATTGACATTGAAAGATTTGAGTGATTAAAACTGTACTTCTGATTTTTGTGATTAGTAAAGTCTGATTTGTATGTTCTTTAACGTTAACAATTACACTTTCTTCGTCTTCCTTCTAGATGATCAAATATTCTTTCAGGAAGATTTTGTTTTTAAACGTTCATACATAAAAAAAATCGTCGTTTATCGAAGTCAATTGAATATTTGGTCATAACAAGTCCTAATATTATCTGTTACCATACTCTTCTACAGCCATATTAAGTTGTAAAACCTTTGTTTGTTTGTTCAAAAATAGTGTTTAGGAGTTTTCTCGAAAAACAGTATTATAAAACAGATCAAAAGTAAGGTATTAATTTCTAGACCCTGGTTTTTGGGTTCAGTTGGTTGTTATATTAAGATATTGTAAAACGAACACTAACGCTAACTAACGAAAAGAATCGCTATTTTACTTGTAACGTCCTACGTTACGATAGACAGCATCAGATGCAACAATAACTCTTTTGTCATATTTTTCCTATTAAGAGCTAGCTCGGAATTTGTAAATGTACTTTATATAAGTTTTTATAAGCTGAAGCGAATGTGGAAGGATAAAAACATAGCGTACGAGTATAATAGAGATGGCAGTTGCTGCCCAAGGCCACGACGGAAAAAGATACCGTCTAGAGAATTGGGCTTTTTGTTGTTGTTGGGTTGAGAAATGTGATAATCGGAACCCTGAAGTATCGAGATATCTTTAAGAATGGAGTGTGTTAAAAAAATATGAATATATATTTTTTTGTAAATATTTTTATGACCTACTTTTTTATCTGCGCTAAAAAGCTATAAATACTTGCTCATTCCGAGAAGATTTGAGGAAAACGGAGATCCATAACTTTAATATTCACTAAATTTTTAACAAGAACAGAAAAACAGCAATAGAAAGTAAAGATATATTTACAAAAAAAAAACATAAATTCGTGTCCCCACTTAGACTTTTATAATTATGAATATAAAATATATATTTTATTTTCGTTAAAATTTCTGACCTCAATACTCAAATCCTAGAAAATAATTAAATAAGTGAAGCAAGTGATGGTGGTTATTCCTCATCAGCCTATCAGAAGCCCACTGCTGAGCAAAAGGCCTCTTTCTCACATGGAAGGTTTGGAACGCTTGCTCAAGACGGGTTGGTGATTTCAAACTTATAATTGTGAAATTATAAGTCCAGGTTTCCTCACGATATTTTCCTTCACCGTCTGTCAGTCTCGTCTAAATACTCTTAGAAAGTACATATGACTCGGAAAAATCACATTGGTACTTGCCAGGATCGAACTCGCGCCCTCGTGCACAAGAGGCGGGCCCTTTAACCACTAGGCCACCACTGTCTACGTGGTGGTTATTACGCATCCCCAATTCATGTATGGGAAAATACATAATGTCGTAAACAGAATCGTATATCTAAATAAAGGATAAACCCGCTAATATCCCCACAGCCACTGAGACAAACGCAGGGAACTTTGAAATTGGTTTCGGAGCCTGTCTGACCTAAACTAAACCTTTGAAGAACTAGTATGTGCATTGTGCAATAGTCTAGTCTTATCATTATAAAAATATATATATTTTGTTTAAAATATTACTTTTTTGTAGTTACTTTTTAAATATGATAACAAATTTATTTGAATTACATAAAATGAGAATGACGAAAAAGTAACAACAAAAGCTTCCTTATTTTTACAGACTAGGTTCTAAAATTCAAAACTTCAAGTCTTGGACATTATAACACCTACATTTTTACTATTATAGCTTCATTCGCACTGAAATCTTGAAATATTTTTCCAATGTCAACGTTTTTATCTGTTAGATGAATTATAATCTTGAGTACTGTGTGGAGGGCGAATATTTTTTTGGAATGGAATAAAGGTACTCCTACTTTACAAACACTTTAAGATTTGACGATTGTTTAAATAAAACGTGAATATTATTGCTGATTTACCTTTAGCAGATAATATTTAATAGTATGAATGGTATATTAACCATAAACAAATCATAATTTCTGTATCTAAACATGTTGCTCAAGCTGGGATAACCTTATGATTTCCGTGAATATATAAAAAATTCTTGAAACTCAATTGATTATTCATTTATATATTTCTTTTAGTTCTTGTAAGAGGATGTCAATTCTTTCATTTTTAACCCCGATTCAAAAAGAAGGATAATTTTGACATCGACGGTTTTTGTTTTGTATGTTTATAAATATCTGTCTGAAGCGTTTTTTTTTTCATTTGAAAACCAGTTCCTTGTGGTTTTCTTAGCTTTTTTTGATACTCATCAGTCTAAGTCTAGGCCAAGTTCACACAATTAAGTGCCTCATGAGTGCCAAAAATATTAAAGCCATAAGATTGTTTGCTTATTTACATAATTTATATACTTAGCAAACACCGTTAGACAAAAATTATATTGAAAAGTCTGCTCTGTGGTAATGCAAGTTCTTTGTTAGTTTCCCCTTATTTTTTATTATATATAAAAGAAATCTGTCTACTTATTGACATGCCTTCATATTTATTGATATGAACTAGAATAGACTTCTGTGTTTCAATTACCTTACACATTTTATATAGAAATAAAGTTATATTAATATTGCGTTAATAGAGCTTATGCCATCACAGTTAATAAGTATTAAGAGCTCCATAAAGAACTCACTAAGAATATATTCGTCATAAACTTTTACGGGATGAAAGTAGGAGGTACAGGTGTAACAGTAAAATCTCTTAATTACTATGTAAAATACTTGGACCCACCAGAACTAATAAAAATTCATTTTTAGAAAGTAGTTTGAAGGCAACCCTATTATTCGTTTAAAATTTGGTTGGGTAGAGAGATGAGTATGGGCGGCGGAAGTGCGGTTTTAACGCGTGTTAGATAGGAGCCCCTTATAGCTACAGCTGGGTCGCAAGTCCCAGGCACTGTTGAAGCTCCTCTCACTGCAACGCGTATCCAAGGAGTTCTGAAAAATTTCGTTTCTTTACCTGCTAGATTTGAAAATTATTGTTTAAAGTACTTAAAATATTATTGAAAGATCATCTGGATGTGTTAAATATTATTTATTTGATTAAGTTTAGTTTACTAGTCAAATAATTTTTTTTTATATCAACTCAACTCAACTTTAAAACAACTCGTAGATCACGATGTTCATTCAATGGTTTTCCCCGTCGTTAAATAAATTTATATTTCCAAGTATAGATTTCGATCTTATATACTAAATAAGTGATTTCAAATGAAGCTATTTAGTCAGTTATTATCTATAAAAATATATGATTGAGTGCAATGTAGGCTCCATCTTTTCTTTAGCATAGAATTTAATGTAAATATCACGATAACATAACAACTAATTTTTATTTGAAAGTAATAATCATAGGCTTCGCCTGTAAATGATTAAGGATTTGAAAGAATAGGGGTTTTTTTACAAGATTTAATTTTATTCTATTATATATTGTCAAATCTTCATTTCATTCTTCATTATTTCAACAAAATACGTTCACACTATTTCTATTTTTTATTAAAAAAATACTATAAAAATTGGTATATTGAAGACACAATATTGGGCATTAGGATGATTATACAGTTTCTATAATTAACAAAAAATAAGTGGGGTTTCGCATCATTGAGGTGCAAAGTAGCTTTTCTTAAATTGCATAACCAAAATTGATGACTTTTTAGTCGTGCAAGTCTGGTTTAGTGACCTCTATGAAAGTTCGAAAAATAAAAATTCTTTATAATTAGACTCGCAGTATAATCAATGAATTTCTGCTCTCGTAACGCCTACTTTAAATGTGTCGTAGGCGGAAGTAATAACATAAACAAACAATTTCTTTTCATACATGTTTGTTATATTTTTGACTTCTAAGTAGATTATATAATATGAGATAATAAATAATAGTCTTGACAAGCATCTTATTGTGTAAAACATTTTTCTATGCAAAATATCGATAGTAAACCTGATTTTTTTAAAATATAGATCATTACTTATTTTATCTTCCCTTGCGTTCTAGTATTTTCATTGATACGAAGACCCAAATTATCTACGAAATTAAAAGACGGTTAAACATGAAATCTAATATTTAAAAGAGATACAACGACATTGTTAACAGAATGTTAGGTCCAACTAACTACAAAATCCGCAATCCCATACTTTCAATTCAAGCTACTATTTTGAAAAAGCTTTTGTTTCCAACATAAATAATATACGCAAAAATATAAGGAACTCGGCACTATTTTTAAAATATGTGAGTATTAACCGATATGTGAGATTAATTATTTATTTTTTTTTCTCCATTGCAGTACCCTTTACGATATGCTCAGCCAACATTCCGATTTCACCGGATCTTCTAGAAACTGTCTTCGGTCACCCGGATAATGCGACGAATGACGTGAAGCCAGCTCTTTCTCAGGCCGTGCCTGTAGCTCCAGGTTCAGTCAACCCTGCTTATCCAAAACCTATTGAGCAGTATTACCCGGCGATAGCTGATTACGATAAATTCGATTGGACGCTTACAAAGGTGAATTATTGTTAAAATATTAATACAATTTAATGGGAATTAAATATTAAGTACGTATTTCTCTTTGCGAAAAAAACACGCCGTTATAGAAAATACAATTTCTTTATACTTGATGTTAATTAGAATCTTGTAGTTGGAACGAAATTCACAAATCAGTCTTCATTTTATTACAGCGAGTAGCATCAAGTTCTCAGGAAAATTTTCTTTTATCTCCAATGGGCGTAAAACTTGCGATGGCCATTCTGATGGAAGCGTCAACAGGATCTACTCATGCTGAGTTATCATCGGTTCTCGGTTTTGATAACGACCGTCAAATAGTGCGGAGAAAATTTGGCTATATACTAAATACATTGAAAGTAAGTTTTATCTCACTAATTTGACGATAATACATAGACATGAGTTTTATTAGCAACAAGGAACAAGGATTATTGATTACATTTTTATTATTTTATTAGCAACAAGGATAAAAGCATCAGACTCTTTGTCAATTGTCTAACAATCCACTCATCATTTCAACAGAACTTATATTATTACTTCTCCATATAATTTTAAGAACAAAAAATGGATATTAAATGTATACACATATAAGTACAGTAATTTTACCATTATCTATTGATATTTTACGAAGAATTTTTTATATAATAAAATTATATATTAATGCACAAAACATACATTTCGCAAGCATATTTCAAAGGATTGGAAAAAAAAATTAACTTCGAAAATATGGAGTCACTAATTATATGGTTCATTTCAGGCTCAGTCATCATTAAACGTTCTGGATTTAGCCAGCAGAATATATGTAGCAGATAACATAGCAACCAGCCAACATTTCTCAGCGGTCGCCGAAACTTTCTATAAGACTGAAATCAAAAACATAGACTTCAGCCACCCCGTCAAAGCTGCGTTCGACATCAATCAGTGGATCAATATCACTACACACGGCAGGATTCCCGGCCTTGTTAATGCAGGTATGCTAAAAATTATGTAGATGTATTCAAAGTTCGATAGTTCGATAAGATTTTCGCTCACGTTTCTTTTTAACTAAAATAATGTTTCCTGTGAATATTTATCTAACATTTGTGTATAATGTTTAATTTTTTTCTTTAATCTCGTCGAATTCGTAAAAGGAATTTCATAAGTAAGATTTATCGTTTATAAATATCTGAGTTGTTCTCCATTGCTATATTTTTTAAATTTAATCTTGAATTAATTATAAAAAATAAATGAAGGTCTAATTAAAGCTATTCTGTCTTAATAATAATTAAAGCTTATCTCTACAAAGAAATATTTTTAAAAGGCGACTTTTTAAAACTTACATTTCGGTCTCATTATTATAACTCCCGGTCAATATCGCAATTCATGTAACCATTTACGAATCTGATTACGAATACTAATCTAATAATAACTTTTACTATAAAAAAAATATCCTGTATTTATAATTATTAACCGATTATACTCATTAAGAAAGATTTTTTAAAACCGAATTTTCTTATTCATTTAAAATGAAATTTAGCCTCACACATTTTTATGTTTTTAACTATAGCTCGCTTATGAAAAAGAAATCGATCGTTTTAAAAGAAAATTTCTATCACTGTTTTAGTTGGTCTTATGGTGTTAATTTTTCTAGTTTTCAATAATATTGATACTTATAAATATATAATAACGTTCAGCACTACAATATACCAAAATTTGTGCATGAAAAACTCCTAATAGAACGTGATTAAAATTTATAACTGCTCTCTGCTGTAGTGATGTAAAATTATTAATTCAGTGAATTCCGTTCCCTGTAATAGTCTGTAAACTGTAGTCATGTTAGAATTTTTCGCTGCTATGTCTTTTTATATCCAAGATACGAGTAAATTATTCAAAGCTTATGGAGGTTAGTGTGGTGAAAATTATAAAACAAAATAGAAATAAAAATATCGCTTAAAACAATGTTCAAATTTACATAAGGCTTCTACAAAATTTGATAAAACTATTTTTTTTGTTATTATATATGCTCATAACCAGCGTTTTCGTTCTTTTTATGCAACCGAAATCACGGGTAGATGAAATGAAAGTACTAAAAAACCCTTAGCATCCGAAAAACTTAGTGTCATTTAAATGTATACGGGAAAATCTTAGATATCATTAGACAAAAACAAAGTTAGATTAAAAGATAACTGTACTATATTTAGAATTTGTATGTATTTTAATAACTAATATATTTTCAGATGACGTATACAAGGCTTCAGCTTTCATCTTAAACACGATATTCTTCGAAGGCACGTGGCTACATCAGTTTGCACCAAACGTCACTAAGCCAGACTTCTTCTATTTATCAGCTACAGCCAAAAAGGAAACACCATTTATGAACATAAGAGACAAGTTCTTCTTCGCTGAATCTTCTAAGTTCAATGCCAAAATATTAAGGATGCCATATTTGGTAAATGATTTTATTTAAATTATTCGATTATATTTTACTATGACATTTTTAATATAACTATCGTCTATTCAAGAAACAGTGGGGCAGTGTTCAAATAAATATAATATTAATACATATTTATAGTAAAAGCCTCCGAATTATATTCTTTTATTCACTCTGAATATGTGTATTATAAAATAAATATTTCCTTAACATGTATTACATTTAAAATAATTCCATTTTTGTCCAGGGCAATGCATTTGCAATGTACATCGTAGTTCCGAATACTCTAACCGGTATAACCAACGTATTTAATGATCTAAGTGACTTACGATCAGAACTTTACTATCTCCAAGAGTACACTGTGGACGTGACACTACCGAAATTCAAGTTTGAATATACATCGCAACTGGATGGCATTCTCAAAGAAGTAAGTACATACATAATTATATATAAAATAAATCGTTAGAAAATGCGTATTACATTTCTTATTTCTGTACATTTTTTTCAATCTGTAAGTCATAAAAGAAAAATTAGTAGTGGTTGAGAATTAAACGTCATTTTAAGAGTGCAGGTTATTCCCTCGTCTGGGTATAGACTTTATATTGTATTGTTTATCTTTAACTTCTCAGACGTAAACTGCTGTACTAAATGGAAATTAAGTTTATTAAGTAGCATAATTCCTATTTATTAATATTATAATAGCGAAAAGCTTGTATAACGAATCATATGTCACAGCGTATAAAAGAAAAAACTCATTTAATACTCATCACAATACAATAATTTATTCCCTGTGGTTTATGATTTATTTAATATAATCGTATATTTTTCATTACATTTTCCTCCTCTTTATACTGCTTCGTGACGTCATACATCTGGTTCTGGGATTTTCCGTAAAATACACATACATTAATTGTAACGGGTTTTAGTAATGTTAAATTGATTTATTATGTAATATCAACTTTGAAAATATATATTTTGATGATCCAAATCATCCCCAAATGTTAATACTACTTAAAATATGATTGCTCAACCTATGTTTATTTCGTCAGATGGGAATCAGACAAGTATTCGAAGATACCGCGTCTCTTCCTGGTATTTCTAGAGGACAGAATCTAAACCAAAGACTTAAAGTGTCCAGGGTTATACAACGTTCAGGAATTCAAGTGAATGAATTAGGCAGCATAGCTTATTCTGCTACAGGTAAGCTTGTCATACATTTTTTTCTGTTTTCTCACAACCCTATAGAATAATGAATATATTATTAAACTAAATTCGTTATGATGTATGTAAATGGATATTGTAATGTAATAGTGGATTCTTTGGCTGAAAAATTATATTTTATAACTTATATATATTTCGAAAATCTTTAACACTTTAAATGTTTTTCTCGAGAAATGCTCAATAATTTTTGTCAAAAATTCTACTAAGTTTTCTGGAAAAAGAATTTGAAGAATTAATTCAAATGATTTCGTTTTTTTTTTATAGAAGTCGCTCTCGAGAACAAATTTGGAGGTGAATCTGAATACAAGGCGGAGGTGATAGCAAACAAGCCTTTCCTATTCTTCATACAGGACGAAACAACGAAACAATTACTATTTACAGGGAGAGTGTCTGACCCAGCGCTAGTGGACGGCGTTTTAAAACTAGTATAACTGTATATAAAATGAAAAAAGACTCAAAATATTTCTATTCTTATTAAGCCTGTAATTTTGTTTCAATTATGTAATGTTATTATAAATTTTACCGATTAATTATTATAATACAAGTGCTGCACTGAATCGTGCAGTGGTTTAACATTTATGAAAATGATTGTGCCTTAAAGAAGTTTTTTTTAATATTAATGTAATCAGGGCCCTATTATAGATTTTGTTATTAAAAAATAATATAAATGACACAATTAAAGCGCTTAATAAAGTATTTTACTGCCTTAATGTTTTTTGTACTTAGGTACTCGTGTTTTATCCCTTAATAGATTCCCGTGCAGTATATGGTTTATAACCAGTGATGCTATTTTAAACTGAATCAGACAGAAACTCCCTTTTTATATACATACATATATTCGACTCACATTGAAGGAACGCAAAAATTATATTATTAACCTGTTTTTTTCGTGTTAAAAAGTGATATAGAATTAAATTTACTAAAACCTTTAAATGATGTTTCCAATAACATATTTATTACTTATCCATCGCTATGTCTAATAGACTGTTAAAAATAAAACTTTTTATTTAATTGAAAGATAAATAATTGATCTAGCTAATCATTAATATGTGCAGTAGACACAAAATTTCGGCGTTTTAGACCGTAAGATAATAAAATTTTTGTTTGAATTAATTTGCAACTATGCTAGAATTCTTACAACTGATGACACCTTAATTTTGAAGAACGTAAATATGGAGATGTATAAATTATAATCATATTAATTTTAACATGTATTTCGAAGCAGAATTTTAAGAAAAAACCGTATTTGTCTTACCGTTTACATTTATTATTATATACTTAGATAAACACAACGATTGCCATTCGACCTCTAGATATCAAGGTCGAACAAGTTGTAGTTTGACAGAGGCCAGGTAAATTATGAGATATTGCTATCTGGCTAGACAGGCACTGTATTATGCAGAAAAAATATTTAGAATATATTAGTATAATAGTTATTTTAAATATCATTAAAGTTTTGTCAGTATACAACTTTTTGAGACTGATTTATATGTGATGTTACTTTTGAAAGCATCTCAGTTTTATTCTGACGATACTTGCAATCAAAGATTCATTTCATATGACGTAAAGTCGAGAAACTGGTCCAAGTTCCGCGTTAAGGAAAACAGACACAGATCTGTTGTTTCATCTCATTCTCTCGTTCTTAATAACTTCATATTTGTTTACATTCATTCAATATTAATATGTATATTCGTTTCTCAGTTAAGTGATCCCGGTGATGAAAACAGCACGTATTTTATGTTGTGATGTTTTATTTTAATACCATTATGTTCAGTATAATAGGTGAGTATTATTATAATTATTCATTAATCGATTTGATTGAGCTATTTAAGTTTGTTTGTATGTTTTAGTTGTGAATTTGAGATCAAATAAGTTGAGACGCCGGGTAGCATTGAATTCTAATTAGTTTAATATCATTTTATGCTATAATACTTTGAAGTTTGAACTAAGTACTATATTATGCGGCTTTAAAATACGAAGCAAGAAAAAAAGATATCCTTTAGTCCTATTTTTATACAAAATTATAAACTAGCTACCTACTTATCACATGATTAGAATATTTGTCAGTAGAAACTTTTTTTTAAATTAACATAAACATTTACAAAACAAAAATATGATGATTTGTATCTGTAATAAGGTTTATTATTAAAAACTTTTTTGATGATACCGTCACAGAAAACCTGGGATTATAACGATTAAAATTATTTTAGCACTGAGTTAAAGGAAAATCGCATTTAAATATTTTGACAAGAATCTAAATCAAGCTAATTAAACTTCGAGTAGAATCTTGTTTCTTTGTTGATGAAGTAATTAATTAAGAAATATTACGTTTTTATGTAGTAAAAAACTCTAATTGAGTAACTCGTACTTAGAATATAAAATGCCCAAATCTACGTATTGTTTTAAATGGAATTAAGGAACAAAGGAAACATTTCTCTTTAAAATTAATATCTTTATATGGAAAAACAAGATGTTCTTCACAGACTCGTCCGGGTTTCATCAAGGCCAATGTGATTTATAATATCGATTTTTGTCTGCCATTCGATTTTTTTTAATTCCAATCTATGTAACTAAAATATATAATTATATCATTCTTGACAAGTTCACCAATTATATTGAAAGGGACAAACCGTAGTAAATATATTTACCTACATTTGTCATACGACAAACATTGGTAAATAAATTGTATTAACAATTCCACGAAATTGAAAAAAATAAGGTTTTTAATGCTATTTTTTTTTCGTAAATTACTTATGCATGTGGATTATATGCAAAAATAGAAAGTACAAGAAAGACAATTAAAAACCTTTATACAAAGGATGACGATGCACTAACTTTTTTTGACACCAAATAGGAATAAATTATTAGAATGATTATTACAAAATAAAAGTTTTTGAACAAGTTGCAAAAAATTAATCATGTATTTTAATATTTTAGACGTAGTTGAAATATTTACACATTGAATTAAAAATATTTTGCAATTCTTAGTTCCGCTTAATATGTTTAAGAAACATAGTAATTAAAAAAAGTGTTTATAATACTTTTCTTTTTATTTTTGCAGTTTTACTCAGTATCGGTGTACAGAATCTACACTGTTCGTCAGTTCCGCCTGAAATATCACGTTTAAACTTTTTTGACACCGACCTCCTTAGATATTTGGCTGAAAACAAAAAAGGAAATGTCCTGGTATCACCAGCCAGTGTTAAATCGACACTATCGATGATTCTCGAAGGAGCCTCTGGTGCGACAGAGGAAGAAATTAGAAGTGCCTTAAGACTTTCCCCATATAAATTCGAATTTAGGGAACAGTTAAATATTTATTTAAAAGCTTTGAACGTAAGTATTCGTTTTGATATATCACATAACATTCGCATATTACATACTATTTCTAGAAATAGTTTCTAAGGCATTTTAAATTTAATTAAATATGTATTATACTTTTTTTCTATAATATATGTATTAATAATTATAGGTCAACACAACGGGAGTGGTCTTGCAAAATGCAAACGCCATATTTGTATCTAAGACTCAGAAAATTAAAAAAGACTATGAGCAGATTTTACGTCAGGTTTATTACGCTGATATTAAAACAGTGGACTTCAGTTACAGCAACAACGCTTCAGACGCTATTAATCAATGGGTCAACCAACAAACAAAAGGCCTCATACCGAATATAGTTCAGCCTTGTAAGTAGAAACTGTAATTATTAAAAATTTTCATCGGTCTTTATGTCAGCTCTATTATGTATTTTGTTCTGTCATTTGTTTAAAATTTATTTTCCTTGTAACATCAGCATATTCAATATTCATATTGTAAGTAATGAATTGTTTCTTAATTAATCATAGCTCTATAATTTAATTTTTCTTTTATAAAATAACAGACACTAAAACATATTTTCGTGCTCTTCCAATCATCGAAATTTATCGCAATTTGTATCAAGAACTAAATTTAACTGAAAAATTTATTCCCTGGACTAAGTTATAGGCCAAACTTATAAAATAATAATAAACCATTTATTGAAAGATATAGCAAATACGTCAATTATTTTTTAGATTCTTCACTGAAAGTGTGCCTAATAAATTATTATCTCGGCACCAATATTATGAAGAGTTGTGTTAGCGTTAACTGGAATGGTTAAAACCCTGTAATTTTGTAACATTTTTTAAACATATCTTAGACCTAAACCGAGTGCTCGAACCTTATAAATAAAAAATGGCATTTGATTTAAAATCGTTTTAACCGACTTAACAACTGAAAGTATTGAATATTATAAGAGGAAATCTAAACGAATCGTGTAAAGTGCACATCACTTTTAAGTATCATAAAGATTCTAACTAAAACGTAATTTATACTATCGCTGATCGTAAGCGATATAAAAAACTATTAACTTTATATAAAAAATATTTTGTAATGACAATCCAGTAAGTATGAGTTTTGTAAAAATTAAATTCCATAATTAATAGTTTCTCTGGAGACCATTGTATTGTCTAAAATAAATATCAGATACATTAGTAGACTTAAGATATACGTAGTATATATGTATTTTAATCTAAAAATTTCATGATTGGTTGCCTTTTAACACCTCAATTCGAAATATAAGAAATAAAGTTTGAATAAAACTATAATATTTTGAGAGGTGAAAATTAAAAACAAATCTAATTAGAGAGTTACATTAGTTAGTGTGTATAAAATAAGAAATAAGTTTAGGGAGCTAGGATAATTCTACGTACATAAAAACTTATATGATGACATAAAAACTTTATTCTTTAAAAAATAAGTATTACAGTTTTAAAATATGAGTATGTTAATCGACAAACAAATCATTATACAGGGTTTATTAACATGGCTGGTAGGTTAAATTTGAAAGCACGCTAATGTACAGAAACCCCGCTTGTAAAATAATAAGGAAATATACCCTTATATATCTTCTTCTTCTACCTGGTAATTTCGCAGCTTTAGCCAGGGTCTGTCTTACATATTGTGAATAGTTTTGGCTAATTGTTTTTACGACCGGGCGCCTGCCTGACATCAACCCTCGTTGGGAATGCATTAATCAGTGATGTCTAAATACTCTTTAGAAAGTACATATGTCTGGGAAAAATCAAACTGGTACTTGTCAGGGCCAGGATCGAACCCGCGCCCTCGTGCATGAGAGGCGGGCCTTTTAACCACTAGGCCACCACTGACATTAATTATTAATAAACTACATATTGTATTGAGTTTTCCAATGAGCTAACTAGTACCAACGATGTATGGATGAACATTCTATTGCAAAGAAAATACAGCCTACTGTTAATGTTATTAAAACTAACGTATAATATTTATAATAATAGTAATGAAAAGTTTATAAATAGATTCTTATAAAACTTTATAAGTCTTTTACATATATAAAGGTAATGCCGAAATATAATATATCCAACAATACTATAAAGTACTTCAAGGTTGACTTGTAATTAACTTCTGTCACTGAGAACAAAACTATCAATGCAGCTGTCGCTGGGTTTTCGTTTGACTCATAATCTAGACACACATAGTGTTTTCCCAACTACATAAATATACACAACAAAATAACTCATATGTATATTGTAAAGTTTATTTAAACAAGAAAAAAAATACATATTTCAATACATATAATTGAAGTTTCTATATATTAAGTTTTATATGTGATATTAAATTATATTTAATTTTTATGTTTCTGGGTTGTATATTATATATATTTACATAATTGTGTTTTGTCGATTCTTTCGTACTCGTAACATAGGTGAGCAAATGTGATCGGTAAACTAAAGTGTTTAGTACGCAATTTATAAACCTTTGCACAAGATACTTTCGTTGTAGGTACATATATAAAAAATATAACTGTGTATTCAGTCTAACAATTCAAATTCACAAATTCAAAAACACAAATCCTCACAAATATTGAACTGTTTTGTAAATATCTTTATAATTTAAAAATATATTGTAATTAGTGCAATATATTAAGTAATCATTAATTTATATTATGTAGCATGATATAAAACCTCCTTTGACTGAGTTCGATAACGAATATATACAAACATATACAAACTCTTTTCTAGCTGATATCAACCCTCAATCAGAGTCGGTGATAGCGAACGCCCTGTACTTCAGAGGTTCATGGAAGAGAGGTTTCAACCCGCGTCACACAAGACCAGCATGTTTCCACGTCGATAAGGGTTGCTTGAAGGTCGCCATGATGGAACTGCATCACGATCTCAATTACGCGTTCGTTGAAAATTTGAGAGCTCATGCTCTTGAACTTCCTTACGAGGTAATATATTTAATTATATTTCAAATAAGGTTTTACTACTTGTCTATTAAAACTCTCTCCAAAAAATCAAAAGTCCTAACCTTAGATAATTAATATATTTTAAATATTTGTATATTACTTATTTCTTTAATTTATTCTCTGATTGTTTTACTATCATATTATTACCACGTCATTTAGTGGATCATTATAAACAGATCTAAAGCTTCGTGAAACATAAATGCTTCTAATATTGCAAAGGCCTATTCTAAATCAATTTTCTTTATGAACTTCTATCATATACTATTAAAATTTAAAATGTATTTCAAATTGAAGATGAAAAAAACTCTGCTAAATTAAAATAGAATTGATCGATATCACCGTCTTAAAAACTTATGTACATAAACTTAACATAGTATAATATAACAAAATGATTATCCTGTTATAACACAATTATTTTATCATTTGTATTTATAGTGGCACAATTATATATTTATAGTGATTTACCTGACTTTATAACGTAATTCCGATTAATATATTTACAGGGAAATCGTTACTCGATGTTTTTATTGGTGCCACAAGAGAAGACGGGACTTAACACTCTGTTAAGAGATCTGCCGTACATGAGTCTACCACAGATAACACCATTTATGGAGAACACTAATGTTCGTCTTTTTATGCCGAAATTCAGTATTGATTATAGTGAAAGCATGGTTGGCGCTCTTCGCAGTGTAAGTTATATATATTTTCAAACAAAAATATCCTAAAAAGCATTATTATTTTGTGTTTTAAAACATATAAGTTATCAATTTATACGTGTACATAATTTTCTTCAGATGCGCGTCACTTCACTGTTTTCGAAAAACGCTAGCCTACCGGGAATGTTCGAGAATCAAACAAGTGAAGTGAATGATATTATGCACAAAGTACACATGTCGGTGGACGAGGTAAATGAATTATTATTTTAATATATAAAGATACACGATAATTTACTGGGTGAACTCAATTGAAACACGATATGTAGGAAGTTGCTTGTTCGAACCCATCGACATATACTAATGGACATGCCGTAATTTTTTGGTTTGAAAAGAGTGAGAGAGATGGCCTATGCTTTCAGTCTAGCACTATCTCTTTCCTCATACACGGATTTAAGTACGGTACTATTTTGAGAGAGATAAAGATAGACCGAAACTTCATTTCCTCTCTTTCTTTCGGAGTGAAACAATTCTCATATCTAAGGCATGTCCATTAGTATATGTCGATGTTCGAACCTGCTCGTTTCGATGAATTTGTCTAATTTAAATATCGTATTAACATTTACGTTGACATTATTACAAGAAATGTCAATTGATAATCATAATAGGTTGACAGATGTCATATAGTTATGCAGTTTTGCAATTATGAATTGTGATTGAATGAATATGAATACATATTACGGACTCATTCGTTCATCAAATAAAATTTAGCTTCAATTCTTACTTCAGAATATATTTCTAAAAGTATTTCACTCCAACGCTCAAACCAGCCAATTTATAAGAATTATATAAATTTAAGTAACAAGTACTTGTTCTTCTAATAATAACGTTAATTTTACTAACAAAATGTTTAGATTTAAATATTAACCAGTGACACATTTTGTTTACTACAAAAAACATTCAATGACTCAAATTAATCAAAGAAGTTTTCTTCCAAAAAAAAATTATTGCAAACAATACATAATAAATACCAAATTAATTGAATAGGCAAACAGAAAAGCTCTCTGCCCTTGTAAATGACATACCCTCCATTCAAAATGCGAGAAATATCCACGAGTGTTTCTATAGTTAAAAAAAAATCACAACTAGTATCCAAACACGAATCAATATCAACATGTTTTCCTTAATACGAAAGTTCCAAAATTAATATTTAAAAAGAAAGTTTTTTTCTAAATAAAGAATATTTGCTGCTACATATTAAATCTTTAAGGGAAATAGTACATAGTAGTCTTTTTTCATTCTACAGACTTGATATATGAGAATATTGTTTGATAGGATAACAGTCACCAACTACAGAAGCGATATAAAATCTGTATAATTCATATTTTCAGTTAGATTATAGGCATGCCATATTAAACTTATTTGCCTTTATTAAACCGAAAGCATCAAAAACATCATCTATATATACATATATATAAAACAGTTCTGTTAGTTACACTATTTATAACACAAGAACGGCTGTTGGGATATAGTTGTAAATTGGTGGGGAGATAGCTTAGCATCGGGAGATGGACATAGGATAATTAATTATGTTCGATTGAAAAGGAAAAAAAAATCCATTATCTATTTATTTATGGCTTATGGTCATTTATACAAATATTACCAATTCTAAAATGAACGTGGACGAAGTTGCGGGCGAAAACTAGTGTCAGAAAAAAAATGTTTATAATGTAGTTATTAATTTAAATATGTTTTTCTTCGTCTGTCGTGTTGGTACATTATATTATTGTCGCTAGGTTGGTACTGTAGCAGCCGCGGTGTCCGTGGCTGTAGTAATACCACTCATAGAAGATGGCATTCAATTACAAGTGGACAGACCGTTTGTATTCTTCATCAGAGACAACGAATTAGAAATAACATTGTTTGAAGGAAAAATTGAAGAACCGTCTGTTTACGTTGAAACAGCTGGTAAGTAATTTATAAAGTATAAAAAGTTTTTATATAATTTTAAAATTGTTTTTTTTTTATTATATGTCAAAATAATTGTTATGTCGACATTTGAAGGAATGACAATGACGAATAGAAATTGAAAATTATTGCTTGTTTTTTTTTTAAATATTATTCTTTGTTTTTGTACTCATGAATACTAGTAAGCCATTTATTAAAAAAAATTGATAACATAAAACAAAAAAAAACAAAATAAATATATAGCACAGATATTTAACTATCGATACTGATCAAAATTAATATGACTATTTTATTTTCTACAGAATCAATAAGCCAGGCAGCTAGAGAGTACAGGCCACAATTCGCTGGTTTTGGATCCCCTTACCCAAGAAATAAAAAGTTCTAGTACCTCCCTCCATCTTTCATATGATTTTATACCAAAAGATGAAAAAACAATACCTTTTCCATAATAAATAAGATATATGTACAACTTAAATTTCAACTAATATGGATTACGCCATTTTTCATTCAATTCCTAGTTTTCATTTCAAATTTTATCCTCTCTATACATATGATGAGTGAGACTTTATAATAATTTAAGTACATATATAAAAATATACCATAATAGGTAATTTCAAATAGATAAAGTATTATATCGTATATTAGATTCTTAGGTATGGCAACACTATTTTAATATTTCTTTACTGAGTCCACAGTAGCGGATATGAATGAAAAAAAATAAACAAATTTAAATTTAAAAACAGTATTTTAATTTAAAAATCCGAAAAACATAGCTTATATTTAATGTTTACAGATAAAGACATAAAATTATTAAAATAATAACGCAAATTGATAAAGTGTGAAGACCCAAAAGGACTCGTATCCAGAGCCGTGTAAACATTTACAAAAAAAAATTGACCGACAAAAATTGACAAATCAACACATGAAAGTAATTTTAGTAACATCGCCAGATTTAATTTGGTTTAAAAGCCCTACATATTATATTAATGTTTAAAGTTTAGAAAATTATCGTAGAAAAAGTAATCAGCAAAATGCAATATTTTTCAATGTCAAAAAAAAACATTATAACATAAATGATTTAAATAACGAATGACAGTTATTTTAGCGGTTTTTCATGCGTAAACCGTCGACTGTGTTCCTATATACGCAGACTTTTTAATGTACCTACAACTCTGAAGTTACAACTGGTTGTTATTATTGCCAGCTCACTATTTATGCTTTTATTTCTAACTATAAACAATAGTTTTTTTTTATTTATATAATAATGCTTACAAGTATTTATTTCATTTCTCATTTATTAGATTTTATTTTAGTTTCATGTATCGAAATTTGTCTATCAAGTTAAAGGTAAAATTTATAGAAGTACAATAGAAGATCGACTACCAATACAGCACCAACTTTTATTTCATATCATAGCCTAATTTTTAAACATTGTTTAAAAATATATTAAGAGTACTCTACCAAATATTTCGACAGTCGCTATTTTCTCTTTAACCCTTTACACAAAAACCGGGGTATTATAAGTATGAAGTCAGCAAGAACCATCGCAACGACTGACCTTTAAATGGGAAAAATTGCATCGAAATCAGTCTATCCGTTTTAGAGCTAACGTGCCACTTACACACATACACATATCCCTCACAAACACAAACAAAGACGTCAAAGTTAAAATACCTCTTTTTAACATCGTGAAAGAAGTAAATTCTTTAGTATTATGTATAGAAAATTGTCCAGAATTTTAAATATAAACAAAAAATTTACTCAATTTACGTTTATAACAAAAATCTCTTACTTTCGTCTCGTGTATAACTTAATACGGAATTATTTGATATTATTCAAATTAATAGATAATTTCAAAGTCCTACTTATGATAAAACAAATTATACACTTATTATAAGACTACAAAATAAACACAATATCAGTGTGCCGATAAACTCAAGTTTTACGTCAAGCTTTCTACAGCCTCTTTGCGGGGGGACTAAATTAACATACATATCAGATTACCTGTTAAAGAATAACAACTTGTAGCGGAATCGTACCGACAAAACGGAGATCGGAACGAGTTATTGAGGATGCATCGATCGTTTCACATTTTTACTACAATTTAGATAACAGGATTCAAAATGTGGAACGAATAATAATTATACACAAAAATATATAATATATCAACGACTTTTTTATTGATAAATTTGGAATAAATATTTTACTAGCTTTCCGCCCGCAGCTTCGCCCGCGTGAAGTTCGGTTATATCGCATTTCCAAGAGAACCTTTCAAAATTCTGGGATAAAAATTATTCTGTTCTTTCCCAAGGTCAACTCTATCTCATCTCATCAAATTTCATTAAAATCAGTTCAGTAGTTTAGGCGTGAAAGCGTAACAGACAGACATACAGAATTACTATCGCATTTATAATATTAGTAGGAATATCTACTATATAGTTCTACCTTTAGACTAAATTGACAAGTGATTAAATGATTTGTAAATAAATAGATACAAGTAGGTATAATGGTCACAAAAACGTTGTCCTTTTTATTTTATAAATGACTTTTAATTATAATTTAATCTGTGGCCAGTATGGCTTCATTGTCAGTTGTATTTCTTTTCCTTTATTCACTGTTGTGACGAAAATAAAACAGTGATTAAACTATCAATAAATCACTTTACCATTTAATAAACTAATATGAAAAAATCTATAGTTATAATTAAAAATTATACAAATGATTCAACCGTGAAAAATATAAATGTTTTTAACATGCCTATTAAATATATTGTTCTTTTGTTTTTTGCCAAATACTTGACAAAAAATGTCTCACTCTATCTATAAATATATTAAAACACTAGCTTTTGCCGCGGCTTCGTCCGCGTGGAATAGTGATTTCCGGCAGATTTTTGGTTCTTCCCACACAGTTCCCGTTCTTGCGGGGTTTTCGGAATGGTCGAGTTCCCGTAGAATTTTCAGGATAAAACCTATGTTTTTTTTATTCACAATGAAGTACTCTTAACCAACAACATATTTATTTCTTTATTTGAATAAAGATTTATATTATTATGTTGATACAACTTAAACAAATTATTTCGACCAAATTAGGTATCATAAAAACGGTTTTTGTGAGTTAATCTTAAAAGATAGACATATACTGTCGCGGACTGTTTTTTAGATCATTAAAAGAGCTATTATTCTTTAAAACATATTTTTTGTGTATCTTGAACCGTTTTCACGGCGCATGCAACGGAAGGCTTCAAAGATGAAATCATTTCTCCCGTTTTTTACACATTTACCACTATATCCTTGCTCCTATTGGTCGTAGCGTGATGTTATATAGCCTACAGCCTTCCTCGATAACTGGACTATCCAACATAAAAAGAATTATTCAATTCGAACCAGTAGTTTCGGAGATTAGCGCTTTCAAACAAACAAACAAACAAACTCTTCAGCTTTATAATATTAGTATAGATTAATAATACATATAATATGTTATAATTTAAACAAGTATAGTATAACAATAATTTTTAGTTCACGACTGGATTGTTATGTATATCTCCGAATTTATTATCTTATTTCTAAGAATGGTATGGGAGGTTGGAAATGCATTGAAAAACAAGTGAATCTCGTCCGTTCTTTACTTTTTTGTTATAAACTGGATTCCTCATATAACAAACTCAAATTGATCGCAAAACAATGGTTAGCTTCGAATTTGAGTTTTGACATTCCTTATGATAAAATTAGTTTAAAAATACTGGTTGGAAATCACGAAGTTAAAAAAAATAGACACAAAAGAGTTTGGTAGGGTGTGAATACTTTGTGCTACACAATTGAGGTGAAATCCTGTGAGAAAAAAAATACCAGTGTACTTAATTTATTTTATACAGCCAATATAAATAATAATAAAAAAATATAAGCAAATTAAAAGCGAGGGTCATAAAATGACAAAAAACATGTTAATAAATTCGTTGAGACCCGAATTTTGGTTCTTAAATTTTGACCTTTTTTATTAGTTATATTATTCTCTTGCTCGTATATCTGCGGTCATTAATCCCATTAATTAACATACCTCCTTATTTAATCTGTTTATTTTTAGCTTAAAAATGGGACTTAACACGGAATATCGTTTAAATTTTATAAAGACGTTGAACTTAAAAAGAGTTGTTATAGTATCAGATGGAATTTAAAAAATGTATCAATGTAATAAATTAAAAAAAAAATCCGAATGTATTTATTAGTTGTCATTTATCGATTACACTAGCAAGCATGAAGAACTTATTGAGTAATAGCATACCAAAATGCCTATACTATTAAAGAAAGAGGTCTTACGTTGGTGGACCAATAATAAACTAACATAGCAAAGAAAGACCTCAAAGAAATCGGCTTCCAAATCAAACAAACCCCATTAAAATCAGTAGATCTGTTTCACATCAACATCAAACTTTTAACGATACTCTTTATGTTGAGGGTTAAAAAATATGTTATGAAAATGGAACAACAACATATTATTCTGAAGCAGTTTTTATCGTAGCCAGAGATAATAGGACGATTTTTAGTAAATTGAGAGTTGACTTGATTTTGAACACAATTATAATAAGACATTTATAACACACAACACATTTATAATAAGAAATTTACGGTCAAGGATCTGACTCGATATGTACGAAATCTGCGACTGATCCATAATAATCCTTTATTTGAATGTTAGGTCCTTTAAGTGTTAAAAACAATTATTATGTTTTATGTAATAATATCTGTATAAATATTGTAAGAAACCTCTGAAACGAACTAACTCTAATTACCTAATTATCTAATTAATTTTAAATCGTGATGTACTTACGATTAATGTAACTATTCCAATAACTACTTATAAAATTACATTTAAGCCGTTAAGCATCCATAGGATATAAAATAATAATTAATTGATAAAAAGCAATCGCATCAGCATTATAACGGTTAGCCTAATTAATGCGATGATCGGCGAAATCCTATAATAACCTTTGGGGCACTTTTTTACCATAAAATCCAGTTAAAAGGTCAGTTCTATACGTAGTATTGTTTATTCAAACATAACTGTTTAATGTAGATATAAAGCGTGTTGGTTTGCGCAGACGTCACTTGTGTCTCAACCGACTGTGTGGACAGTCCTTTGCGGCGTGAACTGTGTTAAAAAAAATTATTGTAAGTACAAATTTACGTGAAATATATTTTCTTAATATCATATATTTATTATTAGCGTATAAATTTTATATTTGGTCATCTAATTTAGTTAGGAAAACGTTTGAGGTAATCGTTATTTGTTCAATCCGTTTGTATTGAAGCCGGTTTTTCAAAAATTTTAAGTTTTACTTAACATTACAAAAATTCCTCTCAAGCGTGATGTCATAATGATCACGCTTTGCTACCGACTCATCTCTGTCATGATGTTAACAATTTATTTTTTGTGTTTACTCTATAACCAACTGACCTTTGTGATGGCTATTTAAACTTTACATAAATATTTCTTACAATACGTATATAATTATCACCAAAAATATTGCCATATGATATATCAATGATCATTTTATTAAATTATGCTTCTATTCAATATAAAAGTATAAAATCCTCCATTTTATGTTCAATAAACGAAAGCGTTTAAAGTAAAAAAAAATCATCATTATTCAACCTCATTTCTTGGAACTACATAAAACATTATACTTATTATATGTCTTTAGTTAATTAATTAATATAATTACTAATTTATTACCGATTTATACAATAAAACATAATATATATAGAAAAACTTGTTAGTTGCAATACAGATACCGAAAAGTATAGAAAAATAAATTTATGACATTATTTTTCACAGTGAAGCGAAACAAGAGGCGTGTGAGATGAAGCCGTTATTCTTAGGTAAGTAAAATTATTATAACTTATTTAAACTATCAAAATACATAAAAACTTGGATAACATTTTATTATCATTATATATATTTTAAAAGTTTTTTTAAACAAAAGACTTAAAGGGTTAAAATGACGAATGAAAACATCAAGTATGATCACGGATTATGTCATAAATATTCTTGTTGTGTTATTATTTTGCAATTCAAATTATCTGTTGACATCCACGGATTTGTTAAGAGAATATTTTACATTAATTTGTCGAATGAAAATAGAAAATATTCATAAAAATATATCGTAAATTAAATTTTTCATACAAATATATTTTTTCCGTTAACGTAGTATTGTAAATTAATGGCAAGTTATTTTAAGCGAACTATGAAAGTATTTATTTATATTTAGTAGACCTTTTTAAAATAAATAAACTGTACAATTACATACATTCAAATTAATCTCATATAAAATTATTTTAACATACGTCAAATACTTATTACTTCCATACTTTATTTATTACTGAATAGATTATTAATTATTATTATCCTGTTCAATATTAAAATAGGAAATAGTTTAATAAACACGTAATTTTTATTCATAATGTAAATAAAATAAATAATTATAATTAAACAGTCGATATATTCTTTTAAAACTTAAGTAAATATCTTATCGTAGAAGTGCGGTGATGACTTTCCCAGGCGGTATGCGCTACATTACTAAGTTTTATTGTAACGTCAACAACACAAATGCATTTCATATATTAAAAATATTTTTTAAAAAATGTTCTTATTAAATTATAAGTTATAACTTCTATTAGTCCTAGTTTTTATAGATAAACTAAAAAAATTATTTTAAATAATATATTGCCCTATATGGGTATGTTACAGCTTCGCTCAAAAACTTAATCAAACATTACATTTTTTTGCCTTTGAATACATAACTGTGTTCGTTACTCATTAGCCCAAATTAAATAGGAAAATTAAAATGAAATATCGTAAATCTTATAAAAGTTTACGCTAAAATTAGTTTATGTTAAAATATAAGTATTGTTTAAAGCTATAATATATTATTTTTTCTGCTGTCTGTCGTCGTGAAAGTACAATAGCGTAGGGTCAAACGCGTGCGTTCACCGCTCAGTGACTTACTTGTTCGACACCGAGCTAGATTCTATTAGCTTCTTCCAATAGATTTATAGCTGGAACCTGTACGAGAACGGCTGTTTTATAGCGATGTAAAAGGAGAGTGAATATTTATTATTTGATTTAAATACTAAATTGGATTTCTATAATAATCTATTATATACTTATTCTAGTTTAAATAGTCTTTTTAATGTCTAACTATAAAGGAAATGATATATAACATTAGCAACGCTTCGTGGGTTTATTTGCGGCTATTATTAAGGAATCTATGTTACTCTTTTATATGAACAACAACGCTAAACAATATTAGTAACATTAAAAATAATGTGCCTATATTATTCTTAACAAGTATATTTAACATTCATAAAAAGATTTATTATAATCTTAGATCTAATTCATTCGATTAGCGTGTACAAACAACCAAACGAATTCATCAGTTTACTTCAATTTACAGAATGCGGTACTGACATTTTTGTTCTGATACTACATATGTAGTTATTTTACGGTAGTTTGATTTCCAGGTAGACCGCAAAACAGGAATTTATCTAATATTATCTACTTTTAATATTATTTATGATTCAAATTGCTTTTGTGAATTTAAATCATATTTTTAAACAAGTCTCAACGAACATTATTATTGTAGTATTTTTCACTAAACAATACTTTTTTAATATTCATAAAGATGAGCCGCTTGCAAACTAATAATAGTATTCAGTTTATTAAAGATTTTCCTTAATAAAATGGAAGCAACAATTCCATACCAAAAAGTATTTATTGACGTTCCTCCAGCTATATATTATTCTTTATAATTAGTACATATAAATTAAAAAAGCTTTAAAATAAGATTATTTATTATACACGTACACATATCTTGTAATAATTTACTACAATATATCTCAGCCCTTACTTTACGGTTAAGTTAATAAGCTCGCGTGATGTTACATAGGAAGACTTTCTTAAATAATAATTGTAGCGAGTGTTGTATCGTTTACCGGTAGCGTACCAAAGATGGCCGCCTTGTTTTATAAATACTTATGTGTTTAAAACTGATTTTATTATTCATTGTGATACATTTATGTAGTCTAAACGATATTTATATTGTTGTTTTTTTTCTATAACCCAGCGTCATTATAAAGGTTGAAAAGAATACATTTTTCTAAAGCCATTTTATTAATAATTTTAATTTAATAATTATGGGAAAAATATATGAAGAATAATATTGCTATTACATACGTGTTTCTAAAGTTTATGCTGATTATATGTCTTCATATTTCCGATACCTCTAAGACACGTTTAAGACAAAATCATTTAAGTTATAATTGTGGGAAATTGCATATGATCTGTTCATTATACCGCTAGATGGCGCCGGTTGACCCACATTGAGCCGGTTCGGATACAACACAGTTATCTATATTGAATTTAATAAGAACATCGGAAAAACACAATATTAATAAATATATTAGCTGGTTTACATATCAAACTGGTTATATGTCTTAAATATGTAGGTAAAACTGTATTCATTTAAAAAAATATATGTTATAAGCCAATGATCGTTGTTTTTATAGATATTTAAAATTGGTTGAATACCTAGGTATATTATGCATTTCAAGATATAAATATAGTTCTAAGGTCAATAAAATTATTTTAAATAAACTGTTATCTATCACGAATACATCTTAATGTCATAATAACATTCTTCTCGCAGTTTTGGTGGTCGCAGTGGGCCTTTCAAGTGCACGGTGGTTACGCAAACAAAGGTCAGATGAATCTAAAGAAGCATGTTTCGTTGGCAAGGCAACATATGAACTTTCTACCACAATGCTACAGGTAAATAAATTAATAAACCAAATCAATATAACTGATTAAACGCTTTTAGTTCAATGATTCTAAAATTGCCTTTATTTTAGGGATATTTAGACGATGACACAAATATCGCGTTTTCTCCCTTGGGCTATTCGGCGATTTTGGCTATTTTAGCAGAGGGAGCGACGGGTAAAACTAGAAATGAATTAATATCAGCCTTACATCTGCCCGAAGATCAAAATCTTACAAGGAAAACTTATAAGGATATCTTAGAAAGACTAAAATATAGGAACGAATACAAACATAATCAACCCGAATTGAAAAATTTCTTTTACATTTACAAAAATTATACCATTAATGAAGACTACAAGAAGATTTTGGAAGACTATTACTTAACAGACGTTCGTTCCATCGAGAGACAGTCTTCTATAGAAGACTTTAATTCGGAAGAAAATGAACCTGAAATAAAAGAAGAAGCTGCACCAAAAACAGAAGAAGTCTCAGATCTTATCCAACCTGAAGAATCTAATGAACAGCTATTTTCATACGCAGTTAAAGATATACCAGAAAAAGTTTATAAACCAGCTAAAAACATAAAAGAACAAATAAAGCTAGTAAAGACAACTGAAGATAAGAAAGATATTGGAGATGAAGAAGAGACTATGGTTGCAGTTGAAGCAAGAAACCACGCTAGGAGCCTACAAGTGTTGAACCAGAAAAAAGACATTGCTTCAAGCATTTCTGTCAACAGTGTGGGTGATAAGTCCAGTAAATGTAAGATAGCAAGTTCAGAATATTAACATAAAAAAAAGAAATTGTATGTTATTCTAATTAATGATTATTTTTTTGCAGCTGTAAATTCTTTGATGCTTATCTTCAACGGTATGTACTTCCGTGGTTCTTGGAAGAAAGCATTTGACAAGATCGAACCTGGTTTGTTCTACAAATCTAGTTCAGAAAAGAAGCAAGTTCCTATGATGAAGTCCCGTGGCAACTTTTTAACTGGTTCACTGCCTGATTTGGACAGTGAAGCTATTTTATTGCCATATGATGTAAGTATTTAACCAAACTTCTTTTCTCATTGTTCTAATATCATATGTTAATATCATATAAAAGTTTAAGTAAATTATGTATTCGTTTCTAATAAAGACCGTGGGCCATCGGTGACTAAACGCTTTTATTCCCAATATTCTGTTTGAAGTCACTTATTAATTTAAATTGGCAATTTTGCTTGTTCTAGGGTGACCGTTACGCTCTAATCCTTTTGGTCCCTCGTTCCCGAGATGGTCTTGTCCGTCTAGTCGCTGACCTCCCAGACACTACTCTAGCCGAGATACAAGAGAGCCTTCGTGAAGAGGAATTAGAAGTTTCTGTGCCCACTTTTTATGTTGAGACTACTACAAAACCAGTTACTACTCTTGCTAAGGTAATTATACTCATATAAATATATAAAACTAAACTGTAAACTTCTATACTACTACACATGTATCTATAAGTTCGTAATGTGAAACAATTGTGTTCATTTCAGTTGTTATTTAGTTTTAATTGCTTTAATTCTTTATTGCAGTTTGGTGTAAGCAGCATTTTCGGGCATGAGGCTGAATTATCTGGTATTTCCTCCAAAGAGGGTTTATTCGTTCAAGAGCTGGTGCAAAACGTTGCCGTGCGTGTCGACAATACAGATGCATCAGCGGCCTCGATCTCAGGTGGATATTCTTTTCTAAACAATAATTAGTATTCCTTACTCGTTTTCCATTGTATTGTAATATTTCGTGTAATTTCATTTATTTCTTAATATTACCGAGAAAATACGTCGTGTGACTAAGTTGAAAAGAAACGTTGTGCTTTGTTTGAATGTAACATATTTTAACGATTTAACATATTATATTTTTTTTTAGCACGCAAAAAATATTTAATGTTTTTAAAACTATTCACAGCGAGCAACGTCGTTGGGGATATTGAAGCAGTCGAATCTGAATTGAAGAGTTTACCACTCGTTGAAACGGAAGGACCTCGTCGTTTCTGCGTGGAACGGCCCTTCGTATTTTACATCATCGATCGCCTAGAAGGGCTTGTAGTTGTGACCGGCAAGATCATCGACCCTGAATTACAAAATGACGTTTAAACGTCAAATTGCAATACAAATGGCAGAACATGTCTACAATATGCATTAAAATTTTATAACATGACCGTCACGTCATGTTTCTTCCCACCCCGACAAATATCTAACATTTTAAACAATGTATAGTTTCCTTTTGCTGTGGGGTTGTTTATGATTAATTAGAAACCAGAAGCATTTGATACAGAAAAAGTACACAGCCTAGTATAATATAATCTTAAGTTATTTATTTTGTAAGAGTTGTGATATTTTAAGAATAAATTATTTATTATGCTCAAATTTTATTGGATTATCGAACCGTAGAGAAGTGAATTGTCATAATTTTATCATATCTTTAATTTAACACCGACTCGTTCCAAAATGAATCAATAAATAATTAACTAGTCTGATAAAGCAATATCACAATTACAAACAATTAACAATTGCAATAGGCATAAAGCGATTATTATTTGATATTTCTAAAAAAGAAAACTAATGTATTTTATTATATTTTTATTGAATAAAAGTACATTCAAGACATTTAGTTCTATTTCTAAAACATTCAAATACATTTAAACTATGTTTCAAGAACAGTAAAGTGATCCGAATGTATATCATCAAAATTGCCTTAAGATTAATCTTAATATTATAAAGTAAATGTAATGTATACTACTTGTGAATATCTGAAAAACATCAAATCTTAGTAGTTCCTACAGTTTCTACCACATCAAAGAAGTTACTGATATTTTGAAGGAATTTTTTGGGTGCCACAGTTTAAGTTGAAGTTGTCAACATTTATTAGCTAATAACTATTAATATTTTAAACATGAAATTATCGGTTTGATTTCAACCAGCTAAGAATGTATATTACACATATATAAATATTTATGGAATGAAGTTTAAAAGATACTATCCCTAATGACTATTTATTTGTGACAATAATCCGGTAACTACAACACAAAATCTTTTCATTAACATTTCCATTACACTAGTTTATGATATCTTTTTAATATTTTATCAAATTGCCAATAATTTTCATCAATCCTTAAATAATGATAATCTAATCCACCATAATATTTCTAACCCATTTTGAATTCAATAGTTTTAACTTCTTAGTTTTCTTTCAAGAAAATGTCTGCTAATTTGTCTTCTTATTAATTTCAACCACCATTCAGTTTTGCAAACTGCCTTCCCTTTATCAAACATCCTTTGAGATCTCATAGAATACTTCTTTGGATCTATTCATTCCCATGTTTTTGGCTCTACCTTCATTTAAGGGGAATCCTTATTAAAAACTTTTCTTAGGACTTCATCAGCACCATTATAAGGCAGATAGTCTATAATGAGGGTAGTTCCGATTTAATAACCATATTTCCTCAACAAATTCACAATAGTATATTACCGAATTATTGTCCAGTGACATCAAGTTGGTAATCATATTATTACCCAAAAACTACAAAGTACAATAAGTAAAACATGATTTGTAAATGTATTAAAATGGTATTTTATAAAAGAAATCCCGAAAGCTTCACTTTCAACTCTTCAATAAGATATAATTGATTTCACACAATACATCAATCCCGTTTATGTTTTGTCTCGTTTCTTTTGTATGACGTCTTTCATTTTTCTAACAATCTGTTCGTCGGTGACATATATCTCGCTGTCACCCATATCCAAGTCATCATTTTCATCCAGCTTCCTTATAATCTTGCAAGAGCTATGGATCATCTCAAACCCTAAATCCATAAAGATCGCAGCATTCTCACAGGTGATCCCGGCACCTGGCAATATTTGAATCTCAGATCCGAAATGTCTCAAGAGCCATTTGTATAATTCAATAGCATCGTTATAAACTGCGGAAGGCTTCTGACCGCTTGTCAAAATACGATCAAATCCCACTTCAATAATATCACGTACAGCATTTCTTGGATCTCGGCAAAGGTCGAAAGCTCTGTGAAATGTGACTGGCACTTGGCCTGCTTCTTCTAAAACTTTTGCACAATTTATCTTGTCCACCTCATGATTTTCCGTCAGAGCTCCGAACACGAATCTATCAACTCCCATGTCCTTGTAAACCTTGATATCGGCAAGCATTGTTGTCATTTCATGATCATTGTAGCTGAAGTGAGAACCGCCTCTGCATCTAATCATCACATTCACCTTCACCTTCTAGAATAAAAAACATTATTATTAAAAGGAATCTTTGGTACTCCCAAAAACATCTGCCAGTTATTTTCATGTATAATTTATAAAAAAAACTATAGGAATTATTTCGACTTACCTTGCTTTTCCGGTTCTTCGGTTGGATTGAGTTTGAAGCCTGAAACATTTATTATACATTATTATTTTTTTTTTTTTTTTTGTCTTTTTATCTCCATCCTTAATACTAATTATCTTGATTAAGGCGTAGATATCTATTCAAATTAGAGATTATTGAAAATACCTACCATGCTTAGAACTTCTGTGACTAAGCCTGGTGATGGAGTCAGCCCGCCTTCTACAAGGCAGCTGCATAGTTCTAACTCATCGGCACCTCCCAATACAGCATTCACCGCCGATTCTAAACTGTCTACACAGACCTCTAGCATCGTTAATAATTATACTCAAAAATGATAATACTTAAAATATTTTATGTCAGATATATCAAGAGAAGGTAAGTGACGCTATGAAATTTTCTTTCAATTAGATGTTTCCAGTTTTTAAACACAACTTCTAACGTCCTACCCCGACAAAGTCCTCTAGAGGAATGGCACAATTCCTAGCCTAGGCCCTAGCTCGCGATAGGGTTTCCTTACTTATCTTTATAGTCGGTTTTCAGTTTTTAAATAATCATAATTTCATTGTTTTAAAAACGTGAAGAAAAGAAAACTTGAATAATATTTCTTATATTACAGAGAGTGTTTAGAATTTTAGAGTGTTTTGCAATCATTTGTTTGTTGAAAGTAGAAAATATTTCACAATTAAATAAACACTGTTGGGTAAATTATCCAAACGTTTTTAAACTATGTCATGGCAACAGCGATCTAATTGCAACCAACTTCACGTTCAACCCTTTTGTCATTTCGAGACTTACGGACACGCGAACGTCGGCAGAGTAAAGCCAACGTTCGCTGTTTTTTATTAGGTATTTAACTATATTGACAAACGAAAAACTCTTAGAAACTAAGCGCTTTTTTCTGAAAATAGAATTTATGATTTATAAATTATTTTTTCTTTTTAACATTGTACCATATGATTACCGTATAGGTTATATTCAAATGCCTATTAATTTGTGCCACGAATGTATTTTGAAAGTTGTATTAAAATACCTGATTTTTCTAGTGTTTTAGTGGTGTAATTTAAGTTCGTTTATTGACAGAGATGTCTCGAAAGAAAGCTACTGAGGAGACAGACAAATTAACACGTATCGCAATCGTGAATGCTGATCGTTGTAAGCCTAAAAGATGTAGGCAAGAATGCAAGAAAAGTTGCCCAGTGGTGCGCATGGGTAAGCTTTGCATCGAAGTGACTCCCAATGACAAGATTGCCACCATATCTGAGGAGCTGTGTATTGGTTGTGGTATTTGTGTGAAGGTTTGTTTAGACTAACTTTATCACATCGTACTTTATCACATCGAACTTATTTTTTTGCAGTAAATATTATATAAACTACTTCAATTATTACGTGTTTCAGAAATGTCCATTTGATGCTATAACCATCATTAATATTCCATCTAACTTGGAGAAACATACCACTCACCGTTACTCTAAAAACTCATTCAAACTTCATCGTTTGCCGATACCTCGACCTGGAGAGGTTCTGGGACTTGTTGGTCAGAACGGTATTGGAAAGTCCACTGCCTTGAAAATCCTTGCTGGCAAACAGAAACCAAATTTGGGACGATTTGCTGTGAGTATATAAAACTTATAGTGTGCAATGAATTTTTTAATGTTTACAAACAGTGAATAGTATTGATGTATGTACTCTTTTTACCTAGTTTTATTGGCTTATTTTAAAAATAAATTATTAGAAAATCCTTAAACTATATATCATAAAATAAATAAATATGAAATTTCAACTATCAATCATCTGTTTAATTTTAGGATCCTCCTGATTGGCAAGAGATTCTATCTCATTTCCGCGGGTCAGAGCTTCAGAACTATTTCACTAAGATTCTTGAAGATGATTTGAAGGCTCTCATTAAACCTCAATATGTGGACCAAATTCCGAAGGCTGTGAAAGGAACCGTCGGGCAGTTACTTGATAAGAAAGATGAAAGAAAAAATCAAGAGATCATCTGTAGTATGCTGGGTAAGACTCAAACACAATTATTAAGTTAAAAGTATCAGTATTTAACTGCTTTGTTAAGTAGTGAACAATATAATATCTGAAATTACAACAATTATAGTTGATCATTGGATCATACTAATAAAAACATCAAGTTTATATAAAAATAGAATATACTAATCAGTGTTAGTAAAAATTAGATCAATATATAAGGAATATTTTAGAAATTTCATCTATCCAAATATTGGCATCCTCAAACAAGTCTTTTATGTAATACATGATAATATTTGTCACTAAATTTACTTTTTTTACTTACATAATCCTTTTATATCAAAATGTTATAAAGATATCAAATAAACAATTATTATAAATATAAACTATATTAAATAAATATCACATTTTGAGGATTGTGCTACTTTTTTATATGACACATTTTATATTTTAGTTTTGATCCTTGTTAATATAATTTTAATATTAAAGATACTTGAATTAGTCTAACTTTGAGATAAATAAAAATATTTTTATGATGTATTATTAAACTTGTATGACTTAGCTTGTGGCTACAAGCCAGTGCTATCTGACCATAATGTCTAACAAGTTAACAGAACAACATCACGATAATACCTGTGTTTTATAAATCATTTGTAATTTTAAAGAAAACTGAAAATCTTTTCTGCCTGTGATCATGGTTACTGCAAACTAACCGAAACGTCGGGAGTATATAGTTTTAAAATTAATAAAGTAATACATGATTATCCAAAAATATTAGTTACATTTAACAAGAAACTCTTCTTCTACCAAGCAATTTCAATTAGACAGGGTCTGCCTAATATTAACAAGAAACTATTTCATATTGTGAGAATATTAAACTTAATAATCATTAACAGATCTGTCTCATATTCGTGATCGTGAGATTGCTGCGCTGTCCGGTGGGGAGCTCCAACGTTTTGCATGTGCGATGGTTTGCATTCAGAACGGTGATATATTCATGTTTGATGAACCTTCTTCATACTTGGATGTTAAACAGCGTCTGAACGCTGCTAGGACCATAAGGTCGCTTATTGACCCTGATAAGTAAGTAATAATTATAATTGTTGGAATAAGTTACACCAAAATTGATTAATTAGATATTTTTAGTTTACTAAGAAATTTTAAATGTATTATAAAAATAAATAACTGCAATTTTGGTACAACTAGTATTCACATCACACATACATGCAGTGATACTTTTTCATTTTATTTTATATATGGTAATTATTTTTATTTAAATACAAAATAATACTGATTGGTAATTCTAAATTAGCTTTCTAAATATATAACAAGGATAATCTACATTTTGTGCAGTACATATGCATGTCAAATTTATGAATTTGTAAATGAATATACATAAATATATGTATATACTATATTGGAAAAATTATCACTGTTATTCTAAAAAGTTTTTATATTGATCTAAAATATGTTGTAAAGATGAATCCATGTTAATAATGTATTTATTTCAGGTTTATTATAGTTGTGGAGCATGACTTGTCAGTACTGGATTATTTATCTGACTTTATTTGTTGTTTGTATGGCGTCCCTGGTGCTTATGGTGTTGTCACTATGCCTTTCTCTGTTCGTGAAGGTAAAACTGCATACCATTAATAGATAACGTAGTAAAATTTTTTTTTATATGGCAATTTTGAACTATTACTCTAAAATGCGGACTATAGAAAGTAATTTTTTTCAGGTATAAATATTTTCCTCGATGGTTTTGTGCCAACTGAAAATATGAGATTTAGGACTGAATCACTTGTGTTCAAAGTAGCTGAGTCTGCAACTGAAGAAGAGGTAAAATACTTTGTTTCTTAATACTTGTAATATCCTTTTTCTCTAAAGAACAATGATTGAACTATTTTATAAATATTAAATGTATATATATGATATTTCAAACAGATAAAAAGAATGAACCACTATGAATATCCTCAAATGAGCAAAAAGATGGGTGATTTTAGTCTATATGTAGAACAAGGAGAGTTCTCTGATTCAGAAATCTTAGTACTTTTGGGTGAAAATGGTACAGGAAAAACTACATTCATTAGAATGTTAGCTGGTAATCTGGAACCCGATGAAGGTAAGATATAATTTCATTTGTATTTACTAAAAAGGTTCACCAAGAGCAATTTATGTTACCAAAATTGTTCTAATACTAGGAGGTAAATAGTTCGAAAATAAGTCATGTCTAATTATTTTCACGTATTTCGTAATGAAGATGAGTTTATAATAAAATTAAATACTATAATCATAATTTTGTAGCATTTATTATAAAAAATCAAATTAAAAATAAAAAAGATAAGATAATGTTGCACAATGTAATTAAAAATAATTCGTAAAAAAGACATACAACATAAAAAAAAATATGGAAGCTAGTTTAGTGATTAAAATTTTAAGACATTCATAAAAAAATTTACATGTATCTTTTTAATTGAATACATATTATTTAAAAATTGATTTACGTGATTATTATAAGGGTAACACGTATTTACTAAACAAAATTATTATATTTGAGTTCATTAAAATGGAATAATGGTAAATCGGCTTTGGCGTGTATCCGAACGCTTACATAATTTTTAGGCCAATGTACCATCTGGCAACCCCAAGCTTTTACGTCAAACTTGTGAAATTTGTCAAATGATAAAGATTCGTGAAATCTGTTAAAGTTGTACTTTTATAACATTTCAATTGAGTTTTAGTATTTTTTTAAAACGCATTTACGTTAAAATGTCATCGATTTAGTTGTCTGTTCATTTTAGATTAATAATGTCGAACAAAGAAGGGTATAGGTTATTTGTAAATTTAAGTGTATATTGATGATTATTATACTATATTATAGCATTTGTTGGCCGCTATAATGGCTCGGACTGAATTATTTGATTTATTTTTCCATCCCGTGTTTCAAAAGTGTTTGAAACATGCAGAATCCACCATGCCCCCGGAAGGTAAAATACGTAGTTAAATATAACAAAGAACGAACATTTCTATATAATTTATACATCGCGCATTTTAGACAATTATATCGTAGAATTTCTAATATTTCATGAAAAAATGTTAAGTTTTTTTTGTAGTGAATGATTTAATTCAATGAAATGCATTTTAATAGCAGATCTTCAAAATTGTGTCATTGAATGAATTAATTTCTATGCAAAAACAATATGTGAAACATGATATTTGCAGTCAAAGTGTAACTTTATCTATATTTTTTACATTTAATATACTTATTTCTTAACACAAAAAATAAGATTTTGTACACTGTACCTAATAGTACAGTCTTTTTGGACTTTTTTTTGTTTTCTTCATTAAGTTTTATATGTTTTCTAGTTATACAACGTTTCTTGATGCAAAATGTTTAGAGTTGAAGTTTATTACATCAAACACAAGTTTAATAAAGATATTAAATTTATCAATTTTCTAGGACAGATTTAAGGATTACCTATATTAATGAGCTTATAGTAATTGACTTAAAATTCCTGTATTAAATCATCATTGTTATTGTTTAAGGTGCAAACCAACTGCCACAGCTACATATTAGTTATAAGCCACAGAAAATATCACCCAAATCGCAGGGCATGGTTAGAAATCTTCTTCACGACAAGATAAGAGATGCGTACACACATCCACAGGTATGTTACAAATCTATAATATAATCTAAAAATTACCTTAATACTAAATTTAACCAAAAAAAATATTAATTACACTATAATATATCAAATCACAAAGAAATTATATTGCTTTTACATGACATATCTACCATTGAGAAATAATATTAATGAATTTTTTCAGTTTATTACAGATGTAATGAAGCCAATGAAAATCGAAGAGATTATGGACCAAGAAGTGCAGAATTTGTCGGGTGGTGAATTGCAGCGTGTAGCGTTGGTGCTATGTCTCGGTAAACCGGCCGAGGTTTATCTTATTGATGAACCTTCAGCCTATTTAGATTCCGAACAACGTCTTGTTGCTGCCAAGGTTATAAAACGGTGAGTTAAGGTGTTATTGCTATGTAAATGTTCATAATTAGGTTGTATATTGTTTACTTCATACATATTTTGTATATACAGAGTGACCTTATTCATTGTTAACATATACTACAGTCTTTAAGTAACCTTAATATTTACTCATAATAGTAGTTTATTAAGAACATAGTTCTTTCTTCAGATTTATGATTATCAGAGTTTACTAGCATTAAAATATTTTGAGAGAGCAAAGAATCATATTCCTATTATTATTTAAATGCTTTTTATCGAATTATGTATACTACTGCATTCACATGTATTTTCTAATAACAATTTTATTATACAAACCATGGACAATCTATCCAAGTTACTGATTAAAATAAAATTCTTTTTTATAATACAAACTGTAACTTATCTATTGCATAGTTTTGATGTCATATCACTAAGTAACTAAGTTGTGAAGTCTAATACATATTAATTAATAATAATATACATATTAATTTATAAATCCCAGGTTCATTCTGCACGCCAAGCGTACTGGTTTTGTGGTAGAGCACGATTTCATAATGGCAACATATCTGGCAGACAGAGTCATAGTATTTGAAGGAACACCCTCGTCTAACGCAACTGCCCACGCTCCACAGTCATTGTTAAATGGAATGAACAAATTTTTGGAACTGCTCGGTATTACATTCAGAAGAGATCCAAATAATTTCAGACCTAGGATCAATAAACATGCATCTGTGAAGGTATATATGACATACATTCATTTTATTCAATTTTTTTTTTCAATAAGAATGATTTTAATAGAATCATGAACCTATATAAATAGTTAACATAATATATGCATTATAAATTTACCTAAAATCTTAGCACACTTCAATAATTTATTGTATTTAATAATGCTGTTGGTTTTTAAGAAAGTTAATTTAATTTTGTTCTTTCACTGATTGTCAATTGTTTTTTTATATTGCACGTAATTTTTATTTTTACAGGATATAGAACAGAAGAGAGCAGGCCAGTATTTCTTCCTGGAAGACTAAAAGCTTGTATGATATATTATTTATATATACCGGAGTTATTATATCTGTCACAATATTGATGGTCTGCCATCCGTGTATTTCCAACTATATAATATATATTACTGTAATAAATCAGTTTTATACAAAGTTTTCCTTATTTTATCTGCCCATGTGAATTAATAGGACAAAAATCTATTAAAATTGAATATTTATGGAATTGATGTTGGTGAATTATACTTTATTTTTTCATTAAAATACTATTTGCTTAATGCTAAATTGTTATGAAACCTATTATTTTAACTTAGTAATCTGAACAACATTTTTTTTAAGTTATGAATGAAACTAATGTTTCGTATTACTAAGCGTCATTCTATTATTTTTAAAACTACATTTTCCTCACGTTTCGGTTAGTTTGCAGCAAGCGTGATCACAAGCAGACGAGATGTGAATGTGACACATTTAATTAATTACTCGCGAAAGTCTTAGATCTCATTTAAATAAATTATACTTCTTTATTTGTAGAAGAAAAAGATATTGCCTATCCCTACAATTTATTAAATTTCTACAATCGTCTAAGATAAAAAAACGAGGAGTTTGTTACACCCTCTCGGAAGTATTATTAAAAATATTTCAAGGAAGTTTTAATAATTTATATATCAAGATAAATATGTAGACGAAATATTGGTTTGTGGTTGGATTTTCTCCTAGGAAACTGGTATAGGGGGCCAGTATCCAGCTATAACTATATTCAAAATAAATTAGAGCCTACTACAACTTTTCAGCGGCAATTGAGAATATTTTCTTTTCGGGTTACACTAAAAGTATTTTTAACTCAATCACTGAAAAATCATGTATGACTACAGCGATAACCTTTTCCATTAATAGCATTTAATAGTAAGGTCAGACAGATCACCGTTTGTAATCAAATTGAAAAGAAAATACATTATCTTTAAAGTTATTTTATGAAAACCTCGAAACTAAAGAATGCTAATGACCTGCAAAAGGGCAAAATGACAATACGTATCTATATTATATAATGTTTTAAATTAGCCGTTCCCAAAGTGGGCGATAACGCCCTGTGGTGGGGGCTGCAGGCCTGAAGGGGTGGTAAGCGACATTCAGGAAATTGGGAGCGTTGTCTAGAGGCCTGGGGATTCATTTTTAATTTCATTTAGCTACGATAAGTTATAGTTATATTTCAGAAAAAACGGGGGCTAAAAATAATTATTCTCAAAATGGACAGTTGACGAAATTAGTTTGGGAACCCCTGAATTTTAAATAAATCACTCTAACCTTGACTCCTTATCCTGGTGTAATGAACGCAAAATGAATTAAAACCTATCTAATTTTTTTTTAAAGAGAACTGCAAGTTTTTTGGATTACAGTCAAAGGTGATTGCATCTGTTTAACGCTTTCCTGTACTGTTGCTTTTCTCAAGATTGTGGACATTTTAAAATTGAAACTTATTTTGAATCTATAATAAATGTCAAAACAGAAATAAGTATATGGTCATTCTTAATGTAATTGAAAGTATCTATTCAGTTTAAACTAACTTTTTACTATTAAACACCAAAATTAGGTGAAATCTTGCTCTCTTATATATTTTATAGTACATATGTCTACTTTAACATATTACATGTATCATATATCCTTTCATCTGAAATAAGCAGCCGGTGAGTAAAAATTTTAAAAACTAGGATTTATACGAGTAGCATGCTTTTATACTACATAGTGTTTATAATTATACAAGTTACTCACTAAAACAAGCTTGTTAAGTTACGTAGACGTTCATTTCGTCAAATTACAAGATGATTCATTCAGATCTTGATGATCTAATGACTATGAATAAGATCGATAATAAAGAAACTCAGTAAGCGTATCGGATGTTCTTAATTATGAGTTGACCCGTAACTTAAGGTCTTCCCCATTAGACCAACTGCTAATATTTCTTATCAAATTTCTACCTTTTTTCAACATATATTACACACGAACCATTAATTCAATTTAAAAGTACATACTTAATAAGTAAAATTAAAAAATGTAAACCATTTAAAATACCTACGTTAAAGGCTATGTTTTAAAATAATAAGAAACCAATAAGACTGCGGTAAAAGATTCTCGAGAGTAAAGCTGAATTAGACCTGTGAAAAGTTGAGGCGAGCTCTCCCCGACCGCTGCGGCCCCGCGGTCTTCGCGACGCCGATGACATCATCGCAGTTACGTGGAACCCGAGTTCACAACATTTTATTTCGACCAGTTTATTTAATACGTATGATAAACAAGCACTTACTTTTAAGAAACGAATTTGCTAGAAAATCGTCTTGCTTTTGATTAAAAGAATACTTATCATGTATTAATGCGTTTTTGCATCTTGGTAATGAAATTGAAAATCACTTTAACTATTTTTATAATTTTAATAAAAATTATAAAATTAGAACCAACTTTAATCTGAATTGGTCTTATAGGTACTTGTTTCTATTACTAGGTACACTAGCTATGTGATTATCTCTAAGATATAACTAAAATGAGATTAAGAATTTAGTAAAAAAAACTTAATTGAAATTCTAATAATATCTTCATTCAATGTTATACTTATGATTCAACAGGAAAACTATATAAATAGTTTTTCGTATTTATCTGAACCAATGGTTGTGTAGCGCGCCACTGGCGAAGTGAGCGAGAAGGCAAACAAAAACGCTAGTCGCCACGAATCCGATCGACCTCACTGTCAGTGTTAGACGTGTTTTATTTCGGAACCTTCCTTGTAGTGAATTGGGTGTGTCGCAGTCTTTGAAAACAGTATGTATATATAATATTATGATTATTATTATAATAATAGTATATCGATTACAGTAGATAGTATGAAATTAGATATTATTTTCGTACAATGACACCTCACGTACCGGCTCGCTGCCACTTGTTTGCAAAATTTTAAAAGCCGGTTCGAGTGATTGTAGTTTATTTTTAGACGCGTTAGGCGTTCCTGTGTTTTATTTTGCATGTTATTATCTGCATTTATCTTTTGTTATAGAATCCACTATGAGCGGACAACAGTATTACCCGTACAAGGTAAGTTTCCACTTTCCTCCTACATTATAGAACAATCTATAGCACGATCGATTCTAAAAAGATGATGTCATCTTAGAACGCGGTCTTATTAAATGTAGTTGTGGGTAAACTAACTAAAATAAAAATATTTATAGAATATAAATGCATACAATTTTATTAGTTATTACAATTTCTTTTATTTGAGCATGCTACAATTAATAAAAAATCTACGAGGGCTGCTATATATATTTCTGGCCTAGGCAACACTAAGTGTTGCCAGGTGCAATCTGGCATTTCCATTGGAAAGTTTGACATTTTTTAGCATAAATGTACTCAGAACTTTTTGACTTACGACAATTTTTTTTTTCTTTTACAAGTACTTGAAGAAATCAATTTGGCAAAAAAATGGAATTAACTCGTGAACATTTTCGTGCGATCATTTTTCACAACTTTCGACGTGGATTATCACGACAAGAGTGCATCGATGAACTTAAATCTTTGTATGGCGACGAAGCACCATCCTATAGCACTGTGAAAAAACTGGTACAACGAATTCAATCGTGGCCGACGCTCGCTCAAAGACGAATTCCGTGAAGGTCGTCCAAAAACAGCCGTTGTGCCAGAAAACATCGATGCCGTACGTGAACTGATAATGCAAGACCGTCATGTGACTTACCGTGAGATAGAGGCATGCCTAGGCATTTCTCCCACCAGCATACATTCGATATTGCATGAACACCTGGCCGTAAAAAAGGTTTGTTCTCGTTGGATCCCGCACAATTTGACAATCGCTCAAAAGAAAGCTCGTGTGGATTGGTGTAAAGAAATGCTGAAAAAATATGATCGCGGTGCTTCAAAAGACGTTTATAAGATCGTCACAGGTGACGAATCATGGATCTATGCGTATGAGCCCGAAACAAAACAGCAATCGACCGTGTGGGTCTTCCAAGACGAGCCAAATCCAACGAAAGTTGTTCGTGGAAGAAGCACTTCGAAGCAAATGGTCGCCTGTTTCTTCGGCAAAACTGGTCATGTGGCGACTGTTCCGCTTGAGCAACGTAGGACGGTCAATTCTGAGTGGTATACCACCATTTGTTTGCCTGAAGTCTTCGGAGAAATTCGAAAAATGAACAAGAGAAGACGAATCATTGTGCACCATGACAATGCGAGCTCTCACACATCGGCTCAAACCAGCGCCTTTTTGACCGGCCAAAACGTCGAAGTGATGGGTCATCCGCCGTACAGCCCTGACTTGGCACCCAATGACTTCTTTTTATTCCCACACATCAAGAAAAAAATGCGTGGACAACGATTTTCGTCGCCAGAAGATGCTGTTGAAGCATTCAAAAACCATGTTTTGGAGGTGTCTCAATCGGAGTGGAAAAAGTGCTTCGAAAATTGGTTCGAGCGCATGCAAAAGTGTATAAATCTTGATGGAGAATATTTTGAAAAACAATAAAACCATTTTCGTTGATAAATATTCGTATTTTCATTATTAGGCCAGAAATATATATAGCAGCCCTCGTACTATATCGATGAAAAACTACTCCTTATAATATTTATTTATAAATTAGAATAATTACGTAGATATATAGTTTTTTAACATTTTATTACCTCCTTTGTGGCTGATTTTTCAAAAAAATACTATTCATTCAAAAAAGTAATATGCCGCAGCATATGAACTAGTTTTTAAAATATCCGCTAAACACGACATGAAGTTATTCTGATAATGAATAAATATTTATAAAAAAGAGAAAATATGTATATTTTTACAAATGAAACGTAAGAAAAATATTAACTTCTAGTCAGTAATAAAAAAAAAACAAGATTAATTACTATTAAAGGGGTGTTATTCATAGTTTTATCCATATCTTGGTAGAAATAAGGTTACATTTGTCGTTTTTTCCTTAGTGCACCCCCACTGTGTACCCCGCGGAGCCTTTCGAGCCCGCGGCGGATGCGGAAACACTCCGCAAGGCCATGAAAGGCTTCGGAACAGACGAAAAAGCCATTATCAACGTCCTTTGCAGACGAGGCATCGTCCAACGTCTGGAAATCGCTGAAACTTTCAAGACTAACTATGGAAAGGTTTGTATTTATACATAGTATTATACAATATTACACTAATTCAATATATTTTACTGCTTACATATAGTTAATTCAAGTAATAATAGTAAACAATCTAAAAGAGTTTTCAGTTTTTTAAAACACTCGTCAATAAGAATTTAAAAAAAGGTATAAAAATTACGTCACAACAATTTAATTTAACAAAATATACGTCATAGATCTTTTGATTTAACTTGTTTGAGGTAAAATTCTGTTGACCAATAGACATGTATGTATATAGCAATAAGTCTAGGAATGCTAGAATGTGTCGCATTGAGTCAACGAACCTAAGACCTAGATAAATAACCGCAGCTCAATAACATATGAACGTTATAAGATATAGCATAGAACTACCTTAAACTACGTATATTTCATAATATTTTTTTAATATATTATAAATAAATGCAGACAATTACGCTGAACACCAATTATGTAGTAGTTATTCTTGTATATCTTATTATTTATTTCCTTAAATCAATTTATTGTTTTTAACAGATAATGTAAAACAGTTTCATTAAAGGATTTGTTCAGTAATATTTATAAATATAAACCCTACTGGTTTAAATACATACAAACTGTTATCTTAATTAGTACACATATTTTCCTCTTGAACCAAAAGTACATTTTGAACGATTTGAAAGAAGGTGGAGTTTTTATACATTTAAGACATTTATAGAAGTTTTATATTTGGGTTTTGGTTATATTTAGATCGATGTGTTAAAAGAAGAAAAACATCTATCTAACAGGTATTGAAATATTTTCTACCTGCGACTTTAAATTTGGATTAAAAACATTTTATAACATAACAAGTTTTAAGATGGCGTTTATTATTATTGAATAGTCGTTTATTATCTGTGGTCTTACATGTAATGTTTTCCCGCTTATCTTATCTGTGAGTTTAATAGCTTGCAAACTTTCATATTTCGAAACAATGATCAATCATGTTTTATTCCACTTATCATTATAATATATTAGGTTCAACTAATTATATTGTGGACCAAATATTTTTGAGGATTTTAATTTGTTTCATTATGTTATTCGCGTGTATATATATAGCATGCTTATCGTATTTATAACGATAATGAACAAACAACAGTTTAGAAGTATTTCGAACAAAAAAATAATAATTGGTGTGATTATTCGTATATTTAATTAATAGAATTCTTTCTAATCCAATTAAATAGCTTAAATTTTTAATATTTTTTTTTAATTGCCTTCGATTTTAGTATTAGTAATTATTAATCATAACATTTTATGCTAAGATTTAAGAAGTATTATTAAAAAGAAACAAATTTATTGTAATTGTTTCAATGGCTCATGAACCAAAATGCAAAATAACTCTACATAGGATATGGAACAATAGCTATGTCTACTCATTGTTAAGGAATTTTTGCGTCACGATAAAGTGGCATTGAATTGATACAGTACAATAATGTGCACGAGAAAATGATTCAACATCGGATTCTCCCGCGACCTTCTATGTTTTAGGCCTAGGAAATAATTCTCAGAGATATAATTAAATCAATGCTTTAATCGTTACAAAAAAGGTGTAATTGTCTATGGTAACAACGAATAATCGCGAGTGTCAACACAATACAATAAAATACGATGCCATCTGCATTCCACACTAATTATATATGTACTGAAATTTTACTTTATAATAATTTTGCATTTTCACACTAATAATATACTGAAATGATACTTTATAATAATTTTGATATTATATAGAAACTACCACATTGGCATAACAATCAAAACCAAATGAGGCTTTATTATTAAAAAAAAACTTTTCTCTACCAGGACTTGATCAGCGAACTTAAAAGCGAATTATCCGGCAATCTTGAGAATGTGATCGTAGCTCTCATGACGCCTTTGCCACATTTCTACGCTAAAGAACTACACGACGCTGTTGCGGGCATCGGAACTGATGAAGAAGCTATCATTGAGATCCTCTGCACCTTGTCAAATTACGGCATCAGGACTATTTCGGCTTTCTACGAGCAATGTAAGTAGATACTTTCTAGAATGTTCTAGAATATTATACAACACTAATAATTCGTGATGAAACGAATATATTTTCATTCAATTTCAGACCTAATTTAGATGTTATTAAATCTGATTTTTATTTGCAGCAATTTTTCATCTATTACTGAAATAATAATACTTATATTACATTTATCCTTGTTAAGTAAATTGTAACGTATTTTAGTTACTTTGTTTATTTTGTATTTGCATTAACTTCAGTGACGGTAATATTGAAAACATTATAAATAGTAGGCAAAGTAATTAAGCTGTGTCTAAAAAGCTTTCAACCTACTAGAGTATTACAAACCATTTTTATTTTCTACTCAATTTGTATATTGTGTATGAAAGAAAGAATGTTATAACACGCGATAGTGCATTTGTTTAGTAATTCATGTGAACAGTGAAACAGTTATCGATTGCTCATACATTTATTCCTGGTGGCGCATTTTTGTATTTAATTGCTTGTATCACGTAAAAATTTTCAATTGTACTTACTTATATATATACAAAAGTAATTATCAGTGTAGTTATGTTATGCTTTGGTGGTTTTATAACGAAGGTTATCTGAAGTACGGTTAATTTAAATAAGTCGTTCCGTACTAACAAAAACGGTTCAAAAATTAGTTTGTTTTAGTATATGAACCTGAAATTATGATTTTTTTTTAAACTTCGTAGTCATACTTTATATATTTTACTAAGTATTTATACTGTATTAGCCAGTTATCGACTGGCCATGAATTATTAGGTCACGTTGGTGTGCACATAGCGTCATATTTCATTAGTATTCATGACTGCATTAATTTAAAAGCCGTTGCTAGATAATTAGATATATTTAAAAATAATTATGGTGTCTTAAAACGTAAAACCGTTTTAATTTATGAATAAATAGACAGATGGTTTTATCTTATAAATTCAATTACTCAACGATTGATCTTCGCTTTACTGATTTGAATTCAAATATAGAATTTATCTCAACGTACTATTTCATAGTTTACTAACTTTTCGCCCGCAGCTTTGCCCGCGTGGAGTTCGGTGATATCGCGTTTCCAACGGTACCTTTGAAAAGTCTGGGATAAAAACTATACTATGTTCTTTCTCAAGGTCAACTCTATCTCTGTACCAAATTTCATTAATATCAGTTCAATAGTTTAGGCGTGAAAGCGTAACAAACAGACAGACAGAGTTACTTTCGCAATTTATAATATAAGTAGGGATTTTAAGACTAAAATGGTATGAATGAGAAAATTTTCTGTATTGCCATTAAAAAAAAATGTAGTTACAATTTATAATAAGACAATTATTTTTTTTTCTTTAGTATATGGCAACAGTCTAGAATCTGATCTGAAAGGCGACACCTCGGGTCATTTCAAGCGTCTATGCGTGTCTCTGTGTATGGCCAACCGTGATGAGAACGCCGGTGTCGATGAAGGCGCCGCTAAGGCTGATGCTGAAGCCCTAGCCTCCGCTGGCGAAGGTCAATGGGGTACCGACGAGTCCGTGTTCAATTCTATCCTTATCACTCGCTCTTATCAACAACTTAGACAGGTGATATAATTGTTTTTTTTTAAAGAAACTTTTTCTTTTCTTCATTCTTTTTGCGCGCTACAACCCTTTGTGGGTCTTGGCCTCTTCCCCAATAGACTGCCAGACGATCCTTGGCTGTCCTTCACCAGTTCGTAAAACATTTCAGAGCCTTGAGATCATCTTCGATGCAGTCGCACCATCTCTTTCTAAGCCTTCCTCTAGGTCTTCTTTAAAGAAACTTGCCATTAATATTTTTTATTATTATTCTAGTAAATTTTTTGCTGGTATACTTTTTTATTGTCATACAGTCAATTATGTGAATGACAAATGGATATAGCGTTATTTTGAAGATATGATGTAGTTATAGTCGTATGTACCAATTTAGCGATCGTTATAAATTTTTTTAATATTTCCAGATTTTCGCTGAATACGAAGCACTAGCAGGCAAAGACATTGAGGAGACAATCAAGAAGGAATTTTCTGGAAGTATCGAGAAGGGAATGCTTGCTATTGGTAAGTATTATGCAAGTAAATTTGTTAAAGACATACCTTCTACGTCTTCGTTATACGAGATTTTAACAACTTAAAGACCTTTGGATACGTTAAGGTTGAATACACCAATAAAATTTATTATCTACATATAACTAAATTACAAAGCTTATTTTATGCACTTTTTTTAATATAAAACAACGTAATCCACATATTTATTATCGCCATGTACTTTATGTACTTGACAACTCATTACCAATGAGTCATTTATGAGTGATGACGTAACAAGGTCACATTTGTCTGCAGAAGGAAGTTAGCTGCGACCTTGAATTGAGTCATGACTTTTTGTTCAAAACAGTGTATGGGAAAATTAACTAGAACATTTTAGGAGCGTTAACAATTTTATTTGTAAATATCATGGCCATAAAAGAATTGATAACATCAATGACGATTATAACATGAATGTTATTACGGTTTAAATACTCAATTGAAAACATGATTTTGATAAATCTTTACTAAGGAATTCTAAAATAAATCTTGTGAAATTAAATACTGTTACCGATATATAATTTTACTAATAAATACCATCCTTACCTCAATTATAAATTTTCAAAGTGACTATTAAGATTCTAGACGTAGATTATTGTAACAAAAAAAATTGTAATAGAGTAAATGTACTATGAAGCTTAATTTCTTCAAAAGTTAATCCCGTAATGTGTCTCCTTCTTTCGACACTGGCAAAATATACTGCGGACGTCGTTGCACGGATGAAGGCCATACAATATAACCAACGAATAAGCTCAATTTCATTAATAATATTGCGTAATATATCTGTATATTATTTAAATGAAACTAATATTTTCGGATTACGGGCAGACGAGATGATCACGGTTGCTGCAAAGTCACCCAAACTTCGGGAATATGTAGTTTAAAAAAGAAACGTAATAATCCGAAAATATCAGTTTCATTTGAAGTAATACTCTGGAAAGTATTAGATATCATTTTGTATATTATTTTTATTTCTATAGTGAAGTGCGTGAAGAGCAAAGTGGGCTTCTTCGCTGAGCGTCTGTATTACTCAATGAAGGGTATTGGAACCAACGATAAGACTCTTATCAGAATTATTGTCAGTCGCTCAGAAATCGATCTTGGAGACATCAAACAGGCCTTCCTTGAAAAATTCGGAAAACCCTTAGAGGACTGGATCTCTGTGAGTATATTTTTAAACTATTCTATGTTTTTATTATTAAATTGGTTGCTCAATATAAAAATAGTTTAAATGACTTTAAAGTGCAATAAGTACTGCATATTTCAATATAGTTGAGCTACCATTTGATAAAAGTAAATAATCATTTAGTTAGTGGGTACATAATAGGTGTAAAGTATATGTGCTAACAAAATTACCACAATAGTAGAATTACACTCATTTAGAGGAACATTTCATGAAAACTCATCAGCGTTGTGTCAAATTCAAAATCATTTTCTATAGATGTCTACTCCAAAACTAACCCGTATTTATTGTTTGTAACTAACCGCATGGAAAAACTAAACAATATAAGATAAAACGTATGAAAAACTGACCCATACTTTCTATTATGAATAAAATATGTAAAATATTTATGCTTTAAAAATTAATAAGCATGATATTGAAATCTATTCGCTGTAACCTATTTCTATGGATTGTCTAAAATTTTCATCATTCAAGCAAATAATTATATATACAGATCTATTTATGTATCCAATCAAAATCATTTTAAACATGTATAGGCCTTTATTTAATATTGTTAATAATTTTTTTATATGTAAATATAACTAAAGAGTTTGTAATATAACAGAATTTTTTGAGGAAGATTAATTGTTTGATAATAAATAGTAAATCAGTAGAAATAGTTGACATTTTGATTACAGGGCGACACATCCGGGGATTACAAGAAGGCATTACTCACACTTGTTGAATAAACGGCCCGGAACAACAAATGCTACTTATATTTAGTTTATAATTTCTGTCAATTGTTAGGTTCATAGGTTAAAATCACTTCATCACTCATAGGTTTATGACAGGTGTAAATTTTCTTTTGGAGATCTGTATATTTTGCTTCCTATCTCATGTTCTTTGCACAGCTAACAGCTTCGAACGCATGATAGTATCTAGAATGCTTTTTTTTACAAGTAGTTTGACATTTTTTCAGGGGGAGATTGAAGGATCCCTCGGTTATCTACTATCTACACTGTCTTACTAAGGCTACAAGTTTTAAAGACATCTTAACAACGTTAGCCTGTGCCGTGTGAACATTTTTGTACGATTTAGTACATTTTAATGCATTTTAATATCATAAGTTTTATATGTATATGTTTTGTAATCTCATGCTAATATCGATTGCACGCCGTGTGATGTATTAATAGAAATTATGGGCCAGTTATAATATGATATGCTAGTACAGTGTTGTGTTATATATCTTTACAGGACGATCTTGACGGTGACTTCAAGAATGTGCTAGTCACACTTACCGCTTAGTCCTGCAAAATAAATTATTTGCGAAATAAAACATTATTTTTTTACAAAAATATTTTTTTAAGCAATGCATGCATCGAATGTGTAGTTTAATAGAATTGAATGTAATATTTTGCAGGATGATACGAAAGGCGACTACAAACGGGTGTTACTCACACTCGTTTCTTAAGAGCATAATAAGACTTCTATGAATGTATAGCGCTTGCGGTGAATTTAAGTTCCGTTGTAAAACTGCCTTAAACTGTTGAAATGTTTTTTTAGAAATATGCTTGATATTTTTGTGAAAATGAGATATTTATTGGTGCTGTAGTTTTGTTTACGATGTATTATTATATATATATATTAAAAATACATTATTAATAAAACTATGTATGTTTCAAGTTTGTTTCAATTAGCGTCCCGTATTCCTTCCCTTGTTATCTGAAAAATGAACAGTTATTAATTAGTGTTGCAGTACTTCAATTATTAATTAATAATAAAATCAAATTTCAATGAAAATGTTTTTTATTGAGATTAATGTTTGTAAACTATATTATATATTGTAAGGAAATGTAAGAAAGCTATTGACTTTGGATGTTGTCCAAATCTATAAAATATTAATATCCTTGCAATGGTTTGATTGTGTGTTCCAAATTGTAGCGTTATTTTAGAACACTTATGTATCTCCATCACAAGTATTTCCTGAAGCTCTTGTAAGTCTTAGACAAAGTAATAAAGATTACTAAGATAAATTAATAAAGAATAAAGATATACTTTGGGTATATGAAAACATTTGAATGGATTTGTAACTGGAAATATTTTAAGACACATTTAAATATTTGTAGAACAATTGTTAATGAAAGATATTTTATTAAATATACTTTTACAGACCGCATTAAAAATATCATCTCACTGAGTTGTTTGAGGCAATATATTTTTTGTATATTTTGAATGTGATAAAAAAATGCATTCATAAAAGTAATGATGGATAAACAAAGAAAATCCAACAAAAAGCGAACATTAAAAGCAGCTGCCTCTGTACTTATATTTATCTGTATTTGAACAGCACTAAACTTCTACTCAGCGAAAAAAGACGTATATTGTATCTATTGTCCTATTGCATGTTTACAGTAAACCAATAAGAGAAAACAAATATAAAAAATGTAATTTAATAGCTGCCTCTGTGTTACTATTTATCTTTACTTAAAGCACTAAATTTCTATTCGGCACAAAAAAGACGTATATTGTATCTATAGTCCTGTAAGAGAAAACCTAAATACAAACCTTAAATTTAACAGCTGCCTCTGGTGCATTATTACTCTTTGCCAGAACAGCACAAGACTCATTATTATCAGAACACAGAAGAAGACGTATATTGCAGCGATGAGCCCAAGCATCACCCAACGCACCAACAAGCGCTCCGGTTGATAGACCCAATCTATTACTCATTTCATTTGTTAATACCACCTGTAAGCAAAAATGTGGTGGTCATTTGTTCAATTTTTTGATTCGATTTTCGATTCGATTCGATTACTTATTTGATTACTTTTTAAAAGTGCATACTATCGACGTTTCAGTTACTTTGCAGGGAGATTGCAATAAGATAAAAGATTCTCATTTCGTCTGCCCGTAATCACGTCGAGGGTATGTAGTATTAAAAATATAAAATAAGTAGTAATCCGAAAATATTAGTTACATTTAAATTAATATTCGCGAAAGACTTAGATCTCAGTAAATGATAGATATATTTAAAATATCATATCTATAATTACGTACAACATTTCACTTGGAAGAACATTTTTTTAAATTTTACAAAAATTGGGTGTAGAAAATAGGTATATTGTTTTTTGAAAAAGATTACAATATCAAAATGAATTTTTGTGTAAATAATAATTTGAATGGATACAGTAGAAGTGGAAATGAAAAGATTTTGTGTGGAATATGACAAGTTTTTTTTCAAATATTTATTAACTATAGATATGTAAACAAAAAAAGATATAAAAGATCCTTAAGCAAGTATAATTGTCTGCTTATAACAATGCAATTAAAATAAATTGGCATGTTATTCATACCGATTTGGACTTGGCAAATTTTTTTATATACATACTTGAGTTAATTGTTAATAAATTTTTTAAAATACTTACAGCTATTTGTTTATCTACAGCTAACTTGTGTAAGTCAGCCATCAAACGGAACAACAATCCGGTTCTTTGTTTCAAAGATATTGAACCTTCTTTAAATGGAAAGGCTATAGAGTCAATGACAATAAGCTTCACCTAAAAACATATTTATTAAAGAATCTTATATAAATAAAACCTCCAAGTGGTATTATTATCTCATTACATTTGGATATTCAGTTAAATAATTTGGTAATTGGTTTAAAAATGAGCAAAATTTCTCCAGGCCAATTGTCTTAATGTAATGAAATTTTTTCAATGCATCTTCCTCACTTATAGCTATTGATGTATCCAATAATCTTTGGCATTTAGCTAAGCTAGCAAATAATATTTCTGAAAAATTAACTCTTATTATTCAAAAATCTATATTTTTTATATGAAATAAATAAAAGAACATAAATAAACTCACCTTTAAACCTACATAATGTAAAGTTTGTATTTGTGTCTATGTACAGAGATTCAGATTGAAGACCACCCAATACTTTAGGCACTTGGACAGATGCACATAACTGTAAACTGAAATTTAATTAACGTCTTAACGGTTCAAAACTATAATTTTAAGATATTAAGTTTTGTATTATTACCACAGTTGAGTTTTCCCAGTGCCTGGTAATCCTAAAATTTCAGTCAGACTTCCTAAGGGTATTCCATCTCCAAGAATTTTATCTAGCCTCTGACTAAATGTAGGTATAGCAGGTGAGCTGGTTTCGATCTACAAAACATATTTCCGTCTAATTATCAAAGGCGAAAGTTATTTCTAAGCAGGAAAATTGTTTAAATTACATATAATTTCATTCACGTAGTAGTAGTACCTGCCAAAGATCTGCAGCATTATAAATTTTAAAGTTAGTAGTCATTAAAATAAACAAATATATAACACTCTCGACCTATTAGTATTCTATAAAAGTTTATTTATTACAAAATAATAATTCTAAAAACTTTTGAAATTCAAACTTTTAAGTTATTATTTTGACGATTCCTTGACAGATGGGATATAAATCTGTCATATTCAACAATTAAGTTTACATATTTAATAAAAGAATATGTTCAAAAAATAAAAAATGTTTATGAATAAATTAAAAACTATTATTTATTATATTCAATTAATTATTGATTCTTCTGAAAATTCACTCTCTATGCTTGTCTCAATATACTATTGTTCAAATGTCAATGAATGACGAGTCTTTGAAAACTAAATGTCACTTGTCACATTTACGAAATACGAAAGTTATGAAAACAAAACAATCCTAGAATCAAAGGATTGAATAAAATAATAAATAAGCAGTCTTAAACTCTAATAAAATGAATCAAATGAACATGCACGTGCCAATGAACCCCGTGGGGGCGAATCCTAACGTAGGGATGCAAGGAATGCCGGTGTCTGTTTCGATCATGCCCGTCGCTTCGCCCCAGCAGATGCAACCAGTAATGGCTCCTCAACCTCCTCAGCAGGATAAAATGGACAATATATCCAAAGTAAAAACATTAATGGGATCTCTTCGTGAATCCCTACCGGTAAGAAACTTAGATGAACACCTAAGCAGTAAGCACTTAATGCAATAATGGTGAAATCTTGAAGGATATATACGTATTATACTTTTACAACATAGTTTTTTCAGTCTAGGGATATCTCAAATTGTGTAAAACTTATCAGGTAGTTACTTAATAATGTTAGGTTCACATTTTACCATTTATGTTGTATATGTGTATAAATTTTATTATTAAGTGCATTTATACAGTGTAGAACTTATTACAGATGAATTAATATTCATATAGAAAATTCAGGATTAAAAAGTTATTGACACAAGCACATAGTATCTGCAACCTTTGGAATATCTCAATTCAATTAGATTATTTAGTTCTTCTAAAGTTTCTTTTAAATTGTGATTGAAGCACAAGCTTAACATTGTTTTAATATTAAAAACATTTACATCATTACAGATGACATTAAAATCAGCGGCACAAATATTGCATCTTAATTATAACATAGACTCCAATACTCAGTAAGTAAAAATTTTATATTTTTCATATAATTCTACTTAAAGTGTTCATTTCAAGTTAAATATTTCATATACTAATACTTGTCATTCTTTAACTAGCAGTGTGTATGGATATGTTAAAAATTATATAATCAATAAATATATAAGATACTAGCTTTCCACCCGCAGCTTCACCTGCATGGAGTTCGGTTATATCACGTTTCCAAGAGAACTTTTCTAAAGTCTGGTATGAAAATTATCCTATGTTCTTTCTCAAGGTCAACTCTATCTTTGTACCAAATTTTATTAAAATCAGTTCAGTGGTATAGGCATGAAAGCGTAACAGACAGACAGACACACAAAGTTACTTTCGCATTTATAATATTAGTAGGGATATGTGAGATGAATCTTTATATACAAATTATTTTTATAATACTATTCTATAATTCATTATGAATTTTACATATATAAAATTATAATAAGACATTTTATAATTTCTGTTAAAAGTGTTTTAATCATCTTGGAACAAACTATTTTTTATTATCAAAGTATTTTGTTATTTTTTACAGAAAAGGCATTGATAATCCTGTACCGAGATTTGACAAGAATTTGGAGGAATTTTTTTCACTATGTGATCAAATGGAGTTACATTTAGTAAGTGGAAATATAATGTGTTTTATATAGATCTAACCTATTTAATATATTCTTAAGTATGTATAGATAACACATATTTCATTATAACCATTATTATATGCAAAAATACTTAAATGTTTTGATCACATAATCTTATTTGGTTATTTGAAATGCTATGTTAGGCTTCTCTAGTCTTCGTCTTCCTGGTAATTTCCCAGCTTTAGTTCTTGCTAAAGCTGGGAAATTACAACATGTAAGGCAGACTCTTGTCTGCCTTACATGTTGTGAATGGTTTTGGTTAATTGTTTTTACGACCCTCTTTGGGCTTCTCTAGTATAATATATAAATTTTATTTTGTTAACTACCTTACAACCTGTTAATGTTAGAAACCAAAATATTTACTTATAGATAACTAAGATAGAAAAGTATATTTAGTTATATAAACACTATCTTTCTCCAATGGAAGTTTCCATTTATCATGATAATTTTATGTATTTACATCAGGTGACCACATAAACATTTCTATATAATTGTTCATTTCACCTATACGGATGACATTAGGAAATTTCTCCCAATCAAATCTATGCTATGTTTATATAGGATTTTATATATAACTTTTTGACCCGGCAACAGATTGTGATTAACATTGATGTTGTTGCTTTATTTGTTATCAGGCAAAATAACAAGTATACCAGTTATAAAGAACAGTTTCCATTAGTAAACAAAACATCTTTTATCGATTTTATATATGTATATTTTGTATGCATTCTTGGAAATATCTATGAATATTATCTTTGGTTAATTTATGATAATTCTGATGGTTCCTGTAATCTTCTTCTTCTTCCTGGCAATTTCCCAGCTTTAGCCAGGGTCTGTCTTATATGTTGTAAATAGTTATGGCTAATGGTTTTTATGACCGGCCGCCTGCCTGACATCAACCCTCTTTGAGAATAATGTTTCCTGTAAAATATAGGAGAATTTATGAGATTATGAGTATATATGTTTTACATTATGAATATATATATTTTACATGAGCTTAAATAGATTTAAATGATTTGGTCAAGTTTTTGTGCCTATTTCAATGAGAAGTTTTATTAGAGCTTGTAAGGGGAAAAAGTATAATTAAGTAATCTATTTAGATGAGATGTATTCTTTTATTTTTATTATTATTTAAGTCCTTTTATAGTTGTGACTAAAAATTACTTTTTTATGGATTAAAATACCATAAGACTTAAGGAGTTAGGAATTTCATAATACATATATTAAAAAGGAAATAGGATAGATATTGTTTGGGTTATTCAAATTGTAGCCAAATCACAATTCTATTATTCTTTTATTTATTCTTTTCATTATATTACATAGTGTTTGTCACGAAAAAAAAAGGTTATATATATATATATATATATTTTAATTTCAAATTAATAATATATTTGTTATGTGAGTAATCAGCTTTAGAATTGTAACATTGACGTGATGTATGGTTCGATTGCGTTCATGCATTTTTCTATTACATTGATTGGCGTATATTATTTTATACTTCATGAAAGCAAATTAAAATAGAGGTACTTATAGTGAATACAAACAAACACGTACTTCCTTATTTGTCCATAAGTATACGTTTATCTAAAGAGGAAACTCCTTACCGTAAATGATACGTGCTGGATTTAATGGCACCTTTTATATTTATTATTGATTAATTATTTAGAGCAATATTATTTTTGCTTCAACTATACAGTCAAATTTATTGTTTAGATATTATAACAATATTTGAGAACGATAAATATATTGCAAAATTTTACAAGTTGACTGTTTTTGTTTAATAGGTATATGAGTAAAATATAATTTTAAAGCAAAACAGATAAGGTACAAAAATAGGACGTACTTATACCAGGTAGTAGTATTTTAATTTTTAAATATTATTTATATGTACAACCGATGAGTTTTAAATTTTGAATTTAGTTGACATCTTGATTTATGTTTCACAGATTTTAAAACTTTACGAAATACCATAGACTATAGAAATTTGAAATTATCCTTTTATTTAAATGTTTCTAACGGGTTAGTTAAACGTTTTTAATTAAAGAGTATCTATATATTTACAGAGAACAGCGATTACCTGTATCCAACAAGCACAGTCTGCAGCTCATTACTTACCTTTGACCGTCATACCTTCAAGATTGGACTCCGGACCCACGACACAGGTAAAAAAAAATAATTCACGCCAATTTTGTTCTCATTTAAGTGGACCCTTATGCAACACCAGTTGTAAACTAAAAACATTTTTCATTCTATTCAATCAGTCTTTCCACGTTCTATAATCATAATTTTGATACAATTGTCGTTTACCATAATATAGTAAAAATAGCACTAACATTTTTTTCTTTACATTAACTTCTTAAAGCAAAACTTTTGCTAAAAATCTTATTAAGCAATTTATGTCGCTTTAAGTAAATTAACCCACATTTTACGTTTCCGTAACTTGGCATGTCCCGGATGTTGTTGTTAAGATAAAATATTGTCTAGCAATTATCGTTCGTTATTCTTATTCACAATCTACTTAACCGTAAAGTTTCATGATAATAGGCTCACTTGTTTTATCGTCTCTTAGTTTTTATGTCATAATTAAAATTATAGTCGATGGTCATACCCAAGCCATTCTATGAAGATCGTACGTCGCCGGGCGTGTTTTAATTTGACGTTTAAGTTGCATTAATTAATTGTTTGATGTTTATTTTATCATCGTTATCTCAAGGCGCGATCCATTTACAGGGCCCTTGAAACTGATCTTATAATCGGTCTTCATGACGTCATAAATCATGTGATTGACACGTCCATTTCCGGTTGGTAGCGGAAGAAATAGATAAACATTATCCCTATTAATATTATAAATGCGAAAGCAACTCTGTCTGTCTATTACGCTTTCACGCCTAAACCACTGAACTGATTTTAATGAAATTTGGTACAGATATAGAGTTGACCTTGGGAAAGAACATAGGATAGTTTTTATCCCAGACTTTTGAAAGGTTCTCTTGGAAACGATTTAACCGAACTCCACGCTGGTGAAGCTGCGAGCGGAAAGCTAGTGGATGATAAACTTGAAGTATAAAAGTGAAAATACGCGCTCTTGTATGTGTAAAAAAAGTAAACAAACTGGCGCCATTAGGGCACTACGTACGTCAATCGCAATTGCATAAATAATATAATTAATAATGAATTATGATATGCCAGAGTTAAATATAGACAATTAAAAAGCATAAAAACAATGCAGTGTTCTGTTACAGGGCCGTCATTTGTATCTGATATTTATAATAACATTCGACACCAAGGTTCGAGATAACTTGTCATTTTCTGGAGGCCCGTCGAATGTTCTGTGTCGATAACGAATTGCATTGTTCCATAAACAACATCCTTTCACAACCAAAAGATCTGTCTTTATACTAGGGCTGTATTTACAGAAATTTTCGACATCTGACAAAAAAATGCACAATTTTTTGTATTGCTTTGCCTATATAAGTACATATTTCTTTGGTATGCTCGTAATACTTACTTATCTTGGCAACAGTTTCTATAAGTCCTTTTAAATGCCCTATGTGGCCAAAATTCTTCCTTATTTTTAATTAGTTATATTACTTTAATTCTCACAATACGATTAATACGATAATGATTTTATTCTAAGTAGCAGCAAAGACTTTGTTCTAGAGAAATTGATTACAAAGTCCACAGTACAAGTCGATATAGATTGTATGAGAGATGTTTTTATATTGAAAAAATAATAACCACTACATAGTCATTAGACGTCAAATGTGAAATTTAAAGATGAGGTCTTGATTTTAAGAGTTTCGTCCAAAATCGAGGGTAGTTTTAGAACATAAAGGTTTCCTAATCTAGATACACAATATGAGGGAAATTTAATAATTTAGAGTATTTACGTTTTTATATATGATCAAAAAAAAAATCCTTTTATATTAAGGAGACTTGAAATTTTTTGAATGTATAGCATCGCACAGAAAACTGTTTTGATAGTATGTAATAATATATTTAAATGAAACTAATATTTTTCGGATTATAGGTACTTACGCGACTTGATTTTTGTAAAAAACTTGACATCTCCTCTCCCCGTGATCACGGTTGCTGAAAAGTAGTCGAAACTTCAGTAGTATGTAGTTTTTTATCCGACGAATATTAGTTTCATTTAAGTGAATAAAACTCGCGAAAATCTTAGATCTCATTATGTAATTATTCAAATTATATCTTGTTATTCTGTAAGTATTGTATAGTGTATACATATTTATGTTTTTTTTCACAGGAAACAACTCTCAGCTATCCTCAATACCTCAACACCGTTCGTCTTCAGATATCTTACGCGAAGGACATCCACGACACACTAGTCGCCGCCGCACAGAACATATCCCCCACAGAATAAAAAACAAACCATAGACAAAAATAATAAATTTTATTTGTACTATAATAATTATCATTAAAACGAAATTACATGATATCCATTTATTTCTATATCCGCATACATTCTCTAACTAGCTATTAATTACATTTATTAAAATCTATTTATTCAACTTATATTTAAAGTCAATTCATTAAAATGATATATCAATTATTAAAAAACATAAGATTAATACAGAAACTATTTTTTTTTTGTATTGAGATCGATGAAATAAACTTACAATAAATAACAATAATAAAAGTAATAAATTCTATAAAATTTAACCTTATATAAATATGATAACATTTTATTAATAAAATATCATATGGAGCCGGCCTTTGGATAGAAAGTTATTAATTTTTTTAATCTAAATGTATCACATCAAATAAAATACTATCAGTCTTTAAATTGGGATTCGTTTCTTAGATTCATGTTTTCATTCTTTGTTTGAACACCATACCTGAAAAAAAAAAATTAATCATGAAAAGTCTAAATCGAAATGGTTGAACGCGGGTTTATATATGAATTTTTATTTTGAATTGAGTTTTTAAGATTTGGAAAATGTCTCTTTTCTTAATTACGGAATGTAAATAGTTTAATTAAAATAACAAATAAATAAAGAATGCACAAAAAGATTTCCTAAATTTATTGTCAGATTTACTGTATAACTAAGTTATATTGTTTCTGCAACAATTTTTTTTGATAGTATAAATTACATAAATAAGCGTCTTGATACTGGCAAGATAGGCAAAAGTCAATTTATTTTTCATTGCAAAGGAATATTCCTTGAGACAGGAACTCCTATCTTAAAATGAAATAAATTATTTAGCCCTTGGGGGTAAAGCGAAAGGAAAGGACATAAATCTTTATTATCGAATCCTCGGTCCTTTGTTTGTGGCGACCCAAGATAAAGTTATTATTGTGACATAAATATGGCTTCTCTGTGGAATAATACGGAGCCAATATGGCTGCATCGAAACGGTGCATTCACAAACAAGATTAGATAAATTATCTTGATTTTGTTTATGATTTTAGGAGCACAGACCATAAATATATAGACGATATTAGATAATACTAACATGTGTTAAAAGTTCGCAAAGTGTTATCGAAAATGCACGAAAATATAGCGGTAATGTTAGAGATATTGTTACATAATATGCCGGTTGCTATGTCGACCGAAGTACGATCACCCCTATGATAAGGGCATCATATGTTCAGTATTGTGTCCCCTTGGTAACAGGATTTTGCTGGTATAACGATAAGGCCACATTAAAATTAGTTTTAGCTTGGCTCATCATTTTTATTATATAACATAATTTCATTATAGTACATTTAGAAGTTGTAAATTTTTGTAATAATACATATTTGAAACAACAATCATCATTAGGAATGAGCTGCCAGAATAAATAATGAAGATAGTGGGCCAGTCAATAATTCTACGAATTCTGTGAGGAATCAATCTTAATATGTTTCTAATGCATACTATATGACAGTAAAATGTACATCCATGTTTGTTAATCTGTGAAGTTTTTTAATCTGTGTAATTAATTGGGTATTAAATAACAACTTTCTGCTACTACTGAATATAAAACCTTTTTTTAGATTATTAGTGACGCTCGCAATATAAATCACTTTGTTTTCCAACAATCATAGATACCTACATTATACCGTTATCTCAAAACATTAATAAATTTCAAGTTATGGACGTAATACGTTATGACAGTTATAATAAGTTAATTCAACTTTGTGTATTAACAATAGCAATTATTACATAGCAACATAATAGTAAATACTTATGACGATTACTATTCCCTTTATCAATCACTGGAATGTTATTTTTTTATTTCCCTAGTGTTGCTTTGTCTTATTCTTTTTTTAATATTTTCCGAATTGCTGTAAAAGTAAACTAAATGTTTCATGTGAATCTCTAGACAAAACCGTTGCTTTTTTTTAAAGATAACTTCATATCATATGACAAATATTTATTTCTTTGGGCAAAAATTGCAGTGTTCTTATATATACATATACATTATTATGAAAGAAGTTAAGTTTTAGGGTCTCACCTTCATCCGAATACCTGTTGTGCAGCATAGGTGATGTGAAGGAATCCGTCGGTTGAACGGAACTGGTCGTATGCCTGCGACATCGTCATACTGTGGCTCACTAGGACTTTATCATTCACCAACAGATACAACGCCTGAAGAAATAAAACTTGTTTAGTCTTCATATTTAATTCTTATTTAATCTATTTTCACTATAAACTTTTATATGCTATGGCTTAATTTAAAGTCAAACTTTTAGTATGACGTTTTCAGTATCTGACAATTGACAGTACTGGATGAGCTAAACATCGACTTATACTAATGGACATGTCGTACGCGTATAATCTGCAGTAGTTTTTTGGTTTGAAAAGAGTGAGAGAGATGGCCTATGCTTTCGGTCTAGCACTATCTCTTTCCTCATAGGTACGGTACTATTTAGAGAGAGATAAAGATAGACCGAAACTTCGTTTTCTCTCTTTCTTTCGGAGTGCCACAATTCTCATCTCTAAGGCATGTCCATTAGTATAAGTCGGTGGAGCTAAAGATTTCAATGAGAGAAAATTTTATTTAAATAAAATTAATAGTTATCTTCATAATTTACTATGTATACTTATTTAATTATTGAAATAAAAATCAATGAGTGGTTTTGTCATGAAATAATTGTTTAGAAAGCAGGATGTGTACTGATAAAGCAGGGTGTAGATATGCGATGTCAATTTTTTGTTCCATAATATGTAATATATTAAATGTTTACGTACTTGTGAATCTCTCAATTTCATCTTTGTCCGAATGATGTAGAGGAATTGTGACATAGTGAGTTCTTGCGGCACTAGGAATTTATTCCTACCTAAGACCGGCACCTCTTTCTCTCTTGAATATCTTTCCACGTACAACTACAAAATATAATCAACGTATATATTAAATAGAACTTATTATCATTTTATTAAGGCTCAAAGTATCTCAGAGTATCATTTAAATGATTAGGAAATAGAAATATTGTTCGTTCTTTTAAAACATTTTCAATTATTTCGTTTTAAGATCACTTCACAAACAATGTTTTTTTTTATTTCGGAAACATATTCAAGTCTAATATTTTCTATGTTTTAATTTAAATCTCTATTTTTTCTATTAACATAATTCTTACCGGTATTTTGTTCGGAAATCTGTCTCTAATGACTTGTACCTCTTTGTTCGACCCCGTCATATCTGCAACCAATTAAAAGAATATATCACTACATATTTTATATCTTGCCGAATGCTATCTTAAGAAAAAAATATGCTCCAGTTTCACAGATAACTAAAACCGCAAAAACAGTTAACATTCAAATAATTCTCACCATCTTGATAACCGAAAACTTCTTGAGATGCATACGTTATATATAAAAATCCATCCTCATCGCCATATAGTTCGTACGCCTGAGACATAGTCAAACTCATGCTCAGCATAGATCTGTTGTTTATTATTAAATACAGCGCCTGTTTGATAAAAAAAGATGTTTATTAATTATTATAATAACATAATTACATGATAAGCGTGATTAGCAAATGTTAATCATTCAGAATAACGATATAATTTCAATTAGTTTATATATTAGATGGTGTTTTGACTATGACAGTTAAGATAAAAGTACTTTTCGCGCATGCGTCATAGTAATAATTATAATAAATTTATATCTACAAGCTTAGGTAAATTAGCTTACGGCTTTTGAATTTTGTTTCATTAAACTTACTTGGTTAGGTTTAATCCTTATTCTGTTGCGTATTATGACTAAGAATTGAGACATTGTTATATCTTCTGGTACGAGGAACTTAGTTTTATCCAAAGTTGGCAGACCTCTCTCTTTGTGGTATCTCTCTACTATGAGCTAAAAAAATTACTCGATTAGACAAAATAACGTAACACATATTTTATTATATATATTGAAACTTTCATTGAATATATTTTCTTACCGGTATTTTATTTGGGAATTTGCTTTTAATCGCCATTACTTCTTCTTTTCTAGTAACTGTAAATAGATATGTATAATTTATTTCATGTTTTTTTCAAGAAATTAGTCAAAGAGCTATAAAAACAGAAATAAACCCTAATTGAATATCAATAAATACTATTTTAAATACAAGACCAACGTGTTGAATGACATTCCTTCACATGTACACATGCATACAAAGAATTAAAAAAAATCAAATCCAACAGTTTAATTTTAAATCAGCGTGGGAAGTGAACAAATGCATTTGGAATATTTATTTTAGTTCTGTTCTAATGAACAGGAGGAGGTATGGTTTTAGATTTGTCATTTAAATAATATTTATCATTTTGACAGCTCTTTAAATGCCTTATTTAATAATTTATTCTTATTATTTTATTGAAGTAAAATTTTCAAAATAAAAAGAAACGCGATTTTATGTCTCGTTCAAAAATCGATAGTTTCATATTGGATGAAAAAGTAAAAGTTGACTTTAGTAAGGTTAATAAACCTTGTAATACGTTAATTTTCTCTTTGTGTAATATTTAAGGGTCAAAAATGTTTAATAATCAGTCGAAAAAAATTTATTTGAAATTTGATATTAGCGCTATTGTATTTTCAATTTATTTTATTGAATCTTTTATGAGAATTAGTAATTAAAAATAGTTTAAGTACAATGTTACTGTATTATTTACTTTTAATATACGTCTGAGTGCATTGAAGGACGGTATACTTTTTTGGGTGACGAGAATTTATTATGCTCTTTCTCGAAGTTTCTTTCGATGCGCCCAAACTAGTTTTTGTGTTCGTAAAGTAAGGATAAGGATCAATAGCCAACCCTCTTAACACTTTTTTTTATAAATATAACCGTTTGAAAGTATAATGTCACAGAATATTATTTACGTTAAAACTTTTGCGTTATTCTGCCAGCATAAGTTGAATATGTAAATTAGGACGTATAAAGGCCACAAACTAAATAATAATATTGAAGCTTAGTACTACCAAAATTTTTGATTTATATTTAATATTTAATAATATAAGTAAATCATTACTTTTCATTGCGATAAATATGCTAGAAGCATTTGTTTATTTCGGTCTCCGAATTGTCATTTGGGCGTCGTGTTAGGGATCACGTCCACAAATTTATAATGCGTTCATTTATTTACATGCAATTAACATTTACGTATATTTGTGTGCAAATAACTAATTGTTTACACGATACAATACAATAAAATAGAGTATTTTAGTTCAATGAACTTCGTTTATTAAAATTATTTTGATGGTTCTTATTACAGGAATAAAGATATTCAATTTTACTGCCTTTTTCTAATAGTATCCTTTTATCCTTATCACAAGTTTGCAAAGAAAAGTCTCTTTTCTTATCAAATAACCTACATCAATACTATAATACGCGAAGATTTATTATTAAAAAACTCTTAACCTATCGTTTGAAATTTAACTATAGAAATTCGTGATATTCATTCATATAATATAAAATCGGAATATTTTAAGGTTACAACTTTTAATTACTTGTTATATAAAAATAGCCCGTGCATACAGATAAACAACTGATATGTCTCTAAGTACAGGTCAATAGTCTATTAAAGATAAATATGATTATTATTTAATATTTTTATCTGGCACAGAAGTATTATACGACGCATACTATAAGTTCCTAATTTCATTAATATAAAAACAATTACCTGATCACGAAATTATATCAATGAATATTAAATTTTATTACAAAAAATCAAAACAAAAGTTAAAATGTATTTTCAAATTTATAAAAGACAATAAGTATATTTTTTATTTCAAAACATTTAATTGCGGGTAGTAAATATGTACAGTTTTAAATCATAAAATTAATTGATCATGAATAAAAAAAGATTTAAAATGATGTATTAGATAGTTTTAATATATTTTAATTATAAAACGTAACCGAAAAATTGCATTATAGGTAAATTCTGATATATCCTATATATTTTCGTCCAAACAAAACTCACCAAATGGTTTCTTAGTTTTAAAACACTGTTTCACATTATGATTCACATCGTGTTTAATGAGAGTGGTTATAAAGTTTAATTCCATTTTAAAACATTCACAGGCAATACTATTTATTTAAAAATTCCAATACGACAATAGCCGTGCACTCGCTTTGGGCTTCGAAGCTTGACTAATATTCCATTAACTTGTATTCAATAGCATGAATTGATGCAAAGTTGTAAACATATGAAGCTATCGGGTTATTTAATATGTTTACATTGGCTACAGGGCTATAGAACTTAACATACCCCGGCCTCCTGGTACGATGTCCATGTCGTAAAATTTATACCCAGGTAGATTTTTTATCCTAACACATTCCTTAACAAACAAATTGTAACAGAACTAAATAAATAAAAGATTTTTTCTATATATTTCGAGTAACATATAATAAAGTATATTTAGTTTAAAAATACCTTCTTTAATCAACTTTTTAGTTGTCATAATTATGAAGTGAGCTTATCGTAAATGTTTCAGTTTTATCCGGAATCATTATCTTGCTCATTTGACTCTGTATGTTAATAAAATGGAAGGTATCGTAATAATTTCTTACAAGACTAAACAATTTATGAATCCATATATGTACTTATATTACATTATTTTGGTCAACATTGTGACGCGTTAGTACTATATCTGTATAAAAAAACTCACAATGTAATTACATTAAAGTAAGTAATGAATCCTACTTCTTAAATTCTGTTACGTACATTTTTTATAGATTTTGTTACCAATCCATCTATCTGTAATTTAGTAGCTAGCCACTATTATGATTCAACTATGATTTTATTATGTGAGGTAATTGTCATGTAAAAGTCTCAAATAATTCCTTAATCTTGTTATAAGATTACAACAGTATTTGAATGATAAGCAAATTAAATATATCAAAATTATTAAGCTATCATTTGGTAAGAAAAGTGAATTTGTCCACATGACTTACTATTTTATTGTTTTCCGATGTCATCAAGCTTACATATATATTTAAAATGGATATGTTTATAATTAATAGTATTTATAAGAAAATTTGACGCTTTCCTGTTGTTCTGAGTATTTATTACTACTATAAGTATTAAGTTCCGAATGCCGACAGCCGTACAAATATCCTCTCAAAAAAGACCATAAAAATATGGTAAAAATCATTAACAGAATTCAAATTCCATTAAAAACGTATTATTTATCTCCACTTTTATTAACTCAACTATGAATAAAAAATCTTAAATGTCACATGAATTAAAAATCTACATCAATAATGATAAGGACACTTAATTGGACACACTACTCGTGAGGTATCTAACCCATTATCTTATGTTATCATTTTTTCTCTTTACTAACGAAGTTAATTACAATATAGCTACAGATGACTGATAAAAGTTTTGTCCAAACTGCTAATACTCAGTGAGTATCAAATACAGAATTGCTATAATATTTTAAAAGGCGAAAAATTGTTCATAATTTTTAAAAACCGTATCATATTTTTGCGTATGACTATAGTGAGACTTCTTAATACAAAATGATACAGGCGTGGAGTTGGTAAAAAACACTGTCAATATTCTCTCGGAGGAAGTGATTAAAGCCTCAAGACCCTTATGTTTTGGTAATGGCCTGCAAGTTTGAGGATAAGTCTGAATTAAGTGGCTCTTAGTACTAAGTAGATTGTAGTTTCCAAAATAATTTATGGCGTAAATATTAAGTGATAAAGTGCTTCTGAAACTTTCCTTATTATCCCATTCCCGTTTAGAAGTATTAAGTACACCCGTCCGTTCCCTAACACCCGTTTTCTTTTGATGTTACGGTCACATCAAATTCCTATATAAATTTAAATTTGTTGTTTCAAGTGTTCCACTTAAAGCGACTATAAGGAGCGCTTGAGTTAGTCTTGTGAATAAGGTATAGAGTATCCCATATATTAATTAATATTTTTGTTAGTTTGGTTAATATCGTACAGCTAAAAATAACGCCGTTCAATAATATTTTAAAAATATTTATACCATTAGTTCTAATCCTCATTATGTAACGATTTTTTCTTAATCTCATTCTGTTTTTAGAAAGTTTTTTACCGTCGTGTCCTTAAAAACTATATACCAGCTGTGTCTTCCATCTTTTTTTTAGTAGTAAACAATACTAATGGTATTTTCTCCACGATAGAGTTTCAGGGTTTTAAGCGGTTTGTTTGAATTGAATCCTGGAAAAGATAGCATTTATTAATCTGTCTACCCATTTTGTTTATAAGAACGGTTTAGATTTTGTCTCTAGACGGAACATTGTTACAAACTCTTTATTAATCTTCTCTGAAACAGTTTATTTAACAGATGTGTTACTTAGATAATTTATAATTATTCTGTTATTGAGGCTGAAAACGCTGCGGCTAGGTATACCGCTAGGAATGAATCAATTCATGTATTATTTGATCACCTTTTGATACATATAGAATATCATTTAACTTTTCTACTACACAGAATTGTTTGGAATCTTAATATTCAAATAAATCATATGTTAAAAGCAAAGTTTGTTGGTATTTATATGATTCTTATATATTGTGATGATAAAACTACTGAGGTTTGATCAATTTTGAAGTAACTGTAACTCATTTTGACTGTTCAAAAATCATTTATCATTTCTATAGTGCTTTGGCACTTTAAATCTTGACCTCGTTTTATTGTTCATGGGTAGTCCCTTGTTTTGTACGCTAGCAAGATGGCTGTTCAAGATTTCAGTGAAATCAACCATGATGAACATTCATAGAGATTGATAAATTTTATTTTTGTCCTTCTTATTTTTTTGCATTATAACTCCATTATTTGAACTGATATAGAATTTTATTAAAAAGAGCAATGATATGAATTTATTAGAAATGGTAAATTGAAACTTGAATATTGAATAAATTCAGTATTATGCAAGGGCGTCGCCAGCCGATGGCGCAGGGGGGGGGGGGCAAGTCGACTTTACAGACTACAATTCATACTTTTCTCATTCTCTATGAATGAGAAAAGTAGGTATGAATTGTAGGTATTCTGTGACAGAACAGAGTCTAATGTGTAAAGCTACACGAGCACGAGCTCTTGACTATGCAATAAAAAACTTGTAAATAAGTTATAATAACATTTATTATTTTTATTTTTTTAGAATCTCTAGGGGGTAGCTGCCCCTCTCTGCCCCCCCTTGGCGACGCCCTGGTATTATGATCCTACTAAACATTGTGTCGTATCTATAGATTGCATCAACAAATATATTTTTTTAATAAAAGTACATAGTTAGCGGTGGTTTATGGTTCTTGTTCGGAATTCCAACTGTCACTGACATTGTACAACAGCCTGTAGTTTATATTGATAAAATTTATTTTAATTTCGTTTATATGAGACAATAAATAGGATCCTTTTATTTTCTACCATCACAGACGATAAATGTATATTCAAAGACATTGAATCAATGTCGCGATACACACATAATTACTTTGAGTTGTGTTTGATTTATTGGAATTTCTTTGTAGATTTCACCATTGTTTATGGAAATGTCTATGGAACTGTATTAATTTGAAAAATATTTCTGTCAACGTCATAGTGACTATTTCATGTTATTGGCGTTTAACTTTTCAAGTTTTGACAGATGCTTTAAGCTCAAGTGGAGATCGTAACAGGCTTGTGAGCAGTGTGATAGAGATATGATGGCATTAAAATATGTATTTTAAATTAAATAGCTAGTAGTATACAGTAAAAAATCAGTAAAAACCAGTGATATTTAACTTAGTAATTTGATTTAGTTTTTAATTAGTTGTTATTAGATTATTCAGTGTTCTTGATATGGACTTTAGAATCAATAATTTAATAATAAGGAGGTCTGGTATTGTACAATGTATTTGATGTCCTATTGACCAAACTCTACTTGAAAAAAATATAAATTGTTGAGGCGTCCTCCCTTTGTATCTGTTAGCAATGATTTTTACTCCAATTTATATAGCGATGACTTTCATCAAAACTTGGCGCATTCGTTCGTTCAGATCTCGATTATTGGAGTTCTTGAGTGGTAACACAAGTGTGGCCTTCTGTAAAGTTCCCGAAAACGCTCCAGGTTAGTCAGAAAAATACATTTTGAGGTGAAACTTATTACGAAACATAAAAATATATAGAAAACCTAACATACGTAAAAAATATTAGCATTTATCAATTTTTTTATTTTCGTAATTGGTTACATTAAATATATCATATAGAAATATATAACAAATTTTAGCTAATGCCTTATTAACAAAATGAATTTGGTTATTAATTCATAACACCATATTCCAGAGACCCCGACACTCAGTTCAAAATTATGTACTAACCCAAAGAATGCGTATCTATGTGATCTCCTTGATTATACTAACGCATCACGGATATGCAGCATGAAGCCTACACAATGCATTGATATAAACGACTGGGTAGCATGTACTGGGGGATTGCCTTTAGGAAACGAGTACAATCTACCCGTCGATGATTTTAATGTTGAGGTGCTTTTTGAATGCGAGATGGATCCGCATGGGGATAGCTCATATCAAAATATAATAACTGTAAGTGTAAAATTCATAGAAAAATCTTAATTCTGAATGCAGTGGTAAAATTTCATAGACTATGCAATGTTATATAATGATTTGTTATGTAAATAATTAGTATGGTTTCAGCTTCTTACATTACATAACACCACATAAGTATTTGATTTGATTGGTTCAATGTTTTTTTAATTATTAACAACTATTGATGGGACCCTTTTTTGGTTGTTCCAGTTGGAATCGATGGGTCAACCTATCGCTTGGAAGGCCGGTTCACATTTAGCTATAGTATTAAAAACGAATATTGAGCATCTGAGTCTGGTTGGCTTCCATTTTGTTGGTGGGGAATTCATTATTGATCACAAGTTGCCCGTTGTTAGGATACAAAGTATGTAAATCATTTGTTCATTACGACTACGAGTTTGTGTGACTTCAGACAAATTTTCAATTCTATATTTTCCTTATATTATATTTCCTTATATTATAAATAATTTTCAGCCGTAAAACTTTCTGGCGAACCCAATAAAGCTGTCGATTTATCAATGCGGGGACTGCGTAGTGAACTTCAGCATAGTTTGAAATTATCCCACGAGGAATTCCAATGGCCTCTCCACGCGGCTCTCTTACGAAAACTGTCAAAGGTCGTTGATATTAAATCAGAAAGACGGAGCATAGAAATGAATGGAGGCAGTAATAAAGTTATAGATACGTCACCAAGAAAGAAAGTCACACTACACGACGTCAGTACAATCACAACTAAATCACTGGGAGAGGAGGAAAAGCCTGAAGTAACCAAAGAATTGAGTGTAATTGAAGTGAAACCTGAGAAAACTGAAATACTCGTTGAGAAAATAGTGAAGGAAATAGTCCACAAATCACCAGAAAGAAAAATAAGGAGGTCCCCAGAAAAAATCATAAACAAATCACCGGAAAAGAATCTAGTTGTGCCAGAAAACGGCGAACTAGTTGTAGAAAACGTGACCGTAGAAATACAACACAACATAACACCAAAGAAATCTAGTCTCAAATTGGATCTCAAAAAGGGCACGAGCCAAGCTTCGTCATCGCTACTCAATATCTCGAGTCAAATTAAATCTATAACGACTCACAAAAGAGTAGTTAGCACGACCGCGCCAAAACGCCCACAGAGTTCAGCTTCGAATTATTCAAACATTAAAGAGGATACACCAAAGAGTTCGCCATCGCAAATGACGCCCAAGTCAGCCAAAAGTTCCCGTCCATTAGTGAATACTAAGTCCTTGAACGTTTTAATATATTCAGATAGTGTAGTGGCTAGGGATAATCTGGAATCGTCATTGAGGAAAGTTCTAGACTGTGATCGGTAAGTTAAACATTTGTATCACATTTTTTCTGATTTTACTGCGCATTATATTGCTATACGTCTTTACCTACAAAAAACATAATTTTAATTATATGAGTACGTGGAATAGCAATTATTATAAAGAATTATTTTTTTTCAAAACATTACATGATCTCGTTTGCTAGATTATAGAGTTTTTACTATAGTTGCATTCCACAATCGGATGACGGATCTAGAAGGTTCGATGTATTATGACGTTATCTACTTAAGCGATGCTTTAGCCCGATTGCAACGAAAATTACGATCGTATTTAATATGAAAAAATCGATAACTCTAGTTAGATGTGGGACTGTATCATATTAAATAACCCTATCATCGGACAATTTGATTTGTGAAACAAAACTTTAATTTATTAAAATATAGTTATTTTAATAAATTAAAGTTATTTTCTATCTAATCGTAACAATATCTATGTCAGAAAATACTACGAGAAAAAAATATATATTTACATTATACACATTGTTTTCTGATACGAAATACGATGATAAAAGTAAGGAAAAGAAACATAATATAAAAAATATATTATCAATATTTTTCTAATAATTTCACATATGTACTTATTTGCCTTTAATCCGGTAATATGTGTATATTTTAAGGTTTAATAGTATATACAGATTCTATTTGCTTATCCGGAGATTTATCTGTTATCAATTATCTTATGTGCGTCAAGTCACTAACAATAACCCCCACCCTTTTTCTCTGACATACATAAAGAGGTGATAATTATTTTGGCACGAACTAAACACTCTCAAACAATGACGCGAGTCATCAAATTAATATCTTAAAGATACAAGTGATTGTGATTGATTACTTTGAAAACCAAACCAACCAAAGCTTCAACGAATTGCTAACTTCCGATGATAAAGCCGTGCCCATAATTCTTTTTCACGCTGAAAGATATTAAACTCTTTTGAAATCAAAGAAAAACCCAAACATTCTAAGTCACATCAATAAATAATTATTTCAAAATTTCCTTTCCTTTCCTTCAAAAAGGACAGTTTTCAAAATTTCCTTAGAGAATGTCCAGTCTTATACAATTTACTTAATATTTAATAACAGTAATACAAGAAATAATTGACGACGTATCAGATATATTGTCCGATTTTCCGATTATTGTCCGTTTGTCCGATTATTCCGATTATTCCGATTATTGTCCGATTATTCCGATTATTGTCCGATTATTCCGATTATTGTCCGATTGTCCGATTCCGATATTGTCCGATTTTTCAAACCACAAATTTCTTATATAAGACTATCTATAAGAATATATATCTCCGAAGATTCTTATTAACTATGTTATAACAGGTACACAGTATACAGCGTGTCAGCGGCTTCTCTACTCGGAGGCGCGTGGCGTGGCCGGGCGGCGTTAGTGGCTGTTGCAGGTTGCGCTGGGAGAGCGGCGCCTTTACTTCTGGCACATCTTTTAGATGGAGGAAGACTTCTGGCTCTGTGTTCCGACCTGCTACACACTGTACTACCACACTATAAAACCGCTGAGGTAGAAAATCTAGTAGCTTTTGCTAATATTTGTATCATCTTTACCTATATACATATCGTCGGGCAAATCCGCGTAATTAGCATTGGATAATTCAGAAGAAAGTTTAAGCTGAAATGTTTTCTATATCAACGACCTTTAAGGCAATTTTTTTCACAATTAGTATGTAGTTATTTAATTAATATTTTTAATTATTACATTTTCTAAAAATACTATATTAAGTGAGGCTATAAAAATATTGACGAGATATATAAAAAATAATGTAGTTGAATAATGTTTTTTTCTTATAAAGCCAATTGCAGATAATAATTATCAGTTCCTTCAATTAGAAATAAATAAGATATTATTAAAAATCTTACATCATACAGCGTACAGCCAGAAAAGATAAATTTTGTAAATAAACTGATTTCTTATATAATATCGTTACTCTACTGTTTTCTTATTAATAATTCCATGTAAACGTGGTGTTATTAAAACTACTATTGAATAGTCAAAACTACTATTAATTAATAGTGTAATATTCTTTACAGATAAGGGAAAACGAAGTGGTTCAATTCTCATATGACAAATGGGAATCAGTTAAAATGAAACACCACATATTCTGCTACCAGGCGTCGCCTGCAAAGAAGCAATTCTCAACAGAGAGTGACAGACAGTATGTACTTTGCTTTAATATATTAAAGAGTGCTTATAAATGTATCTATCAAATTCTAATGCTTTTGTGTTATAACTTAACGTGTGAATTGGTCTTAATCTCTATTAGATGTGTGAAAATAATAATGTGTTGTATTTAATGTTGTCAATGGTTTTACAGAGCCAGTCAAGACGCTAATATGTGTTGGTACGCATATAAATATACTATCAAATATGTAGATTGATGCTTTATATACATATGTATATATTATGCCTGATTGTCGTGTATATATTGGCTTAAATCCTATGCACAGTACTGTCGTGTATATAGTGCTTAAATCCTAAATACATTTTTAATCTGTATTATTAATTATAAATACATATTATGAGTGAGTGGTAAAACCTTTTTTGTATATATATATTTTTTAACATTAATTATTTTCTGCTCTGTGGTTATTTAGAAAATAATTTATTTCAAAATTTATCACAATACTAATGATAAACTTATTTAAAAAATAGTAGATGATGCTATAAAGATTTTTTTGCATATAATTAAATTAAAAGTAGGCTAACAATTATTTATATAGCAGATTAAATTTAATAACAATATTAATTAATTATTATTATAGGCCATCTAAATACACGGGACACCCAGGTCATGAATTGGATATCCAGGTGTTAGCTTCTGAAGAGACCTGGAGGACGCCATCACTACTGCAAGCTACAGACACAACTAATAAAGGAATGGCTATTTTCTCGCAGGTAATTATACTTATACATATACGTAGGTAATTATGTAGGTACGAATGTACATATTCATATATTAGGTATGATAAGTAAATATTTAAATATGACTGCGACTTACTTATAATTTATTTTGAAATTGGCTTCAGAGAGAAATAAAACTTATATGGTAACTAAACCCAACGCCATCTATAAGTATATGACGTGACCTACGAAGAAATATTACTGTTATGTAGTAATCAAACGAGAACTACACTTAATTTAGGGAAAATTAATAATCTTTACGTCGTAAAGATTTCTACACTAAAGTATTCGTAAGATTCATAAGAAATTGCGTACTAGTTTTTTGTCAAAGAGCAGCCAAACATCCATACATCTTCCCAAAAAAAATATTATTATATACTACGAAATTGATAGATTGTAAATTGTATGCATTGAAAATTTACTTCTTTCTTCGTTAATATTTGTAAAGATTTGAACAAGAAAGTATATACGTACATATATATGAAAAAGGTTCTATTATACTTCCAGATCCACTTAGAGGCTGATCCATGTGACTATCTCGGTGAAGAAGGTGTGAGGAGCAATGAGGCTAGAATTGAAATACTCCACAAAATACTAGGAGATGTTCTGGGACTACACGTTAAAGATCCTAAAGAACTCACCAACATCGAATACACCAGAGGATACTTTCTAGGAAACCACCTGGTAGCACTACTTATATAATAATTAGCATCGCCATCACCTATCAGTAGCTGTTGCTGTAATGTTATCATTGATTTTAATAAAATACTTTTTCAAATTTAGATCTAAGGCGTCTAGTTAATACAATCGTGTATTATGTGAAATTGAAAAAAAATTATTATGTTAACGATATTCAATATTACCATAACATCAAACTCACACCACACCAATGATCTTAGAATATATTTATTTTTTATTAATTTACGAATGCATTCAAGCAATACAGTACAGTAGTCATAGTAAGAAGCATAGAACATAGAATGAAATATAATATGTAGTGCACGTATAGTATTGATTTATTGAATAACACAGTCAGTTCAAACACGTCACTAATCGATATTCAACTTTATTGTGATATAAATAGAGTGTAATACGGTTTGTTAGGGAGGCTGGGCGGTGGTGTCGGGCGCGCCGGGCCACGTGACCGTGTGATGCCCGGTGAGCGGCAGCTCGCTTGTAGTGTACGAGGCTTATAGAACATTCGCGAATGTTCCAGAATATTCTTTAATAACGTTCCATTTTTGAAATGCTCATATCACTTTATACTCATAACAAAATTCTCTGAAATATCGTTCCATTTCCAGAATATTCTGGAATACTTAACAATGTATCCTCTACATTTTAACAAGATTTTTAATAGTTTCAGATTACAAAATATAATTTTTAATATAACAATATCTCGTGCTGTTACGTAATAAATGTTCTATAAACCTTTTTGTTTTAATAAATTCTATTTGCTTTATGATATTGTAAGCTTACAAAACGCTTAGCATCTTATTTTATGCACTAATATTTTTGTTTTTTATTTATTAACACTTATTTTATATATTCTTTTATATCCAGATCTGAGCTAAAACCTTAGTTTATCAAAATATTATATGTAATGCTTCCAGATCGTTCTGCAAGTCGCTAAATAATACAAGATTAATAGAATAGATTAAATTTAAACTTACATGTTTTTAACATTATTTGAAGCTATTATAATATTTGAAATTGAGCAAGTGTTGCCAGATTGGTTATATACATACATTAATATATATAAACTGTGTGTTACAGCAAAAGATGTCGTTAGTTGAGGCGTGGTGTGAGGGTGTTGAGGGTGCGTCGAGGGTGCAGGATGTGGGGGGTGTGAGGGTGCAGTGGTGCGGGAGGGGGGAGGAGGGTGTTCCGCCCGGGGAGGCCAGTCTGCCGGTGTCATTGTATGAATGTCCGGAGAACTTCGATACTGTTGAATATTTTGATGTACGTATAACTTAATTCATCCTCATCCCTACTAATATTATAAATGCGGTAGTAACTCTGTCTGTCCGTCTGTCTGTCTGTTACGCTATCACGCCTAAAACACTGAACTGATTTTAATGAAATTTGGTACAGAGATAGAGTTGATCTTGAGAAAGAACATAGGATAGTTTTTATACCAGACTTTTGAAAGCTTTTGAAAGGAGACGCGATATAACCGAAATATTATGATGAATAAAACTCAACTTGACCTTTCGTATATTCATAATCTGTAAGTCAAAGACTTGATTGAATTCAATATAGGTTCATTTTTAAGTTATTTTGTATTTTCCATGAAACTAACGTCACGTCGTGACATTTTAAAAAATTGATTTTCTGATACTTAAGTACCTGTATCTCTTAAAAATCAAAATAAAAATAATTTTTAGAATTATTCTAAACTTTTACATGGTTGTATAGCAAGGTTCTTGTAAAATTGTTCCTGTTATATATATTAATTCTATTAAATATTCCATACAGAATCTCACCTCAAAATCACTCGGTCGTCTGTTGATCTACGCGGATGTATTATCCAGTACTCACTTCATCAGCGGGTGTTCGTTGTCTCACGGTGTGGGCGCGACAACAAGGAGACAGGTCAAAGGTCGCGGGAGAGGAGGGAACACGTGGATCACACCGAACGGACAGGCAGCCATCTCTGTACAGGTATAGGAAATGAACTGACATACTGATATTAAAATGAAACTAATATTTTTCAGAAATCTTCGGATCATTCGGCAAAAAACTACATAGTAACGACGTTTCGACTACTTTTCAGCAACCTTGATCGCGGGAAGACGATATGTGCCAATAAAGTCGCGTAGAATATCCGAAAAATATTAGTTTCATTTAAATGTAAATGAATAAAGATTGCGAAAATCTTAGATAACTCATTAAGATGTACTAATACATATATTTAGTTTTATTAATTTATTGAAATGATTCATAACAGTTATTTGTGTTTGGATAGCGGGTTTTTAAAAGGTTTTTTGATTTTTTTGGACAAAGTAATGCAGTGTATATATTATTCGATTTTTTATTTATAAGTTGGTTCTAGCAAATTACATTTATTTTTATCATAAAAATAAACATTTTTGGAACTGTAGAGATGCAATTGACTCACAAATGAATAATTCAAGCTGATTTTATAATAAATATTAAAGAAGGAACTGAGAGTCATTAATGAAATTTTAGTTTTATTTGACATTGGAGATTTTCTTGAGAGGACATAAAAATTGGTATAAAAAATTTCATATTACAATTTATATGACATTTAATTTATTATCTTATAGGTATGGCAGAAGATATCGCCTCTACTGCCATTATACCAGCACGCGGCCGCGCTTGCCGCCACGAGGGCTGTACGACTGCTACACGGATACGATCAGATAGACATACGGTACGATCACGACACGATTATATCCTATATATAAGATCCGTGCAGTCTTAATGTTATAAATGTAGATTTTCACTTAAAATTTTGCTCCAATTCATTAAAATTATCTTACAGATACATTTGAAATGAAATATTTTATGGAATTAACGTATATGATCAATTTTCTTTTGGCGAAAACGTCCTTTCATAATTTTTTTTCCCAATCAGGCATAAAAATATACGTTTGCTCTACAAAGGTGATTAGTATATTGCATGATTGAATCCTGTTTCAAATGAATTTGGTTATATCATATAATAACTAGAATACTTCAATACTACAATACCTCAATACTACATACAATACTGCCATACTATATTATAATATTACCATACCACATTCCCATAATTCTATATATTACTATAGTATTGTATACTATTATCTTCTATATATATAAAAATGGATTGCTGTTCCTAAGTCTCGCTAAAACTCGAGATCAGCTGAACGGATTTATCTTATCTTAGTCTTGAAATGTTCGTGGAGTTTCAGGGAAGTTTTAAAAGCTGAAAAAAAAAAATTAATTTCCGGGAAAACCCTAAAAACAGAGCTTTCCTATTTCCCATACAAACGGGTTTTTTGACATTAGATTTGACAACTAACTAATATGTCAATCATTCTGTCGCACTTTAGAACATGGCGATTTATGGCTTAAAGGTAAACTCCAAAAAAATAATTAAGAAATAATTTATTTCTTGATTGAGGCAGTACGAAGTCTGCCGGGTCAGCTAGTAGTATATATTCCTTCTGATTCCAGTATAAAATGGCCGAACGACATCTTCTACGGGAGGGAGATGAAGATCGGCGGGACCATCACTACGGCGAACTGTATGGGTGATGACGTCATCATCGGCATCGGTGAGGGGAGAATAATAAAATAATAATGTTTTAAATAATAATGTTTATTTATCCCAAACACATTACAATTGTATAGACATTAACATAATCTGATCACAATGCATAAAGGTAAAAGGTAATAAAGTCTACTGTCCCTGAACTAGGTATAAACCTGTATTTCAGACGACAGTACTCTCCTGTTGCAAAGGATTCATTTTACCAAGTTTACTAAAGTGGAATAGCGAAAAAAGTCAACACAATATAGTGTACGCTAAGCATATTATCGCTAGCTTTAACTTAGAATATATCTAGTATACGAGGGTCAAACTGAAAGTTCTTAGAAAATCAGAAACTGATTACATTAGCCAGTTATTAGTTTTAAAATATCTTTTCAAAATATTGTCCATTCACGTAGATACACCGCTGCATGCGATGGAACCACTGGGAAAAGCACTTTGCCCACTCGTCCTTAGGGGTCTCTTCAATGTCATCGCGATACGCAGCCACCGCTTCTTCAGCATTCATAAACCGCTTTCCTTTAACTTTTTCTTTAATTTTTAGTAAATCCAGCTTTCGTCACCTGTTAGTATGTCGAACACAGCATTTGAGTCACCTCCATTAAATCTTTCAATCATTTTACGGCACCAATCCACACGATGCTTTTGTTTTTGAGCCTTAGTCAAATTAAGAGGTATCCACCGGGCGCAAAGCTTCCTGACCGCTAAATGTTCGTGGAGGATTTTGTGCACTTGACTCATACCGATGCCTAAGCTTGTCCGAATCTGCTGATAGGTCACTCTTTTGTCAGTCTCTATCATACGCCGCACAACACAGATGTTATCTTTAGTCGTCGCCGTAGAAGGCCGTCCCTCAAGTAAATCATCATTGAGATTAGTGCGACCACGTTTAAACTCCATAAACCAGTTGTAAACAGTCGCACGAGATGGGGTCTCATTGTGAAAGGCCAATCGTAGTCTATCATAACTTAAATGACATCTAAAGTCATAAAAAATGATTGCACGAAAATTTTCTCGTGTTAAATTCATGTTGAAGTGACACAGACAATTTTCAATTTGCCGCCAAATCATAAAGCAAATGACAAATATATGAAATATATACTCAGTAATATTGGCAAAGAGTTCTGTTTTCAAATTTTAGCATTATTTTTTTATTATATTGCTTATAAGTGGCCAGTTCTAAGAACTTTCAGTTTGACCCTCGTAGTATAATAAAATTTGTAGTATGTGTAAATTTGAGCATGAGTATATTTGAGATGTTTGTGTGTGTGTGTGTGTGTGTGTGTGTGTGTGTGTGTGTGTGTGCGAGTGGGTGTGCGTGTATGTGTGTGCTTACTAGGAACCTAAGACTTCAAGCAGCTTTTCAGTTTCATCGTACGACTTTGCTAGCAACCATTCTTTTAATACTTTTTTACATTTATTTCCATTAAGATGATATATAATTATAAGTTTTTTAATTTTACTGTGTAATCTGGAGCTAATAGTATAATAATGTCTCCCTGCAAGTGCATATGCATAGCAATATACAGGGTGACTGGTGAATTACTATCAATATTTAAGGAGAATACTCGGTACATGATTCTCATTCGACTTATGTAAAAAAAATAGGTACTTAATTTTTGACCAAATTTCCGTATAAATAAATAAAGTGTGGACATGTTCCAAGTGTTCCAACTGTGGACGCGTGCGGCGGCGTGCTGATACAACACTACGCCGCCGCACGCGTATGTGTGTGTGTGTGTGTATACCTAATCTGTAGGGTGTTCACACGATGCGTAATTCACCAGTCACCCTGTATATAGCCCTTGAGAAATATATAATAATAAATATAGTTATGACATAGTTAACATGGAACGATATGAGAGTTAATAATTTTACTATTATAGACAATATTCATAAATTTTCACCACTAGGTACATCTACATTTGTATTTTCGACAATTCCTTTGTTAATTACTATGATTTATATATAAATATGTATTTTTATTTTCAGGTACGGGTATAAACATCTCTAACAAGGTGCCAACCACCTGTCTCGATGATATAATAACGGATTACAACAAGACGCACGGCACATCACTAGCGCTGATATCGATAGAAAAGTTCCTCGCAAGATACTGTTCAGAATTGGAGACTATACTGGATGATCTGGAAAAAAACGGCGTGGAGGGATTCCTTGAAGATTACTATAAATATTGGATGCATTCGTTAGTTGAATTTATTATTATATATACATACTAGCTGACGCGGAAAAAACAATAGGGGTTGCTGAAAAAAAAGTAAAAATTTAAGGTTGTATCTATTTTAATGCTATATAAAAGATCAAAACAAAAAATTTCGGCCAAAAATAAAAAAAATAGGGGTGAACAAATCTTATAACTCAGTTGTATGAAAAATAGACAGTAACCGATTCTCATACCTACTGAATACGTATATAAAATTTGGTAAAAATAGGTAAAGCCGTTTCAGAGGAGTACTCGAACGAACATTGTGACACGAGAAATTTATATATAAGATTACTAATGAAATAAAAAAAAAATCGTTAGTTATTACCAAGTTGTATGAAGATTAAAGATAATATTTAAACTTTCAGAGGTGATGAGATCACAATATCTAATGCTAGCGGCTCTCTAGTACCTGGGGTTATTAAAGGCGTTGATGATGCTGGCTGGCTTTTAGTAGAAACGACAAGCGAAGACGGGGGGCAGAGTGATGTAGTACGAGTGGCGCCCGACGGAAACACTTTCGACATAATGGCCGGGCTTATTGCACCTAAGTGATAATTACTAGACAGTGTATGTAGAAATGTATGTGTTAAAACTTAAAACTTATTTGTTATGTTATATTTTGTTATTTATATCAAATAGCCGTAAATATGTGTGTAATGTCATGAAAACCTATGTTATATGATGATTCATCACACTTAATATAAAATAATAATATATACAAAGCTATTACATAAAATGTTATTAGAAAGAAAGTATGTGAGTAGATAAACTATAGATATGTATTGTTATTGATATAACATTAATTAATTATATAAATAAATAGGAATGCAGCTTACAAACAAAAAAAGTGTAAAAAACTTTGTTATAAATGATTTATTTGTTTATATAAGTACCAAACCAAAAAGTTTTTATGTAAACATATTAAAACTTTTTGGTTTGCTTAGATTTTTAAAATTCTATTTGTTTGATAAAGTATTATTATGATGGAAGTCTTTAGTGAATGAAATATTGAGGAAAATATAAATATCGAAGGATGCTTATATTTATGTTGGTATTAAAGCTACATAAAAAAGTTATATACCATTATTGGTTATAAATTCTTTATTAGTTACAAAATAAAGATTTAAAACATACATAGCTATGTAGCATTATAGAAATTTAAAAAAAGTAAATAGATGCTCATTATAGAAATAAATATTGGTGACATAAAAATAATATTTCCATACCACATAATATGTATATATAATACAAACAAGGCATTATTATCACATATATATGTGTGTGATTTTATATATATGATAAAGATGCTATAAACATTGTAATATGAATTTAAATTATAAAGTTACTAGAATGTGTCCATTTACTAGTAATATTATTATAAGATATATATTTTATATTCATATCATGTAACATGTCAAAGCTGTAACACTGCCAGCGTGTGAGAATATTATAAAAAATTGATGTATTGAAACAATTGTACTGCTATTAAATTGTATAGGAATTTTATAACATCAAATAATATTCAGAATTTGTGACATAATTGGTTTATTTTATTACAGACATTACAATTGTGATGTGTAATAAAATTTATTAATTATATTGGGTGATAAAATCAAGAGGATTTTATCTGTTGATTGCTAAGGATATTGTATTTGTATAGAATGATGTGCGTTCTTAATATGAGCTTTCATTGTCTAAATACATACAGTTTCAATGTATTCCTCAATCTTTACCACAAGTTTACATACATGATATTATCACGGTGTTTTTTAAAACTACAAAGCAGATTTGTGGTAAGGATTATTATATACTAGCTGCGGTGTTACCCGCGGATTTTCGGGATGTAAAGTAGCCTATATGTTATTCCTGGACGTCAGCTTCCTGTATACAACATTTTATCAAAATCGGCCGTTTGAGCGTGAAGAAGTAACAAACATACACACATACAAACTTTCGCTATTATAATATTAGTAGGATTAATGTCCCACATTTATGAATACATAACTTTGAAACTGATGGTTTGATAGTGAATTCTCATATTAAGGCTACAAGGAATTGTTATTGAATACATTAATAACTCTCTAAATTGATTCTTTTTTAAATATTATAAAAAAATCTTTACAAAAAAAAAATGTATGTCTTAGGGTGTCAATTAAATTAGGCTCTCGTGTAAGTGAATCTCAGAATTGTCTTATTCTAGATAATGCTTTTTTCATATTTGTTAATTAGTTCATCAAATCTCACCTTTGACATTTTATCTATTAAAAGTCAACTTTGTCTGTAAAAGCAACTTATCATGTAAAAGAAATCAAACATATAATCTATTTTGAAAACATGGTTTCCAAATGAGTAAGAAAGAGATAAAACATTGTGAATCTGGCATTAAACAAAATTATACTTTACATATTATACAACATCGAATATTTTCATATTATGCTAAGACAACTATAAAGCGTTTAATCAAATATAATTTATATTGAAAGCCTCTTTTTAGATACATCTACCTCAATAAACTTCCATGAAACGGTTCCTGTTATAAGATCTATATTACCACGAGTTTTCATACATAAAGTACATATAAAGAGTTTTCAGAGATAAAGTACGGTAAACATTCAGTTTGTAGTTTGAGATGCAAACTAATGGTACGCTGTTAATCATTCATGTCACCTGTTGTGATCTTTATTACGTACGCAATAAAGTCTAGAATGCAATTTTTCATTAATTCTCATTTAATATATTAATTCTTAGATAGATTTAATAGCTTTAATATAGTACAGCGTTTTATAAATTTTGAATTATTGTATTACATTTTTGCTGAATTGTATTGACTGATAGGATTTGAACATTTATTGTTTAGTGTAGTTTCTTTGTGAAAGAAGTTATAGTTTTTATTCCAATGCTAAAATAGATTTTATATGATCCAAAGACAATTATGTTTTATTTGTATATATTAAATTAATTATTAGCATATTTAAGTGAAGATGTTTTTTTTTTATTTGTAAATTTGGTGCTTAGTTTATTATTGTGATATTATTTTAGATGTTTTAATAATTAATATTTGTTATTAATATATGAACACCATGCGCTTATTGATAATTTTTTATGTGAATTATTTAAAGTATTTTAATATTTAATGCTCGACCTTCACATGAACAAAGTGTTGTAATTAGTTGTAGTTTAAAATTTTATTGTTATATAAAATAAAATGTGCCTAAAGTCGCATATAAAGATACATTTAATGTTTTGGAATATCTTGATGTTTTATTCTAAAACATTGTTAAGAAACTGTTGTTCTTTCAATTTATATAATTCTAGTATCTTAAATGTTATCAAACGTTCAATTATTGAACTTTAGCTGTTGTGATGTGTTTTTGTTAATAATGAAGTCTAAAAACGTTTATTCCCTGTTAAAGTTTCACTGTAAGCGCATGTTTAAAATAAATTATTTCAGATCCATTTGTATTTTCATTTCAAAAAAAAAAATAGATTTTTTTTTCTTAATTATTAATTATTATGTACAATTATCGTAGCAATTATGGCGTCTGTATAGAAATCCAAAAACGAAGTAAAATAAATAGTAGGTAACTAGGTAATTGAAAGGGGTTTGTAGAACTATCTTCAAAAAATATCAAGTTTATATTGCAATTATAGCACGTCATCTTAAAATACTTTTGAATATCAGTGAGCAGTTATAATCAATCAATAAATCAATAATCGTCCGCGTTCTCCATTTTGAATTTATTTGGCGGGATTCCTGAGCTGCCCGTCTCACGTATTGTGAATATGGCGCCGCTTAATTTATCATCGTTGTCAGGGTCTTTAGATGTTGTAACAAATAATTCATCCAGGTTCGGTCCACCCCAAGTGAGTGACGTCGTACGTGACACTGGCAACTTGTAACCAAATATAACCTCTCTTTGGTCCGGGTTTATGTGTAGAACCTAATAGATGAAATAATGATTAATGAATATAATAAAAAAGCGAAATAAGTTTTATAACATACAATAGTATTAATAATAGTTAACATACAAGAACATTTTAGTTACATAGTATTGACTTATTGAGTTTCTTAAGTACATTTGGGCTACACACAAATCGTTTATACATTATCTGTTAAATGTATAAAGTATGTACATATTTTTTATTTTTTAAATCAACTTACTGTTCCACCGAACATGATCGCAACCCACAGGTTTCCCCTTTTGTCAATGGTCATTCCGTCCGGTATTGCTTCTTCGTAACCATAATTCGTTATATCTACAATTGTTCTTCTTCCACCTAAAATTAATCGAAAAAATAAAGTCACATAAAATAATTGAAGAGATTTATCAAAAGAATAATACTTTCTTTACCAAAAAATTATTTTATTTTATGCTTAACATTTTGATTAACAAAATGTATTGTCTTACGATCATTATGATTTATTAAACAAACTTTAAAATGCTCGCGAAATTGACGAGTTTATTGAGTCATTTTTATTAATTTATCTACAAAATCATTTAAAATATAACGTATACTTACTTATCGTCCCACTAACATAATCAAAATCAAATGCTTCGACCTTCTGTGTGCTGGAGTCAATGTAATATAAAACAGTATTATTTAGGGACCACACTAAGCCGTTCGATATAGACACAGGACGTAGTTGTACTTTAGGTTGGAAATTGTTTATATCGAAGCTGTAGAAGGTGCCTTTATCAGGTGTCACCTCGTCACCTGATTGAGGGCCTTTGGTTCCTAAATTGGAAGATTAATTTTATGTTATCATTTAAAATTGATGTATTAAATATTGGTTGATTTATATAGATATTTACTTCTTAATTCATTAAGATTTCGTTTCATGATTAGAAACGCATATATTAGGTAATACTATTAAAGATTGCAATAAATTTAATTACGATTTTCTGAGCTTAAAGAGTTAGTATGTGTGTAGTTCGATATTCGCTAATTTTGACGTTTTAAACTTCTTGACACGTTTTATAGGGGTTTAAATGGATTTAAAGAGCGTAATATTTTCCATACCTGCCCAAAACCGTCCTTCTATGTCTGGTTTTCCTTCATTTAAGTAGTTATCAGGTAGTCCGTCGTCCACGGTGGTTATGAGACGTAATGCGGAGTCTCCTGCCACGTCCCAGTCCAACAGATACAGACCAGCTCTAACACATACTAAAAGTCGCCTAGATCCCGAAACTAATGACACCACGTTCACTTGACCGTAACCTAAGAAAATTAAGGTTCATACCTCAATAAAACTAAAATTTGATGAAGAGTCTTAACCCGTTATTTCAAGGACGTTATAATAATAAACGCATACTTTCCTTAAACGTCATTAATAAAATTGACAAAAACTTGAACACTAATCAAACAAATCAACAAAATATTTTGTATATTTATTGACGAGTGTTTCCTTATCAATTCTTACAACAAAATAAAACTATTAAAATATTTATCATCGAAATTTTATGATTTGAATGGATTTTTATGAATAGATAAAAATGAGGTCAAGCAACAAGTAGTCTAGTATCTAACCGATATGTTTGGTGTATATTTTTCCCGTGGCGTAGTCGAGCCGATGAACATTTTGCTGATGAACGTCTACGAAAAATAAGGATTGTGTGTCTACGTCCCACACTGGACTCTCGCCGTGTGAAAATAACGCGGGCTTGTTACTTTCTTCAGATGATACCTATAAGAGACAATACTATATACGTGTGGCTAAGACTTGTTTAATTATATGGAATGATGATTGAAATGGAATGAGAAAAATGCATTAAGTCACTAATTACTTACGGTCTGTGATCAAAAATCGCTAAAATAAATTTTTGAAAAGCTGAGAATGATATAAAACGATTTTTTTCCATAACGATATTTATAAGTAATCATGTTTACTTTAAGTGAGAATAATGTCCTTAATTTGAGACTTAATCAATATTTTTTGTCATAAAATGTGTATAACATTTTTATAAAGAGAATAGTACGTGCTGGTTATCATGTGTTAATAAATACCGCAACAAAAATAATTTTAATTATATGAGGAAAAACAGTAACTTACCATAGAAATTTTATAGTTTTTTAACGGATTCTTTGCGTGTAGGCAAGCAGCCAGCCCGAGGAACAGAATGATCCGCATTGTAAACATTCTAAGAAATTTAAAAACAATAAAAGCAAATTTTAATAATCTTTATTTCAGTCAATATACATCCGTATTTTGAAACATCGGGCGCGAGCAGTGTAATCAACTAGTTGTGGTTTTTTTTTCAAACTCGTGAAGGCAAAGAATGAGCACTTACAAGTGCTCAATCAACAACACCAAATAATAAAACACATTTATAGTTTTACCTTTTATATCACCTGATATTGAATCTTCCGTCATACAAACTGGAATGTTGATTTTAGTGACTTCATTCCTAACATTTAATTGACAATAAGTTGCGTTAGTAAAAACTGTTTAGAATATTTAAGAATTTTTTATGACTAAACGTTTTACGATATATTTTTGACTATTTGTTATTTAAATTTTTTTTTGGAATTTATTATAAAATTAACTTTATAAGAAATAGCTTTACTTTAAAGATAATTAGTAACGATTCTGTATTTAAGTAAATAATATTCATAGAATCATATGCACGAAACTGTAATAACAAGACGCATAGCCAAGTTTATTGAGTTATTTTAATATAGACTAAAATGTTGAATTAAAAGTAAATTGAAGTTTAATACGTTCAGGCATATCATTATCATAGTTGATTAGTCAGTTGTTTTAGAATTATGTATTGTTTTCCAACTTTTGTTAAAAACATCTGCAGGATCGAGGAATTATCGTTAGGGAAAAAGTTCACATATATAATACATGTAAGTTTAACCATTTTTGATCCAATTTCCCCTTAGAAATTTACCTTCTATTTTGGGAGATTATATAGGAGATTTGGGTGAGGTAACGGATAATTGGTATAGTAGGTAGATTTTTTATGACGCAGGGAAACTCTTTATACGAGCCGTCCAACCGGCCTTGGTGGGGCCAGAAGAGATGTGTGAGGCTCGGCCTGGGCAGGCCCCTACTCATTAAAACCACTGCAAAAGCTATCGGCCGCTATGTTGGTGTTCCCCCGAATTTGTCAGCGACAGGGCACACCAGCGACTGGCCGGTCCTGGTAAAGACCGGAGTATGGGGGCGATCCCGGCAATTAGGATAACCCCAACGACGCCGGGCTTTCACTGGAGCCGGGTTACCAAGCCGACCCCAGCCGGAACACAGGGGTGCTAGTGGAGGTGTTGAAATCGCCTCCGTCGCACCCCCGTACGTCGCCTGCGGGGGGAGGGAGCATCAGCGGCCCTCTCCCTTTCTCGCTCAGATGCCTCCTTCGTGGACATGACCGTCTCACAGAAGGAGGACACCGCCAACCAGGACCTATCGTTCTCGAGCATCGTCTCCACGACACTCGAAAGCGACAAGTCCACTCCGCCGAGAGCCGCCACGAGGTCTTGCCCCTGCGCAGCTTATCTCGGGCACACCCTAATGCTTTTATTAACAGTACGTTGACGGAGTTTACTAACACTTTCACCAAAACTTTTTAAAATCATGTTTAGTGAAAATCGTTAAAAAAAGTGATATATATTTTTTCGTCCATTAGTTTTTATTGAGAGTAGGTATTTTTATTAATCACTAGACATTTAAGATCGGAAGCATTAAGTTTATAAAGCAACGTAGAGTATCCTGAAAATTACAAAAATATTTTATTTACATTTTATATTCTAAAACATTTTCTAATCACTTGCTAAAAATCCCTACTAATATTATAAATGCGAAAGTAACTCTGTCTGTCTGTCTGTCTGTCTGTCTGTCTGTCTGTCTGTCTGCTACGCTTTCACGCCTAAACCACTGAACTGATTTTAATGAAATTCGGTACAGAGATAGAGTTGACCTTGAGAAAGAACATAGGATAGTTTTTATCCCAGACTTTTGAAAGGTTCTCTTGGAAACGCGATATAACCGAACTCCACGCGGCGAAGCTGCGGGCGGAAAGCTAGTACATTTATACAAGCAATTGGAGGTAAGAAATGATTTTTTTAAAGTAGTTTGTACGATTCCATTTAAATAAATAAGTAGATATTTATGTACGTAAAAATATTTAAAGTTTAAAAGTACATGTTTATTGTTCTGAAGTTATTTTGTCTATGTGAATAGCGGTAACTTTATAGTACATATAACCTTTGAACAATGTTGAAAAAACTTTATATAAAACAGAAATGAAAGATTAAAAATTAAAAAGAACCCTGTCGAGTTTTTATTAAGTTAATATGCTAGTAAATTCTTAATGGTTACTTAACGTAAGCATGACAAATAAATGTCACTGTTTAATTTATATTATGTGTGACTGTATCAAAATTAATTACGGCTTCTGAATTAAAATAAATATCTGGAACGACGCCTTCCGTTTTTTTGTTTATCTAGATTCTTTAACATATTTGATTATATCAACTTTATAATATCGTACACCGTCGATTGTACTCAATGATAAATGAAATTATAATTTAGGTAGAATGTACATAATTTTTTTTTTTACTCAATCTTTAATAAATAATAAGAATGACATTCGCTAAGTACACACATAGGTAGGTATATAAACTTATTTAACATCCGTGTGCTTTAGTATATCCCGACAAAGACGTAAATTCGATCAATTGTTTCAATCATCGATTGTTAAATTTTACTTTACATTAATATTATTAGTTAAATTTTACTTTGCATTAATATTATCTTCAAAAACATCAGCGGGGCTAAATGTATTTAACAAATAACACAAATATAATATAATCTGTTTCAAAGTATTAAATATTTTTAGTTCTATTTTCCTTTATATTATTTATTTTAAATCATTCTACGATATTCAGGGATCATATTTCAAGTTTTACTTTAAAACAAGAACAAATAAATGATTAAGGGGCCGTTCAAGTATTACGTAAGCAGATTTATTACAATTATTTACCCTCCCATCCCCCTTGTCAGGAAAAGTAAGCAAAGCTCTTACCCCTCCCTCCCATGCTTACGTAAACATTTTCATTTACTACATTTTTTTTTCATATAAGTCCAGAAAAAAATTATAATTGTATTTTTTATTGATTGAATATTCCATGAGACGATTAATAATAATTAATGACTATTAACTACCGATGACGTAATCGATACCTAGACTCCCCTAACCCCATGTCATCCAAAATAATCAAACCAAAGACGCTCCTTCCTCTCCATAGTGCTTACGTAATACTTGAACGGCCCCTAACTAGTTTTTCTATTCCGATAGATTTTTAAATGTCTTCAGTATCTATGTTAGACCAGTGCGGATAGCTTTTAACACATAATTAAATTATAGTAGAATGAAACTCATTAGAAAAGGAGGGGAATATTATAAAAATTAAAGAAAAATAATTTCCGGGCGACCTGAGGTCGGGAAGGGTATGGGGATGACTATTTAAGGGTAAAAATGGGTTTTCCCGATTTCCGGCAAAACTAAAAATCCTAGTGAAAAATGTTATATGGCAAAATTATAGGTAATAAAAAGACCTAAAACTTTTATACTGACACCTTTTCACATAACCTCAAAATTTATGTGAAAAATTCGGAAAACCAAGTGTTTGGTTTCTTTTTTTTATTTCTTACAAAAAACAATATTTTAATAGTTTTAGCAGCCTAATGCCAATCTTTTGTAAATTACCTAAATGGAGATCTTCCAGAGTACATAACTGTTAAAAATAAATAAGAAAGAGCATTTTTAAAACGATGTCGAGTGTCATTTCATTAAAAAGGACATGATTATTTTATCCAAAAATGGTACTGCAAGTAAAAAACTTATATTTTTTTCTTCATCATCGGAAAATAGAAATTTCAGCGAATAGAACACATACCAAACTTTTTAAAAAAGCTAATATTTTGACGGGTGATTTTCGACTAAAAATGAGGCTGATTTTTCGATATTTATTCAATATATGCTGAAAAAATAAATGTTTCTAATCAAATAAATTACAGTGTAATTGGGACATTAAAAGTAAGTTTCCACATAATTTCATGACAAAATATTGTTTTTTGTAAGAGATAAAAATAAAAAACCAAAAACTTGGTTTTTTGAATTTTTCACATAATTGTTGAGGTTATCTGAAAAAAGTGTAAATACAAAAGTTTCAGATCTTTTTATTACCTACAACTTTGTCGTATAACATTTTTCATTAGGACTCTTAGTTTTGTCGGAAATCGAGAAAACCCATTTTTTACCATTAAATACCCACGCCCGTACCCTCAGACCCTCAGACCTCAGATCGCCCGTAAATTATTTTTCCCTTAATTTTTATAATATTCCCCTCCTTTTGTAATGGGTTTCATTCTACTATAATTTAGTTTCACTTTTCATTATTTTTAGAGGCATCTGCACTGGCCTATGTATGCTAAACTCAAGTTTAAAAAGTCAACATACAGACGTTTTTTAAAATAGTTTTTAATTATAAATCTGAATTTGAAAAAGATTCTTATATTGTTACGATTCAAACTTGTCCTAAACAGACATCCCTTACTACGCACCTGCTTAGTATTTTATTTGCATACCTATCATGTTTTAAGAAGATAAAGCGAATAATAAATAAAACTAACTTCGTATTTTTGGTAATATTTAGATTAAAGTGTTTTAGTGCTATATGTATGTATAGTCCTACTTTAGCCCTTTTTTCTATACTTTCCTTATGTTTTTTCTTTCATTATTTGGAGCATTCTCATTGTATTAAATTGGTTTTAAAATATTTAAATAAACGTTGTCCATTTTATATTCGTCAAGTATAATATAGCAGTAAATTATAGATACATTTTTAATTGTAAACAAGATGAGACCCTTAGACGAAAGTAATAAAGCAACTTGTGTATAGATACATCTATACTAATATTATAAAGCTGAAGAGTTTGTTTGTTTGAAAGCGCTAATCTCCGAAACTACTGGTCCGAATTGAATAATTCTTTTTGTGTTGGATAGTCCACTTATCGAGGAAGGCTGTGGGCTATATAACATCACGCTACAACCAATAGGAGCAAAGATATAGTGGTAAATGTGTAAAAAACGGGAGAAATTATTTCATCTTTGAAGCCTTCCGTTGCGTGTGCCGTGAAAACGGTTCAAGATACACAAAAAATATGTGTTAAAGAATAATAGCTCTTTTAATGATCTAACAAACAGTCCTGGACAGTATATGTCTATCTTTTAAGATTAACTCAGAAAAACCGTTTTTATGGTACCTAATTTGGTCGAAATAATTTGTTTAAGTTGTATCAACATAGTAATATTAATCTTTATTCAAATAAACAAATTAATATGTTTTTGGTTAAGAGTACTTCATTGTGAATAAAAAAAACATAGGTTTTATCCTGAAAATTCTACGGGAACTCGATCATTCCGAAAACCCCGCAAGAACGGGAACTATGTGGGACGAACCAAAAATCTGTCGGAAGTCACTATTCCACGCGGACGAAGCCGCGGCAAAAGCTAGTATGTAATAAAGTTAGTTACGGTATTTTCGAACTTTGAAATTTCTTTAGGTACTTAATTACTGTTAAGGAATTTATTAATACTGACAAGTATAGCGGTTGAATCTATCTACAAACTACTAAAAGTCTTGGGCATGTCTAGAACTAATATCACTTCATTCCTGAAAATTTGGTTAGCTAGAGAGAGAAGCTTGGACGGTGGAGGTGAGCGTTTAAGGCGCGTTAGATAAGGGTCCCTTAAACCTACACGGTGAATCCGTTGAATGCTACGAATATTTGTCTCTTGTAATGACAATAAAAAAATATGTCTAAAGAGTTTATTTCATAATCTACTTCCCTGCTGTTAATAACTTCAGCAGAAATCCTTTTTACAAAAAAAAGACCGAATTGATTACAGAAATGCATAGTATGTATTGCTACTTAAATGTTATATTAATTAAGATATTTTTATATTATTTGTGTTTATACTTCACTTTATACCCTGTATCGCTTTATTAACATCTAGATTTGTGATCTTCCAACACAACTTTGAAAAAAAATGTTCATTTATATTGTGTTCATTAACCAAGTATAATTGCCCTTTCAGAATTTATTGTAAAAGGAAGCGACATTATCGTGTTTAAATGGGAACATAATAAAAACCTTCTTACATACAATACAAGTCGAAGGTTGATTTAGACTTTCTTTTTAAAGTAAAATTCTAAGCGGGTTTATTTAAATATTTACCATTTTGATATTAGAAAGAAATAAAACAGCCTCGTATCCTTATAACGTATTTATTATTAGTTACAATCATCTCGTAAAGTTATTTTCGTTACAGAGATTCTAATATTCTAAATATTAATATATCTAGTTACAACTAACGTTATCGCTGATGAAAACGATTTTATACACTTTAATGAATACACAGACGTCATTTTAATTCATAATATAAGTTTAATTAATTTAATCTTAGTACTTAATTTAGTCGCATATCGCTATAAAATGCTATCGGCTTGTCAAGTGTCGGTAAAACCTTATAATATACTGTTAAAATAATAGTTGTGTTTTGTTAAAATTTTAATATTTTTTTTCTGATATTGATAAAGTAAAAATTTGATCAAAAGAAGTTATTAATAATCTAGAATTGAACATGGAATCTGTCAATTTTATATGTGATTAAGATTACAAGACAGACATACATGTGTACATTATTTGAATTCACATGCTCAGATCGATATTTACAAATTTTTGACTCCCACAAAACTATTAATTATGAATGAAAAATATTTGAAATGCAAAATCTGTCGGAACGTTAATTTCTCTTAAGTATGTATTCAATAATACGATATATCTATAAAAGAAATCATACAAATAATTATATATTATATATAAATCAGCATTTCAATCTCTCGAACCACAAATTTGCAACGTCATTAAATACGTAAGTAATTTACTACCATCTTGTGCGTAAATAATCGAACTTGAAGTGACGTTGCAAAACTTGTAGTAAAGATTTTGTGTACGAAATAAAACACTTAACCGGTATCGTAATAGTATAATTGATCTTATATATGTTATGCGTGATGCGGCGCGGGTTGAGGCGGGGGCTCCTGCGGGGCTTCGATGGCGGGTCCGCCGGCTGTGAGAGGGGCTCCGCCCCCCGGGACACCCACCACGCCTGGTACGACACCCACCACGCCACCGCTCTCGGCCTGTAATCTATTAACAACATCTTTTAAAATCCCTCCAAATGTTGGCACTCATAATGTCAAAGTTAATACTATAAACACAGACAAATAAATATCATTAATCCACAAGCTTCAATAGTTGGTTAGTCATTTCAATAAATCTTCTATACTATATTGAACATAATTATAATGTAAAAGGCTGCAGCACTAAATATCTGGCAAATCGTTTACCAACTATCAGAGCTCCATGTTTTAATATTAACTTATATGTATTACTGATTAAGATCTATTATCTTGTCAGTATATTTGTAGTTTAATTTCACTAAATCAATTGAACCACAGCTAATGATTATACAGGGTGACTGGTGAATTACTATCGATATTTGAGGACGTGGTAGTTGACGATCATATATGACAAAATAAAAATTAATATAACATAAATATTAATAAACTTCTAAGTAAAGTTAACCAAAAGTTATGTAATTAATTACGCATCGTGTGAACACCCTACAGATTAGGTATACACACACACACTCACACATACGCAGCGGGGGCGTGGTTTTGTATCAGCACGCCGCCGTACGTGTCCACACTAGGAACACTTGGAACGTGTCAACACTTTATTTATTTATACGGAAATTTTGTCAAAAATTAAGGACCTATTTTTTTTACATAATTCGAATGAGAATCATGTACCGAGTATGCTCCTTAAATATTGATAGTATTTCACCAGTCACCCTGTATATATATCGTATATATGAGTATATATACCTCTGCATGGCGTGATTCCTCGCTCGGAACTCAGCGGCCTTCAGCTGTTCCAGATGGAACTGCTGTCGTTCCTGAATCAACTGCTGTCTTTGATACTCCAGACCTGGAACATAAAACATGGAATTATTGTGAGTCACTATACAAATGTATACATATTACAACAAAATATTTTATTTCTTTGTAACAATGTTATGTACACTTGTCATTGACTTACATATCTGATGTTTTAATACAGTCACTTTCACTGTAAATATTCAATAGGTGTGTTGTAAGTGTGCTTGTTGTAATTAAATAAATAAACAAAGCATGTCTACATTTTATTCTAAATAATAACTCCATACACTGAAATCTATATTTCATGTTATAACTATATATAGAAAAATAATAATATAGTGACGACAAATTGTACGCAAGTTGTATGCTGCTCGTAAACATAATATTATGAGTGTATGTGTGTTGTATGTGCAAATACAACAGAATGTTGACGCGACAAAGACCAAATAAGGTAACTCCTATACATTTTGAATATGGCAACACCATCTCTACGATTTAAAGTTCATAGCAATTATTACATAGGGTATTTAATTAGATAGAGACAAATAAGACCAACTAAAGTATAACTAACTCCTATACATTTTGCCTATGGCAACACCATCTCTACGAGTCAAAATTCACAGCAATTATAATATATGATATTAAATTAGACAAAGACAAATATATCTCACCCTCTCTTTCTCTCTCCATAGTCGCTTCTAACTCTTCAAAGTGCCGCAGCTTAATTTCCAGCTTCTTCATCTGAGTCTCCACCAGTAGCGCGACTAGTGACTTGATCTTCCTCTCCTCGACCCCCGCTAGGTGTTTAGCTTTAACAGCAGCTGCTGCTAATGCTGCTGCTGCAGCTGATTGCAGCTTAGCGTCCACTACTGCTGGGGTCTCTGTATTATAATGATAATTTTTTAGAAGAGAATTGGCTTATATTATATGTATGTTACATAGAGGTACATGTAAATATTCACGCATCATGTATGTTAAATATAACCATTCTATTACATAATCTACGTTTTCGGGATTTCACTTTCATTTTTATTGTATTAATAAACGTACGTTTTGACTGCTTTCGAAAAGAGTTATTGGTATTTTATACCAGTGGATCACAAATTAACAGACCTTAATCCGAAAAAGATTATTTTTCAATATAAGCTAGTTGTTTAAATACGACTTTGTTCACGTGGACTTTGGCATACGTTTCAGAGTGATAATGTAGAGTATTAAAACAATCGATTTTGTAATAAATTCGTATTGACATCTAGTCTACGACGTGATCTCATACAAAATATACAGGGTGACTGGTGAATTACTATCAATATTTAAGGAGCATACTCGGTACATGATTCTCATTCGAATTATGTAAAAAAAATAGGTACTTAATTTTTGACAAAATTTCCGTATAAATAAATAAAGTGTTGACACGTTCCAAGTGTTCCAAGTGTGGACGCGTACGGCGGCGTGCTGATACAAAACCACGCCCCCGCTGCGTATGTGTGAGTGTGTGTGTATACCTAATCTGTAGGGTGTTCACACGATGCGTAGAAATAACTTAGCGGATGTTGATGAAACTTTACTGTTATGTTGTTCAAATATCAGAATAAGACATGGATTGCAATTTATCTCTTAATTCGTTGTCGTTCCCGCGAAATCGCTGCATAACATATACAGGGTGACTGGTGAATTACTATCAATATTTAAGGAGAATACTCGGTACATGATTCTCATTCGAATTATGTAAAAAAAATAGGTACTTAATTTTTGACCAAATTTCCGTATAAATAAATAAAGTGCGGACACGTTCCAAGTGTGGACGCGTGCGGCGGCGTGCTGATACAACAACATTCCGCCGCGCGAGAGTGTGTGAGTGTGTGTGTATACCTAATCTGCAGGGTGTTCATACGATGCGTAATTAATTACACAACTTTTGGTTAACTTTACTTAGAAGTTTATTAATATTTATGTTAAATTAATTTTTATTTTGTCATACATGATCGTCAAATATCACGTCCTCAAATATCGATAGTAATTCACCAGTCACCCTGTATAAGGTGAATCCATTGAATGCTAAGAGGTTTCGTCTCATATATAATTTGTTTGTGTTTCTGTTTTGTTTTGTTTGTTTTTATTATTATTATTATTATTATCATTTGTTTTTACTAACATTAGTTATAAGGTTGCCATGTAATACTAAAATTAAAATATGGACTATGTCTGAGATAAATAAATTAAATTAAATTAAAATAACCTGGTGTGGTCGTATCTTCTTCCTTAGAGTCTTTCGCCTCTTCGGTCTCGGTCGGTTCGTCTTTTACTTTCGCCTCTTCGTTGTCAACCTCCATCGCCTCCGTCTTAACTTCGCTGCCTTCTTTCTTTTCACCTAAAATGAGTAGATTTTTTAATATCGTATACATGACCCGGCGAACTTCGTACCGCCCTATAATCAAGAAATATCTGTTACTTATTTATCTGAATGAAGTTATTTTTTCATTAAGTATAAATGACCCGACAGACAATGTTCTGTCTTCTTAACTATATTTATTGAATTCTAATTGTTATATAAACAATTCAAAATTATTCCAAAAACAAAGTGTTTATTATTCTAATGCTTTATTCTAACTACGTGAATATTACTACGAGTAACACATTATTTTAATAAAGAAATGAAATATTCTAGGTATTTTTGTTCTAGTAATTTTCGTATTTTTTTCTTACATAACAACCATCTCATAATAATAACAAATACAACAAAAAAAGAATTAGTGAAATCGGTCCATCCATTCACGCGTGCTGCCGTGACCAAGGGAAAAAGGGATTCATTTTGTATATTCATATATATAATGTAACATCGCTAGATGTATAGTTTATTACATATTTTTTGTGTTTTGCTACACGCATTCAGAATTGTTTTTAGAATATTAAAAAGAAAATATTTAAAATGATATTTGATGGTTGGACGATTTCATTTTCATTTCTTGTTCATAATTTTCTTTGATACACTACTATGCTGATTTTGTGCGTGCACGCTTATATATGTGTGTGTGTGCGCGTGCGTGTGTGTGAGAATGCGCGTGTGCGTGTGTGGGTGTGTACCGCTGCTGGGCGTGTCCCCGGCGGGCGGTGCGGGGGGCGCAGTCCCCGCTATACCGGTGGCTGCTAGTGCGGCCGCGGGTCCGTGGGCGCCGGCCGCCTTCACGTGAGCCTCCATCATTGCCGCTGGAACTTCATCCTGGATATCACAGTATTAATGATACAACCTTTTACGTATTTCCTTTAAATAAATAAAGTTATTTTTATTTAAAATGCTTTATTGCACAACACATGGAAAAAAAAGGGGAAATACAAATCATAAAGTAAGTACATACATGGTGCGAAAAGGCGGTCTTATTGCTTATAGCGATCTCTCACAGACAACATTTAAACTATTTATTCATAAAGAATATTTTGTATACAAAAATATACTTTACTTATTGGAACTTTGTTATTAACAACTCCTTTATAGTTTATATTATACAACAGACACAATGTACATTAGAACAACATAATTCATTATTTTTTTGGAAATGTCTTCTCTTACTTTAATAGCAGCGAATTCATCCATAGCGGCCCTGGTAGCTTTAGATGCGATTCGGGGGTCAACGACCGAGGCGAGGAAGGCCACTGTACTCATGACAGGGTTACCGGCCTTACTGAACGGCACGGGCTGATAAGCTAGAGGACCCAGAACTCCACCTTGGAATTTAATTGTAATAATTTTTAATAATTCTTATGTATATTGCTAGAGATAAAAAACTATTGAATTCATTCACTTAAAAAATCTAGAAGAAATATAATAACATATGTATGTAGTGGACCCCCGGTAGTCCGACAAACATTTTGCAGGGCAGTGTCGAACTATCGAATTCGTCGGATAATAGACCCCCTATAGTCCGGATTTTTTTTACAAAAGAGTACCTTGTAATCCGACAAATTACAGATTCAATGATAAGACTATTTACATATTACATATACTTATATGTACTCTGAAGTACAAATCATACTTCATTATGTATGTCTCATTTAGTAGATGGAGCATACAAGTTGTAACTTGTTAAATCATGCATTAGCGATTACAAAATATGTATTCTATAATAAATAATAGATCATGTCGGATTAGACAGGGGCCGGATTATCGGGGGTCCACTGTATTTCTATAATGAAACTTTATCATAGCAACTTAGTAATAATGTATTTATATAGTTATTTTGTATGTATCGTGTCTCACCAGCGGAAGTATCATTAAGGTAAGGGTCTTCTATGGGTAGTCTCAGGAAGTGTAGTATACACTCGTCGTGTGTCCTTGTGCCCACGTGAGCAGCGACCCTGTTCCAGTCGTCTCGATGTAGCTCCAAAGCTTCAAGCAGTAGTAATGTTTCTTGTTCCGTCCATTCGCGACCTCTCGCACCACCGCGGTACTGAAATTGAATAGTTGAATGACACTTTGTAATGTTTTCGGATTACAGTATTACTAGTAGTAATCAGAAAATATTAGTTTGATTTAAATGAACAATCGCATAATTCTTAGATATCATTATGAGATTTAATAGTTCTCTATTCATGAAAATTTACTTTAAAATATTTTTACACTAATATGCTTGAAATATAGGACAGGTGGAGTGTAACGACGTCAATGGCAATTGAATTATAGTGGCTTTATTCAGACTTTGTCTGTGCTTTTATGCGAACCTTATCATGTGTTTCATATTAAATTTAATTTCACATTGTACTCCTGTACAATGTAATATCATTATGATGAACAGTTTATCTCCTCTTAGCAACTAATTTCATAATTTATAAAGTGACATTTGGGAAACTTCATATCACTTTTACTAATAAAGAAGTATGAATAAAGTAAAATAATATTTTATATATGTATATTTTCTTTAACAAACCTGATCCATTTTAAGTCCGGGAGCCGTTCCTAGTTCTATGGGTTCAGTCTTAACACTGGGCTCGGCCTTGATGGGTGCTTCGGTACCATTCGGCAGACCGGCTTCAATCTTAGGCACCGCAGCATTCTCTGCTGTAAAAAATCATTAGATCACTTAATCAAAGACATTTATATTAATACATAGAGAATAACGAATTATAATAATATGTAGAATTTTTAGTATTGTGATGTGTTTTAAATAAAGTCTATATTCGTATGCAATTTAATATGATATGTATAACAAAACATGTTTGTTTTGCTCAAACCGATTTCTGAAACACATGGATCGATAAGTTGAAACTTTAACTAGCTAATAGCAACATCTAATGTTATAATAAAAAACTCGGAGAAATCGGAAATAATATTTTATATAACAAAAAAAATATTGTTTTATAATTTGAATAAAAACATATGTATAATAATAAATGTAGAAGCGGCCAGGATTTGAAGCTGCGGCCTTCAAATATAACGTTATGATTGCTTTACCATCTAAGCTATTAGCTATCGTATCCTAAGTCAAGTCAACTTTTATTACAAATTGATTGCTTGAATGACAGATAGCAACTAATTTTATTTCAAGGACTATATGTATCACATATTATTATAGCAGATGGCGCTACTAGTTTGTAACATATGATACAAAATATCAAAAAATAACAACATATACAGGGTGGCTGGTGAATAACTATCAATATTTAAGGAGAATACTCGGTACATGATTCTCATTCGAATTATGTAAAAAAATAGGTACTTAATTTTTGACCAAATTTCCGTATAAATAAATAATGTGTGGACACGTTCCAAGTGTTCCAAGTGTGGACGCGTGCTGATACAACACTACGCCGCTGCGCGCGAGTATGTGTGTGTGTATACCTAATCTGTAGGTGTTCACACGATGCGTAATTAATTACATAACTTTTGGTTAACTTTACTTAGAAGTTTATTAATATTTATGTTATATTAATTTTTATTTTGTCATATATGATCGTCAAATATCACGTCCTCAAGTATCGATAGTAATTCACCAGTCACCCTGTATATATAACGTTACCTGGTCTTTGTTGCGTCGGTCTGGCCTGTAGCGGCTGCAGGCCGGAGGGAGTGTCTGACAGCACGTGGAAGTGAGACGTTGGAGGAGGACCCATTGCGGTCGGACGGGCTTCAGCCTCCACCTGAAGAATAACAAAATATATATTGTAAATATTATAGATAGAAAAACTACTTTCCTTTAGAAAGTATATAAAATGACTATATTAGTATGACGCAGTGGCGGCCGGTGGGTAATCGAAACGGTGGTGCATTTTACTAAAATATTAAAATTAGAAAATGCAACAAAACAATATAACGAGATGTCAATCATGGCTCAATTCGTCATACATCGGTTGCTCTCGGTAATCTTCGGCCGCTCGTGCGGCGCTCGAGAACCGACTCATTACTTGGTACATTTCTATGAACTATCTTTTGTTTCGCGCGTCAGGCATATTATTTCGTATCTCATACAAGATGTATTGGCAGTCCTCGTGCACTCGCCGAAGCGAACGATATGAGTTTAGTAAAGCGCTCAAGCTTTTTGATCATAATTACTAATTAGGACATTAAATTTTTTATACGTTTTTATGTGTTCAAAAAATAAATATTAAAATGGTAATTTAAAAATAAAGATGAAATTTTTAAATCTTTTGAATTGGTCGTTCAGTGCACGAGTGCACTTAAGGTACAGCCGCCACTGGTATGAGGTATTTTTATATACGTTGATTATAGTTTGATACTAATGAATAAATAACCAAGTATATCACCTTTATACTATTTTGTAAAATGCAAGTAGGTAATATACCTATACTATATAACATTTTGATAAATTTTTTCTTCTTCTACATTGCAATTTCCTAGCTTTAGCGAGGGTCTGCCTTACATATTGTGAATAGTTTTGGCTAATTGTTTTTACGACCGGCCGCCTGCCTGACATCAACCCTCTTTGGGAATGCAATAATTTGTGATGTTTAAATACTCTTAGAAAGTACATATGACGCGGAAAAATTACATTGGTACTTGTCAGGACCCGGATCTAACCCGCGCCCTCGTGCATGAGAGGCGGGCCTTTTAACCACTATGCCACCACTAACTTCCAATTTTGACATATTTTTTATAACATTATATCATAATTAATAGTAAATTATATTACCTGATAATTAATAAGTCCCCATTGTTCCAAAAACCCGTGTACCCTCATGATGGCGCACACGTCACCCGCGAGGTTGCGACGACAGGCCGTGCTTGTTAAATACTCGGTGGGATTCAAACGATACGTGTCCAACATGAAATTCCTGCAAAATAAACATTTTATATAAGTAATGAATTACGTTGAAGTAGTAATTATTTAAAGTTATAATAATCTACAGCATATTTATATTTAAAATTATAAATAAAATTATATTTAAAATTAATTTCAAATATGTACATACTTTTTCCTTACTAAATAATAGGTTGGGGAAAAAGTCTTTTCGCATTATAGTATGTTTGAACTTGGCTGTAGTGTTTGTATCTGGCAAGTTTTGGTATCATTGAAAGTAAAAATTTTAAAGAACATAATTCCAAATACAAATTAGGCAAATGTGTGATTTTCATTTGTTTTTCGTACTGTCAAGATGAGTGAATCTAATGAAGAAATTCGATACATTTTAAAATTTTACTACAAAAAAGGTAAAAATGCAACGTAAGCCGCGAAAAAAATTTGCGATGTTTATGGACCTAGAGCAGTGTTTGAGAGAGTAGCGCAAATTTGGTTTAGGCGTTTTCAATCCGGAAATTTTGATGTCAAAGATGCACCTCGCTCTGGTCGCCCTATCACGGATAAAATGGATGCCATTTTTGAAAAAGTGGAGCAAGATCGACATATCAGTAGTTACGACATAGCTGAAGAACTGGGAATTGATCACAAAAAAATGCGAAGAAACTTTTTCCCCAACCTATTATTTAGTATATAAAATTTTACAACAGCAAGGTTGAGATAAGATTACTGTACATATTTCATGTTGTGTGTTTAAATTTTAAATATATATATTTGTATATATTTTACATTTTGCAATCAACTACTTTTTATTCATTCAATTTATAGATTTAATAAAAAAATGTCATTTTATAGTTATATTTTAAGATGACAAAGTTATATGTAATATATGTTACCTGTAAGCCAGATATATCTCCGGTGTTTTCGATTTATTCTTATTATTAAAGAACTCCGGCAGCGCCCTCTTCTCTATAGTGTGTATGGAGTTGTAATCAAACCAGGCGGAGTATGAAGGCACCACTATGTGATGCGTTTGGTCTGTTACGTTGTCTTCTAACTCTTCCTTAGTCATCTCCTGTTAAATAAGAATAACATCAACCAATCATAATACTTCCACTAAAATTATAATTTGATATATAATTATGGAACACATATCTAATTCGAAAAAATCTTACAAACTTTGGAACGCACCCGAAGTGACGTTAAAGCGATGACATTTGGTTTATTCATTTTTGGACGGGAAAGTAAGTCTTTGTAAAAGTTATTTAAGGTGTTTTGATTTAAGATAATATGTAGTTAAAATTCTTTAAGGCAAGTTTGGTTCAGTCAATGTTTGATTTGTTATTTAAAAGCTGTAGGTTTATAAGACATCTAAATTTTTTAACAATTTGGTCCGATTCCTATATATACAACTATCTCTTATTATATTCAAGTCAATTTTTATTTATATATATCGGCGCTATCAGCTTTAATGACGGATGCGACGTGAAAATAACTTGAGCCTGTCATCAATTATTATTAAAACTCATTGGTATTCATGATTATTGTTAAAAGTAAAACGAAATCAAGGATTGTTTAAAAGGAGAATAGAATTATATTTAAATCTTGGTAAAAATATGACGTCTGGACGCATGACGGCAGAATTCCGAGTTCAGTGAGTGCGTATTATTAAAGTTAAGTGATTATGAAGAACCTTCGAGAAATACAGGAGCATTAAGAACAATTGAAGTTTCATTTTTAAAATATCATGGAACGTATTGAAAGAAGTGACATTGATAACGTCGGTGGCTGGGGTCCCTCTCTTTTAAAACAACGAATGTGTAATAAATCCGATATATATAATGTCAACCTACTACAGCTGCGTGCAAAAGTATTAGGCACCCCTATTGTTAGTCACTATCTCATTATATTGCGGTCAAGTGTGTGTTTTATGGTTTAGCTATTGTATTAGCGGCAATTTTTAACCAAATTAAGATAAAAGAAAATATTTATGACATCCAGGTGTGCTCCTAAGCGGTGTTTCTTCGAATTTGCTTTTTTTGCGTTTCGGGTTATAGTGTGTTATCAGTGCTTGCAGTGAACATACACGTCTTCTACGCAACTATTCCTATCACAATTCTAAAGATTAACATTTAACGTGTTAATCATGCCGAAAAAATCTGAACTTAGTGCTGAACAGCGTCTAAGAATTAAGATTTTACATGAACAAGGCATGTCTCAGGTTAAAATAGCCCGTGAAGTGAAGTGCTCGCGATGTGCAGTTCAATATGCTATAAATCGCTTCAAAGAGACTGGCACCCATGAAAATAGACCAAGAACAGGCAGAAGAAAAGTTACTACTGAACGGGAAGATCGATTGTTGATTAGGCAGTCTCTACAAAACAGGAAAATAACTGCTTTAGAGCTCGCTGCAGCATTATCTGAGGCAAAAGGCAGCTCAGTGAGTGTTTATACTGTGAGAAGAAGACTTCTTAAAGCTGGATTAAAAGGATGTAAAGCAAGGAAGAAGCCGTGGCTGTCAGAACACAACAAGAAAAATCGGTTGGAGTGGGCACTCAAACATAGAGATTGGTCAGTGGAAGATTGGTCCAACATACTGTGGTCAGACGAATCTAACTTTGAGGTATTGTTATTTATTTTATATACAATATTAAAACACATAAATGTTTTTAAAATAACGTACTGCAAGAAAAATAATAACTTTGAAAATAAATGTGTTTTTTTCGTTTGGCATAGGTGTTTGGAACACCCGGTGTGACTTATGTTAGGCGAAGGGTTGGCGAAGAATACAACCCAGAATGTGTGGTTCCCACTGTTAAGCATGGTGGAGGCTCAATAATGATCTGGGGCTGCATGGCTGCCGACGGAGTGGGCGAAATGGTGTTGTGTGAGGGACGAATGAATAGTGTTAAATACACTGAAGTTCTGGAAACAGCACTAGCAACGTCGATAACGCAAATTTTCGGTGATACAAACACCGATGGCCTGAAATTTCAGCAAGACAACGCCACTTGCCACAAGTCCGCGCATACCATGAAGTGGTTTGCTGAAAATCATATTGATCTCTTGGACTGGCCACCACAATCACCAGACCTCAACCCGATTGAGCATATTTGGTCCATTTTAAAGAAAAATATCCGCAGGCACTCGATTAGCAATAAACAAGCTCTATTGGCCGCGTTACAGCAGGAATGGAAAAATATATCAAGAGAAGAATGTTTCAGGCTGGTAGAGTCAATGCCAAAAAGAGTGGCTGCGGTTATTAAGTCAAAAGGTGGACCTACAAAATATTAATTATTTTCTTAAAATAAACCATTGTAATCATAAATGCAGTTTTATTTACACTCGCTATGCTAAAACACCCTAAAACTTGTCTTACTGTAGGGTGCCTAATACTTTTGCCCGTGGCTGTATTATAGTTTTAGTACCTGTGTATTAGAGTCACTGTGCTTCCCTTGTGAGTCGTCGTGCGCGTCCATGGCCGGCGCGGGCGTGGCGGGCGCTTCGGGCACCACCTCGCTACAAGCAGCGCCGCTACTAGCGCCCGACGGACCCGCTGACGGTACAGACACAGGCGGTGCTGGAAACATAAATAACAATATTAATTTACTACGACCAAGTATAGTTCAGTCAGTCTATAAGGTACATCTGTCCCGGTGACGCTGTAAAAGCCGCAGGACTAACAGCTATACAAATTACAATATATATATATGTATATATATAAGATACGTAACTCGCGGCTTCCCAAACCTATTTGGCCTACTGCTTACTTTGAGAATATTCTTTTTAGTGCTATAGCTTATCCTAGGTAAATGAAATTACATATCATCCCCAAGACTCTATAGTCTATACAAACCCCTAATTTTTTTTTCGAGGCTCTTTCCGCCACTATTTAGGACTGCAGAACTCTTAAGGAACGTTATCACCCACTTTGGCAAAAGCTGGTGTAACTCCAAAAGTACTTAAACATCACACAAACTATAGAAGTAAGAGACTGGTTCTAAAATTAAAAATATCTCATATCTAGTCTTACAAGTTCACAAATCCCCGCAACCACGTATCATAGTGGATATGACGGAGCAATTTACTTGAACAACGTTTTGAAATAAATATTAGCTGAATAGTTAGAGTGTATGTTAAAGTCCCTTTTTTCCTTGTCATACAGGGTGTTACCCCACTGGTAGTGTATATGATAAACACCCTGCATATATACTATACATCGCTCGTCCTTACCCTCCGTGGTTAGAGTGTATGTTAAAGATACTTATTTCTCCTTGTTATACAGGGTGTTACACCACTGATAGTGTATGTGATATGATCAACACCCTGTATATATACTATACATCGCCCGTCCTTACCTTCTGTGGACCGCTCGCTGTCGGTGGCGGGCGCCACGTCCGTGTTGTCTCTGGACGCGTTGTCGTCTTCGTCATCTCCGTCGTTGTCTCGACGTTTAGCAACTCGACTGTTGATAAATATTATGTATTATAAGTATAAAGAAAACTTTTATAAGTGAACTAGAAGACCCGGCGAACTTTGTATCGCCCTATAATCAAGAAATATCTGTTACGTTTTTTTATTTATCTTTTTGGAGTTTGCCTATTAAAGCCATAAATCTCCGTGTTTCGAAGTGCGACAGAATGATTGACATATTAGTTAGTTGTCAAATCTAATGTAAAAAAAAACGTTTGTATCAACAACTACTAATAAATTAAAAATTAATTAAGAAAATATTGTCCAGCGGAGAAAATTGTGAATCTAAACCATTCCCAGATCCCTTGAACACACACAAAAAATTTCATAAAAATCGGTCCAGTCGTTTGAGAGAAGTTCAGTGACATAGACACTCACAGAAGAATTATATATATAAAGATATACATGTCACACCTCTTTCTCTTGCCATGTTTCTGTGGCGGAGGTGACGGGGACCTCTTCCTTTTGCTCTTCTTACTTTTCCCTGAACTCTCCGCTCCCGGCATCAATTCGTCCACGGAAAGCCGCAGTTTGTGAACCTATAACATTAAAAAAGTATTATAGACTATCACTATGTTTGTATCAAGTTTGCAGAACATAATATGTTAACATTATTTAGTGTGACTAAATGTTTATTTGACGAATCTAAACTACATTTATATTATCATCATGGGATTATCATTTTATATTTGATATAGAGACAACGAATGTGGTGTAACTTTCCGAAAAAAAATGAACAGAAAAAGTTTTCAATTCTAAAATATAAATTAACTTATAACTGTGTTTACGTGTGAATGTGGGTTTGATCGTATCTGTATGAATGTGTGTGAATATACGAGTGCTAATTTTTTTTGTATGAGCCTGTGTATGCGTGTGTGTGAATGTACTTGTGGTCGAGTATTTGTGTCAATGTGTGTGTGTGAATGTACGTGTGTCCGAGTATTTGTGTCAATTTTCGTGTGTGCGTGTGTGTGTGCAGATGTGCCTGTGTGTGTGTGTGAGCGCACCTTCTTCTTCCCATGCTGGTCCAACTCATAGTCTTCTTCGTTCATCCACTCGTTATACTGCGTCAGGTCTAACGCCCACGTGGCCGACACTCGCCACGGCTCCGACCTGTTACAGTCCCAATTGGCTGTTTCCGGTACATCCACCTGATTGAAAATTATATTATATTATATGTTTTATTATATACAATAGTATATCCCAAACATATAAATTGTCTTAGTTGTCTAAATAGCCCACTAGGGGAGCCACTGTCTATGACGCAAGATGTCAATCTGATTGTATTATACTCTCTTGTGTCAACTGGTTTGGACTGTGTTATCATCTTAATAAATCTCAGTATATCAATTTAATCCATGATTATTTCCGCCCAATTCCATCACGGGGGAATATAAGGTCTTGAAAATGTTTGAGTACTTTTTGATTATCAAGAAGATATAAATATAATATTATCAGGGTAGCGAGAAGTTAATAGAAGGAAAACACAGTTAATAGAAGATGTAAAAAGTATAATGAATAGGAAAAAGACAAAGAAAAGAAGAAAATATCTAGTTATCACTAATATATTTTTATACTTTAATTTATATCTATTTTTTATTATTAAGATTTAAGCAATGATTTTCCAGTATTATAATGTTTCCAATTTTTTTTTGTGTGTCAATTATGTATGGATTGTCATTAAACAAACCATTATATAATGAACAGTTTGCTTCTTATTTCTATACTCACGGGGAGGTCAGCTTGAGCCCAGGTGTCGTGGCTGTCTGGTAAGTAATACCAATGTACCAACACGTTATTTCCCCTCCTGAAAACAGGTCTGGCGTATTCCTCCTCAAGAGGATCAACAGCTGGGTATATTATGTGAGTGGCATCCTCTTCGTCTTCTGTAAATCATCATCATCATGAAAATACATAAATTCTGTAAATACATAAAATATATTAAAAACATGTTCTTATATAGTATGGAAGTAAACACAATATATGGTATTAAAATAGCGGGGAAAAAAAACAAAGTATAACTTAGTGTTTAAATAAAATTATGGTATATTTTTATGACGAAAATTGATTAATATATAATTATTGATAGCAAAAAGACGTTGAGCTAATTTGAATTTAATGCAAAGATATTATGCTTTAGTTCTTAAAAACTTTCATTTAAACTATCATCGTATTAGAATGAAATCTTCAATAATAGGCCAATTGGGAAATTTCTTGTTATTGTTTATAAAACATAACTAGCATAAAAATAAGTCGGTTTATTACTAAGAAAGTGTTAATATTGTTACCACATATCTCTCCCTGGTGATTCACGATGATATCCTTTATTTTGTTGGCCGTAGCTTTGTCAACATCGGGTCGGATGTATATACAGGGTGAGCGTAGTAATTCAGCTGTTAGCAGAGCAGACTCTATTTCCATCATCATCTGCACGTTAAGATCCTTACGGGACGGATTCTGGAAATGACGGACGGGAATGGGAACGGGAAATGTCCGTTATGTTAGTAATGTAATAATAAATAATCATTATAAAATATTTCATACTACATAATTGTATGTTGAGAAAAATGAACAGATTATTTAGTTCAACATAGCTATTTATGTATCGTATCAAAATTACTAATAGATTAAAAATATAATAGAATATAATTCAGGAACGACAATGTTATAAATTTTTGCAAAACTTTTTTCATGTATATATGGAAGATTACTTAGATTAATTCTATTGAGCCACATAGTATATACAAATAACAAGTATATGAGAAATTCAATATATTAAATTCATAGATAGACGTAATTGTAACACATTACAGATATATAGCAAAAACATGCAAGACAATCCCAATACAAAATTAGTTAAAGTATTAAATGGGTAAATAACAAAACAATTTAGTATAGCAAATACAACACAAAAATAATGGGCATTGCATGAAATGATATGAAATGAAGGAAGTCGGTGGACTTTTAATGAGAAAACTATAAAAGAAGATTCTGAAACTATTCAAATATAACCAATATAGTACAGACATCTAAATTTATTTTAATTAACTAAGTTCTAAGTAGTGCACAATACTAAAAAAAATCTATGTGATAATAGAAACATTTCAATAGTTCATACAAAAATTGTGTTATATTTTGTCATTCAAACAATAATCACCAATTTTATTCATATAACTTGATAATAATAATTAAAAATCATTTTCAGAATATAATATTAGATAATTTCATTGTAAAAAAAGTTTAATAATAAATTTATCAGGTATACCTTTCAGGCATTTCTGCGGCAGATAGATTAAGGTATTTTAAATTTAATTTTAGAAATCATACCCAGTGTCATGAAAGGGTTAGTGACACGCATCTCGCAATATATACTTATAAAGACTTTGTTTATATAAAATATAAGTAATGAGAATAAAAAGAAAATAAAAAAAAATATAAATATGTATCTAACATCTAAAAAGTTTTTATTTTTTAAATAAAATGTGTTATCTGTGTAAAGCTCATAGAAGAGTAACCTAATTAAGCTTACATTGTCACACTACATATCAAGCATTTCTTATTTTTTATCATAATGTCTATGGAGGTTTATTAATGAATAACTGGAAAATGAGACAAAACCTCTTAGCATTTTATGGATTCACCATATGTGTGCCGGGTCCATCGTTATAGGGAGAGAAGCTTCAACAGTGCCTGGGACTTGCAACCCAGGTGTAGGTTTAAGAAACTCTTATGTAACGCGTTAAACGCTCAACTCCACCATCCGAACTTTATATGCAGTGTGAGGATGTAAACTTATAGGGGTATATAAAAGTAATATAGCAAGATGCAGGTCATAATGCATTATGGTCTGGTCTGGTCTGGTCTGCGTGAGAATGCGTGCGGGACGGGTGCATACCTTACCGACCTGGAAGTCGAACTTGCGCCACCGCTGCTCCGACTTGAAACGGAACATGGTGGCTAGCACCGTGCACAACGAACCACCGGCTTTCATGTCCATGAACACTTTCATCTGATGACAATACAAACTTATATTAATATAATATGCTTAAAGTTAGAAATGGAAAGATAATTATAGCCTAACAGGCATTACACAAAGTTGCACAAAATCAAACTAGTAAATTATAATAATTATACAGTGGATCCCCAGTAGACCGACAAACATTTTGCAGGGCAGTGTCAAGCTGTTGAAAATGTAGGAATATAGAGTATTGCCTAAGGTCCAATTTTTTTTAAAAAAGAGTACTTTATAATTTGACAAATTGCAGACCTAATGATAAGATTAAAAAATGAATAAACCATAAAAAATGAATACATGCTAGGCCATACCACTATACTCTCTCAGATATGTATCAGTAGGGCCCGGATTAATATGTAAATAAATATTTTTAATTTACGCGATTTTCGATCTAGAATGTGTTTTTTACATGGACTGTAATATTTAGACTGTGAAAAACCAACTTTTATTTTCCATATTTTACCTTATTTCAAAGTTAAGTCCATATTTTACAAGAAAATGTCACAATCATCCATATATTCACCAAAATGCATAAAATTTACGTTCCTGCCACTAATATTTTGGATAAAATAAAGGATTTAATACGCTAAAAAAATTAACAAAATTCTGTTCGAAAGTTTCGAGGGCTGTAGACGTGGCTTACACAATTACTGAATTATGCATGTTTAAGCATGCATCCATCACGTCAGTGACTTGAGATGAGACCAATCAGCAGATGTAATGCTATATGTCGACCAAATGGTCGGTTTTCATTTTTATAATGTAAAGAAGCATGACATTGTGTATTGCAACCAATTTGATAAGGCTAGTGTAATGGAAGTTAAATAAAACTGTTATTTTTTGTTGAAATAAATATTTCGCTACTTTTTTTCATCGTTTTTTAAATATAACCTAACTATGTACGTCGCGAGTGACCCTATTCTTAATTATGAAAGTAATTAAACAATATTTAATTTTATACTCCATATTTTTTCCATATTTTTGATTTTTTCGTCCATATTTTATATACATATTTTAGATTTTTTAATACATATTTATCCGGGCCCTATGTATCAGCAATCAGAATCAAAACAACACGCTGCTAATCAAGCACAATAGTGATGGTGCATACAAGTTGTAATTAGTTCAATCTTGAATTAGCAAATACATATATGCAATAGACAATGTAGGATTATAGGGGTTGTCGGATTAGTTATTGCCTGGATTAGCAGTGCTCCACTGCATTTCTACTAGACGATAGACATTATAAATAAATCCTAATAAAAAGGAACAAATCACCGTAATTTATATAAAAATTGAATATAGCTATTATCTAACTATACTTATGATTACATATATATGTTCATAATGTTTCATACTTACTGGAAGCCTCATAAAAGGTGGATCAGTGGCATTCTTTCCCAATTTGTTCTCTTGATACTGTATGAGCTGAATCACAAGTTGTGCCAAGCCTTCTTTTGTTGGTGGATCAGTTTGTACATGCTAAAACAAATATAACAGTGAGAATATTTATGTAGATGGTGATTGACATAATGCAATATATTTTCATTAAGTTCATAATTTTCTCTATATGTGAAGTTACTTGACTAAGAAGTGAAAAAAATGTTCACGGACTTTTACCCTGTATTCCAATTCGAGAAAAAGACTATACAGATGAACCAAATGAAACTTTTGTTATAAAATATGATACATAATTTGATTTTAGATTAAATAAAACAAGTTAAATCACACAAACTAGATGAAACAAAAGCGTATACACTTAGTATCTAGCTTTTTGTACTAAATGGGGTAACTCATTTCAGATATTTCTAGGTAAGTACTGGTAATGGCTCTTTCAAATCTATATATGTATATTTTACTGACTTAATCGTAAAAAAAATATGTATTTCTCAATAAATTCTCCATAAAACTACTTATAAAAGTTTAATTGCTAACCTTTTTGCAGTTTTTTTGTAACCAAACACGGATTTGATCAAACTGTGCTAAGGACTCCGGTGATTGGAAAAACTCTATATTCGGACCTCCATCCTTCTTAGGACTAAGCGCAGCCATTGTGGAATAAGAAAATATCACTTAACTTATGAAGTCACATATAATTATAACGAAATAACTCTAAATGCAATACAAAATACACAAGGAAAGCCAAAGCGTCGTCAATTTGTCGATAAATTGTAAACGCTAAATTATTGTTGACATAAGAGCACTGTATTGCCAGTACACACTAAAATAGAAGTGTTACCAGTAAATTCGAACACAGAATATAATATTTAACAATAAATTATAAAGTGAGACTTAGTGGTCTCATACATATTTTCTATTGTATTTTATCTTGTTGAGAGAATTTTCTTACACTATAATCCCTTCTCAGTAAGTGACGTTAGGTTGTTTTTAATAAAGATAATATTTAATTTAACATAACATTTTATTAGTATTTACTTTTAAAAAAATCTATGAACCGTTATGTAATTTAGTATTATTCATATTTTTTGTTTTGGCCTCTATACCTACTAAACATAAAATTGTCAACTACTGTTAAGTGTTATATCAGTTTTCACCAAATAACTTTTTCGTTAAATATTCTATCATAGTTACATACTCTGAATCCTTCTACAATACAAACAACAATTATAATCGCTTATTGTCTTAAGTTCAAGGATATAGATGGGGAAGCTGGTCATCATTTTATGCGTATGGAATTGCTATAAATAAAACTTGCCATATTTATTAATTCAATAGTTCTTTAATATGTTGTGCAAAATTTTATTAAGTATTGTGTTTTATGTTACATATACAATAGAATTTTTAATAGAGGAAATTATTATAGTTTAATTAGGACTAAAAATTATTAAAACATATTTTAACTATTCTAGTAATAATATCTAAAGGAATATAAGTATTTTTTATATCACTGCTTCCCAACTTGCTGTAAATTATTGCAATTTTAGACCAAAAATCGCATTCTCATTGATAAAAAAGGATGTTTTCTTTAGACTAATAAACCTTTAACAATACAATATTACTTATAACTATACAAGACAAAATTGTAGTTACTATATTAATAAGAAATATAGCATTTCTTTCCGAAAGAACATTTCTTACTTTCGAGACTAATGTACATTTTCACTCAATTTGTATGTACATACAATAATTACTTATTTTTATATAGGATACAAATAAGCAAAGATAACATTTTTATTTATGGAGTTACAAATTAAATAAATTAAAAGCAACCTTACAACAAAATAACAGGATATATTTAGACCTAAATAATTTTCTCTTTTATATTTTCTCAATCTTAGAATACATTACAGATTTAAAGGTCTCTGAAATTGAAGGCCACGGCCGTGTAATTGTAATCCATTGATGCATAGCTATACACCTTTTGTTAGTGTTACATTTAAACTTTTTTCCAATACTAATAACACAAGAACTTTGTTAAGAATATATAACAAATTACAAAAAAAAATAAATTTAGACATTTACTTAAATATTAAATTATAAAAACTTGAATTAAAAAAATCCCTACACATCAAAAACTATATAAGACTTATAATACTTCTATTGAATATTATTTATTCGTATATAAAACCCCCGCAACGGACTGGATGGATCATTAATAGTTCTCAATTACTAAATTTTTATCAACATCAAACAATTAATATAATCATCGTAATGATTATTCTTATATAACGACTTATTAGAAGATAATATTAAAGTTTATAAATAACTCTTATAAACTTGTCATATAAATAATAAACATTAATTGTAAAAAATATGAAAACACTATACTTCCATACTAACTGGTTTTTTTTAACGAAATTTGAGTCTTGTTTTCTTATATGTACAAATTGCAGACATTAACATAACTTGAAAGATAAAATATTTTTATATACTTTAATTGAACTATGGACAATAGGTTGTTTATTTTAAGCCTGTTTCGTCACAGTACACATTACACAGGAAGTTTACTTCCAGTGTTATTATTCAATAACTTAGGTACTTTGATGCGTTGTTGTAAGAAGATTTATGAATGAAAAAAATTACAATATTAACGATCGGTGAGTAGTGTGGCGATGAAAATTTATAATAAGCATAAAATAGGTGAAATAATAATGTTTCTCTCATTATTTTTTCTCACATCTCGTCTGCCCGTGGTCACGGTTACTGCAAAGTAACCGAAACATCGAAATAATTTAGTTTTCAAAAGTAATAAAATAACGAATAGTGGTCCGAAAATGTTAGCTTCCTTTAAACAATTCTTTTTCTTACTTTGATCACTTGCTTTTTCTTCTATATACTACAATGTAATTTTTAATATCTTTTTCATGCTTTACAAAAATTTAGGCGGATTTTTTAATACATCTGTTGTTTTTTTTATCTCTCTGTGATACTTTCTTTTCCAACGAGACGAATTTGAAGACTCCTATCAATTTTATTGAGATAATAACCAGTTATCATTGAACACTTGAATGGAAATGTTTTTATAAAATTTATTAACACAATATAAGTGAAGTTCCTTTACTTAAGCGAAGGCAAACCGTGCAATTACAATTCTCGAGCTAACTTGTATCACTGACCGAGTTACAGTATCGCAAACCGGTCGTCTTACAAATATATTCTTACCATTGAATGCGTGTCTAAAAAATGACATCGATAAAGTGTTTTTTAATCGTGACACTGCTCTCGTTCTGTGTTGAAACTAAAGTCTCCACACCGCTTATAAAAAATGTAAGAATATTTTGAAATTCATATTAATATTAAGCAGATAGTGACCATTTTTATTTTATGTTAAATAAAAAATACTAGAGAAGGTTTATTCACAATGTTTTGGAGTAAGTGGGAATAACTTGAAGAGTGTGTAAAACTTAAATATGATAAGATGGTCTATTGTACATGACTTGTGTATATTGTATTATGTATATAGAAGGCTAAATTGCTTAAAATCTTCTTTCACTTTTAATCTGGATTACTTGTTTGAATGAAAATATTAAAATTGTTTTTAATAGTTTAGTTGCAACAACATGTCGATATATTATTTTAAATTTATTATAGATACATCAAGGGGGAGTTCTTTCTGAAAGTCCGCTTTGGGTGAACGAAGAAGGTGCTCTTTACTGGGCTGACATTCTATCACAGAAAATTTTCAGACTGGAAATAGATACTGGCAATGTCACGAGCAAATATATTGGTGAATAGTTTATTGAGTATTAAAAGGACTATTGGAATATTGGAATTAAGATAGAATGTTATATTATTAAAGTATTTCAAATATTTTTTAGAATATGGGCCTGTAAGCTTAATTATAAAGGTAAAAGATTATCCGAAATTACTTTTGATATCGGTCAGAAGTGAACTTTACTTTCTGAATTGGGATACCTTTGAAGGAGACAAGTCTTTGAGACTGCTAACAGCTGTGGACCTCGGGCATCCTGATAATAGATGCAACGATGGCAAAGTCGATGCGAAAGGAAGATTGTGGTTTGGTCAGTAAATTTGAATTGACGAAGGTTTTTAATAAGTTTAGAAAAAGTAGGCAATTAGTACAAAATTATATAATTTTTGATGTAATATACAATAATTATTGAAACTAATGATAACAAGATCTCAAAGAATTTTTGTTAAAAATCATTTTGTCATTTATATGTGAATATTATCTGCTACCGTGATATATTTCCTTGTATGACGTAAAAAGTCTTTGTTTATTAGGTATAAGTCCATGTGCGAATGAAGTCATAGCATTAAAAAAAAGGTTATATTGACAGCTTGGAATATTTTTGCACTGATATGATGGTTCTTTTTCGGATTTAATATATTTATAAATATAACTTTCAGGTACTATTGGAAAGGAATCAGGTAGCTGGCACGAAAAAGACGCGGCCTCTGTTTATATGCTAACAGAAAATAACTACAAAAATCCGGAAGTTAAAATCCGTCCTGTATCCATTTCCAATGGCATCGCTTGGAGTTCGGATAACAAGTATATGATGTACATAGATTCAAGTGCTCGGGCAATTTCTGTTTACGATTTTGATTTGGAAACCGGAAAAATTGGTAACATTATTTTTATGAGTATTTCTTTGTATTTCTTTTATACGAACGAGTTTTAAGACGGTTTTATTAACATTGTTTCAGAAAATGGTAGGACACTATTCAGCTTTCCAGCAAATAATCTGACAGGTGCTCCAGATGGAATGACAATTGACAGAGATGATAATCTGTGGGTAGCTTGCTTTAATGACGGCAAGGTAATTAACTAATGATGTCTTATTATCTACGATTTTCGCGTGTACACATTTAAATGAGATTTTCATTGTGCCAACCTGTGATAATTATTGTTTGGAAGCAATCGAAACGTCGGGAAAATTTAGAAAAATATAATAAAATACGAATTTAAAATAAAAAAAAACTGCATAATCATAAAGTTGATATAAAAAATATCTCTATATATATGCTGAATTTCATACTACAGGTTATAAAAATCGACCCAAGAGCGGGTAAACTACTCGAGCAGCATAGACTACCTGCGACCAAAATAACCTCCGTGATGTGGGGAGGATATGATTATTCCACATTATACGTTACTAGTGCCAGCAAGGATTTGACGGGTAGCGAATTAGCTCAACAACCGGAAGCTGGATCCGTCTTCGCGATAACCGGAACAGGTTCTTCCGGTTACCCGATGAATGAGTTTATTTTCAAAGACGCTGACAAATATTGATTGAGCATCGTTTATACTAAATTAAGATCTTAAGTTATTATATAGAATTAGTTAATTCCTAATTTAATTCATTTCAATTTTGATAATCAACATATTTCAGATACAACTTCGCTTGTAGATTTAGTAATATCTTATATCACTGATCAGGTCTACGTAATTTATTGTCTTTGCTTGCTTTTGCACACATTATAAATGATTTAAATACTCTATAGTTAAAAAACAGAAATATAATTATAAAAATGGTTTCCAAAATTGGTAGTTTACCAAAAATCTACTGACTACCTAACATATCAAAACTAATATAATGTCTGAAATATCTCCACAGTTAGGAATTTGGACAAAAAATAATTATATTAAGAAAAAGACGATATTAAACTTAACTATTTATTATGAACACCAACATCTAATTCCGTTGCAGTGAAGAGCAATATCCTTAACACAAGTTAATATTTAACTACATACGTTGAGTTTTCAGTTTTTCATTCATAGTATCATTATAGGTTTATGAATGAAAAAATGAAAATAAAAACTTGTGCTAAAGGAACAATTGTTTATGATATACATAACAGTACATTTATATAACAATACATTCAACATACATTTATATACGAATGAGTTTGAGGGAATTAAATATCAAATTATTGTCTTAGGGCTGGAAGCATGGACGAAAAATTTCTGACATGGCAACACTGATGATAAATATAATAAAATGTAGATAATATAAGCAAAATATTCAAAAAAGGAGAAATTTTTACCTAACTTATACATTTTTAGGAAGTATATCTTGTTAAGGAAGTAATTATCTAAATCAATGTCTTTTATTTAAAAAAAATTCAAAGACCCGTATTTTGAGACTAAAGTAATATATTATATTGGTGCAACAAAATTATAAAGCGCGTGCCATGGATTGCTTCATTAAGTTTTTATATAAATTTATGTATATAGCCTGTTACAAATACTATAATCGACATTTATCTCAACGAATTGACACCCTACAACACTTATCACTAGGATATTTAATTTATTGTCACATCAATAATTAAATAACAATTAATTGAACTTTTTTTTTTTCATACATATTCCGGTTTGCATGTGTTTGTGATACGAGTATTTTATATTAGCTTGTCATGCTTGATATTTAACTAAATCTCTAATATATATGCAAAGCATCATGAATTTGCTTAGATGAAGCTGGCATTTTAAATTTAAACCTCTGCCTCAATCCACTATGTATGTATATGCATTTATTTTTTTCAACAAAAAAAAGATATAATTAAATAATAAGTTTAACGTTCATGAGCTATAAAGATTAGTCAATGAGTATGTGATTGCTAATAAGACAACTAGTGTAATTGACAGTTTAAAAAAAGAATGTTTAAAATAACTGGTCGCTTATAAAAAATAAAATAAATCAATGTAAGCTGGCAGCATTGTATGTAGTTTTTATCATCGACATATACTAATGGACATGCCTTAGAGATGAGAATTGTGGCACTCCGAAAGAAAAAGAGGAAACGAAATTTCGATCTATCTTTATCTCTCAAATTTATATGCCGTGCTTGTAATGAAAACTGAGCACCAATCATCTATGAGGAAAGAGATAGTGCTAGACCGAAAGCATAGGCCATCTCTCTCACTCTTTTCAAACCAAAAAATATGGTTTTTATAGAATGGGAAAATGGCGGGATGACCATTGAGAGTGGGTTGCTGTTTTTTAGAATGACTTCTTACTGTGATTTTGTTACGTTTGTCAATGCTATTATATTCAATACTTGTTAAATTACTATAGACTTTACCCATTAAATGAATTGTCAAAAGGAATCAGTGACTATCTGTTATGTGGTAATAAAAAAAAATATAACAAAAAATGCTCATACAAAAAAATAAATAGAAATAAAAGGTAAAATGCGAGATTTATTTTCATGTCAATCTTCCCAATGCTTTTATATTTTTGAAATTAATTAATAATAAAAAAAAAACAATTTTCCTAAACTAGCAACAACGTCTTAAATATCTAATAAGCTAGCTGGCAACTAAAATATCAACAATTGGTGTCATTATTAATATTCATTGGATGAATTCATTATCTGTGAAAATTAAAAATACATCTAGAACATAATTAAGCGTAATTTTAAACATTAACATGATTTTGATATATTCAATTAAAATTTATATCAATAAATATATTGAAGCAGACGTATTACATATGGCATTGTATGAGAAATTGATGATAATATCAAATTAAACATTTAATATCACTTAGTCTCACTACTAAATTGAGCTATCTTATATATTGGAACTTGAATCGGTAACATTATGAATAATTTTGGAAACAATTTAATATGTCAATACAAATTAACTTTAAAAATGGCAGGTGTTATACATATTGATTGTAATAATTTATAACAATAATAAAATTTTGTTAAAAAAGAAAAAGTAGTAAAATAATAAAAGCTACACACAAAATTTCTAACAAAACAAAAATATAAAGCGCATTAAAAATCTATAAAGAGAGAAACTTGATCATGTATGTGTATGTATTTCATACGATATTTAATAAAAAATAAATAAATCATAAACGCTTTGCTATTATGATTTAATAAATATAACCAAAGTGTCATAAGCGGGAATCTGAGGCAGTATTCAAATTGACAGCTACGTTTTTATCCAAACTAAACGTCAAACATTCAATCAACTGTCTATATACTTAGTCCCAAAAATATTCAATTTAAATATATATAAACTTTTTGGTTTTAAATTATCATGGTCACTTCGTTAGTAACAATATATACGTTTTAACATTTTTATTATTTTGCTTCATGTTTTACCATTTTTATTTAAAAAACATCAAGATTAATAATTAAAGGCTTTGTTACGATTGACATTTCACCCTTCGTTGACGTTTCAATTAAATATATTTGGAACAGAGTATAAATCAGTTTTACTTGCATGGCTCGTTATTATACTTCCAATGTTTGTTTTTTTTTATCTATTTATTTTATTCCCAAATAGTTTTCAGCTAGGCCTATGTAGTAAATACTTTGAGCTATGCCGAATAGTGGCGCGATGACTATCATACGACAGGCGCCGCCTTTGAAGAATGCCGTCGGACCTTCTTGGGTTAAGGTTTTTCTGTAAAAATAAATAATTAATTACTATTGAATAAATGTTATTTTGATTATTGTGAAAGCTAGTAAACGTACAGGAATAGATTCAATTAAGCGACTATATCAAAGGCTTCAATATTGTTACAATACAATTTCCTTAAGAAATACTAGATTTTTAGCATGGGTTTTACTTGCTTGTTCAAGCGTGTATACTTACGTATGTGTGTGGCTGTATATTATATATATTTGTGTCGTCATTCGTGTGTGTGCGTCAGTATGGGTACATGTGTGTATGTGTGTGTGTCTATGTGTATGTGTGTGTGCGTGTGATCGTATCTATACACAGTATATCCTCACGTGATGCAGTCCAAGATGGACGAGTACTGCCTCTCATTGCTTCCTTTAGCGATGGTCTGCATGCGTGTCTTGACCACATCCAGCGGGTTCACAAACAACGCCGCTATGGACCCGGCTGAACAACCGGATATGAACGACCACCTATATGAAGGATTAAGGTTTATTTAAATCACTTATATATACGTATAATAAATAACAATTTCAATAGTTTTATTAATGTATAAATAATACATATATCGATGGGTCCTATGTAAAAGGGGTAATATAGCAATACTGTATTTTACAATATTTATTTAAAAAAATGCATATGTGTTGGTAGAAAGACTTAGTTTTTATTGCAGTAAAATAGCATAAGTAACACACTTTCAAGGTATAAGTGCTTATAGGCATTATTTAAATAAGTAATAGGTTTACAAAAAAGTTTATCAAGCTTAAATGACGTACATGTATGTCTTAGTTGATATGCAAAGATTGAAAAGCATCAGTTGTCGCATGTAAAAGTAAAATTGAAATCAAAATTAAAACGCCTCTACTGAAAAATTGGCATTTGATACATTGGCCCTTATACATAGGAGCTATCGATATTTGCCTATTTGTATTCGTGCAAATTAAATTGTTTTTCCAAAAATTACTTTAATATATAATTTATGATATACACAAATTTTGAGCAACAATTCTCTTAATAGTTCTCTTACTAGTTACTAGTTCCGTTCGACTACCCTCATAATACATATAATTTAACATTAACGATAAATTTAAACCAAAAAATCAATTAAATATGTATCGTATGTTAATAACATAAGGTATATTATTAAATGTCTCACCAGAACGGCGGTGGGTCCGCCTTATTCTCCCTCGGCCCTAGGTCGTTTAGGGTCGCGAATAGTGGGAAATACACTATACTGAAGGAAACGTCTCTGGCCGCTGTCGCTGTGATACCCTTGTACAGACCGAAGATTCCCCTCTCGGCCAGTAATTTACGCGTCAGTTGCATGGCCGTGATACGCTCAAACTTTCTACCCTCTGGAAACGAAAAAGTTTTATCGAAAACGGTTCAGACAGTGAAGCTTATATAAACTTATTCATATCCATTTTTTGTATAGAACCATCAAATGTTATTTTATTGATAGTTATATCAATGATAGTAACATCATCAAAATCATTTCAGCTCATAGTTATCAGTACACTGTTACCACAAGTTTAGCAATGTCACTACATATTAATCGTTTGCAATTTTAACTAATAATATGCACACGTGATGAACGTAGACTTATGAGTAAAAAACTGCAAGTTTTCCGTATTTAATTCATGAAAAATTTTACTAAAATTCGCAGTGTATGATAAACGTAGATTAACGAATATAAAATTAGAAGTTTTCCGTATTGACTTCACGAAAACTTGTAGTAAGATTGCAGTTCACCACTATCATGTATGATCAATGTAGATTCACGAACGAAAACTACAAATATTCCGTACAGTAATACCCCGCTTAACGCGACCCCGTTGTGCGCGGTTTCACTATAACGCGATTTTCAAAGGTTGGGACATTGCAGAGTATAGACAATAATGATGACCGTGTCTTGAACGTGTGTCAAACGATAAAAAACAGTGTTTGGTGCTATTAACGTATTTTATAAGAACGTAAACAAAACGCTACCCAAAAGACAATACATGTATTTTTTCGTAATAAATAGGAGTACCTGTGTATAGTATAGTGTTCTTAGAATTAAAGTGATTGATTAAAATGATTTTTATATTTGTGTATTAAATTTTGACTGTGTTTAATCATAAACCTCGATATACGCGAATTTCTGTTAACGTTATTTTCTTCGGAACGTATCCCTCGCGTAAAGCGGGGTATTACTGTATTTACTTCACAAAAACTCGTACTAAGACTTTCATTTATCACATACAAACCACTACCCACCAGCCTTTGCTTGGGCCGCGAGTCTGCCAGCGTCTTGCATCTGAATCTTTAACAGTTCCATTGGAGTAGTTACGACTATCTGACACGCGCCAGCCAGTGCACCGGCGGCCATCTGACGTATTATTGGTAACGACCTTGGATAGATTGGAATTAATGAGAATACATGATACATCTCGTCACACAAGTCCTATTTATCAATAACTCGTTAGTTCTATTTTAAAAGAAATGATAATAATAACAGTATACAGGGTGACTGGTGAATTACTATCAATATTTTAGGAGAATACTCGGTACATGATTCTCATTCGAATTATGTAAAAAAAATAGGTACTTAATTTTTGACCAAATTTCCGTATAACTAAATAAAATGTTGACACGTTCCAAGTGTTCCAAGTGTGGACGCGTGCGGCGGCGTGCTGATACAACACCACGCCCAGCACGCGTATGTGTGAGTGTGTGTGTATACCTAATCTGTAGGGTGTTCACACGATGCGTAATTAATTACGTAACTTTTGGTCAACTTTACTTAGAAGTTTATTAATATTTAAGTTATATTAATTTTTATTTTGTCATATATGATCGTCAAATATCACGTCCTCAAGTATCGATAGTAATTCACCAGTCACCCTGTATAATACATAAATGTATATGTTTAAGAATATACAAGTTGAGAGACAAAATTAGTCATAACAATAATATATAATCAATATCTTTCGCATGAAAAACAATTTAAACAAGCGAAATTTGAACCAGCGACTAATGGGTTAACAGTTATTTACTCGCGACTTGAGCTATCACACACTAGTACTGTATTATTTAGTATTTTATTCGTCAAATAAGTTTCAAAACATTTTTATATAAACATGATAATATAAAATCAATTCCTTTATATTTTAAATAAAGTATAGGTTTGAATAACCATTTATTGATCAGAAGCTATCTCCACCCCCAATAGCTTTTATTGATCGTGTATTATGTGTATTACGCTTCACAAAGCCGCGCCCTTTCTAAGCACAAAAACTCCTATAGGCTTACAATTTTAATTGAAAAAATGTATTAAATATTGATAGTAAGATTTATTTATCAAACGACTGTATGACGATTCAATTATTAAATTATTTTAACTCGACTTTAAATCCCGCGTAAATATTTGTTAAATTTTTTTATTCTCGAAAGGTAAATAGGAGCAAAGGTTTAAAATATTCGGTTGATATATATGTTAGTAATTTTAAAAAATAAATATTAACATGTGTTTTTTCTATCGTTTAGTATTATTAACAGTTTTATTACTACATAATATAATGTATAAACAACGATGTCTCGAGTATTTAATGATAACTAGATATCGCCGGTCGGTCGATACTCGACTGTAATTATTTGATTTCAGTTCAATAGTAGAATAGAAATGTTACAATGTTTGAAATTAGTGACGAAACACAAATTGAGAAATCTTAGCAGATTATGTTTGTAATAGCGTATGTAATGTTTTTTTTATTGAACTAGAAATAATTTATTGTATTTTTAATACATTTTAAATAAAAAAATAGAATACACATATTTTTTTTTTTTTAACAATTCATTAAATTCTCTTAAAAAGGCTTACAAATTTACGTACCACGTCTCCGTGTCATGTAATTATGAAAAACAACGAAATAATTAAAACGCATTATACGATATTATTTATGCATCAATATAAAAGGCTAACTTCAAAGGTTCCTATAAACTGATTGAATTAATAAACCCGTTTAATATATACTTACTATTTAATTGAATATGAGTTAGTTTTTTAAGGAATCCAATTAAAGTTAAGATGAGATTTTTATAAATGAATCGGTATTTATACGTATTATTCATTATAAAACTAAAAATGATAAAAGAAATACAAAAAAAAATTGCGGCAAATAATTATGGAAATAACGATATAATTTTAAATTCATTATAAACACGAATGCCTTGAAAATGAATCAAAATGCAATATATTTGAGTACCTTAAAAGAAATCTAACGGGCATTATAATAAAAATAATTATAATGCCAGAGAAAAAATGAAAATAGTCTATGATACCGCTTAGTGTTTAAACATAAACAATGCAAAACAATGTAATAATTCAAACAGAATCATAAAATATATTAAAATGTATAAATTATTCCTACTCTTTAAAACCACATAAAAACATACAAAAACTTAAATCACGTTTAAAAACAAACGCTTAGAAAATTTATTAATATTATATTGTCTATTGTTTAGAATTATAAATAAATCGTAAACTATAATTCGAGGTAGTATTGTTAGATTTCTGCTGAACATGCCAAATATAAAACTGTTACTGCTCAAATTTAAAGAACGGCATTAATTAAAAAATAATAATTATCAAAAACTTTGTAGGTATATATATAGAATGTGCAAGTCATGGAACAGGTTATATATTATTAGAATTTGAAAAAAGTCACTGGCCATCTTTAAAAAAACGGCATTAATTAAAAAAAATAAAAAAGGTTGTATATACTTAAAATGTGCAAGTCATGGAACAGTTTACTTAAAAATTTACTCTAAAATACATACCCGTCAGGCAAGGTTAGGTGATATCTGAACATATCGTTGGCTGCTAGCTTGATGGCCTTCTCGGGCGTGATCAGTAAGATGTTCACAGCTGAACCTCGGTACATACCGAAGTAACCTTCCGCCCGGTAAGTCTGCCGGAAGCAATCCAGCCTGGCATAGAAATCAATATAAATCCCTACTAATATTATAAATGGGAAAGTAACTCTGTCTGTCTGTCTGTTACGCTTTCACCCCTAAACCACGAACTGATTTTAATGAAATTTGGCACAGAGATAGAATTGACCTTGAGAAAGAACATAGGATAGTTTTTATACCAGACTTTTGAAAGGTTCTCTAGGAAACGCGACATAACCGAAACCCACGCGGGAAAAGCTGCGGGCGGAAAGCTAGTATTAAAAATAAACCGTTAAAAAATTAACGAGTGTTAAACTATTATTACAATTTGTCTATTTCTGAACCGTTGGTGACGTCATCGGTCATTAGCCATTCATTGGCAACGTAAAGCGCGATTATTAATCAAGTAACAAAGAATAGCAATAATCGTAATATTAAGAATTTAGTAATAGCAATATGATGCGGGGTAGGGCTGAGCCAAGAAAACCTAAAATATAGGTCTGCGCGACAGTGCATAAAAATATAGACAAACAAAAAGCTTTATCAGTCAAATAAATCAGTTCAATTTAGTATAGATATTTTTGTATAAAACTATATAAATTTCGAAGAATAAAAGACGTTTCATTATTAAATGTAAACGTTATACAATTTTAATATTTTCTTGTAACACAACTTTAAATTAACGTCAGACTAAAATGAAGGAGAAAAAGAATAATTTTAAATCATCAACAGAATTGCATACAAAAAGTGGACTCGAAATATTTTTAATTTTGTACAAAAATATAACACAATCTCATGAAGTACAAGCATTCGTGTATTCGATGAGATTTTAATAAAAGTTAACAAAAGTTTTATAAAAGTTTATTTAGTTAACATAACTTTTATCTGTTGATAAAAGTTATGTTAACTAAATAAAATACAATTTTACGAAGGAACCAGTTGAAAAACTATACTAAATCATAACATATTAGTACATATTATATTTGACAGTTGTATCAAAGAAACTCTTTGAAGAAAAAGTATATGACCTTTTTTTGGATTTCAATAAGTGATTTCTACTAATTACTAACTTTTATATCCATACTAACATGTTCTTATACTGTTTTTCTCCATTTGGGCCGACCGTTTGGTTCTGAAGTCGTGTTTTGACCAAATCCAATGGGAATACGACAGACACGCCGATGATACCAGCTATACCGCCATTAATGATCTTTGGAAGCAAACTGAAAATGTATATCAATTATAATATTAACACTATAAGAAACTATTAATTAAGTGTCATGTTATGTAATATTGTATTGAGTTCATGAATATAGATTTAAGTACAAACTAAATAGTAAAGACAGCATTCAAATTGCATGACTCAAAAGAGGTTGATTATCAATTGGTATTAATATTACAGTATTAAATAAAAATATTGTAGCAAATGCTGGTTGTAACAAGTATTTAGGTAAAGTAATTTACATGATGAGTAAAACTTTTTATATTAAAGTGTAATTATTATTTAAAAACAAACATAATTGATATTTATTGAAACATGTAATAATCTACTTATATTAGATTTAGAAGTGTAAGATAAAAACTAATCTCATTCCAGTTGTCTTAAAAAAATCTTTAGTGAGAGAAAAGGACTTATAAGATAAGATGTTCTCCAATCCGTTACATAGAACTTTATCGCTGTTTATCTGATACAAGAGATAAGTAAATCAAATGACATTTATATTTATACCTCATACCTAATATATTTCAAGTAGAATGAATCTTTTCTATAATAAATATAGCGACAGTCATCATACAAAATGTCTGTTAACATAAATTATCACATAATATTAATTATAATTATATGTTAAAATATTTAATTAACAAGCATGATATGAACTATAAACATCTGAACAAATCTGGTTACATTAAGATAATAATAATATCATTTCAGTGAACTTTGATAAACATTCATTCTATTTATATACAAACACATATATATTTAAAATTTCTAAGTATATAAATCAATCTTTATTTATAGGTGGCCAAAAGATTTGATTGATAATCCGGTATTATCAAATTACAGACTTAAATATCTATAGACACCTTGACTTTAATATTCTCACTAATCTATTTAATTTAATTATAAATATGAACAAAAAGAAAAGCTTATTTCAATGAATTATATTGATTAATCTCATTATACTATTAGATAAGAATTAATATTAATAGTATTGCAATTTGCAGTATAGTACAGAATATAATATGTTTTACTTGTCACAGAACATAGGGAAGTACAAAAAACAACCTTATAACTTATGATTTTCTTTTAACCAGTATAATATGTGGTGTTTGAATATGTATGAAGTTAGAAATATAAAAATAATATATTCATAAAATAATATATGAACAAAACTCACACAACAATGTTACTAGATTATGTTATTAAATATATTTTAATTAAGTCTTTTTTATTAATGAAAACATTAAAACAATTATAATTTTTTATACTTGAGAGTAAATAGTTATAAATGCCATGATCTATTGGGTATTCTATGTTGTAAAATCATTGTATAGATTACATAAGCATAATAGGGCAATGAACCTAGTTTCAGATAAAACACATCTCTATTTAAAACTTTCAAGTTATCTTCTACATATATTAAAATAAATAACTTTATTTTGGATATTCCAAATAGTGAAGCGCTATCCATTTTGTATCAATAATAATACACATACATTACACACTCAATTCTGCTTAAATAACACAAAACATTCACATAGCCTTCATTTTAATATCTGTAATTGTTACATTTATTGGACATAATGAGACATGGTCACAAAACAATAGTTAAATATTCATGTAACTAAACAAAATAGTGATGGGAATGTGGTTTTAAAATGAAAACAATTTGTTATTCACGTGTAACCTCAATGTATGTTTAGTATTTCTAATTTAAAAATATATATATTAATGTTCTTTTGCAATAAAAATTAAAAGAAAATGAATGTTGCCACCGAATGGGAATCATATGTTTATAAAAGTTATTGCAAATATGTATATATGTTATACATAACATTAGTATGTATAAGTGTGTAGATATAACAAAATTATTATTAAAATTTCATTTAATATGGGAAGCTAAAACATTGTTTCATCTCAATAAGACTGTTTATAAATGTTATAATTACTAATTGGTGTATAAATTCAGTATCAAATAGAACTTTAATTATGGTAACAATTCTAATATAGTCCATACACTTTTATATATGCCAATAACATTTTATAGTATCATAGACATAATTAAGCATCTCAAATAACTCGGTATATTATTACTTAGACAAGAATGATCTCAGAAATATTATGACAAGATTAATTCCAGTATCTTGTCTCTTTAAAAAAAAAAATAGTTTGTGTTCGTTATTGTATTATAAAACCGATATATGACCTATTTATATAATAAACATAAAAAAGTCTTATATGAAATTGGAAAATACAATAATGTATATATTTAATTGTAGTTAAATTATGAAAATGTGATATAAAACATTGTTTTTTTAATACTTACTTAAACTGCTGTGGTGGAGGTTGGTTTTGATTTGTACCACTCATTTTTTCTAGACCTAATTAAAAAAATTGTGAATAAAAAAATTATTTTGTTAAGATACGATTTTGTAAACAGAAAAGTGTATATAAATGCTAGTAGAAAAATTTGTGTCATTAAAAAACTTAATAAAAATAAGAATTTTAAATGAAAATTTGTTAATTAAAATTTACGGGTATATTTTAATGATTAAATATACTTACATTTTAAGCAATAAAAGCATTTAAACCCAATGAAAATAAATCTTGCAATACTTATATTATTAAAATATAAATAAAACGATTTATCAAAATTTTAAATAAAACATTGATTGATTTACGTAATCGTAACGAAATGAATATTGTACACGTACCTTTTTTGATTTAATGGTTATAAATTGGAAGCAAAAAAAATTACAGAATATATGGCATGGCGAATTTTGACTTTTTATTCTAAATATTCGTCAAATCCAATCGATCACAGAGGCAACCGGAAGAGGTCTAATGTAATTGTCAATTATACTTTAACGTCAGTGACAAGAGACAGCCAGTGAATAGTGCTGTGCTAACACATGTACTTACAGTTTCACAGAAAAGTATTGTTAAGTATTTAAAAAGGTTATTTGACAAGATAGATCCATATTTTTAGAAATAGTAAAGTAGTTAACATAATATCATTATGAATTCGTATTAATTACATACAGTTTAATTATTTTAAAGTCTTAATATGAATTTAGTAGTGTTGTTAATGATAAAATGTTTTTTCACGATATACCTTGTAGAGGTTTTTTATTTCAAAAGAGTCTTAAACTGTTTAATTCTTATTGCATATTTAAAAAAGTAATTTGTAAAGGAAACTGTCAAAGCAGTCGGTAAAAATGTATTATCCTGCAAAGTGTAGTCCATTCTTAATATTGACAGCATTTTTCATTTTTTAGGCTAGATACCTACTGAATAAACTGTTTTGTGAATCACTTTCTATATAATATTTATAAAATTAATAAAATATTTATAAGAACATACATTTAAACGTTAAAAAAGTTTGAAGCTATAGTTTGTATATGTCCAATACAAAATACTGTTGAATTCAAATTATCGAAAGGTCTCTTTTGACACTAAAAATATGAGCAGGTTGGAATGATAGGATATACCGGTTGTTTATTAAGTTTATAATAATCCATGAACCGTAACACTCTCTCTATCTATATTCACTAACTTTTCGAAACGCTTTCATTAGCTTACCCTAAGCAAGCGTAAAAAGTTTTACTTCAATTTTTTTTTTAAATTATATTATATATTACGTTGTATGACTTCATCAGAGTGAGAGTTGGAAATAAATATGTAGTATATAGGGAGATAAATAATATAAATATCGTAAGCAACTGGCAACACAGCCTGAAATTTGTGACACATGACTACAAACAAAATATTAATTCCATGCCTTGTTCCTTAGGAAACTCCTTAATTTTTTTTTCATATTGCTTAAAATTTGTCTTGGTCTTTTAAAATTTATTGAAAATCAAGATTAAAACTGACAAAATTTGACGAGAACAAAACTTAGCCGGCGAGTAGAGACTTGATAAAATATAGATATAATAATATCCGTGAATATTAATTAAAAATGGCATATATATCGTCCCATTAAGTAAATAAAATAGAATAAGTAGTAAACATGTAAGCTTATTACAATATTTAAATGCTGAAAAAAATCAGACTAGTCTGATTGACTATCTACTACAACCTGACCCGATGTTAACTGATTTTTCCTATTACTCACTAAATATTTGTACATAATGAGCTTGGTGGGATTTGGAACTTAAATACTTCAATTAAATGAAAGTTCAAAATGAAACAACTCTGTTCTGAAAACACTTATAAGTAACTGCGAGATTTGCGAGGATCTACTAGATAAATATTAAATACCAGCTTCATTGGCACAAGATTAGCACCAACACTGGCTGAGCCTCATCCAGTTCTTGTATTGGGTAACACTATTAACTACTAATACATAATTCCGAAGTCTAAGTAACATCAAAGAAGAATGTTTACCAAATTATGTGTATTTTTACTTTTATATATGTTTTCATTGATATTCTGGTCCTAATGAATAATGATTATAATCCAAAACAAGAAAACCAAATAAAATCTTCTATTTCGTTAATGTTAATTGTTGTAAGTAATAAATAATGTATTCCGATGTTTTCAGTTTTTTTCATTACTTAATTAATTCTACACCGTGATTCGTGAACCAAGCCTCAATTTATAAAACAACACGATGTAGACTTAAGCTACCCATTATGTTTAATCGTATTTGATGACAAGTGACAACGAATAACAAGGAAATTTGCTTAAGACTGAAATAAAAATAAGATTTATTTTTTAATACAAAGATTTTGTACTAAGAGAATTCTAACACAAGGAAAATTTTTTTTAAATTTTTTACCACAACAAATATATTTGTTAGGGACCAAGGTAAATATTTTAACTTTTTTATTTTTTGGAAATCGCTCATCTAGAAATAAATATAAAAAAGTTATGAATACTGTAACTTGTTAGGTCTCAGAAAATGATAGACGATTGTTTTGATCTGTTAAAATGTGAAACGACTTCTTTTTTACTTTGTTTCTTTATTTTTATGATATAACAAAGCTAGAAACATAGTTAAATCGGTTTTAAATTTCAAAACTTTGGTATATGTAGGTATGTACTTATTAATTATCGACGATTTGACCGACGTACTTCTTATTTAATACCTTCTTCGCTTGACAGAAATATATATTTTTTCAATTGACACGGATTATATTTTACTACATTATTTTCACCACTATCACTTATTACTCTTAAAATACTTGTACCTACACGCTATTTTACTCGTAATATTATATCAAAAATTAAATAATACCTTTAAATATAACAAAAGTAAAAGTTTTTATTATTGTTTCTATAATTATTTTGGTCGACGTAACTATAACTTTCAAAATTAACCGTCTCTAGTTAGCCGTTCGCTAGATCCCTTCCGTATGTAATACTATAAAACCTTATCAGCCAGCGTCCTTACCAACATTCTTCGAAGTAAGGAAACCAAGTCACACACTACCTAATAATCATCAATATACAATGTCTTCAAACGTAATGGTGAGAGGTTTTTAATTATATTTTAACTTAGTAAAAAGTTTTGTTCAAATCGTGTTTTTTTAAATTATGGCTATTTGTTTTTATTTAGCTTTTTGCCAATTATTTGGCTATTAAATACTTTATACTAATAATGTCCCAAATTTAATAATAATTTCAATACTTACGACTCATTTTTAACGTCCGACGGTTGAAATATCTGTCAAGCATTATCCTGCCTAAATTTAAAGAATTACATTTATAGTTTTAATTAGGAAATTTGATTATATGAAAAGCTTATTTAGAATCCATAAATTAATATTTTTTCGGTCTAACACTAACCCATCATTCTTATTCTGAAATTTTTGAAAAGCATTTGTCTCATTTTTATTTACAGATTATTGCTATTATTCTGGCGGCGCTTGCAGTCTGCTGGGCAGAGAAAAACACTGAGAAGAGAAGTGCAACTGGCTGGGATATTAGTAGTTTGATACCAGGTTTAGTTCAAGTATCTGCTGCACCAGTTAGTGGTAAGAATAATAAAGTAAAGAATATAATATATAAGGTCTATTTAAAATGGGGAAATATTTTAAACAATAAAAACAGTTTTTATACCACATTAAAACGATAAGTTCTGTATTCCACGATGAACCTATAGTTAAAAATTGTTTTGTGTACGCTTAGTCCAAGCTTGCATTCTCATATAAGTAATATTTGAAGCACTTTTAATTCAAAAGCTTACCTTAATAATCTATTGTACGAAGGTTTATGTATGAACAATTGTTAAGACTCCGCATTAAGCATGACAATGCAAAACTTGGCCTAAGCATATAGGATAAGCTCGTCGCTATTTACAATCATATAACATAAGTTTCTTTTTGTACAATATGTTCTAATTTTGTCGGTTGTGTGTATATTTTACTGTTTGTGATACAGCCAGCTGGCCATCGGATACTAGCTCAGATGTAGCTGGTGCTATAGCAGCAGCAAAAGCGGCAGCGGCAGCAGTGATGGCAGCACAGAGACAAGTTGCTGCCGCAAAGCACGCTGCTCTTGAACAGCAGAACATGGCCAGTGTAAAAGAAGCTGAAGCTGCTCATGCTGCTCATAAAAGGTGTGACCTCAAGTTTTTTGAATACATTTATTCATTATGTTCAAGACACTAAGGCTATTATTGTTAAACATAATTTTAAATAGAGTAAGTTGTAGAAAATAATTAATATTTTGTATCGATCAAAATCAAATGAATTTTATAACAACATTAATTAAAACAATAATCATTATAAAACTACATATTTATTTCTTTACTTAAACAGCGAGGAGACAGCTCGCGCCGCCCGTGCCCAAGCTCTTGAAGCTGCACAAAGCGCTGTGCATGCGCAGGCGCAGCTTGCGTCGGCTAAGGCAAGGGCAGCAGCTGCTCAAAAGATTGCCGCTGCGAGAGAGGCAGCTGCGGCCCGCGCTATACAACAGGCAGCTCAGAACCAGGCCGCTAAACTGCAAAACGCTGGTATGAATTAGGGTCTACAAGAACTTTAAAGACATTATATGGTATTATACTTCAACAGTGGCGGCTGGTGGGTAATCAAACTGGTGGTGCACTTTACTAAAATATTAAAATTAGAAAATGCAACAAAACATAACGAGATGTCAATCATGGCTCAATCCGTCATACATCGGGTGCTCTCTGTAATCTTCGGCCGCTCGTGCGGCGCTCGAGAACCGACTCATTACTCGGTACATTTCTATGAACTATCTTTTGTTTCACGCGTCAGGCGTATTAACTCGCATCTCATACAAGATGTATTAGCAGTCCTCGTGCACTCGCCGGAGCGCACGATATGAGTTTAGTAAAGCGCTCAAACTTTTTGACCATAAATAGGAAATTAAATTTTTTATACCTTTTTGTATGTTTAAAAAATAAATATTAAAATGGTAATTTAAAAATTAAGATGACATAATATTTTGTAATTTTTAAATATTTTGAATTGGTGGTTCAGCGCACGGGCGCACTTAAGGTACAGCCGCCACTGCTATAGATATTGCCTACCATAACTTTTTTTTTTAACGAAAGAAATGCTTATTGACGTTTTGGCTAGGAGTTGAGTTCTCGAGTAAGTAAATATGGTTTTTCACTTATATTTTTCGAGATGTAAAGTAGCCTATGTTATTCCTGGATGTCAGGTTCCTGTATACAAAATTTTATCAAAATCGGTTCAATCGTTTGAGCGTGAAGAAGTAATAAACATACACACACACTCACAAACTTTCGCAATTATAATATTAGTAGGGCTAGATTTAAAATCGGAAGCATTAAGTTTATAAAGCAACGTAGAGTATCCTGAAAATTACAAAAATATTTTATTTACTTTTTATATTCAAAAATATTTTCTAATTACTTGCTAAAAATACACATATACAAGCAATATGTATTAGCAGTCCTCGTGCACTCGCCGAAGCGCACGATATGAATTTAGTAAAGCGCTCAAACTTTTTGACCATAATTAAGAATTTTAATTTATTATACGTTTTTATATGTTTAAAAAATAAATATTAAAATGGTTATTTAAAAATAAAGATGAAGTAATATTTTGTAATTTTTAAATCTTTTGAATTGGTGGTTCAGCGCACGAGTGCACTTAAGGTACAGCCGCCACTGTACTTCAATGATATAATATACAAAAAAAGTACATATTAATAAAACTTTCAACAAATCCGTGTTGTCGCTCCTTAATAATTTACTTTTGAATGTCACATTAGATTACTTATATAATGCGTTTGCAATCATTCAGACTACCCAATATTTATCAACTCCTCAGATTTAGAAGCCCTAAAGCTGTCAGTGATCCAGAGCTCAGGAGCTGCAGGTGCTGCAGGTGCGGCACAGCATGCTGCAACAGCTGCTGCAGCAGCTCTCAAACCAGCCAGCTGGACTCCTTCATGGAAGACCTGGACCTCAACTGGACCTTGGGCCTGGTCTTAAAATAACAGAATAATACCGTTACTTTGTTCCTAATTATGCGAGAAAATGCAAATCACCGATATTCGTTTATTGTAATTTTAGTTTTTTTTGTTTGTGTATTTTCAAAATAAAGTTATAAAAATGATTCTGTAGTTATTTATTTGTATAAACACTGTAAAATAAGAAATATACTGATCAAATTGCAAGTTTTATATGCGGTTAAAAATGATGGTTCTTTTAAAGATCTTATATTACTGTCTACATATAATATAATATGTAGGTATAGTATACATGAATTGATTCCGATGTAATACGCCTGCGCTGTTGTCATGACAACGGGAGATGAAGCCCCATCTTTCGTATCCGAACAGCCTCCGACAGTGTTATTACGTAACATGTTTTCATGGCCCTATTTTTTTTATATAAATGTGTAAAATGAAAGAAAACTAAGTTAATTATAATGACAAACAAATCAGGTAAGGATAAAGTTTTGAAGTATTTAAGTATACCCAAAATACTTAACTTAGAAAGTGAGATAGTTATTTGAGGTAAAAGAAAGCAACACAACGATTTCGGTGTATATTTAATGGTGTTATCTTTATTATAGAAACCATGTTCTGGATATTATTACTGTGTAGCCTCTGTAGCCTCGTCAACGCGGATGTAGATAGACGAAGATATTCTAATCCCACATATTATAATGTGGGCGGAGTTCTCTCCAGTAATGAGTCTATAGCTTTCTTTAAGGATACTATATCAGTAAGTTTTTTACACATATATCTTTATACATAAAAGAAAGTCGTGTTATTTACACTATTTAAAACTCAAGAACTGTACGGGTTTGGCTGGAAATTGAAGAAGAGATAGCTTAGAACCAGGAAAAAGATATAGGATCTTTTTCATGCAATCAAAAAAGAACAAAAAATAAGTTGATAAAACCCAATTTCTTTTAATTTACTGCTTTTAAGGAGGAACAGAATTCGTCTGGTCAGCTATAGGTACATTTATGATTCTGAAACTAACGCAGGTTTAATTAAAAATAAACTAAACTTTACATTTTCTTGCTTTTTTAATGTCACTTATTATTTTATTTCAGAACTTAAACTTCAAAGACAAATATGTTCCCCGAGGAGTTACTTATCATGACTATTCTATACTTATGGATCCTAACCCAATTAAAACAGCCCTAAATGTTTGTAAAGATCTTATTGCACATCGAGTAAGTTTCGTGATTCAGATTTTTTTTGTACTGAAATTGCGAATTTTCATTAATTAATAAGTATACCTATGTAAATTTTATAACATTATTTTTATGTTGATTTTATTTTTTAGGTCTACGCAGTGGTAGTATCTCATCCGTTGACAGGAGATCTTTCTCCGGCCGCTGTTTCTTACACCAGTGGCTTCTACCACATCCCAGTTATTGGTATATCGTCAAGAGATTCTGCTTTCTCTGATAAGAACATACACGTGTCATTTTTGCGTACAGTCCCACCGTATTCTCACCAGGCGGATGTGTGGGTGGATGTACTAAAACACTTTAATTACATGAAGGTTATCGTCATACATAGTTCTGATACCGACGGTCGAGCTATACTGGGAAGGTATGAATCTGAATATTATATGAATCTATTGGAAAATTTTACTTCTAACTTTGAGTTTAAAATAAGGTTCTCTTTCTTTATAGATTCCAAACAACATCTCAAAGTATTGATGAGGACGTAGATCGTAAAGTTGTTGTAGAACAGGTCATAGAGTTCGAGCCAGGTCTAGATTCATTTAGTGACAAACTTATTGAAGTTAAAAGTGCACAGGCACGAGTTTTTCTTATGTATGCCAGGTGAGACATTAAAATATAATATAAGTGCTACTACATTTTCAATAATAAGATCATTACTATAACTTAACAGTTAACTTATATAAAAACTGATTTATCCGACCAATGATCTCCGAATACTTCAGATATTTGGAAAGCGTCAAATTCCTCAAGTTATAAAAAAAGCATAGGATTTCTTAAAATTTTCAAGATAGAAGTCATTTGTAGCACACAATAAATACAATTAACCCTTTGCAGTCCATATTTATTAAAATATATATTTCTGGGGCTTTGTACTGCAAAGCCAGAAGCATTTAATTAAATAGAAAACAAAGAACAGGACCTTTAATGGTTGGTAATCAATGGTTTCTTGACTGTATATAAAATCTTCTTTTTAACAGTAAGACAGATGCAGAGATAATATTCCGTGATGCGACGTATCTTAACATGACAACCACGGGATACGTGTGGATAGTGACAGAGCAGGCCCTGGATGCGGCCAACGCTCCCGAGGGACTACTGGGCTTGAGGCTTGTGAATGCCACAAATGAACATGCTCACATACAAGATTCTATGTACGTCCATACAGCTCATATTGCTTAGAGAATTACTATCTCGTTTATTTATTCAAACTAAGATCTTCAATTTTTGTACTCGACTAGACGAATTTAAGCTTTTCAATGTTCCTACCCATAGAAAAAAATTAATTTTTCTACTATATCAGTTGCTCACAATGACACCTATATCTAACTTGTTTCAACCTAAACAAAAGAAAATATATCAATTCAATTATTTGCTTTTTATTTATCACGACAAACGTATAAAAATTGCATATATATTTATTTATCAACGATACTACAATGAGTTCTATATTTATGATGTATCTATAAAGTATGGCACGTAACACTACATCTTAACATAGCTATTATAAGAAAATCAATTCCAAGCCTCTTTTCCAGCTACGTATTAGCATCAGCGATACGGGACATGAATACTTCAGAGGAAATAAACGCTCCTCCATCAGATTGTGATAATTCCGGGTCCATCTGGACCACTGGGAGACTGCTGTTTGATTATATCCGTAAACAACGGTTAGAGAACGGTGCAACTGGCCACGTGGCGTTCGATGATCACGGAGACAGGGTCCACGCTGAATATGACATGGTGAATGTACGAGCTCAGGGCGAACACGTGGCTGTTGGCAAATACTTCTATTCGAAGGTACGTTAAAAATTACTAAGTTATTGTGGTGTACGATAAAGAATATTATTATTATTATTACTATTACGTTATTCGTTTGTACTAAAAATACATCAATCTTCTAGTTCTTATCTAAAAAACTAGATGTCGTATTGTTAAAAAATGAAACAAGTTTAATTTTTTATGTCCTATTTTCGAAACACTAATTTCAAAATAACCACTATTTTCATTCTTTTATCCAAATTTTTTTATTATTGTTCCGGATAAAATGATTTGTTATCATTTGTTTTTAATACATTTGTAGTGAGTTGTTTTCAGATTATGTATCTATGGTGAATTATAATTCTCTACCCGCCTTTAGTAAGCTAACCAAAAATTGTATAAAAAACCAGAATAAATATTCATCTGTAGGTAAAAGTGTGTTTATTTAATTTTTGTTCATGAGTCAACAAGTGTCTTTGCTAAGAATATTGTCTTAATTTCATATTATTCTATTGCGTATTTTAAATGAGTCACATATTTATATTATTTATGTATATAGGATACACAAAAGATGCGGTTGGAGCTTAAAGAACATGAAATAATTTGGATGGGTCGAAGTTCCACAAAACCGGAAGGATTTATGATACCGACCCATTTAAAGGTAACAATTTTAATTTAACACAAATTACTTTTTAGTTTAGCAATGTGTGGTATTAAAATTATATGACAAAGATTTTCATTAAAACCTTTTTGCGATAGGTATATAGAGAAAATATGTATAACTATAATAGTCTTATTTAATAATAATAGTATTACTTATGATAGTATAAACATTTTATATTTAATGCCTAGGTTCTAACGATTGAAGAAAAACCTTTTGTTTACGCTCGCCGAGTTGACGATGAAACGGAATGTTTTACCGAAGAAATATTTTGTCCTCACTATAATACAAGTAAGCAACTACTAGTCTTAATACTAACAAAATAATCTATACAAAACTTAATACACTTTTCAAGTTAGTCTCTGTAACTTGCTTAATAATCCTGGATACAATGCTACAAGTAGATACATTTTCAAATTCAAATGCCTATCATATTGATTGAACTTTCATAAATATTTATTCAGTAGAAATTACGTCAAAAGGAATTAAAGACGAACACTTTATAGTATTATCCTCGGATATTTTCTCAATACATATATACGTGATATAAAATAAAGATTTAATAGCTTACATAAGTTTTAACTGATCTTTGTTGCTCCACTATTATCTTTAATAATACATTACATAAGTGTAATAGACTTTCATCTAATTGTAGATCAACTTTATTGCTGTAAGGGCTTCTGTATGGACCTTCTCCGATATTTATCTAAAGCCATCAATTTTACTTACTCCCTTGCTCTTTCGCCGGACGGACAGTTCGGAAACTATATCATACGTAACTTTTCGCAACCGGGAGCTAAGAAAGAATGGACTGGGCTTATTGGTAATTATAAAATAGTTTACTTACTACATACCAGATTTGAATTATTATTAGACTTATGCTATTACTGATTCCTTAGTACAAACTTCCAATCAAATATTGTAAATATTATTTAATGGGCTTGAAAACTTGGTAATTTAATAAGTAAATACGGAAGGATTTTTTAATATAAAAAGGTTTGCATCAAATCTTTTTTTGTTCCGATGTAAAGACTAAAATACGTCAAAGACTTTATGACTATTAAAGAACAATTGTTTATTATTTGAAATCTTCTATCTTCTATATATATAAAAATGGATTGCTGTTCCTTAGTCTCGCTAAAACTCGAGAACAGCTGAACGGATTTATCTTATCTTAGTCTTGAAATGTTCGTGGAGGTTCAGGGAAGGTATAAAAGGTGAGAAAAATTGATTCATTTTCGGGAAAACCCTAAAAACAGCCCTTTTCTATTTCCCATACAAATGTTTTCTTTGACATTAGATTTGACAACTAAGTAATATGTCAATCATTCTGTTCGATTAAAACAGGAAAAACCTGATTATTTATGGCCTCTAAGACGGAACAGAGTTCGCCCGGTCAGCTATACATATATTACTAACTAGAAGACCTGGCGAACTTCGTATCGCCCTATAATCAAGAAATATCTATTACGTTTTTATATTTATATTTTTGGAGTTTACCTGTAAGCCATAAATCTGCGTGTTTTGAAGTGCGACAGAATGATTGACATATTAGTTAGTTGTCAAATCTAATGTCAAAAAAAAACGTTTGTATGGGAAATAGAAAAGGGTTGTTTTTATACCTTGCCTGAACCTCCACGAACATTTCAAAACTAAGATAAGATAAATCCGTTCAGCTGTTCTCGAGTTTTAGCGAGACTAAGGAACAGCAATCCATTTTTATATATCTAGAAGAAGAAGATGATGAAATTAACGCGGACGAAGTCGCGGGCAAAAACTAGTAAGAAATATATAACAAAATAGTAAAAAACGTTCAAAACCCACAGGTGAATTGGTTTACGAGCGGGCGGACATGATAGTAGCGCCATTAACTATAAACCCTGAACGAGCTGAATTTATAGAGTTCAGCAAACCATTCAAATATCAAGGCATAACAATATTGGAAAAAAAGGTAAGTTACCAAAATAAAACAAAATTAAAATTTGCTTACTAATAAGTTTAAATCACAGATTATACAGGGTGACTGGTGAATTACTATCAATATTTAAGGAGGCTACTCAGTGCATGATTCTCATTCGAATTATGTAAAAAAAATAGGTACTTAATTTTTGACCAAATTTCCGTATAAATAAATAAAGTGTTGACACGTTCCAAGTGTTCCAAGTGTGGACGCGTGCGGCGGCGTGCTGATACAACACCACGCCGCCGCCCGCGTATGTGTGAGTGTGTGTGTATACCTAATCTGTAGGGTGTTCACACGATGCGTAATTAATTACATAACTTTTGGTTAACTTAGAAGTTTATTAATATTTATGTTATATTAATTTTTATTTTGTCATATATGATCGTCAAATATCACGTCCTCAAATATCGATAGTAATTCACCAGTCACCCTGTATATTTTTATTAACCTTATACTATGGATAATCGATTTATTCATCTAAAAATTATTTTAGCCTTCAAGATCATCGACGTTGGTGTCGTTTTTGCAACCATTTTCAAACACGTTATGGATTTTGGTGATGGTGTCAGTACACGTGGTGGCATTAGTACTGTATCTGTTAGATAGATTCTCACCGTTCGGAAGATTTAAACTAGCTCATATAGACGGCACAGAGGAAGATGCTTTGAACCTGTCAAGCGCAATATGGTTTGCTTGGGGCGTGTTATTGAATAGTGGAATTGGAGAAGGTATGTATCGTAACTATACATAATAATAAACTCGTTTAGGATATTTTAAATTTGGATTTAATTGATATTCAGTGAACCAAAAACATTCAAAATAAATACTATTATATTTTTCAAGGGCATATTTATTATATTTTTCAAGGGCATACTTATTATATTTATCATATTTATTATATTTTTCAAGGGCAGACGAGACATATCGTTTGCTCGTGATCACGGTTGATGAAAAATAACTGAAACGTCGGAAGTGTGTAGGTTTTTACAAAAATGAAGCACTTGTATACTACAAGTGACTAATTTTTCCATCCATCTGCAAAATATTAGTTTAATTTTAATTGTAATATGTTATTTGTTTAGGAACACCACGTAGTTTCTCAGCCCGAGTTCTTGGTATGGTATGGGCCGGGTTTGCTATGATAATCGTCGCATCATACACAGCCAACTTGGCCGCTTTTCTCGTATTAGAAAGACCTAAGACTAAATTGACTGGAATTAATGACGCCAGGGTAAGTTATATGTATGATTAAGATACTTCTTTTATTAAAATCACCTACCAGATTTTACTTAAAAATTCACGAATAAATAGAGCATTAGAGAATAGTATGACTGATTTTATGTGCTTATTTTGGACCTAAATTGAAATTTTCAGTTACGTAATACCATGGAGAATTTAACTTGTGCTACAGTCAAAGGATCAGCTGTGGATATGTACTTCCGGAGACAAGTTGAATTATCGAACATGTATAGGACCATGGAGGCAAATAACTACGACAACGCTGAACAGGCCATACAAGATGTAAAAAACGGGTGAGTATGTAATATGGAAACAGTAATACTCGTAGATAGGACAATCCTTAAAAATACGCTAGTTTTGTGACGTCATCAATACAAACTATTAAGAAAACTACATACAGTAGGACCCCGATTATCCGGACCTCGGTTATCCGAATTCGCGATTATCCGGACTGCCAATCGCGACGAGTTTGTTCTAACACTAGCTTTTGCCGCCACTTCGTCCGAGTGGAATAGTGACTTCCGGCAGATTTTTGGTTCTTCCCACATAGTTCCCGTTCTTGCGGGGTTTTCGGAATGGTCGAGTTCCCGTAGAATTTTCAGGATAAAATCTATGTTTTTTTATTCGCAATGAAGTACTCTTAACCAACAACATATTTATTTGTGTATTTGAATAAAGATTAATATTATTATGTTGATACAACTTAAACAAATTATTTCGACCAAATTAGACACCATAAAAACGGTTTTTGTGCGTTCAACTTAAAAGATAGACGTATAGTGTCGCGAACTGTTTTTTAGATCATTAAAATAGCTATTATTCTTTAATACATATTTTTTGTGTATCTTGAACCGTTTTCGCGGCGCACGCAACGGAAGGCTTCAAAGATGAAATAATTTCTCTTATTCAATTCGAACCAGTAGCTTTCAAACAAACAAACAAACTCTTCAGCTTTATAATATTAGTATAGATTAACATTTCAGAACTTGCATAACGCCACGCCACTCGTGCCGTCCGTGATTTTCGTTGATTCTCGCACATATGTATTTGTTGTTTTAAATAAACACCTAACATTACATATGTATGGTACAGACTACATATGTACATATGCAAAAAGCCCGTTTTTCTTCATATATTGGATTATCCGGATGCCTACCGACAACAATTAGTCCGGATAATCGAGGTCCTACTGTATTTAAAAAATGTTATCAACACGATACATTTATCAAAATGGAACACCATTTGTAAATATCGGGTGAATGACCTCTGATGAAGCAACGACAGCGCTGCGTCACGTGACAAGTGTTAGGCCGAAAAAGCCGCTATCTTGCTGTTTTTCACAGTTAATATAAGAATATTTTTGAATATACCGTTCAATTAAATGTATTAACTTTAACCTTTTATTATGTGTAATATTATTATTATTTATTTATTTGGACTGCCAACAAGGTATACACAAATATAAACATATAAATTATTACAATCAAGATGTTGTGTGCTACCTTTGTTACAGGCAACCACTTCATGCTTAAATAGTAACAGAGTGCATCACAAGGTTAACATTTTGGTTTTAATATATTTTAGTTTAGATACAGAACAAACAAATAAGTAAAATCTAAGCTTAATTAGTTAAAAAATTTTGAATTGTTTTTTTAAATTCAATTTAATTCTATGAACAACAACTAACAATTGAAATCTTGGTACTAGGTCCTCGCTTTCTTATTGATGTTCTCCTAATCTGTGTAATTGTATTATACTATGTAGTTACAAGAGTTTCCATGCCTCTTCTGTTATACATTTATGTGAGTGTGGTTAACTATGGTTTAACGTGATTTTCCATAAACCAAAATCACATGGTTTCTGTGTTAAGAAAACGAGTACAATGGTATTCGTAAAAATATGTTATGAACACAAATAATGGTCTAAGTCAAGTTCACAAGTAAACTAAGAGAATTTTGAAAATGTGATTTATGAAAAATATCGCTTACTAAGTCTTTACTAACTAATAGATACTAAAAATATTTTTCTATGTTGTATAGTTAGTATTCTGGTGGGGTATACGTGAGTTTATTTGTTGGTGTATCATCTTATCCACCTTGTAGATTATAAAGAAGGGATTCCTAAACTAAATGTAAGTGGTTTTATAGGAAAGAAATAGAATTTGTATATGTGTGAGAAGTGATTTGACTTCAACTTACCATAAAGGCAGATAATGTTTTAAGAACTTTAACAACTGTTACTAATTATAAGTACTTGTATATTCCATACAGTGCAATATGTCGAGAAATTAACTAAATTTCCATACATACATGCAATTATTATATTAAGTTTTGGGTATTAGCAGAAATATATCTGCAGAATATAGACAAACTGAAAAATTGTCTGACAAGAAAAATTTAGAACCTTTGTTATCAGTTATGGGCCAAAAAATTAAAGATCTATAATTTTATAGGAAGCTTATGGCATTCATCTGGGATTCGTCAAGACTGGAATTCGAAGCTGCCCAAGACTGTGAGCTGGTGACTGCTGGAGAGCTCTTTGGGAGGTCTGGTTATGGAGTGGGCTTACAGAAGGGTTCACCGTGGGCTGATCTTGTCACATTAGCCATTTTGGATTTTCACGAAAGTAAGTATTATTCAATGCCTTCTAATATTAAAATAAGTGGGTAAGGTTATGGATGTAAAAAATTAAAATGGGAGACTTTTGTAATAAAATATATTATAATAGATGAATACTGCCCTATATAAAACAGAAGTGAGAAGATAATTGAAAAAGAATAATGTTCGTATTATTCATGCAGGTGGCATCATGGAATCTCTCGATAATCAATGGATACTTCGAAATAACATGCTGAACTGTGAGGAGAACGAAAAAACACCGAACACACTGGGTTTAAAAAACATGGCCGGGGTTTTCATACTGGTTTTGGCGGGCATCGTCGGCGGTATAGTTCTCATCGTTATAGAAGTTGTGTACAAACGGCACCAGATCAAAAAACAGAAGAGGATGGAGATAGCTCGTCACGCCGCGGACAGGTGGCGCGGCGCCGTTGAGGTAAACCGTGCCAAGCTAGCGGCAATGGACGTCGACATCAAACGAATTGATACTAAAATGTAAACACGCGCCTCACTTGACAGTTGACCCTCTATGTTGTTAACGACCAATTCATACTAATAAATATGTTCATGTTCATTTAGATGCTTAATTTTTTTTACCTCAACCGGATTATTTTCGTAAGTAACATGCGTTTTGTAATAATTATAATCAGCTGAGACGTTGATCGCGGTTTTGTTTGCAGAAGCGTAAGACGCTGAGAGCCGCCATATTGCCGTCGCAGCGACGCGCGAAATCGAACGGTGTGAAAGAGACGGGGAGTATTAGCCTCGCTGTTGATAGAGGAGTGCGGCGGCGGGACGAGCCGAGGATACCGCGTTATATGCCAGCCTATACACCTGATGTATCTCATCTTGTGGTTTAATTATAATACTTATTCAGTATCATTACGGATCAGATAAGATTAGATTATCAGCTTTTCACTCAACAACTTTTAAAAACTATGATTAAAATAATGCATTTTTTCATACTTTGGTTGAGGGAAAATCGTATTCGTTATTAATTTTAAGACATTAATAAATACCTGATCAATTATCATTTAACATTTGAATATTCTCGAATGGCCTAAATTTCATTTACTGCTGTTTAGCCTTTAAATATAAAACTTTTGATTGAAAAGCTGACTAAGCTAAAGGGTTTCAAGTTTCAACATTATCTAAAATATTTGCCTAATTCGATGTTTAAAAAGTAAAGTTTAGAAGTTATTGATGTCTGTATGAAAATTAAAAATAAAAATAATATTAACAATATTACACTATTATAAGATGTGAAATAATATTAATTTTGCAGGTAGGTATATTATTCAAGTAGGAATTTCCAGAATCCAATTTTTAGTCTTTTTTATATTAATTACATATATATTTTTGCTGCGAAGTTGATATTCTTATTTATCTGTGATAAAATAATAATTTTGCCGAAAACTGCCAAATTATATTTATTATGTTTAGGTACATAATGTAAAAGAATTAAGAAAATATATTTATTTGAAATTATAACCACCGTCAGTCTTTTTGATTGATGAAAATTTAGAAAAGTAAGAAAATTTATTAGACATAAATTATTATATTATACTTAAATATTGTAGGATAGTGTAGTGGGGTTCCTAAAAAGCACAGGGGTCAATCAATGACTAATTGTTGCACTTCCATACATTTCTACTTATATAAATGTGCCAAAATTGAGCCATTAAAAGATGTGTAATTTTAATTATTTATTTTTGTGTGTAGTAATAATAGTAATAAGATATAAAGTTAACTAAAAAGAATGTTGTAACACCAAAAAAACAACGATTATGGAAAATAAAAAAAAATTACGTAAATATAAACCGCTTATTTAAATACCTTAACATTAAACTTTTATGGAAATTAAATTTATATTGAGGAAAGTCAAGAATAATTTAAATTATCAATAATAGATTACGTTTCAACCAATTAAGAATATTTCGGACATTGCCCTCAAAACCTCCTCTTGGTTCAGAATAGAAACAAGGGCAGATAGACAAAGACACTTAACTTCATCGCCATTGGGGGAAAAATATTTTTTTCTAGATGTGATCTTTGTAAGTACATATTACAAATTTCTTTGTCTATTTTCATTATCCTACATTTTTCCTGTTTTTAGTTTTTTCATTTGCTTTTTTTGTTTAATTTGATATGCTTTGTTTTCACCTTGATTACGTTACCGATTTCTAATTTTTATAGAAGACTAGGTACCCACCCCCCCTTCGCAGGGGTACTTTAGAAAAAAATATAAAATAGCCTATGCGTAAAATTGCGTAAAATGCGCTTAGTACTTACTTACTTTTTGAGTAAGGTAAATGACAAAAAACAAAAAAGTATATCATCTTTCTTCGTTAAACATACTTTAAATTTGAACTTAAAAAACGGTGTATTTTTATGTTAATAATAGTATTTTAATATAATACAAATTCAAAAATTTCAATACAACATTAATGATGTGATCATGTGAAAAAGTAAGCTATCGCGTGGATTTAATTTTGAGAAATATTAAACTTATGGTAACTTTCAAATGGTACGTCCGAATTAAATAATTCAAAAAGTAATTATTGATACTGATGTAGGCTTGAACTCAAAGTAATTTTGATAAGACTGAATACGGTAATCATGAAAATAGCTTTCCTATAAACGCTTCATGAATGGCAATTTTTAATAGTAGTAAAATGGAAATAGTATATAAAGAGATAGACATATGTGATATACCATCGCGGACTTTTCTGTAGACCTATAAAAAAATCATAATTCCACCGTACACTGTTTTGTTGTATCTTAAAGGTTTTTGGCAACGTTTTCGTTAAAAGCTGAGAGATGGCTCATTTTATCTCGACATCTTCAAGAAATATCCTCAATGTGCACACAATCAATACAAAACCTTAACAAATTATATATTAAAACCTTTCACAAGAATTACGCTAACGAATGGTGAAAACCACTTGGTAATTGGTGCAGCAGGTTTTCTATATATTGCAAACAGACAGACAGACAGACGCGGCGGGGGACTTTATTTTATAATATGTATTGATGATTGATGATGATTGATTGATAAGATAACAACTCTTTCTCCTGAATATTTTGAATCAAAATATCCTGTAATTCTATGAAACAAATGGATTGAATTTTTAGCAGGGTCCATAACTCAAATAAACGTTTCTTTAAGTTAGATTAAATAATGCCGGCAACACATGCTACAATATACTCGCGCAAGTCCTTAATTGCATAAATTTACTGTATTGTGTATTGTATAGGAAGTTCTTGAAAAGTACCAAATTTCAATGCCGAACTTGTGTTACTGTATTGATACAGTATTTACCAAAGTTTACATGAACCTATATTTTACCAGTTTGCATTTCGCGCAAGTTTATACACGTAATTTTATTAGTTAATAAACAATTATCAAAATCCCCCATATAATTTTTTGTATAGGCAAATGCTTACGTAGCGGGCTATTGATATAAGTATAACTAATACATTGAAACCTACTTTTTGTGACATAAAATATCTGGCCGCCGACTAGTCCAGTCAATTGGTAGTTTTACATTTAAAGTTTTCCGGGAGTTTTGAAAATTGGTGTATAATAACACCACCAATAATTTCGGTATGCTCTTTTCCAATTTCAACTGTACTTCAATGACACTGTACGACGTTAAACGCATACTGATGACTCAGCCTCAGAATATTTCTCGTATTATATCTTCTACCGACAGATGTTTCGTAAAAGCACAAGAGTATGGAGACTATACACAGTGTATACCTACTGTACCGTCTCCATAAAAGAGAGAGAGGGGCCTAATACAAAGGCGACATATCCCCCTTAGACCTGCGTCTTCAAAACCGACGGCAGTAGAATATTAGAAAAATATACGAAAAACACGTGATACAATTTTGCGGCCCTCGTATGCTAAAATATTAACACATTTTTTTTTGAACATTGTTTAATTAAGTATTCTTGTTTACTTAATTGTCTTGAAAAATTAATTATTCATGGTTCATGTATGTTCTACTAACTAAATATATATATATTTTTTTTTTTACCGAGGAGAATCTTTCAAAGACTTCCCGGCGCGGGGGAAAACACGGCGGGGGCGTGTGGGATTTCCACCCACTAAACTCCTCGGCGTGCTCTGCGCTGTGCGTAGACTAGTGAGCGGGAACGGCAAGCCATACTTCCGCTCACTACGCACGAGTCCCGAAAGGGACTCCGCCTTCGGCAGGGGTATCAGTGGCTGACCACACCACCCCTCCGGCTCAAGAGCAGCGTGCCGGGAACGCCAAACACGCCGCTCTTCCTCTAGCCTATGTTACCCGGACGCCGGTTCCCCACCGACGTCCGGAGGCTTCCTCACTGTCTACTAACTAAATATATATAACGCACGATAACCTTTTGCAACACTATTATTAGTATTTTTGGGAAAAAGAAAATGTTTTTAAAGAGCAGTGTTTTTTAAACAATATTCATTTCAATTTGGAGCTTTAAATAAAAAAATATATCTATGCTTTTCACAGTTAAGTTATTTCTGTAGTCAGTTAATATGAAATTATTATCGTATCCAGATAATAAAGATAATTATCTGTTTTAACAGTAAATAAAAATACATTTAAGAAAAAACTGCAAATAAATATATGATCACTGTGTTATTTGATATATGAGGTATATATTAAATGCGACCCAAATATGTAATTTCACTTAAATGTTATTTCGATTATAAAATAACGTTTAACGATAGTAGTGAACAGTGAGCATTCATCCGTCAGAGTTAGACTTTGACAGAGTGTTCTTCATGTTGGCCAAAGTATAACTAATACATTACATACTTGACTGCTGACAATTGATAACGTTAAAGTGGGGTGATAGCAGATAAGTTTTAACCCAAACAAAAATTCAAATCTGAAATAATATATTATATAAGTGATTGTGATAACAAATATTTATTCTTTATAATTATATTATAAGGATATCCTACTTTTGAGTATTCTTATTTGAGAAATACTTCATCATTCAAAATGTTCAAACCTGTTACCCATGTTCTTTTTGATATGGATGGGCTTATTTTGAGTAAGTAATTACATATTATAGTATTTTATTAATAATCTCGTAAAACAACACTAAGTTTAATATATCTGTGTAAATTTTCAGATACTGAACATCTATATACAGTAGCATTTCAAAATATTGTATCTCGTTATGGAAAAACTTACACATTTGAATTAAAAATGAAGCTAATGGGTTCACAATCCCACGAATTAGCGAAAATCATCACAGAAGAACTCGAATTACCCCTGACGCCTGACGAATTTTTAGTTGAAAGTAGAAAACAATTTCAAGAATTATTTCCAGACACAGAACTAATGCCAGGTAATAAAAATAAAACTAAAATACACTTTCATACTTCTCATATGCAAGTATTAATATTTAAACTTCTTAATATTTCAAACATACATTAATTGAATTAATAATATAATCATTCTATATTGTATGATTATATTTCAAGATGAGGAGAAATCAACAATATTAGTTCTTGCTGTGGTATAATTTTTTGGTTATTTCTATGATGTAACTATTATTTTACTTATAGATAAGATACAACAGGTACAGTCCACACAAACTTGATAAATCATATTAGAACCAAATAGTAAAGATACTAGATACATTTTCTATTTTATAACATAAAAAATCTAGTGTTTTATTAGGTAAAAATTTAAAAATCATTATCATAATTATTTCTAATATTTAAGGTAGTATGATGTTGTATTTAGGTATTCTAAATCTTTTTCAGGTGCTGAACGACTGATTAGACATCTGGACAATAAAGGCATACCTATTGGGCTAGCGACAAGCTCCAGTAAGGAAAGTTATCATCTTAAAGTAGATAAACATCATCAGGAGTTATTTTCTCTGTTCCCATACAAAACATTTGGTTCTTCGGATCCAGATGTTGCAAGAGGAAAACCTTACCCTGATATATTTCTGGTTGCCGCTTCCAAATTTCCCGAAAATCCAAAAGTAGAACAGGTATTAAAATAATAAAATTTTAAGAAGTCATGAATAATTAAAACTACTACTTTTCAATTTTTTATCAGCATGAAATAGATAAGAAATTTAAATGTAAAAATTATGTATTCTATTAGGAATTAATATATTTAAATTATTTTCTATATTCCATAGTTTGTTAGAGAAAATGTTTTTCTGAAGGTCATTTTTGGTTTTTTTTCTGAAGATCATTTACCAAACATAAAGTAAGATTAAGCATGATGATGCTTCAAAATACTTATATTTTAGACAATAAAATTGCAAAATTTAGTACAATTATCTTTGTCAATAACAAGTAAAGATTTTTTTTTACTATAGACTGAAAGTTATTGCTTGTTTTTCCAGTGCCTTGTATTTGAGGATTCAGTAAACGGAGTTAGGGCAGGATTGGCTGCAGGGATGCAAGTTGTTATGGTGCCAGACCCAAGAGTCGACAAAACTCTCACCGAAGAAGCAACATTGGTTATAGGAAGTCTTGAAGAATTTAAACCAGAATTATTTGGACTACCACCATTTGAAGATTAATTAGGAAACAAAATAATTTAAAGTATTTTTTTGTATGCAATAACACAAAAGTATTTTTACTTACACATGTATATATTTATCTCTTGCCTACAAAGTAGGATTCATACCAAAATACTTGATCTTCAATAATTCAAAATTATTGGAGGAAATAAGTAATTTCAGTTTTATATTGAATCAAAGAAGTTATTTACATATTTAAGATCATATTTTTGTGATATGGGAGATCTGTGAAAATAATAAAATATGTTTTAATTTATGGTTCTTCTGTAATTTAATAAAAATGTTGATATTTCTTGGTGACTTAAAATTTTTTTGTCTTATGGAGAACAAATCCTTCTATACCTATATCATTTCCCCATCGTGTTTAATACATATAATCACAATTTAAATGTATTACTTTTCGAGCCATCAAATTAAAATCAATTAAAACCTTTGCCTCTTTGCATATGTTTCACTATTTCTAGGTAAATAATTTACAAAGAGAAATTGTCAAAATGCTAGGAAAAGCAACAAGATATTAAACTAATTACGTAGGTATATGTGGATTAAATAACGTCAATAAGAATCCAATATGAATTTAAAGAAAAACTTTTAAATTTGGAACACAACATAACAAAACCAAATTAAAATTATTAGGATTTAAAAAGAACTCAAAGAAATTATTAAAACTAAACTATTGGACACTTAATGGCCGCTGAAGGTTCAGATTAAAAGTGAGAAAATCTAACCCATACTCCTTAAAAATAGTACATTTTTAAAAATACCGCGTAACATGTGTTTACATGACTGAGCAGCCCCATGGAAAAACACTAGACTATTAATAAACTTGAACTACTAAGACTATTTGCATATAAATTTTCTACTTTAAATAACCTTTTAAGTCACTATTATTGAATTGTTAATACAGTAAAAATATAGGCTGAGATTTGAAAGATATAATTTGTTCGTAACTATCATAGTTAGATTTAAGTATAGACATAATCCTGCATAAAAATAATTCAAGTTAAATTTCTTTTTTATTATAGAATACATTTTCTTCGAAGATTTATATGAAAGAATGAAGAATGGACTTTGATGATAAAAAAAGATACATTAAAATATCCCATTGGCACATAAAAAGGTCACGATATTATCTATAGGTGGTAGAGCCTAGCTGTTGTCAAGTTACTGCAGGTCTAACATAGGCTGGCTCGAAACGGGAAGTACCACCCTCTCACAGAAGATCGGCGTGAAGTAGCCTTTACTGGCTGCTTTTCGTCAATTGAGTGAGAGATCCGGTTTCCCTTTTTCCATCATTTTCTACCCCATCCCTTTTTCCCTATTAACAAGGGTGGTGAGTGGTGACACATCCACAACATCTTTTATGTTACGGATGTCCATGAGTGACGGTACTACCTTCATCAGATAGGCCGTCTGCTCGATTGCCCCCTTTAGCATAAAAAAATATATAATTTTGCCTAGAAGTTTTTCGTCACGTGCGTTCTATTTTGCCCGCCATACAGCTTTAAGCACAAGGCAGTCAACCAATCTACATTTTATATTTTTTTCATTAAAAAAATGTAAGTATGCAATATAAAGAATTAATAAAAATAATGAAAACATGAAAAAATATATGTATGATTTACATGAGTTAGAAAATAACTACTAAATAGTATTAAGGCAATCATATCAAATGAATTATTAGTCGATTCATCTCCCAATCCATCTATTATTCGGAATTTAGTTAAAAAATAAAAGTCACGATATTTAACACATCTATATATTTACACAAGAATTTCAACAGTGCCATAATGGGGAAACATACATACATATTCGAAGCAAGCCAAAAAAATAATTGCCAGGACATAATAGGAATGTTGTAAGACTGAAAGATGCTAATGTAACACTACATTGTTATCAGTCAAATCATTAATGATTTAAGTGAACACAACATAGGATGCTGCTGTCACATCAAAATCTTACAGTCATCAAGGATTCCTACGACTTCAAATAATCAGATAATTCATAGATTTAATAGATTTCACTTGAATAATATACAGGTAACATTCAACTACTAATCATTTGTATTGTGCTTTCATAAATACTATTATAGTAATAGTGACATTCCCTTTATATTCATACTATGTATTGAATTGGTTATACGGCATTAAATAGATTGTTTAATCTTAAATACATTGTTTCAAATCCTATAAACTACATCCTCTAAATATATGTATGAATCTATGAATGAATTGTAACAATAAAATACTTTAATAATTAATACATACTTTTGCCGGCGAAACTAATGTACACATAGAATAGAATTATCAATGCACACCATGAATCAGATAAAACGCATGATCACACATAGTATTTAACACTTTCAGACGACTTAACATTTCCATTTAATAGAATACATTCTAAACAGCGATAGAATTGTACGCATTATAATATTAATTAGGCAAAAGAAAACAATTATTATAACTTTAAATCTAAGAAGTTTTTTTCTTTAATGTTGTTAGTAACAAGTGTTTTTAAATGAGCAGGAAATGTTTAATCCGTGAATTTACGGTTGGGGTTGCGGCCAAAGAGGGCTGTACGGATTTCTGGCAACAGTTGCTGAGCAATCAGCTCCAGACGGGATTCCAGGGTGTTGCAAATCTGTATTCAAAGTAAAACAATTACTTAAATGACCTTAATATATTCTTACAACTAACATATCACATAGGTAACTTATTAAAATTATGTGATGTTTCATTTAAGTGCAGCATTATAAATTAAGAGAATGCTGTTGAATGGGATAAAAAGTATTCTATGTCCTTCTGCTGGATCTAAACTACCTCACTGCCAATTTTCAGCTCAATCGGTTAGGCTGTTCTTGACTTATAAGTGGAGTAACTAACACGACTTTCTTTTTTATATATAGATATATATTCCAATTATATTTATATTTATATGTAAATATATTGTACATACCTTTATGCGGCCCCTGGCAGCGATGAGTTCAATACCACCACAAGTATCCGCAGGGAGGTATGCTTCTGTGTCAACTTTCAAGACGACATCCTTCTTGATCTTAGCCTTGTAGTCTTGCTGGGTGCGTGGCAGGAGGGACTCCACAAGAGATTTATCTGCTTGTCTGCAACGAATTGTCACAGCTGGCTCGACAAGCTGTAATAAAATTAGTCTAGTAAGTAAGTTTACATAATATATTCACTTCTTACAGTCAACAATCAACAAACAAACAAACAATAAGTATTTGTGCATATCAATGAGCAATTAAAATAAAAATAGTTAAGTATGAATGGTGTTTTAAAATATTTTTTTTATATAATCGGAATCTGATAGGGTGTCGTTTCTCATCCCAAATGATGCTAAGTAGAAATATAGTCTAAAATGGTAGGCACATAGGACATTTTAAACATACATTTGTTAGATGAAATCTTGTATAAATATAATTTATTTACCTGGAACAGAGCCTGCACCATAAGTGTAACAAGCAAGTCGGAGTACAGCTTGGTGTCATTAGGCACTTCAGCCAGACGCTTGCGAGCTTCGTCAAGTACATTACGTACATGATCTTCACGTACTTTGAGTACCTTCAGACGAGCTTGGTTCAGCATGTTCGAAGATTGGCTATGAATAAATATAACTTAATAGAAACATTTTGAACAGAATTATTGAAATTTCTCATTTTAATAGGATAAATTAAGATTGTAGAGAATTTTGGTGATAATATGATATCAATCTCACATGTGTAAACTTGATTTGCTCTTATCTGTAGAGATAAGTTGCACTGGAACCCTATACTAAAATTTTGTAAGAATTTATGGAATCAACTTAATTACTGACTTAGTTTAGCTGACATTTACTAATAACATACTACATATATTTTCTTAGATTTTAGTAGATTAAAATATTTTACAATTATTTCAATAAATTGTAATTCATGAAATTTCTCATAATTTCTCTGTATTCTACTATTAAAATTATTTTATATTTTAGTAGATGTATTAGAGTAGATAATGATTTGTTCTACAACTTTTTTGAAATTTTAAATTCCCAATCAGTAAATTCTTAACAGAAATAAAATCAGCTTTTATATAATATTTAAAGAATAACTTATTTAAATATATAAAATGTATTATACTAGGAGATAAGACATGGGAGGTATTAAGGTTTCAATTAATACTAAGATGTCATGTGATATAATTACATAGAATGTATGAAAACCTACATCTTTTTCTGGAGTTCAACTTGTTTCTCTTTCTTTTCATAGTATTCCATGATCTTGAGCCGCTGTTGCTGTACCAGACGGCCCTTCTCAATGTTGAACTCCTCCTCAGCCTTAGCATCGATTTCTTCGGCCTTTTCGTTGGCCTCTTGTTCGATGAAGGCCATCATATGCTTGATCTACGTATAAAAACATTTTTTGAGAAAAAACCATCCTTAATTTCAATATTTCAAACATTATCCCGAATCATATGCTTATATATATCAAGTTAATGCTATAGATTCGGAACCGTCGGATCAATCATTCTGACAAAACTCATGTCGGAAAACTACGTGTAAAATTTAATGAATATATCTGCAATAATATTTTAAATACCTGTTTCTGAACATCTGCGTCGCTGAGCGCCATGGCTGATAGTTATATTTTAGCACCACTAACACGAAAAACGGCCTATATTCAGCCAGAAAATAAAAAACTGGTTGAAAGAAGTAAGTCGACGCCTATCAGACGTGCTTCTTCATTGAACAATCATATGATCTTTAATGTTACCATGTCTAACGCTAAACACCCTAAATAAGTATAGAGAATTATTGTCTATAGTAAATTTTTCATGTATGATTAAAGAATCGTTTCAGGTATTTTTTCTTACTGTGATATCAGTTTGTAAAGTTTAAATAATTTAGTAAAAATACATCATCTGTCTGTGATTTTAAGTCACTGACTTTTCTTAGTCCTCATTGCTATTTATATCATTTGAAAACGCAAACAAGATTTTCCTTTTCCTTGTACTTGTCAATTAAAAACCTTAAAATCATTGTAATAGTTATTTATACGCATATAGAAGTGTATTAACATTTAGGTATTATCAATTTCAGATACATCTAGGATAAGCCAATAATAAGAAATCCTTTTGAATTTTTGATTTTGAAATTCAAATTTGCTATTAATAGCTAGCCGCATACATTTACAATGACTTAACATTTTCTATCACATATAAATATGATATATAGATCAGAAGGAACAAAAAGTATTACCTAAGAGCGACTGTTCTCGTGTCGACATTTAAGGATTATCTGAGTACGAGCGAAAAAGAAATTTGGAAAATTTCACCAAAAATGTTACTAAAGTTACGATTTTTATATTATCTAGATTGTTGGTAATTTTTTCGATAACCCAAACCTCTTCCACGGGGATAAAAAATATTAAAATAGAAATAGGTATGTAAGCTTTGATCATACACTTAAGTGAAGTCTAAATAGTAAAATAATGATATTCTAAGCTAAAAATAGTTTTTCTTCCATGAATCAATAGAAAATGATACTTTCAAGAAAACTAAAATAATTTATTGATAAAACTTATTAGAAAAAGCAAACCGATTTGTTCAAGTTGATGAAAAAATTAAAAAAAATGTTTAATGTTTTTGTTAACAATATTCTGATTCACAAAAACAGGTTGCAAGACTTATTTAAAAAGTGGGTAGATCATAAAAAATTAGATCCTACAGATTTTATTATTTTCTTACTCTTTATCAACTCTCTGTTGGAGTTCGGTGTGTAAGTACAATTTTAAGGCTAGTACATTGAGTAAGAATAAAAAAGTATGAGATATTAAAATAGGTACTATATCAAATAGTTGAGGTGATATTTATTTGTAATCAGTAAGTACATATTTGGTATCGTTAAAAATGTTACGTAGTTGAATAAGAGATTAGAAAGTTTTCAAGCCAATTATTGTTTTGTCTACGTAGACAGAAAAATCATTTCGATTTGTTTTTATCTTGTAAATTTACCTCATTTAGAAAGCAAATAACTATAGTGGTAACTTTTATGTCATGATCCTATTAACATAGTCAATTTACTTACTCTATAATAAATACATTCCACAAATAAAAATAATGGCAACAAAAATGATTTAGCACACTAAAAATAACGTCCTTATTGAAATTATTGTAGAAGAAAAAGTTTTGAAATTATTTTTACAATATTTTTTATGTAGTGTGGCTGATCTCTCTGGTAATTTCCGCTTTTAAGTTTTAACAATATGGCTGCCAGTTGTTTAGGGTAATGTGGCGTTCGACAAATCCGAGTGAAATTATTATAATTTATTTTAGCTTCTTAAAGATGTATAAAGTTCTAGGAGTTTTATAGCAGTGTACATGGAAAGGCAGTAAAAATATACTTTTAGTTGGTGAATAAAATTCTGAATGCAGAGAAAATTGCCTTAGAAATTGAACAGTCAACAAACTTTTGTTTGTTTCGTCCTGTGAGTTTATTTATATTTTTCTGGGAAAACTTCACTATGCACTAAACGTATGGTAATTGATAAAGTGCAACGGGGCCCGAACTAATATTTTAGGTAAATATTTATTATTTTTACGAGGGAATGAAATTAGAACATCTTCGAGTCGCCATTGTTTGACAGTCGAATAAATAACCATCGTGATCTATGTATACCTATGTTATTTGTTATTATTGACTATCCTTATCACATTTATCATTATAATAGCTGAACTGCTTTCTTCCACCTTTAAAAACATGTAAGCTGCGATCAGTAAACAGTTTCTCAAGCAGCTGTTAGCTATGTTTTCAGCTAAGAACTACATATCCCATTAACCTATACGTAACATTGAATTTTTTTCACGATTACCACTTCATAATGATATGCAAGTCCGTTATCTTACAGTACATCTAATTGGTTATCCACTTTAATTCTTATATGTATTGTAAACAAAAGTTCTAATACATGGTTCGTTAAAAGAACTAACGCAAGCAACATTTGTATAAAACGAATGCATTTTTCTTTAATTTATTAGATGAGATTAATGAATATTTATGAAATTTATGACGTCTGAAGAGGTTTAGAGTTGCGAGTTTTAGAATTGGATTCAAACAGAACTTCCAGTATGAAATGTTAGTATCAATAAAAAACTGTTAATTATAAGCTATACATATTTTTTGACATTCACACATACACAAAGATAACTTACATATGCCCTTTATCATAAAATACTTGTCATTTAGATTATCTGACAAAAAAAAAAATTGGTCATAATATATAAACAAATAATATTTATGAATGATGTTAATATGGAATATTCCAGGTTATGGCAAACTTGAATTTCCAACAAGCTCCTAGAAGCCTAGCAAGTGGCGGTGTCGGTGGCCGTGTTGGTTCAGGTTTGGTTGGAGGAGTATCGGGACATGTGACACCGACTTTTGGTGGCGCCCTGTCACCGGGACGGGGCTCCACTGCGATGCCGGGGGGCGCACCACCCTCGATGGCATCTAGGTCTACGTTATTTGGACAGCGAGCATTTGCCGACCGTAGAGTACCTATACCGACACCACTATCACAAGCTAACTCAAATTCTATGGTATGATATTTCAATATCATTTATTAATATAAATACATGTATAACCATATGTATTAATATGAGAAAGTAGATTGTCATAACAAAATGCTGTATATATCTGTACCTTTTAAAAATCTAGGCCAAGTTTTATTGTATGTGTAGGTAAAAAACTTGAACAATGACTGACCTTAATACTAAGTGTTAACTTTCATTTCATATGGTTGCATTTATTTTAAATTATTAATATTAATATAGGATTGCAAAATAAACTGAATAACTATTTTTATGCTTTAAACTTATTTATTTCATTTTGATAAATGAATACATTAATGCTGAAACTGTGATATTATAAATTAAGACCATTGCTGTCAAATTCGTTGTAATAAGTTTGAAAATTCTAATAAGAAGGTATACAATCCTTCTTATAAGTATTTCAATGCCTTAGCATATCCTTTAAAAAGCTTATAAAACTATCCAATTAACATACTGCTATTAAATACAGCTCTATGAATGTGCCGAATGAAACTTGTAGGGAAGCAAAAAAGTTTTTATATATGTATTTAAATAAATATTATATGATTCCAGTCAAGTATGGCGAATCTCTCCCGTTTTAATGCGAACTATCATTCCGTGTTCGGCGAGGGCGGTGATACTTCAACACCGCCGCTGCTTGACCTCAGCGAGTTTCCATCACTGACGGCTCGGGGCGCCGGGGACCAAGCGCCCGCGGCTGCGCCCCCACCACCCGGCTCGAAGCCCTATGGTTATATATCATATATAATACATACTGAACATATGAATAAATTGAAATACATATATGAAAATCAACAATATTATATAAAGAATTGAGTCTGATACAGTAGAAAATATTTATTCATTTGATTTTAAAGTGAATTAAATATTTACTGTATATGGTATGAAGTCTGTGTGTTTATATCATTGATGAATTTAATTTAACACCTTATATATATCTTTTTACAGTTGGTATGGTCAAACAGCCAACGTCGGAGCAGTCTGAATTTACTATGTCTTCTGAAGACTTCCCTGCATTACCCGGCACATCGACGGGGGCTGCGCCTCCTGACAAGCCAACGGATTACACCCATACAGACAAACCTAGAAAAGGCATACAAACCTCCCCTGACGGTAAGTAACAAACAAATATAGTCACTTTGCTACCGCTAAAGCTATAAGACGCTAACAATGGCTTGCCTACTATGGATAGGGTAAGTTTTAGTTAAAAACAGTGTTCCTAACAAAAAATTCTGGGTTATTGGTATTCTTCACTCGAAATCTAATCAAATGGTAAGATTGAACATTGCTAACATTATTAGTAAAGAATTAATGATTTATGAAATCATATAAGACAAAATTTAACATCAATTTTATTAAAGGTAAGTATTTTTGCTCATATCCATTAGGTGAAGGTGATATTGGAAGGAAAGGTCATGTGAGTAATGGGCTTTATTTATTGAAGAGAAATAATAAATAAATAAAATATAAATAAATATATTTAATGTCAAAAAATCACTCAGTTTGTCATCTTTGTTCTTGTAATCAATGTCATAACCATTGCATGTTTTTATTACTTATATGTGGTTATTAGAATTGTTAATAAAGATGCTATTTTTTTTTGTCCCCAAAGTTATCAGTCAAGGAGCTAACACGGAATATTATGGTGTGTATATCCCTTGTATAGGATTTATGATTTTATGGTCATGTTACTTTACTTCATGCCATTGCCATAGAATTATTGTTACTTAGTATACATAACTATCTATTAGAAGTATAATAGAGTAGCCATAACGCTTTTTCATGCCGCTTTTATATAATTTAGAAGTAAAATTAGATTAGCATGCATCAAAAGGGTAAAACATAGTTTATAAGCGATCCAAAGATATATAAAAAATTTAGTATACACATAATATTGCATGTTAATACATTTGGAAGGTATATAAATAGATTTTATAAAAAAAAAATATTTTTTTCTCATAAATAACATTTGTTTCATAATATTTCAGGCAAAGTAACAAATATACCAGAGACAATGATTCCCAATCAGTTTGGGATAGTGGGTCTATTGACGTTTATTAGGGCTGCTGAGTCGGACCCCAGTTTAGTATCGCTGGCACTGGGTCAAGACCTCACAGCCCTAGGCCTCAATCTCAACTCTCCGGACAATCTATACCTTACCTTCGCTGGACCATGGGCTGACACGCCTTGCAGGTTTGATCATGACATAATATTATTAATATCTTAGCAATTATAGTTCTTACTAGCTTTCCGCCCGCGTGGAGTTCGTTTATATCGCGTTTCCAAGAGAACCTTTCAAAAAAGTGGGATAAAAACTATCCTATGTTCTTACTCAAGGTCAACTCTATGTCTGTACCAAATTTCATTAAAATCAGTTTAGTGGTTTAGGCGTGAAAGCGTAACAGACAGACAAACAGACAGAGTTACTTTCGCATTTATAATATTAATAGGGATTCCTATTAATAATTATTTTGTTGGATGGAAGAAGTGGTCAATACGGCCTTCATTATATTTAGATGTATGATGTATAATAGATTATTTAATTAATTAAATATATTACCAAGATTATTAAAGATACGAAACCTCTTAGCATCCAATGGATTCACCATGTGGGTGCCGGGTCCATCACATCAAATCACTATCAAAATACTTATGAAAAAATTTTTAATGTTATATTGGAAAACTATATTATAATATAAATATTCCAGGCCACAAGATATGGATTACCACGTGCCTCCAGAGTACCTGATAAATGGGTCTATTAGAGAAAAGCTGGCACCCTTACGACTGAGTCGGTATAAGGAAGACTTATTATTTTATCTATTCTACTGCTTCGTGGGCGATGTACTTCAAATTGCGGCAGCGGCGGAACTGTAATTGTTTTATTTATTAATATCTAATAGAATTTAATTAAACTAATTCATTCATATACAGAAATCAGCGACAAAATTTCGCTTTGTTTACTAAGATTTTACTAGAAATATCTTATAGAATAAACTTTGAAATATTACACATATTGACAATAAGACAGTACATAAGTATAATTAAATGTTCCATATCGTCGGGCATTTTTTACAATTAGTCATTATTTAGTATTTAATTTATTACTAATTTTGAAAAAAATACTTTAACTCGGCGGGAGGCGCTACCGGGTAAAATTTACCACATAGTGCATACTTTCGAAAATATTTATTTTTGTAAGTAATTTTGTGCAGCGCCGTTTTAGATACCTTTCGACGGATGTTCGACGGTTCGACTAATAAAGAAAATCGTGACGAAAGAGACCTAGAAGAGATTACTTGAAGGTGTTGTCTCTTGTATTGACACAAATTAAGTGTAAATCTACCATCTTAAACCTGCCTACATACATTTATGAAAAGTAAAATAATACTTTTACTTGGTGGTAATGGCGAGCAAAATAATAATATTTCGAATAAACAACAGGAAAGAGCCCTCCAGCCACACTAGCAAAAATATTTCGTTTTGTGCACAAAATACCTGAGCTTTTGGGCTAGGTTTTAAAATTTCAAATATTACATATTATACCAAGCGTTTATTTGTTTCCAACTGTCTTGTTTAATTGAAAATGTAACACAATATAATATAAAAATTGGTTATATTTAATTAGTCATAAAATACCTCTAGTTCTTACATTAATATTATTGTGGTATTTTTTATCCAGTAGCGACAGTCAGTGTTGGTATATGGGGTGCGCTTCCCGCCGAGTTAAAAGTCGTTAATATAGAAAATATTTTAGCTTAAACTTTTTTCTGATAATCTGCTTCCAATGGTAGTTACGCGTATTTGCATTATCCCCGACGATATATCGATTAATAAAATTAATTTCCAGAAATAGTCACTAATAAATATAATAAATATAATTTCAAGTATTATAATGTTTCCTCAGCTACAACCGCGAGTGGCGGTATCACATGGAAGAGAAGGTTTGGATATCTCAAGCGCCCGGCATGCCGATGGTAGAAAAAACATCCACCTACGAACGCGGCACTTACTACTTCTTTGACGCGCACAATTGGCGCAAGGTCAGTCTATTTTAAGTTTTACGTGACAATATGTATATAAAACTAGATATTGTTAGTAATAACATCGTTTTCGCTGAGTGGGAAATTAATACTTTTTTATTTCAATGTTAGTGATGCCGGATTTTTAAAGATTTATCTAATCACGTACATAGATAGGATAAAATCAAGGATTCTATAAAGATACGTGATTTATTACTATTTATATAAAGAATGAATATAGTAAAATATATTCGAAGCTAGTCAAAGCGTACAATTTTGTCAAGATCTATAAAGGATTAAATGGTGATATTTTATATAATTAATTATCATAAGAAGTAATTGATGTATATTAATATTATTTTGCAGGTGGCGAAAGAATTCCACTTAGACTACAGCAAGTTGGAGGGTCGGCCGCAATTGCCGCCGCATGTGCTCACGTAGCGCTTTCACACCTATTGTAGTTTTGTTATATAAAAAAGTACAAGTTATCAATGAAGTTTTATTTCTGTTTTATATCACAGAAATGATTATTATTGAACAAGTTTTTAAGTATTTTTGATTTTGATTATTTTCATACATTTTGTTCCTTTGATATTTATTTATATAACTTATTCATTTTGTATCAGGTCTCATAGGATAATCCTGGTGACGTTAAAATACGAACTAAAAAGTTTGGAAACATTATGAGAATATGAAATGTATTTTTTTACTATTAAGGTTTTATATATGAAAAACTTGGACGCGTTAATGTTTGATTCAACAGACGGTATGTTTGTTGTTAGGAAAATGAGATTGTGAAAGACTTGAATACAAATCAACTGGATTAGTTGAATTAGTTACATAGGTCATAGCGTTATTTCATCTACATGTTAAAGTACTGTTTAAATGGCAACAACTATATTCCTAACGAGTTTTGCGGGCTACATACGAGCGAACTGCGTGATTGTGATTAGATATATTTCTTGAGGAATTGTTATTAATTATTATGATACTTCTCTGACAGTACATTCAGTTATTGAACAAAATATCAAACATCAAATAATAGAAATGGTCACTAAGTTTTGCTTTACTACATGAAAATTTCTTAATATTCCTGTAATTAATCTAGTATGTAACTGAAAATAAAAATAATGATGTTTTTCGGCCTGTTCCACAAAAAAAAAATTGATTAAACCACCTGCGATTTAAATATAAATGCGTAGCTATATAAAGTCGATTCTAAATATATAAACAACTACTACTTTTTGTATTCAAACAAAAGTATGTTAAAATTTGGGACTTACAATAGACAATTTAATTTCAACTTACATAAAAAAAATAATGTCAGATTTTGAATAATACCTTAAAAAGGGAGCTGATCTAAATAAAATACAACTTAAAATATCAGACAATTTTTATTATTCACATATCACTTGACATAATATGAAATAATGAAAGTGTTGCCTATTAATACTAAGGAAGTAACAATGAAATACTCTTAATGTCTGAAAATATTAGGCACTAAAGCAACCATCTTGTCACAAGCAATTAAACATGTTGGTGTTACTTTGGGTAAATAAAATTATTTAAAACAGTAGTCTGACCTTTAATTTTGATGTTGAAAACTAATTCTTTGTCAAATAATCTCATATTGAAGAACGGCAGTGATTTTACAAGTAGCCAGTTGTTATTTGTTCCTACTGTTTTGGGTTAAAATGAAGATTAAATTATGTTAATGTTGTATTAATTAATCCACATCATTAGTGCTCACTGATGGTGTTGATTCTTGTTCTGAAGAGTTTGCTTTCATAGTAGGTTCTTCATCATTTTTCCCGGGGACCCACAGACCAGCATCAACACACCTTTTAATGTAGTAAATAGCTTTTTGTTCTGGCATTTTCGCAATAGTTGCTTGCAGCATTGGCACATCTTGTGCATCAAAGCATTTTTTCAATTCCTGCATTGAGAATTATATTTCAATACTTTCTTACATAAACAGTTATATAAGAGAATAGTTTATTTATAGGTAATTTTCATATATATGTAATAAGATGTACTTTGTACTTGGTAAATATAAAAGAACTCGAAAGTTGTGTGTGCTATGAAAAAGAAAATAGTATATCTTCATAACTCTTAAGAAAATCATTGATTGTTAAATTTGTTGAAATTGATGAATATGAAGGTAAAACCAGAAAAAAATCTCCATGTTCATTAGAATTTTTATTCCTCTCTTCCTTAGGAATTAAAACCTTCTCTAGGAATTGACTATATCTTAAATGTTATAATGAAAATCTAAGTTCAATGTACAAAGTCTCAATATTCATACAAATATTAATTGGGTTTTGTTTTAAGGTTTTCTCTAAAATCATCATTAATCAATTTATATAAAATATGATTGTGGACCTTACATACTCTATGGTATTTAAGGTTTAAAGTTATTGATTCAAGTCACAAATGAAGTTAAAAACTTACATCAGGTAATTCTTCATAAACTTCTACGGGATCCAGACCTCCTGGTCCCAGTCTTGCTTTCCGTTCTTCTTCCTCTTGTTCTTTAATAGCTTCCTGGATTTTCTCCGCAGCTCGTTTTTGGATTCTAGACTTGAACTGTGCTAGCTCATCATCAAACGAGTCTTTGTATGTCTTCTCAGCTACTTGGATTCTGTTTAAATTAATATTAGTATTAGTGATTATTCTTTTAGTAGCATTTCATAAAATATTACATTATATATAATGTTTACCGAGAAAAGAATGATCCGACACAAGCCCTTGGATCAACATCCAATTGTTTAGATAATTCCAGAATGTATTGCATGCAAATTGTCTGGTGGGCTACATGTGCCATTAAGTCATGTTTCTGTAAGTAAGAAAAGCAATTGAATTAGGAAGACTGTTCATTATTTTAAAAACAAAACATTATATTTTTTTATGTCTGTACAAATACCTCTTCCATTTCCAAGTTTATACACCAAATAACAAGATAATTCGCTGTTTCCTCACAAACTAATTGACTGTGCTGTTGCAAGAATGCTTTGGAATCATCAAATTTACGAAGCATCCCAAATTGCTTCAACAGGCTTTCATTTTCTTTGATAAATTTCTTCATTCTAGCCTCTTTTTCTTCCTCTGTGAGATTCTCATCTTTAGGACGATTTGGTTTTGTGTTAATTATAGTTTTTGTAAAGCCCGGTTCACTAATAGTATCAACATTCCATGGAGTCTTCTTTTCTTTCTTTTTAAGTTCCTCTTCTTTAGCTTGAATTTCCTTTTGCTCCTTTTCAATACTAGCAAGCTCTGCCTTCAAGGAATCTAAATTTGCACCTTTAGATTCTGCCTCAGCGATCTTCCGTTTTGTTTCCGCAAGTTTCCTTATATTTTCAGTCTTACGTTGTTCATGTTCTTGGAGTTCACGCTTACGCTCCTCCATACGTTCAATTCGGGCTTGATGCCTCCAACGAAACAATGATGGAGTATCGATATTAGGGTGAGTTTCATCTTCATCGTCCGAAATCTTAATAAATAAATGAAAACAGTAAGGAAAACATGAGTAAAACACTCTAGAATACACTTAATTACCACAAGAAATCTTTTTGTTTAGCGATCATAACTTAAATCGGTTACAAAAAAAACGATACAAACCTCAATATCCTTCCATTTGCTGTAGTCCACCATTTTCGTTATAAAAAGTTGTTGTTTAAACAAGAAAAGACTTTTAAAGGATTATTTTTAACCGTAAACACTGAAAAAATAGGCGTTTTCTAGATCCGTATAGAAAACGATAAATATTTATTTGTCACAGAAATCCGGAATATTCTGATAGAGACAGCAAGGTTTAGGTTTTGACGTCAGTCTTTAACGGAATGTAGCGAGTAACGTCAATTTTAGTATTAAAGATTGGTGTACACTATGTGATTTATTCAAAAACTTACAAAGTTTTGAGCTTTTAAAATGTTTTACTTCAGCCTATGTAAAAAATTAAACAATTTTTATTTTTTATACTTTATAATAACAAAATATTTTTTTAGAAATATCATTTTTTATTTTAAAATATATACTGCTAATGGAGTGTGTAATCCTCAACTCAGTATACTTTTAAAGGTAAAATCAGGTGTTACTTTTTTTTGATATTCAGTTAATTAATTATAATTATTTTGAATTTTTCTAAAACTCTGAACTTATAATTCTCACACTTTTTCATTAAATTTGACACGTCTTGAGATATACATACTTATTTATGTTTTTGACAATGATAATTTTTTTTAATGAATAAGTAAAGAAGCGTGTTGAGAAAGCTTCGTCGTTATTCAGTTAGAACGTGTTTTTTTCTGATTGTCCCAAAAGTTACTATTTTGTGTTAGATATGATCTCAACGTAACTAAAAATATAATTAAGAAAAAATTAATAAGTGAAGATATTGATTTTAATATTGTCCTCGGTCAATTGTGTATCGGAAAAAGAAGTAAGCTTTCACTCTGACTGGTGATATTACTTAATATTGTTCATATAATAATCAAAGCTTTGAAATTCATTAAAAAAAAAAATCCAATAATATTTTAGTATTCTTTAAAATTACTCAATTAATTAATATCTTTACGTCTTTAAGTTTTCTTGATTTAAAAATCAATATAAATTGTGGCTTAAACAGTAGAAGTTATTGTGATGTCCTTTGTTTATATCTTGGAACTATAAATAAAACCACCAAATTATCAGTAAGTAGATATACAACTCAAGAGAACGTTATCCGCCTCCGATGACAGATGGAAGTGCTAGTGAGGCGCCACAGTTGATTTGTGTTCTATATTTTATTACATAGGTGTACAACTTTGCTTCCGCCGTTTTGCAATAGATGGTTGTAGCGGCAAGTGGTAGTCGAAATAAATAGATCGTAGATGTCATACAATAAGCTTAGGCATTTGTAAACATAACGCCATCGAAATATTAGTCGATTTGTGTCTGCATCATAAAGTTATTCTCGATTAAACATGTCACCTTACGAGCCAAATTCTCGTCATTTGCGGGAGGTTTTAATTTTCTGCTTTAATATGAAGAAATCTGCATCTGAGGCTCATCGAATGCTCTCAAATACCTATGGTGAGGCTGCTATTAGTAAAAGAACGTGCCAAGAGTGGTTTCAACGCTTCAAGAACGGTGATTTTGACGTCGAAGACCGGCATGGCGGTGGAAGAGAGAAGGTTTATGAAAATGCAGAATTGGAGGCATTACTTGATCAAGACTCGTGTCAAACGCAACAAGAATTGGCAGGATCATTGGGAGTGACGCAACAAGCCATTTCAAAACGCCTGAAAGTCATGGGAATGATTCAGAAACAAGGAAATTGGGTGCTGTACGAGTTGAAGCCGAGAGATGTTGAACGGCGTTTGTTTGCTTGTGAATAGCTGCTTGCAAGGCAAAGACGGAAAGGATTTCTGCATCGCGTTGTGACTGGGGACGAAAAATGGGTTCATTGCGTTAATCCCAAGCGCAGAAAATTATGGGGATATCCCGGCCATGCTTCCACGTCGACGGCCAAACCGAATATTCACGGTTCCAAGGTATGCTCTATATTTGGTAGGACCAGCTCGGCGTAGTGCATTATGAGTTGTTAAAACCGACTGAAACAATCACAGGCGATAGTTATCGAACGCAATTAATGCGTTTGAGCTGAGCATTGAAAGACAAACGGCCGCAATACAACGAGATACATGATAAAGTGATTTTACAGCACGACAATGCTCGACCCCATGTTGCGAAAGTGGTCAAGACATACTTGGAAACGTTGAAATGGGAAGTCCTACCCCACCCGCTGTACTCTCCAGACGTTGCTCCCTCGGACTATCACTTGTTTCGATCAATGGCACACGGCCTGGCTGACCAGCACTTCCGGTCTTATGAAGAAGTTAAAAATTGGATCTATTTGTGGATCGCTTCAAAAGATGCCCATTTTTTTCAACACGGGATTCGTATGCTGCCCGAAAGATGGGAGAAAGTAGTGGCCAGCGATGGACAATACTTTGAATCATAAATGTATAACCAGTTTTTTACAATAAAGCCTCGAATTTCGGAAAAAAACGGCGGAAGCAAAGTTGTACACCTAATATATGTCACAGTTATAATATAGGAGAATTTAATGATGTTTCATATATTAAAAAACATAGAGTTTTGAATAGATCATAAAATTTATTACAGATAAAGTTAAGAAACCATTAATTACTTTCTTTTGATTAATTACGTAATTATTTTTTTTTATGTTAAATTTAACAATAGGATATCCTACTAGGCACTAGATGATAATCATATCTATTTTACTTTATTTGTAAACTTAAAGTCTTACTTTGTGGTTGTGTTTTACTAGTTAAGTATATTTTGATTGCAAATATTTTAAAATTAGATTAAAATTGAATCCAAATAGTTAGTTTTTCTTTCTCTTTTTAGTCATTGTTGTTAAAATAGTTGTAGCGAGAGTTGTAGTAATTTTGGTAGCGTCGGTAGCCGTTGTGTCGTTGGTAACAAGATTTTCATCTTCATAAGTATCTTGGGTATTATCTGGAATGCTGATTTGGAATTGTAATAGCACAACTAGGTACGTTACCATCGTGGCCAATAACTGGAAACAGGTAAAATTATTTTAAAACTATTCTACTTGAAGTTATATATAATGTTAAAGTCAATTAAAGTTTTTTATTCGACCAAAAATACAGGACCTCAAACCATACAGACGTAGTGAATTAAGAAAAAGTTTTATCAAAGGTAAGGTAAGATTATCGAAGAAATTGGGCCAATCAAACCTTTAGAGGTAAATGCTCACTGATTTGAAAAGGTTTCTGTTGACATCAAAGAAGCCGCCGAGGCTGATCTGGGAGGGGTTCATCTCGGTCGCTCGTAGGAACATGTTAACCTCCGTCTGTGCGTCCGTGTTCATCCAAGATAGTTCCACCATTAGCAGTTTCTTTTGAAAATTTGTTCGTACCTTAACGAAATACGACAAGTCAATAAGACATAGTTCATGAATAACACATATTTCTTAAATAGAAAATTCTTTATATTTTTGTACTATTATATAATTTTATATTTTGCAAGAATTTAATGAATAATAAGCTTACAAAAAATTATATTTAGTTTAAATGCTGACTGCAAATCAATATCTTTTTGGAAAGTACTTATATTTTTGCATTTTATTGGGTTTCTTTGCTTTATAATTATTAATTACAATAGAAACAAATAAAGTACTTACATTAAGCGATGCGTAATGCGCTTCATCGCAAATAAAAAATAACAAGAAAATACTGCAACAAGCCGTTACAAATAATCCAATGTCTTTAATGCCGAAGCCTTCAGATATCTGGCTGAGAAGGCCATAGATAGATAAAGTGATGATGAGGAATAGATAAAGATTGACGAACGTGAACGTATAGCAGTTAGCTAGGCCCGTGTCTTGGGCTAGTTTACTTAGGCGTAGCCAGAGGGCGCGATATTCGGCTACTTTTCCTGCCGGACCAACGTGACGTAGGGCCTATAATAATATTTTTATATTACTGTTTATTCCCCTCTAATGAACGATGACATTAAATGTACTTCTCTATTTCTGATACGTTTATTTTTAAAATTGACTATGAAATTAGATTTTTCTTAGTCTAGAGAAAAAGTTTTGCAGTCATTGCATACTTTGTGTAATTTTTTGTTTATCACTAGGAAAACGCGAGTGTTGTTTGTAATTTAAAAATATGTATGTAAATGATTTAAAGAGAAACTAATACGAAAAATATCAGTTTCCTTTGTTAGCAATACTTACAGTAGCGACATTAAACTACTCATAACAAAAGCCTGGTAGAAACTTTCCATAGAAAATTTTATGGGGAAGACGAATGACATAATTAATGTGTAAAAAACAAGTTTATAACATGAATTTAACTCGTATAAATATTTGAACAACCGAGATTTGAACTTTAATTACTTCAAAGTTAATTTTCCAACAATGAGTAATATAAAACTTTTAGATACATCTAAAGACTTACCTGATGAAAATCTTCAGCTAATATTCCAGCACAAAAGCTTAAAGTTTCACACAGCAAATACCAATAACCTCCCAGTAGATAAGTTAATATTTCTAAGAAAACATAGGGTAATATCTGCATAACTTTGAAATCAACCATAGTTACGTGGGTAATGATGACTGAGCTTGTCGAAAGAATTGGAATAACAACAGCCATTGTCAGAGCCTTTTTGTACATTTTTATGGGAAGAACGCGGCTCGATAACTTCTTGTAGCATACCTAAAACGACAATATTACAGTTATTTTTTTCCTTAAAATTACAAGCCATATTTTATGCTATAAACTCACCTCAAAATCTACCCATCCGTTTAAAATATTAGCGATCTTCCTCGTTTCATACCAAATTATTGGCACGACCATCATTGGAAATAGATAAACAGTGAAAAGATACTCGATCACAGCTTCTTCAAATTTACCTTCAGTTGTTCTTAATATTTGTACTTTGTGTAAAGAAAGATACATCACATAGCTAATGAGGCCTAGGAAGCAAAAAATTGAATACACCATAGATGGGGATAGCATTTTGAATTGATTTTGTCCTGGTGAAGGCCTGGTTAATGGAAGGACGCCCATAATCCTCAGCAATGTAAAAACAGGTTTGATATTCTCATATATAATATCGCTATTTATTTGGGGAGAGATTAAATTATCACGCAAAGGCACGATAGAATTAGTTGTAATATGGTTTAATTGTTCTCTTCGAGGCGATGGGACGTCCAAGAAAACGATTTTATTATTTGGTCTATCGGAGATCTGTTTTGCGAATCCATTAGGGATGTTTTTGATTTGAGGATATAAGTTACTTTTATATACAGACATTCAGAAAGTTGTGATGTTTGGTTGGTGTTAGAAACCGAACGAGTTGAATTCAGAGGTAAGAATGTGAATAATACTTTGAAGTTGGGATGGTAAAACTAATATTTCATTTCTGACACCGTAATTGAACATACGCAAGCATTTTGATGTTTGTATTAAATTTTAAAAGCGTTCTTCACCTTGGACGGAACCTTGTCGCAACATGTAAACATTTTTTGTTTCACGTACTGAATAGTTTAAGAACTGATATTTCTTTAATTCAGTCCTTCAGCTGTTCCGTTGAAACAAGCGGTAAACAAATAAAAAACTACAAAATCTAACAAGACAAGCTTTTATGGTCTTATCAAACAAGTGTATATATGTCTTCTGCCTGACATTTTCCCAGCTTTAGCCAGCGTCTGCCTTACATGTTGTGATTAGTTTTGGCTAATTGTTTTTATGACCAGCCGCCTGCCTGACATCGACCCTCTTTGGGAGTGCATTAATCAGTGATGTCTAAATACTCTTAGAAAGTATATATGACTCGAAATAATCACATTGGTACTTGGCAGAATCGAACCCGCGCCCTCATGCATGAGAGGCGGGCCTTCTGACCACTAGGCCACCACTGACTTAAATAAGTGTATATATGTATTTACATATAAATATGTAACTCGGTAGCATATTATTTCAAAATTGAAAATAAAATACGTTTATAGGTTGTTTCTTAAAAGAGTAACAATACATAAACCAACTCTCACATACTTTCGCATTTATAAAATAATTAGGATCAATAACAGTATATGCAATTTAATTACTTGATGTTATTTATTATTCTATACATTTATATCATGGTTGTAAATATTATATTACGGTATAAATGACACAGGTTTATCTCAGGTGCTAAGCAATAACTGTCATTTTATAGGGCACCTGCTTTTACAATGCGATACTCTGTACAAATGAACGTAGAGTATAACACTTTATGGCCCATAAAAGTTAGGTGGGCTTATAAAACACTGTTCTGGACTCGATGAATAACGCCGTAAATAAACATAGTCTTGAAAATAATCAAGTGGATAACTAAGTTGTAGGCTTAGAGTTACGACTGTGTTTTAAAATGAAGATGACATTGTCGTTTGAAGTTCTTTTTAAACTGACTTAATGAGGAAATTTTTTGGATGTAAGAAAAAAAAGGAGAAAAAAATCTAAATAATAAAGTGTAATAATATTATTTATGTTACTGGTATTGAATTTAGCTGGCACATTATACTTTTTCAAGATATTTTTTAATCTGTATCTTTTAATGAGTTCTGTAAAAATATATTATACTCGTATATACCTAAACGAACAAATAATAATTTCGTGCTTCATTAGACGAAGGCATTTAAGCGGAAAAACAAATTTAGACTTCGTTTAACATTATGTAGGGATAATTAAATCAAAGTTATCGCTTTGTTAATTTAGGATCTGAATGTTTACCTTTAGTTTTGTAAGTGTAGTATTAGTTTGATCAACATTCAACCAATTTCCTTGTTTGAAAGGAATGTACGTATGAAGAAATTTAATTGGGATAGGTATCTTGATAATCTTTAGGGTGTTAGCAAAATGTTTCTTTTTGAACGGATTTATAATTATAGGTAAATTTTTTTATCGTAAACAATTATTAAAAAAAATCAATAATCATATGTATATTATTTTCTATCGCTCCACTATAGCTTTTGATAGCACAAGTTTTCATGTTCGTTCTAAAACATGTAAACAATGTTGTTTTATGTTACATTTACAATTTTAAATATTTTTCAAGCACAGGAAACACAACATTGCATTTTATGTTTTTTCATTTTATAAAGTGCATATCATAAATTAGTTTCTACACGCTCCTAACATTTCTTTCAATAACGTAACTTCTTTTTAAGTTAACCAGTTTACGTAAAACCTGAGTTTCTTGCAGTTTATTAAAGAAAACATTTTAGTATCTTGCATTATTTTTTTACTTTACAATATCAGAAAGTAAAATTGATAGATAATAAGCTATTATTTTATAAAATCGTTGATGGTTTAAATAGAATAAATAACGTAAAGAAATAGCAGAGGCTGTTGGTTTTCGTAATCTGTGGAGCTCGTTAGATGCTTAATCGATCAAGCTGAGAGGGCGCAGATTAATTGAATTTCAGCCTGTTAGAAACACCTCGCGGCATCATTTCCCTAAGATTAAACTCAAAGCAAATTTAAATTATCATCGTGACATAAACATTGCAGTCGATCGTAAATTATAAGTAAATATATTAAAACCTGTTTAACGGATAGCGGTTTAAAAAAGTATATTAAGCTTCTACAAATTAACCATATAAATTGACAGATTAATTATTATTAAGAAAAAAATCCTTATGTATGGTTAACGGATAAGTTTGAATATTGATTACTTCATAAATTTATCAGAAAGAAAACATTTAAATCATAAATATTATTTATAATCTGTGGTTTCACCTTCTAACTCTAGAAGGATTACCTACCCGCTTATCAAAGTGTCCGATTTTGAAAATATATTTATTCTCGATTGTCTTTCGCAGTACTGGTCTCACTTTTTGTGCCATCTCAGCTGACATACAGAACTAGCCAAGAACGCGTAGGTTACTCAAGTAAGTTCATTCCTTTTGGTCTTATTTATATAAAAAGTGTATTTTTCGTATATTCATTATTCTATTATTCATTTTTGAGTTTATAAAATAAAATAATGGTATCATATAAATAAGCAAATGACGTAAAATCACTAGGTTATTGCTGGAATTAAGTGACAAAAGCTTTGGGGTCGCACAGCGAATGTGAAGATGCTTACTACAGGAAGAAGTACAAAGTGACGAGGATGGTGATGTTGAGGTGAGTGATTGCTAAATACTGGCAAAGCATATCCTCAACCCCTGATATCTGAAAATCCTTTGTCCAATGTCATCAGCCTATCAGAGCCCACTGCTAAGCAAGGCCTCTTTCTCACATGGAGAAGGTTTGAGCATTAATCACCACGCTTGCTCAAGACGGGTTGGGGATTTCAAATTTATAATTGTGAAACTATAAGTCCAGGTTTTCCTTCACCGTATGTCAGTGATGTCTAAATACTCTCCGAAAGTACATATGACTTCGTAAAATCACATTGTTACTTGCCAGATTTGAACCCGTGCCCGCGCCTAGGCCACCACTGACTGTCCAATGTGTCGAATTCAATTCTCGTACCACAGCGTCAAAGTCTCAGATTTGAAGACGTTCATTGTTGGACGGCAACAAAAGACAGAACTTGTAACATGGTATCCTTTTGCAATATTATAGGGCCTAAGTATTGTGCCTTTGCCTTTCGAAAATTAGAAGTATGACAAAAACAATCCAACAACAGCAAAAACACAATTTTTGGAGATCACAGGTCTTCTGCCTATTCTTTCTGCTATTGAGGTCAAAATCTTTTTTTTTTAATATATAGTTTTTCATACATCGTAAAGAGTATAAAAAGTTGATTTTTGTAAGTAGGTATATAAACTAAATCATGAGACTGGTCGAGGTAATAGCTAAGGTTTAAGTTTTTTTATGCTAAGATTTATCAAATTTACTTTATGTATTTTTTTTATTAATTCTGTATATACTTAAAAACAGTAAACAAATAAATGCTTATAAACCTAGGCATGATAGATTATTGAAATTAAGGCTATCAAAAGATGCACGTGGAACCGACGTTGGTTATCTTTAGTTTTTGGCAAAATAAAGTTGTCTTTGTAGAATCCGGACAAAAAAAAGGAAGCGGTCACTTTAGCTCCTCCATTTTATTATTCTGACATTAAATTGTTCGCAAATGTCTGTTTTGTAATGTATTAATTTCTTGAACAACATTATACATTTTAAAACATCATAATTCTACGATTATTCATTTTGAAGTCAAAACTTTTTGTGTCTGCGAATAATAACTGTCCCAGTAACTTAACTTCACTACTATGTTTTATAAAGGGGTGGTTTCTTTCTAATTTAGTTTAAGTAGCTTTTTACGAAAAGATGGTTTATTTTTTATGTAGGTACATAATTCAACTATTAATTTTTTAATTTATAAAAATATTTTCGTAATACGATAGATGATTAATCCTTATAAATCCTGTTAAGTTTGGAATCTATTATTTTTTTAGTTCTAGCATAGAAATTATTTCTTTTTAAAATATTTTTTTTATTGTCATATTTTTTATTCAATTAACCAATATTTCAATTTATAACACATATATTAAATTTCATCTAAATTGAGTTTTAGTTGAACAATCTTAAAAAAGGTTGTATACCATTAAAACTATAAATGCATACTCTGTAGTTCAAACTATGCTGACTCGTGAGAATAAAGGTAGTGACGGCGGGAAACTCAGAACAAGATTAATGTATTTTTATATTAGCAATAAAACGATCGAAGGCAAGGATTTATTCATCTGAATGAGACGAGAACGTGCTTCCATATTTAAATTTACGTTGTTCAGAAATAACAAAAGAAAACGCGAAATTCCTTTTTCATACTTTAATTCTTTATTCATCCGTTATGTACGTTCAAAAAACCCGACGTTCTCAAATCGTCGATAATTCCCTTTATAATGCTTTTATAATTTTCTTTAGCTTCAAATATCTCGGATTCCGTTTCCAATACAATTTTACTTTTTACGTGTCCCACGTTTTGCAGTCCACTGGCTAACCAAATGGCTGTGTTGGCGATTATAAAACAAGTTGGCCCAACAACAATCAAGTCGTGGTTGAACATACTTCTAGAATATTCTTCACGAGGATTTAAATTGGCTTCAATTAACGTGTGTTCAAATGCTTGGTAATACGTATCTAAAAACTGGGTCAGGTACTGCCTTCGCAGATCACTTGAAGTGCTCGTTACTATTAAGTAGAGCACATCGAATGCAGGACTACTTATTCTGGTAGTTTGATAATCTATAATACAAGCTGAAATTGGTATATTATCCTGAAAATAAATGGCAAATATATATATGAAATAATAAATA